GGATCGCGAGTCAATTGTATTCTATTGGGTGTGTGAGTTGTGTTTTCTGTTAGGCGCGCCGCCAAAGGAGACGCGTTTTGTGTCCTACCGGCAAGTCGATCGTGAAACACCTTAAGAAGCGGCATAATATCTCGGTACGTGTAATAAGTGAATCAAGGCTCCCGGAGGGCACTGACTGCGAAAACACTGTTTAGGAACCTCCGAAACAGTGTACCAGCGCACCGAAGGCACCTGGTCCAGGTGATCAACGTACCCTCGATTTCATGGTCGATCCAACCAAGCCACACGAACAGTCCCTCCACAACAAAGTCTCTCTTCGGTTCAGTACTAAGCTGAACAACCTCTTGGTCCTCGATTGAATAACGTGTACGAATCTATCGTTCCGGGTCGTAAACAACGCTCGTTGGCAACGTCAGCAGCTATATAACAACCCTTTGTTGAAGGATTCAGACCTACTGAGAGATCAGATCTTGATCGACTGTTTGATGGATGAATACAAGCGCGCGATCGAGCCTGTCAAAGCCCTCCTCTCCACGGCGCGTAGTATGATTCATTTAACGTTCGATGGCTGGACTTCTCGAAACATGGCCCCGTTTGTGGGTGTTCACGCACACTATATCGACTCTAGCTTCAAGAGATAGAGGATCCTGCTAGGGCTACCGGTCCTATCCTAGTCAGCCGACACACAGGAATTAATATTGCGGACGAGATTATCGCCGTTCTCGAGTTTTACGGCATCGAGAAGCATGTAGGGTTCTATACTCTAGACAACGAGTCGGAATTGATATTGCGGACGAGATTATCGCCGTTCTCGAGTTTTACGGCATCAAGAAGCATGTAGGGTTCTGTACTCTAGACAACGAGTCGAAGAACGGTACTTGTATGATAGCGATCGGTCAGCATCTCAAGATTGACTGCGCCGAACGGCAAATTAGCTGCGCTCCTCACTCTCTTCAGCTAGCAGCGAGGGCGTTAATGTATGGGGACGGCTGCAAACGTCTCAATTTGGATAACCTGCTGCTGCATTTGAATCAAGACCCCGATCAAGACGAGGATGAGTTTCTCCGTGGTGTTTTTCGTCGAGCTACTGATATGGCTGACGCTCACGACATAGCTGATAAAGACGACGATGCTGCAGACGAGGACCTCGAAGATGCTGTTCCTTTGGAAGCCGAATCCTTATAAGAATCCTCAGACGAAGGCTCTGAAGCCATGAAAACTACATCCACGAACTTGATGCCTTGACCCCCGATATTCTGACCCCCACCTCCCTTCACAAACACCAAAAAACCGTCCGATCGGCAAGCTACACAATATTCGTAATTGCTTAACTACTAGCAGCCAGCTCGTCGAGCAGTGGCATAGAGCCCAGAAGGAGATCCAGCCTGATACATCTGTTCTAGAATGGGTATACAACAACACGACTAGGTGGCAAAGCGACTACGCTATGATTGAACGCGCCTTAACCAAGAAGCTCGCGATTAACAGGTTAATGAATACACTCCACGAGAATTGGGACGCAGCCGGCGCGAAGACACACGATAGGCCACCCATTCTCGAATACCGGCTTGGAGATGCCGATTGGGTGCTTGTTGAGGCTGTTCACAAGATCTTACAGCCTTTCGCTGTCGCCTCTACGCTTTTTCAGGGTACTGGTGAGCCTACAGAGCGAGCTATCGCAGGGGGTTTCGACAAATATTTCCCACAAATCGAGACCTTATTAGATTACCTCGAGATGCGTGCTGTAAATCAATGCTATCTAGAGATTGAAGACCCTGATTCCCCGAGTGGTCCGAAGGTCCCACGCGTTATATAGCTATTCAAACACCTTAATAAAGCACAACGTAGGCTTCTCAAGGTTCACATCTGGATGGGTTGGTGGAAACTGCAGAGCTACTACAATAAGATGACTTCTTTGGCGTACGCTGCTACAGTTATCTTTAACCTACGGTCAAGCTACCAGGTCTTGCAGAGAAGTTTGATGCAGAGCCTGAACGGCAACATCCTACGTGGAGGGACGTATACACGAAGAAGCTGAATACTTGCTGGCAGGATAACTATAAGAATAGGTGTGTTTTCCGTGATATGAACAGGCTTTACTAACAACTTCAAGGGATATCTTAGTGCCGAACAGCTACACAACTGGTAATAATACCCCTATTGACTGGATCGCCCGCCGCGCTCCGGCTCCTATGGCGCCTAACGCAGAGCCTGTCGTCTTGCCTATGAAACTCACGGGTTTCTATACACAATCAGCGACCTAAGCCGGTCGTGCTCTTGCCGAATGGGGCTTAGTGGTCGCCGAGTACAACAACTTCGTCGATAGGCGACGTGAAGGCGTGCTTGGCCTCAGCGAGGTTAAAGTCCCGTCCCTAGGTGTAAACGCTTCCTTAGCGGCTCTGACGAGGTGCTTAATACACAGCAGCCGGCTACGAAGAAGAAGACGCGCGGACGAGGTCCTAAAAGCACCACAAAGGCTGATAATCAGCCTCAAGACGAGCTTGCTGTGTATCTTACGGAACCCTTGATCGATATGGATCACTACCATAATGATCCAATAGCTTGGTGGCGAGATGATGGTTCATGACGCTTCCCAAGGCTATCCTATATGGCTGTCGATTTTCTCACGATCCCTCCATCTATATCAGAAACAGAACGCCAAATTAGTAGTGTTGGTTCGATGGTATCGCCGAAGAGGTCTCGGTTACAACGCCATATTATTGCGGCAGCTCAGTGTATCAGGTCGTGGAGTAGATCTGGGGCTTATAGCCCTGAGCTGCCACTCTGGCTGCTAGATAGAGCCTCGGATTCGGACCTCGAGTACGGCTTGAAGAAGGAGGGCTTTTTAGAGTATCTCAATCACTAGATAACTCTTAAGGTGCGAATATCTCTACATTCGACCTAAAAGGGCAATTCTGTGACCTTGATCGCCGATAACCGGTGAGCGCTCGGCGAGAGTTCGCTATCAATCGATCGGTGAGGATTTTCTAAGGATTTTGATCGACCGAAGTCGATCGATGGACCTAGAAGACCTTGGTTGGTCGAAGTCGGCGATCAAGACTTTAAGGTTGATCGATCGATCGATGAGTTTCTACCAAACTCTGAGTAATTATCTTGCCTTAACTAACCGATAGGTTTCAAACAAAAGCATATAACTTCACATGCCTGCGGAATTATCTGTTACCGCAAAAGCCAACATTAGGTTCACAGTCTAATTATATGGTAACACTATCGAATCACCCCAGCATCCCGAAAAAGCCGTTTAAGCATTTGACATCTTGATCGACGCCATACCGTCCATGTGAAAATGCAACGGCAAAGGGAATCGATTGAAGGTTCTGTGCAGTCATTATGGTTTGACCCATGCATTTATATTTGGAGTTCATGTTAGCGCTCGTTGGTAACATACGGGTGTATAGAAGCACCAGCTTTTATATGTCTTACACAGGTATTATCTTTCACATGTGCTATAAAAGTACCAGCTTTCAAATGTAGTGAGCCACAAGATGCTCGCATATGTATTAGTATGCAGCTATTTGAAGGTCTCATAACCCCGCTCGTTGGTCTACAAACCTCGTTCCACAATGGCATAACCTATCGACACCCTACTTTTTATATCTCTCCGCAAAACTTTAAGCATCATGTCCGAGACTACTATCCCTGACGGTGACATGGAAATTTTCCAAGGGAAATAGTTACAAGTCGCAATAGTTGCGTGGTAAACCAATCCCAATCGCTATTAATAGCAACCGATGCGTTGACGAGAATGGTTCGTCGCGCAGTCGAGTCAAAGATGCTGGGGAACTCTGTAGTTGCCGCTTCAATTTCAGCCGAGGTTGGAGGGGGACCTGGTATCCCTCCCTCTTCACGGATCCATGGAAGTGTAAGAGGAAGAAACAACATGGTCGCCATCTCGTGTGGCTGTTTGAGAACGATGAAGGACTACCGCCGAGTGTCCTCAAGCACATATCGAGTAGTTGGGGTGAAGTTGTCCACTATTTATTAATAAGCGTACACAGAACCCGCACACTTCTAGCAACGTCTCCTTCTGTAAATCAGATCATCGCTCACTTTTCGCGCACTCCAAAATGTCGAAAAGTTGGTGATCCGTAAACGAACAGCCTTGCGCATTGGGGATGGATTTCGGGTATTGTATTGTGTTTTGGGTGCTTTGGTGTCATTCTGCACGGTGTGGTGTCAAGTGCTAAGTGCGAGGTGTGGTGCATTGAACTAAATCTTTTAATAAAAAGAATTGGGGTTGAACTAGGCCTAGAGAGAATGGTGGTGACATTACAAATCTTCCTTGGTGTCTCAGCACGTGGCTAACTACTTGCGCCCCGCGCTCTAAATCGATGCGTCGGTAGCCATTTAGCGATGCTGTAACCAAATGTGTACATGGGACCGGAAAACTTCCACAGCGGAGCTCATGAGGTTGCAAGAGGAGATCAGAAAGAACTGCCAATTACTAGAAATCTGTTTCCCAGCCGAGAAGTAAGCCAAGGAGAAAAGTCAGGCAGATCGATAATTACCCCACGGGCGATGATGACAACATTTTTTTAGTTCAAACAAATGGAAAACCATTCGGGCCAAGAACCGATTGCTTGGCTCAGGCGACCCAGCATTAATACACAACACAGTATGCTAAGCTCCTGGCTGCGAGTACTGCCGTCTTCATTAATATCCGCAGCTTATGTTGTATCGCCCTTGATATGACCGGAACTGACGTAACGCGCCCGACATAGGCGTTTGGCAGGCGGCGATCCAGGCCCTCAACGAACGCGAACATAAATTGGGCCTTATTTTGGGTTCCTCAAAACGCATATCGCGTGACTACTTTATGCATTTGAGGTAACGCTATTTAGATCCACGACGACAGATGGCTTTGTCATAAGCTCTATTTGCGCAGGTGGATTTAGTTTCGTTCGTATTAACTACCTGAAGCTAATCCATAATGTGAACCTAGGCTAAGTAGTGGCTAGACTAGCTAAAAGGAGCGCATCTTATACCAAGACAGCCGTCGATACCATCAAAATGCAGTCCCTGCGAACATCCGACCCATCACCTCTCGATAAGTAGAGAGAATTTCCACACGAGAGAATGTTGGACCTCCCATCAGCGGTCAGGACGACGCTGTTAGACTGCCGGTCGACGCAACCTGGGACCCTGGCATAAGTACCAGCAGCAACGTTGGTGTCGACGGTAGACTTTGGCTTCATTTTTATTTGCACACTCAATGCTGTGGATGACACCACGTCAAAGTACGCCACCAGGGTCTCGCTGGCGCCATTGATAGGGTTGGCCAGTCCGAAGTAACCGCCGGCGCTTAGTACCCACGTCGATGAGGCCAGCGAACTCGCTGTCGGGTTCGAACTAAATGTCTGCCACGCCACCACTGCGTTATTTACTACATTCATCCAGCGCGTCGTGCCGTCAGGGTTCGGACCTCGGATCCGAAAATTGATGCCCCTTGCCTGGCACGAGAGCTCAACCACGGATGTGGGCGTTATCGTCACCAGCATCGTCACGGTCGAGGTTACAGCGTCGGTCTTGGTGGTTGTGCTAGTTACCGTAAGCGACTGGATGTTGATTTGCGTGGACGAGACCGTGGTCGTTACGGAGACGATATCCGTTTGGGTACTGGACACGGTGGACCATATCGATGTAGCAGACGTGGCGGCGGACTCAATGACTGTTTCTGTAGCCATCGGGAGTGTAACGGTCGAGGCCTCAACGCTAATACGTTGACAAGCCGATACATATACTTCCCAAAAGCTGCATGCCGTCGCCGCGTAGTCTGGCAATACCGGCGAAGCAGTCTGGCGAGCCCGTAGACCACGAGCCGTCAAATCACCCAAGTAGTTGAAGGTAGTGGTGGTGATGGTGGTAGGAGCCGAATAAATGTCGGTCAAGGTATTGAAAAAGGTTGTCTGCTCTGAGATAGTGTCTGTTTGGGTGGAAGCCGTGACTGTTGTGCTGGTTGTGAAGAGCAGTGTCTCCGTAACACCAGTGGTAGTAATGGTTTCTGTAAACAGCGCAGTATCTAAAGCTCTCTCGACCGCCGTCACGGTCACTGTCTGGGTGACGGTGCTAGATTTTATTTTGAATGTTAGAAAATTGGATGAGTGTGATATTGGGCGCTTACCTGACAGGTGGTGTCACTGTGACAACCAGCCTGGCCGAACAGTCGGTGACGGCTATTTCATCCTGCAGGGCAAGGGCTTTGAGTGGGGAACTCTGTCAGCGCATGTAGTTAGTGGTTATTTGTTTGTATTGACGGTACCTTTAAAGCACCGATCACCAGTACTTGATGGACCAGGTTCTGTAGATGGAGTTGTCGTTGTACTTATTTCAGTGATGCTTGCCTCGGTGGGAGTCACAGATGGCAAAGACCCGGTGGTGCTTGTTTGAGCATTGCTACTTCCAGTAGTACTGTACTCGGCGGTGCTTGCTGCATTAGTAGGAGCGTTGGCTGAGCTTGATGCGGAGGCCGAGAATGTTATGGCGACGTCAGTGGTGGTGGAAGCCTCAGAATTTAAGCTTGATACATTTGTTAAAGGCTCAGTGTATCTTGTGCTCGATGATATAGGCTCCGTAGTACTCAAGCCAATCGTGCTTGCCTCGGAGCTAGGTGCCAAGGAAGTGTACGAGATGCTTAAAGAGGTGGTCTGAGCAGAATACGACAATATACTCTCGGTACTGATACTGAAAGAGCCGGAATCTATTGTAGTGGCACCATTGCCAGATGAAGAACTACTCGTCAAAGTAGTCACCGGGGTGATGCTATATGGATTGCTATAAGAAGCACTCGTCCCTTGGGTGATTATCGGCAATAATTGAGACGATGGAACTCGCACACATGGCTTAGCAGCGCTGATAGTCAAAAGAGCCGCGATAATGACGTGGGTTGGACGAAGCATTATGTATTGATTGCTGTACATAATAGAACAAGGGATGCAGCTAACTCAACACACCAGAATAGTATACGATCGGGCGCAGAAGAACCAGGAACAAGGTACGCTACCGAAGTTTACGCCATTTGACTTATATATGGGAATTGGCCAGATCTTGGTAGAAAGGGGTCGGGTGATAGTTGCAGGGATGAGCACTCTTGAGAGCATGAGGCTATACCCGAGTGGGGACTAATCTCAATCTCCGCATCATAGCTGACAATAGCGCCGCCTCATGCCAGCTGAACACTGCGATGCAATTTTAACAACGGCGAGGCTTGACTCTAGTGGCTAGTAGTGCCTTGTCAGTAACCTACTTAGTAACGTATTGGCAGTCCTTATGCTAGTTACACCATTGTGGATCTCTGTTCTTGGTAGAGCACAACTATTCCGAGGTTATTCAATCCGGGCACGCAAAGTAACAGGGTTAACCGTATTTGAAAGGAAATGTTGTGAATGCGCGCGACACCCCAATGGAATCCAGTTGAAGACTTTTGAACTTTGTTAAGGAGTTTAGCGTGGTTGTTCCGCTCTAGACTAGTGTCGTCTAGTGATGATAATAATGTGTGTCGTAATATGGCAATTTACAATTGACGAATGCTGAGCTACGCACTAAGCAATGGACTCATTCGAAATCTATCGAGCCACTAGTCAACAATCCCCTGGCTAGAATACACAACATCTCGCTAAGCCTTCAGCTTATAGATCTTAAAGAGAAGCAACTCGCTTATGTTATAGGAAAACGGTGAATTAGGCTCCAATCACGTGGAAATCGTTTAGTTTAGCGCATGTGTAGAACACGAAAGACTAAATGGACAATATATACACCGTAACACACCTAATGTTAGAGATAAGTCAATACACGCAGGTTGCACACGCTACACCGAGCTGATCAAATGTGGCAAAGTACTTCGTATCTTAGCTTGAACCCCCAACCCCCCATCCCCCTAGGACCCGGTACATTGATCTATGTATGTCGTGGGTATTATAAGTAGGGCTACGTTTCACCTACACACTGTATATCTTAGGATTACACATGGCTTGTATACGGTACCGTAGATTGTTCCGATTTGAACAGGTCTTGGCTGAAGATTTCAACACCAAATTCGTTAATTCTTCCGCACTTGAAAGTCCTACATGCTCGAGGGGCAATTATCATTCAATATCAAGTCTAATGTTAGAAAACCTGGAATAGTGTCTATGGCTATCCAGTCCATCAAATTGGCTACGTAATAGGTTGCCCTGAACAACTTAACCTTGTCATATAATTCTACGACAATAAAAGGCGGAAGCCAGAAACCACGGCAGCCCGATCCGAGTTACCTGAATGTTTAGTCTCAGGTGTCCTTGAGCATTCCCCCGCGTTCTCGTAGGAAGTGAAAAGCCTATCTTCTATATCGTTAAGCCCTCGACTGCGGCTACGGTTGTGATTGTTTCTTCTATTAAATTGTCACGTAATATTATCTAGAAGGCATATTTCAAGTTTTCAGCGTGTAGAAAGTGGGGTTAGAACAGCAATTTGACAATTCCCGAGGACGCAAAGTTTGCGAGGTTATATTACGTCAACATGCCTTTAGGGTGCTGTGCCAGTGGAGTTTTATAAAAGGACTTGCATGATCCTCTTGAGACTGATAGCTAGAAGTATTTCGCTATACTTCTCAACATTTCTCACTCGAAAGGATCGGTCATTCAGTTGATCTTATACCAACCATGAGTCGGCGTGTATATGTTCCCGTCTTAGCTTGAACAACTCCGATTTTATTTGATGTTTGTGCCCGAGCAGCAGCTACCTATGCTGAAGTTCAAAGCAGGAAAGTAAAGGAAAAGGAAGAAAAAAGAAAAAGAAAAAGGCGGGGGAGGAGCTTAGTATATCCGCCTTTTTCCTTTCTTCCCCAAGACGATAGTAAACTCTGCCATATGGTTGCTGAAAGTACGGTATAGTAGCTTTATTTACTCACATTGTTTTATAATTCAAGAGTCCGAAGGGTTACCTAAGGAATAGTGGGGATGCTGAGTTCAAAATAACTCGGATCTATTTCTGAGGGCTAGCGCTGATAGATGCTATTCCTGAGCACACCCAAAGCGTGTCCCTGGAAACCATCGTAGTTCCTATCGCCCCGTTGAACTGGAAACTCCATCCACGCACATGAATGGGAGTAGAGCGTAGGAAATGCATTGTGAACAGCTGGAACAGATGTTCATCAAAAGTTGATGCGAATTCGGGACAGTCCTCACTGAACTTTCCGGCAGCGCACGCACATGCGTAGCATTGTAAGATCAACATAGAACGGGCCTACTAACATTCCACAGTATCAGTACGTACCCTTGCGCTTACTCAACTTCGACTTTTCGGAAGCTTTTAAGTCATGTTGACTGTTGTCTGTATGCTCGATACTAGAGAGATTTTGCTTCTGGACTTTGATGCTTATGGACTCACCCATTACGTATTGTGACATGAAAGACACAGGTCAAGTAATGCAGCATTTAGAGATCCTCCCGGTGTCATATTTGTATATATTATGTCTCAAGTATGGCCCTCCAAAAGCAAGTTAGTCCTGAGATGTGGCTTGCATACAGGGGTTCCTTATAATCCATGTAGGTTTGTACAGCTGCCATGGTGCGCATTAGCAAACCAGAAAGGTACAATAAGATATTCGCATTTGGTGTTTTAAGGCGGCACCGTGCAATGGTGTTTTGAAATTTGCGAACACAGCCTTCAAGCCTCATGGTCTTCTAGAACCTCGAGTAAAACGGCTAGGAATCAATGAGAGAAAGCTCGACATAGAGATATATCAGTGCTATAGATATCCATACCCCCACATTTTGGAACATCTTTCAAAGCTTAGACACCAAATAGCTTCCTGCATATACTAGCTTTCCAATGATTGGCCAATGAGAGGAGACGCCATGGCGGTCAATCGTAGTTAGGCGGTGGATATAGCCGCTGTCGGTAGGAAGAAACAACACCATGTCAGCTAATGTCTGAACCAGTTCCATGCTTAGATTATTTCACCACTACCAAGTGCGAATAATGAGTCTAGGAAACGGCTATATGTAGTAGATTATGTGCCCAGTGGTTTTTAGCATAATACGTTCGTATTAGCTCTAGTAAGTCGAACACGTCGATAAGCTTAAGAATCTATAAGAATCCTGATAACAAGAACTGATTTTTTTGTAACAACGCATACAGACATACTATGACAAAGGGTTAAGCGACTAGCTTTCTTGCCTATTTATATGGCCCCTGCTGACCATCCAACTCGGACTAAACACCCATCCGGTCCATTCAAACTGAACTCGAACATTCCCCATTCCTTTATCTCGGGCTTCTTCACTGGCTCAATGATTTCATCGGCGAACTCCACAGCCAGTGCTTTTATATCTTCAGAATAGACGTAAATTCCGAAGGGATTCTTGAATGGCTCTAACCACCCTTCTTCGTCTGGTCCAAGCTCCCTCAAATGAATATCGGAACCGTTAGGGTGAGAGAGCATGAGATATCGGTCCCACTTGTGCACTTCATCCTGGGACGGAGCGGTGAAACCAAGCCGGACGAAGAACTGAATCGCGGAGGCTAGGTCGGTGCATGGGAGAATGGTCGTGATGCGTGAGCGTTTGGACATTTTTTACCTCCCTCTTCAGAACTGATTAAGGTGATCGCAGACACTTGAGCAGTCAGATCAAATATCTAAGTACTGAACTATCATACTCACGGTCTTTAGAAACTTGGGAAGAGCAAAATGGGATAGCTAGTGGACGATCTCGTAATTCGAAAAAGGGTGAAGTTCAGTGATAGTTAAAGCGGGGTAAGGTATATGCGACGTATACCCGGCCTATTAAAATGATGTCATAACCACTAAATGCATTAGTGTTCCACCAGCTATCTAAGGTTGGGAACTTAGGGAGCACTCCCCAAGGGTAGTCTATGAGGGACCTAGGGACCTAGGTTCCCTAACCTTGGCACTCTTAGAACTAGAAGGGACACTAAGAGTTTCGACTATTAGACTAACGTACTTCACAGTCTAGGTTAGGCGATCTAGGCTCGGGCAGCATATTTTCACAAGAAACATCTTACATGGCTGATGGAATCGCGTCGGGTGAGTGACATATTGTAGATACGTCTCGGGAGAAAATGGGCTTCCCTCAAGACTTCCAGTGTCGATACTGTTAATGCGATTCGTATGGATCAAGTGGCAATCAAGATTTTTATTGTATCTAGGCGTCAAGTCAGCTCAGCAGATGACATGTCTCGTATGATACACGCATCGCCGCCAGATCAGGCCTGAATGCATGCGACATACGTATTCGAATTGCTGTCCTCTATTTCTTTGCGGCGCGGTCGCCTAAAAAAGTGGCTGCTGTTTCCGAATATTAGGCTTTCAAGAGTTTACAATGTCAAGCCTACTATAGTCTATCACTTGATTCAATACTTTGTAACAGGTGTACAACAGATGCTCAGCAAGTATTTTTTCTTCTTCCATATTTCATCTATATAGGACTGATCACTTGATAATTCCCACAAGTAACTTGTAGCGTTACATTTGGTGGCCCTTGAGTCATTGTGGTCAACATGGGCTGGACCATCGGGGCGGCTGACTTCTACTCATCCACGGACGACCATGAGCAGCACCGCGTGCAGTCACCCACCCAAGAAGGTTAGTTAGCATACGAAATGACAATTTCGATTCGTGAAACGAACCTGGTTTGGATAAGTCACGTAGTGTTTGGCAGCGTTGTGGCCGAGTCGGTGCATTTTCAACGCCTGCGCTTGTCGTGCTCAGGTGACCGCTGTACGAACACTGGTGCCTTTCCCCAGACAGTTGAGACATTGCCCATGCGCACTATACTTCGCGGTCGAAATTTTTTGATTCTTGGTTGGACGAGCTTGGAGAAACCCATTTGAGCTTTGCGCACAGATTTTGGTAGATTGTGACAAGCCAACCGCTGAGCATGGTTGGCGCTCCAAACGGTTTTTATCTCCGGGACGTGAGCTTATCGCTACCTAACGTTACAGGGCTTCTGCTAGCAACGTGAGCATCCTAAGGTCAACGGGCGAACAAAATGAACGACGAAACATCACGATGGCCGGATGGAGCAAGACTAGTTGGGCTAAATTAACATGAAATTAAATCAATTTCTCATCTTACCGCGAATTAGCCGAAGTCCTGCATGCCAGTTCTTTCCGCATGGAACACACAGTATTGGGTACGTGCTTGGCCGAAGCTGAATAGCGACGACTCATCAAGATTCACTTTGGCACGCGATCATCATCTACGGCCAGCCGGCACCTGCGGTTCTGACACATGGAAACAGCTTCGAGGCCGCCGAGCCTTCGTTGCTAAGTGTAGTACGCATCCGTATTGCCAACAGAAAGCTGATTGGAAAACACATGGCAATACCTCAAAATTTACCAGTGCTCACCTTCAGCGATTCCGGCGACTTTGGCGACTTTGGCGACTCTCGCATCACTGGAAGCTATGCCCGGACGCTGCAATAATAATGTAGCGCTGATTGTCGATGACAGAATATGCATATAATACGCGATATTGCTGCCATTGCTGTCGAACTGCAATCATGATGTCTGCAATGAGCCCATAAGTGACCGTATGATCTCCAGTTCAAGAAAGACGCGGATACGGTACATCGACTTGGCATCCACCGACGGTGCCAAGACATCGCGAGGATGCAAATAACGAATATCACTATGAACGCGCGAGGAGTCCATAGCAAGCGCCCGTTACCGTGAAATCACCAAATTTCTCGAAAGCTCCATGCCAATGTTTAGACGGCGATTACGAATACTCCGTAGACGTGTGGCATCTTTCTGGTTAGTGTTTTCTACATATTCTAGGATCACGGCCCCTGCCATGGGCCCTTCCAGCCTAACTACCTTAGCACTAAAACTAGGTTAGACCAGTACCCAACAGGTCATGTGTAAGGCGTATTGCCGGTCGCGACAATCTCAACAATATGGATCCGTAGCAGGATACAAATTGCCTCAAGTTGAGAGCTATTTTTAGGTTGGTCAAGTCAGCCTCGAATGGTATTCACGATATTTGCGTGCACGTTTACCAGGTATCAGTCAGCCATACACTATCTGGCCTTGAACTGCGCGCCCTTCCGACTGCACGATCAGCGCGCCCTAGGCATCCCGTATAGCATTGTCATATCGAACAACGTTCTGGTGACCACGCGTTTCCAATTATATAACCACTATCGATTCAGTGATTAATGCTAGGCTTCAAAAGTATTTTATAATACAGTACCTGAGCAAAGCAGACGACAGGATAGGCCGCATTCACTACAGCGTCTAAACCAATCAGCCACCGCAATTCCGCTTGAATCTAATTCCATAGCCCGTCAGCATGGCTTCCACGAGACTCAATTTCCGACCCGCAACAGAAGAGGACGCAATTCCACTGGAGCATCTGATCAATACTGCTTTTCGCGACGACAAGACCACCCAAGTATTCTTATCAACTGACCACGTCGGCATCGATGTCACCAATGTTGATGGCATAAAGGCCAAAATCTCGCAACCAAACTGTGCGGTCTTCGTCGGCGTTGATCCAGAGGGCACCATCGTGGCCCATGGTAGCGTCCGCAAGCTTGATGAGACCCGTGCTTGGTTTGGTTTGCTGGCAGTCGATGTGCTTTACCAGAAGCGCGGCCTAGGGAGCCAGGTGCTCGCTTATGCTGAGTACTACGCCCGAAAAGAGTGGACTTCGACGAGGATGGAGTTTGATGCCGTAAACACGCGCTCGGAACTTATTGCGTGGTACAAGCACAGAGGGTACAAGGAAACGGGAGAAACGACGCCCTTTCCTTATGAGTACCATGGTGATTGGAGGGGAGTCTTGAGAGATGACCTACATTTCGTCGTCTTTGGGAAGAATTTGGGTGAGGACGACCTCGCTATGAGACCTGCAACCTAGAAGCTATCAACGCAGATAGGGATAGGCACATATGTGTGGTAAACCTAGATCAAGGTGGAAAGCCTTTGAGCAAATATGATAGAGGGCGAATCTGTGGAATAACAATAGACTTACGATACTCAAACGCATACATTCCACCCACTGACTGTTACTCTTTTGGCGCCATGCGGCGCGAACCTGAGCGATAGAACGCTAAGAATAGTCAGGACGGAGATTGGGAATGCCATCACTTAGAATAGTTAAGAGTGTTGACCTTGGACTAAAAGTAATGCATTAGCAATCCGAATGGCCAATTGATTTATTTTTTAAATGCAAACATTCTCTCTTCACTGCTGGATCTACATGGCACAATTTTATCTTCATAAGCAAATCTAGCCAACATCATTTCTAGCTCAACCAGATAGTGTAGCCAAGATGGTAGCCACAGCTTTGGATCACACGCGCAATTTAGTAAACAACTCACAATCAACTAATCGAGGCACAGACTCTAATCACAACTAGCAGTCTCTGTACAGTATCTCAGCTGCGTGTGTGCTCGGCGTTGTTCCTCACGGCTCTGACATTAGCCTGGGCAAGTTTGACGACAAGAGCCCTCGCACATAAATGCAAGAGGCGGACAATGGCCAGAGGATCGACAATGGTTCACCTCCCGGTTCATTATCACTCTCCCTTTCTCCACGTCATTCACTGCGCTTGACATCACCACTACACATCGCGGTCTAAACTGGCTAACAAATGACAGCCACCGAAGCAGCCATCATTCGCGCTGAAGGAAGTCAGCAGAAAAGGGACCGGGAACCTTGAACTCTTCGCTTCTGCCGTTTTGGTTAGCAATATTACAGATCTGGGGAATCGGACTTTGAATACGCTCAGTAAAGATTACCTCGCCAGTCGGTTTACATAGCCTAGAGCACTACGGATGCCCGTTGTAAGCTTACAGTTCTCCCATTTCCTATTCCGCAAGTAGACCAATCCGGGAACAATGGATGGGATATTAGTGCGATGACGTACTGATTCATGCGAAAGCTACTGCTAGACCCGCTCCATTCCTTACAGGAATAGGGCTCATCTGGACTATGTTCATCAAGAGCGGTAACATCTAATTCAACAAGCAATATACTGCCCCTTAGGTGTCATCTGATCGAAATCGAACCTGCGTTTCTGAATGTAGGGCGACCAGTTTTGACTGGTTAGATCTCCGGAACCATAAATATCTTGTCAGCGAGCATGAGAAGACGGTCACAGGTTGATGGCTTTGGAAGCTATTAGACACACATATATGCTAACACAACTATACAAGCTCGTCTGCGCTTTCCCATTCGGTCTCAATTACTGTAGCTTCGATGCATGCGAAACTTTCCAAATCTTGCCAAGGTCACACTCAACTTTCTATCAAAGCCGTGCCTTAGTCCCCGATTTGGACGCTTGTATGCTTTCGAGTGCCTCCCGTGCTTGTTCGTTACGTCTTCGCCACATTCTTTTCCGTAGTTCATGACCGTCTAGAAATGCACGTACCCACTCTCGTCGAAATTTGGGCAGCTTTCTCCCCTTTTCTTGCATCTTATCATCCCCAGCCATGGTTCTAAGTCGTTCAAAGTAGTCTTCAAAGTCTGGAAAGACCAACGTGAACTTGACCCCATCTCCACGCGCCTTGATCCTGTCGGTTTCCCATTGTTTCATGTCGACAAGCGATGGGAGTGTGGCCCTTTTTGCTAATACCCGAGCCACGAACACAGCTTGCCATTCAAAGACCTTGAATGTTAAACCAGCGGCAACGGCGCCAACGAAAAGGAGCGTCGGGTCTTCTTGCCATACAATGTGTTGATACAACCCAGGCACACGATTATTTCGCACAGGGACCTGAGGAAGGAAAGGAAGCGTCCAGCTGTATCCTGTTCCGAAAATGATAAAATCCACGTCGGCAATAGCTCTTCCATCAATGAGGTGCACTGTCCTTTTCTCGACTCGAGCAATTGAAGGATGCCTCTCGATTGATGGATGGTTGAATGCTTCGTCCCCAAAATAACCATTCGCCGAATGACCAATCGTGATGGCATGTACGGGTGTCCTGGCTGTATTGGTCAAGTCAAACGCAATATCTGCAGCTGAGACCGAAGCTCCAACCACGACCACCCGCTATAATAAAAATATTAGAGAGTGATATAACAGATGTGAGATTCGAAATACCTTCCCCGCAAATTGATCTCTTCCTCGAAATTGCTTGCTATGAAGCACACTTCCGGGTCTGTTCTTCTGAAATTGTTCCATGCCAGGAATCTCTGGTATGTAAGGCACCCAATAGTGACCGCTTGCTACTACAACAGCGTCGAACCATTCGATCCACCAATAATCACTGTCTTTTCCAGACTTTCTGATTGTCAACTTCCACTCGGCTCCTAACTTCTCTGCTCGTTCAACCGTTGTGTTGTAGGAGATCAGATCGTTGTAGCCTCGTCTGTCGACCAGACCTGTAATATACCGTCGGACTACGTCCCATCGACGGAATGGGGTATTAGACCCGTATGTTGATACAGACAACTCACTTTTATCTTTTGGAAATAGCTCCTGAGAAAACTCCATGGGGAGGAAATCAATGTTCGTCTCCAGGTACGGATATACAGATGAATCGTCAAAACGCTGCACACCCGACTTGGAAGTTTGCGCCGGTATACGCTTGGGGATGCATAGTGGGACATCAGCCGTCCTGTCTGACAAGGCCTTGAAGTCTGAAAGCACGGGTGGCTGCGTCGTTTCCCCAATCCTAGGGATGTGAGCAGCTGATCTTCAAAGCAAGCGAAGGGCAAATACCAACAACCGCCTGGACCTTCGCGCCTCTCAAAGACACGAATGATGTCGAATGTCTTCTCTTGGGCTAGGGCATCAATCGTTATCGCCCCAGCCGGCCCGGCTCCTACCACAGCGACCCGTTTGATTTGTGCGTCAGGCATCTTCTCGGATTTAGGTTTTGTCAACTTTTTTGTCAACCGAAGCTACTTTCCGGTAAGGCGAACTCAACAAAGATGACATAAGCTTTAGAGAAGACCGCACTAATGTAATGTTGGACACGCAAGTCTTCTAGACACAGACGGGGGTAGTGCTATCTCTTGAAGCAGATATTTATCCGCGTGTGTGAGATTTGTGGTTTTCACGTCATGCGTAGCCTGTAGGCTTCATACTTTTGTTACCGTAGAGTTTTTATGAAGTGATCACCGGTTCAAACACCGAGTCGACTATCAATTATGGCCGTCCCTTACCTCGCATGTCGGCGGTGGAGCACGAATGCTTGTGAAATATCGCGTGCTCGGGAGAAAGTGGGGCTTGTTGTGCACCAATTCCACTGCGGTGAAGTTATTGCAACGGCAAGAACTCTTATCCTAGCATGCCAAGTTGACTAGGTGCTCGAGGAATGGCGAGACTCAAATCCGGGATTTGATCGTGGATCGTTCGGAGGTTGGTCGACATGACATGGGAATGTAGAACAACTGAAATTGCATGTCAGTCTAGTTTCTCGGCTATAGCTAATAGTCCTTGCAGCTTCATAACAGAAGCTGAAGGGTTCAACTGATTTACATGTTCATTTCTCATTTCGAAAACACTTCTTCTCGTCCAAGATGATAGAAGAAAAGAACGGATGCGATGTCGAACAGCCAGCAATGGATAACTCTGCATCACCTACTACGGAATGGTCTGAGAATGAGAAGCAAGTTGTAAGATGGAAGTATGCAATCGCTGCAATGCCTACAAACCCAGCTCCCATAATTAGTATGCTGACACTTGGAACCTTTCCAGAATTGACACCACGGTTTTACCTTTACTCTTCCTCGGTCTCCTCGTTTTCCAATTGGACCGCATGAACCTCGCAAGTGCGCTGACTGGTGGCTTTGCCACGGACATTGGTATTGTTCAGAGCACGGTCAATTTGGGCAATCAATTGATGTTCATGGGCATCGTGCTCTTGGAGATCCCTTGTAACATGGCACTTCAACATGTATGATTTCCTGCCTGCGATTCTTACTCAATTTCATCGTTGGAGATTAACGACGGCACCAGCTCGGACCGAGAAAATGGATGTCTGCACAAGTGTTCCTCTTCGGTCTGATTGCAACTCTGCAAGTCTTTATTAAGAACAAAACTGGTTTTCTCGTCTCACGCTTAGCACTCGGCTTTACAGAAGCAGGCTACATCCCGGGCGCAATCTACACACTGTCCACCTGGTATACGAGAGGAGAACTTGCCAAAAGAGTTGCAATATTCTTCTTTGGTATGTTTGGTGGCAACGCCATCAGCCCTGTGCTTGCATCTGGAATATTAAAACTTGACCATGCTCAGGGTCTCCGCGGTTGGCAATGGTTATTTCTCAGTAAGTCACGCAACTGGTTGGTGCAGGCTATAGTCTCACTGATCTCCCCGGTGCAGTTGAAGGTCTCTTTACTATATTAGTCTCGTTCCTTCTGGCTATGTTACTGCCTGGGTCACCCGAAAACCCTCGACCGCTTCTAACTCCCGGTGTCATACGTTTCTCAAAATCTCACAGCGAGATCTTGAAATTCCGACTCGAGGACGGCGGTGATGAGAAGCGCAATGGAGCTCAAGGTTTGCGCATACCACTCAAAATAGTCTGGAAGACGATCTCGGAATACCGCCGCTGGCCACATTTTGTGTCAACTTTTGCTGTTTTCTCCTGCTGGAGTCCTCTCACAACATATATGCCATCGATCATGGTGTACGTAATTATTTCCCTCCTTAACATTGTATATTCCAATCCTCAGGTGCTTATATACCAATATCTTCCCGACCGTCATTCATCCATCTTATATCTGACATTTTCCAGATCTCTTGGTTTTGATCCGATCCCAGCGAATGCTCTCGCTGCCGTTGGCGCTTTTATGGCGCTTGGAGTCGTCCTCATGTTCGCATACATCAGCGATAGGACCAACCGTCGTGGTGCCACAGTCATTCTCGCACAAGTCAGTTATCTGGTTACACTCATCGTCGCACGCCAAGTCGAAGCAAAGGTCGGAAGATGGTCTCGCTGGGGAGTATGGACGGCGGTCAATGCATTTGCGGTTGGCTTTCATCCCATTCATAACTCTTGGATGCAGTTGAACTGCGAAGACCCTAAGGAAAGAAGCATAAGCATTGCGTGAGTCTAGCTGAATTATTAAAAGGAAACCTTCTCAACTAGCTAACCAGCGATACTAATATTTCATCTTAGCATGTGGGTCATGTCCGCTATTGGTGGGTTGATGGTTGGCACACAGTACTATCAGGGAAATGATTCTCCTCTGTGAGTTCACCATTTTTGGCAGAAAACCGTGTTAGATGCCTCACTGACTTTGCATGAAGATATCTCACCGGCCTTAGAACTCAGATAGTTATGGTGTCCGTTGGGATTGTTTTCGCTGCTATGCAGATCGTCGTCTACGTCATTCATAACAGGCGAGTCATAGAAGGCAAGCAGGTTTCAACGAATGGGCTGAAGCATGTGATATTTACACCATAGAGAGGCGCATATACATATGACACTGACCATTAGTCCTATGTGTAGAGAGTATGGTTCGACTGGAGCGCATGGGCGTAGTATAACTCGTTCAATCGAAATGTAGTTGCAATCCATGACATCAAAGGAGGCGCATACCATGTTAGATGCCGGGTTCAAAAGCATGAAACCAGCAGTGTACTGTCGTCCAGTGCACGTCCACGCAACCGTAATATACAGTACAGCCTATGATGGCTTCTGGTCATCCTCGTTGCAGTGTACTTGAATTTAGCCTGCTAACTTGTGCGAGCCTGCATCTATAGCAAGATTGGCTACCTCGCAGAGATAGGATTCACGTAGCCAACAAATTCAGACACTTGGCGCCTTGCGTAAAAGGTTTAGGCTGGACTATTCTAGACTAACCGCGTTGTTGAGCTTTTTGATATCCTCGGAGCGTTGAATGACTATATGCACCCAGAGGTTGCTTGATACCGTGACTCAAGTTGTAACCTTTTTAGCATGATGATCCGCGCTGACGCCGAGGAGCACCTTTAGCGAACCGCTCCCTTCGTCTTAAGAGTATTAGTTTCAATTTTTTACGCTTTGATGGTAATCAAGTCGTCTACCATAGATATGTGTTGCTAGTAATTGTGCATGATGGGGACAACAAGCAATCGAGTAAAATTCAACCATCAGGGTTCAAAATTTGCCCGGATAGATGTACTGCACTAACCTATGGCGGTTGAGTGACTTGGGTTCGGGGCTAGTTAGTCTATACCGCGAGGACGTACCCAATAGTTGGAGCCCAGCATCTTGTGCTGTGTTGCAACCCGACACATGCAACGCACAATTACTTCAGCCAGATGAATCAATTTGGTTTGGCTTGAATTGATTCCGTGATTCCATATGCAGACTGTGATAGCGCATTCAAGTCCTGCATCAATCGTCCGTTTTCTCAAATTCTTCTTGCGGCCTGCTCGAAGGGTGATACTTTCGCCAAAAGCCGATGGCCGACCATGTCACCTTCAGATAGCAGAGTCTGCAGAACAGTACTCAAGAAAAGAAGCGTCAAGGCTGTGTGCCGCGCCCACCCTGAGCATTCAGCCATTTGCATGAACGATTGCACTTCCGGGATAGTATCGGACCACGGTCAAAGTGAAAAGTATCCCAACTTGCCACGTCGCGGGGAGTGCGCTGGACCGAACAGCTTGCGCGGCGAATGTTCCTTGAGATGCAGGCCCCACTGCTGGATTCCAACCAGGAGAAGATGTGACTGAGATCTCATTACTATGCACTCAAAGCTGAGCTACCCCAAACAGCTGGATCCATTACAGCGTCGCACCGAGAATTACACATAATAGTCATTCTTTGGACGGAACATGACGGCCAATTGCGATGTCTGGCGTTGGTAAGGTCATGAACCTAATGCAGCACTGAGCCGATATAGTTTACTGCCGCAGCAATGGCAGGATTCAACAAAATGAACCTTCTTAAATATGTTTTCCAGTTCTCGAGTTAGCTAAGACTAAGGATTTGACATTATCGGATATTGCTGTACTCTTGGAGTACTCGTCCAGGCATATGATATGCAACAATATATGCTTGGTTCGAGACCGCAATGATGTCTCCCATGCTCATGCTGGGAAAGGTTAACCGCAACTCACGGCCTGGTATGCAGCGTCACTGTCAAGAGTGCAATGGAAGCTCTATAAAGGTATGATTGAATGACTTCAAAGGTCATTGTTTCCGATTTTTTTCTTTACACAAAGAGAACAAACACCCAAAACACTTCTCGTATTCCGCACAAGTAGGTACAGTTGCTATCTCTAAATATTGCTCTACATTACTGCTCCACATTGCATCCCTCTCGGTCTCGGGGGCCGGGATACCGGCAATAACAATGTCTGCCTTGATGATCTCCTTAAATTAGGCCCCTCTGACCCCTGTGAAGATGCATTAGTTCCGGTTCCACCCACCAAGATTAAGCTTTTCGATTCGCCCTATCGTAACAGCTTGTAATCGCATATCTTTGACGTACTTTGTTATATGAGCTAACCTAGCACCGTAGACATCCAACATTTGCCCTTGTTTACCTTCCTTCCTCGGTGCATTCACGAGTTACAGCTTTGCATCATGCTGTCATTCAAGTTGCAGGTCTTGTTGATAGCTCTGCCATTTAGCACTGCTGACATGGCCTCTCAGAACGCTTCTTCACCGGGCTGTGCCAAAGCTGACGAGGCATTTACGAGCGGAGTCAGTACTCGAGATGTTTCGGGGCGCTCGTATTTGCTCTCAATCCCGACGACCTATTCCTCACAAACCTCGTCTCCGCTCATTCTGTCATTCCATGGTGGCGGCCAATCAGCTGAGACACAGCTTGAATGCGACCAGTTTGCCAACCCCAAGGTCAACGATCGATACATCGTTGTCTATCCTGAGGCAGTCGGTGTGAGTTTGTGACGTCGGAGCGGATGTTATTTTCGAGTCTAATTGCTAATGGGCTTCTTGGCAGTCGCAATGGCAGGTCAGTCCCGATAGCGATTCTGATGATGTCGATTACATATCGAACATCCTAGAAGACGTCGAGTCGTTTTTCTGCATCGATCTGTCTCGCATATATGCTACAGGGATGTCTCAAGGCGGTGGCATGGTAGGCTTCTTGGCCTGCAACCAGACTCTATCTACGAGAATTGCTGCATTTGCGCCGGTCTCGGGAGCCTTCTATGTGAAAGGAGCAAACAAATGTGATCCGGCGTCTGTGGCAATACCTTGCTCCCCTGAACGAGCCGATGTTCCCATATTGGAGTTCCACGGGGGAGGTGATCAGGTAATTCCTTATTATGGCGATGACAGTAAAAGACATGCTTGCTTGCCTGCTATTCCGCACTGGGTGGAGACTTGGGCGGAGCAAAACAACTTGGGCAGCTCTAACATTTCTACATCAATAACAACCTCAGCGACATTGTATCAATTTGGCAGTGGGTCAAAGCTCGGCCTTGTCTCTCATGTCTACGATGGATCCAGCACTGGACATGTCTGGCCAACCACGAAGAGCTTCGCCACGGATATCGGTGGTAGCTCCACGGCATCTTTCAATGCAACCCCAATGATCCTAGACTTTTTCAGCAAGTACAATCTGTATAGTTTCAACAGTACCGAGGTCATTCCCACTTCAACCAGCGGCAACGGCACTGGCGGCAGCAACGATAATGGCACTAGTGGCAGCTCCAGCTCGTTTGCTACGTGCCGTCATGGCGCAACTTTATGGTGGCTGCTGGGTTTCTATATAGCCCAAAAACTCTTTTGATTGGTCAATTGACCCGAACTTTTTGTCTTACTCAATATTCTTACCGTTCCAGCAAAACTTCGCCGGTCGACTTTTGGGATATACCAGCTGTCCGGTATAGCTATCGGTATCAACGCGGAAGTGAGTGAATCTTCCTCGCATGGGTTCTCTCTTTTTGCCGAGGTAAATATTGAGATGAACGAGAGCTTGAGACCCTAATTTTAGGGATACCCAAGTCGTGTTGTGCCCGAAGCTATAGTTATGCGTTCAGATTAGACGCCCACGATAGAGCTGCATTTTTATACCAACTGCCACGCTTTGACTCACATGCAGAGTTATATGTTTTGATATAACTACGTCATCAGATTGCACTACCCAGCCTTTGACGTGACCAAAACCCCCGGATGATCTTGAGAGTTGAAAGACATGTAACTGTACGCGCAACGCTACCGGTAGCACTTGACAGCGAGTAAACAGGACCAGGTGATATTCACGCTTAAAAAGGTTTAAGGCATACATGAGTTATAGCCATCGAAAATTCATTTAAATTTCATAAAGCCTGACAGGTCGTGCCAATCAACAATCTTGTGTTTTGACTCCTTATCCTGACTTCATATGTCGTACGGAGCACAAGATCAAAAGTCGTGCCTATGTTGTTCATTGGTATCTGAAGACTGAAAATCGAGTAATCCCCCACAACCTGCGTAGTCTTCTGGAGCGATGTTGTCTCAACGTTCAAGGCATCCAATATAATGCCCTGTCTCCGTGTTGATTGTACAAGATCCAAGGCAACCGTTTCGTTTGCTTCTTCCGTTCTGACAGCTGCAGAGATAGTTAAAGTCGAGGATCCGTCAACAGCTGATATGTCCACACATGACTGTGGCTGCTGGTACAGAATATCATCTCGCGCAGGGAATCCCCGACCCCCATTTGCGTACGTCGTTGACAGCCCTGTAGATAGGGTTATCAAGTGAACATTGAATGCACTGATCCCATATTTTGGGTCAAGGACTGTACTGAATTCAAACCACGCAAACAGTTCGCCGAAAAGCCCAGATGATAACCCTCCTTGGTATCTTCCTTGAGATGTCGTAATCACATTTGATGAGTAGACGCCATATCTGTCGGTGTAAGTGAGGTTCATACCGATGTCGTTGTAGTCGCGGCCGGTGCTTGATGTAACCCTCAGGCGAACCCTTCCTTGGAAGTCGATCGTTCCGTTGCTATTTAGAGCCATAAGGGTAATGTATGGTTTGATATCGATTGGGTCGAGCGGGTCGCTGAGTGTCACTGTCGCTGGTACAGTGTTGATCATTCTCTCTAGAATGTTCTCACACTTTGTCTGGAAGACTGTTTCGTCCACCAGCACATTCATGGTTTGGTTTGCATCGGCCCCAAACACGCGCTTGTCAGAGTTCATGGTTTCATTCGTCCCCACAACCAACGGATTCTCAGTAGAGTCGTCTAGATATTGAGTGACCACCGCGTTGTCAAACTTTGCGAAAGACGTCCCGATGCTGCCCTCGAAGTGAGAAACTTGTCCAATAGTACCGTTTCCGGTAACTTCAGGAAAATCTTCCCCGTGAATTCCTCCCAAGGTATGCCCACATGCCACCATCGTGATCATGTCACTAATGTTGAACCCGGCTGTCGCAAATCTATTAATATGCGTAGTAAGATCTTGCTGTGGTTCAGGGACGCCGACGGGTCCAGCTTCAGCTGCATCAATCCTGCCAGCTCGGAACGGTATCGCAAGCCCTCCGCACGACCCAGTGGCTATCACAACTGACATTGCCAGGAGATCTGCAGCACCGGATCGACTAGTGTAGAAGTTGGACAAAAAGCCGAAAGTGTTGTTAAAGGCCGATCCTGGGTTCTCTTCCCTATCCAGCTCAAACAAGATCGATGCATCAAGTCCGCCAGTTCCAGCCGCCGCATCGTGGGTAGACATGTCGTGATACGCTGTGCGTATCCATTCTGCTGCATTTTGGCGTCCCTCAATATTTGTTCCAAAGGAACATGGACTCACCCCTGCATCGGTTAGCGGCGCTGGCAGCACCAGACAGGTCGGAACTCACCATCAATGAAACCAAAGTGGATGTAGCCTGACTGCAAATACAGGATGTCCTCGAGGAAATCATGTTCTGAGGGCCATATGTATGCGCCATGGGACAGTCCAGCTTGAAGGAGCCCATACAGTATTAGCCAGTGTGCGTGCATCTTGTCGATAGTCTTTCAAAGATCAGGATATTTGTTTGATATGCACAAAAAGTTAACACTGAAAGGAACAGGGACGAATATGGCTAAATACATATGATTTGGTTATAGTTTCCTACAGACCTTAGTCAATCTCAACAATACGATGTTTGAAGCGTGCTCGGTGGATCATTGCCACCTCGTATTAAGACACGAATTATGCTCCATTTCCCACCTTCCGCACTTGCGTTGGCGGAAGAATTCTAGAAGGTCGCAGTGCCGGTGGGGGCGCTTGCGAGCTTGGACGCAACACTTCTGCATTTCGAAATTGCTACGTCTGGAACCCTGACAAGGATGTTTTTGTTTAGCGCAGGACTGTTCGCCTAGATCGTACCGAACATGTCGTCAAGTTGCACATATTCTTCCAAAAAGTCATCGAGCGACTTATTTGGAGATGTTGTTCGAGAGTGTACACGGCTGTCACCTTTTCCCCTAGAGTTGTGCTCCGTGGCCATCCTTTAATCCCTTGACCAGCTCACCTTAGCCGCCTCAGCTGGGGGGGGGGGGGGGGGGGTTGACACCCGATGGTTCTGTTTTCACAGCGGGAGGAGCAGGGTATAAAGTTTGGCTACAGCGTGCGTCGTCGCTTAGCATGCACACGTAGGAAAATATATTTGGGCTCGAGTGTTGGTCCATGCAGTATCCGAATATCTCTTATTGTTTCATGGCGCCGTAGTACAAGTGAGATCCTGAAAAAGGACCAGTCGGGGCGTCCAAGAACAGACAAGCAGTGTCACATCTCAAAGGCCGGGATGTACAAATCTCCAGCACTTGTCTGCAATCTCGTAATAGGGAAGAACTATAACTTTTTACCTGCATCCACTTAACTACGCAGCTTTTCCGTGGAACTCGGTTCGATTTACGGGTCTGCCATCCTTGAGTCCTCTGAACTGTTTGATATACATGTGCAGCCACAGAAGTTGCATCACCATAAGGATCGGGAAATATATCACCATGTTTTAACTTATAGCTTTCGCCGTACCATTCGAGTCGTGTGGTTCGCACTGAGTTTCATCAAGGCGTAAAAATGACACTGAGCTCAGCAAGCCACGTATCAATGTTAATAAGGTGCCCAGTCCTCCGAGGCGTGGCTTTCAACACTGGCAAGACAGAGTTGATAGAACCTCAGTAATTACTCAGAGTTGCGTAATTCCATGGCAGCACTTTGTACTGAAACCATGGCTCACATCCTATCTCTAGCAAGCGTATGGAAATCTCGGTAGCCTTCCATTCGAGGTAGTTATGCAGCCTTCCGCAATGTTAGCATATATATCAGACTCCTAGGAGAACGTAGTCGTACCGTTGTACCCACTAAATCAAAAGTTGAGCTTCCTTCCTCCATGACTGCCATCTGAGTCGACCATTCCAGTCACATGAACGATAGAGTGGTCTTTAGATAACTGTGCTGTCATTGCTTGTTGGAATAATCTATTGTCTTGCCCGATTTTGGCGTTTCTGATATCTTACCGTGGTACTAAAGCGCATGCCAAACCTGACACAGGCAGGCTTCGACCTTAAGATAATGACGGATGTGCTCACGGGTTCGGGGCGAAATTCGGGGCGAAATAACCATTCCCGTTGAACAGATCTAGGAGTGCTACCCAGGAGCACGCTTTGACCGTCTGTAGATAGTAAGAATCTTTTTCGCCTGTTAATCTGCTCTACCCTGAACCGCATAACAGAAAAAGTGTACTCACGAGAACTGCTCAAGTAGCTGCACAGCAAAGAGGCCGACAAATCTACTGGTATCTGGGTCGACTTGATTTGAAGTATCAAGCCGCCAAAGTTTGGAAACTTGAGGCAGTCAAGAATTACATCGGTAGCTTTACACAAGGCTATGATGGCGAATTATTCTTGCAAGAGACGACTATTTTATTAGGTACCCTTCGAAAGAAAATTTCATGTAGGCTTCAAAAGTGCTCGTTCTAGGAATCAGGGCACCAAAGCGGTACCTGTAAGAGAATAAGATACTGCGTAAAGGGTCGATGTCTACCCTTGGTAATGACTATGATGCTTGCCTAGTATCACCACATTAGGTAGATACCTGAGGTGCACGGTCCACCCTTAATAGATAGCCTTCAGGGATCCCTCAGAATAGCTGAGAAACCACGCCACTCAACAACACGCTACGGAGGATCAATATACACCCATTGATCACTATCACGACCCTACGGAGTCGTGACGTCCATCATACTATTGTTGACGTTTGCGGCTTTTGTGAATACTGATCTACGCAGATTGTTGCCCATAGGGCCTTCAGGATTGCTGTGAAGAGACCAAGAGGACCGGCCAGGCCCAGAGAATTATGAACAAGTTTAGTGCGAGCCCGGGAGTCGTCAATTTTTAATCGATTTAGTCGAACACCAACGTTTGTTCAGTATCCTTACCGATGCCATATTTTACACTGTAATTACACTGGTTTGTATCTCCGGAAACATGCATCAAGATACGCAGAAGCTCATAAATCCTTCATTTTGCCGATAGTTTGGAAATTTTAATTCATTCCGGATGGGGTAGAATCACGCGTCTTTCTTTCTCTCACTGTTTCTGCCTTGAGTTGAAGAAAGCTGGAGATGGAAGCCCTTGTGTAGCCTGACTCTCCAGATAATAATAACTTGAAAAGACTAGACTCTGATGACCATTCTGTTGAGTGACTTGCAAGACTCTTATGGTGCGATACGCTCGACTTCAAATGCCTTCAAGGAGTTTGGAGACCGTTTATACTCAGCTAGAGGAAACACTGGAGTAAGTGTAGAGCTTACCGTCTTCTTCGAGGCTTGAATCACACTTTTGGTCCTTATCGATGGAGATTGTTGCCGGGAAACTATTCTTGGCATCATCATCATCAAAGGTTAAGGTTAATGCAGGACCAATGATAACACTGCTGTTTCAGGCAGGGGTGCGTTTTCGCTCCATTCTTTTGGGCAGTTCAGTAAAGTATACTTTCAGGTTGATAGTTAAAGTCAGCTATCGTCATGATCTTGGAAGATAGCGATTGTGGTGAATATATGGCCATCGGAAAAGCTTCTCGAACTAGCGACGCTGCTTATCAAGCCGTGCAAACGTCTCGTCAAGGTGTTACTTCTCCCCCATCATCCACCTCAATCCATGATCAACACCAGACACCATGAGCTTCGCGATTTTCGCCCATGTGTCACTTCTTGAGTTGTTGGACGTCTTGGACGTCTTGGACGGGCTGGATTTTGGCACAATTATGTTGTTACGCCACAACTGCTGTAACCTTGTGTCCAACGTTGCCAGGCTTTTCTTTATAGTTATAATGCCAATGCAGTGCACTATAGTCTCTAGTTAGTCATCTGTGAAATCTTCCAATGTCTAGTCATTGCCCACAATGGCCAAAGGAGTGTTGAATTGAACCCTGAAAATCTTGAACTGGGTTTTGTGTGCTGAGATATTCCTGTCAACATCTTTGAAAGCCAGAACCCCATGAAAGGCTAACTTTACGATACCCACTACTACTTATAGTCGTTGCAGTATAGGAAAAAATCCAAAATTGGCGATTGAGAAACGTGAATGATCTCAAAGAGGAAGATGCGACAGTCACTTGCCAATGAGTTAGCTGGCGGGGCTGAGGATATATCAGTGCCCATGCCTTTATATGCAGCTCGGGCGCTCGGGGCATCGTATTAACGACAGTAGTAAGCATGGACCGCATCACTAACAGCACCATCGCTCAATAGAAAGGAGCATTATTAGTCTGTGCAGAAGCTAATTAGTCGCTGTTATCATCAGTGCTGCTACTGCTGCTTAATACTACTGCGAGTCTGTAATGAATGGTCCCTAGTGACACTCCAACCGCTTCTCAAATACTCCACGGAACAGAGTTGACAGCAGAGGTTGAAGAGATTGAAAAGAGTAGAACACAAACCGAGACGATGCAGACGGACTTTTCGTGTTATCAGGAAGATGGGGCGACTCGCAGATTATGCGCCCTACCTGACCTACCGAGCCTTTAAATAGAGGCCTCCGTTGAGGCCACCGCGATAGGCGCCTCGGAGACTAACCTAGACCTTACGCGGAATGATGTCCGGCAAAGAATGCTTGCCAATCGTAATGTCATCAACGCTCTCCGCCTTTTTTGACCTCTGGAAATTCTTCCCTGATACTTGAACGATCTTTAAATATCCATATGTAATCCGATTGAGTTCTTTATGGGTTGCTAAATCCCGCTCCCCCCTTTCAGACGCGTGGCTGTGAGTGACCCGCCCAAGCAAACCATCATCGTTTAGTAAGAAAGGGGCAATCAGTTTTTACGATGCTATTAAAGCTGTTTCGGTTTATTATATGTATGAAATTTTGACACGGAACCTATCATTGTTCAATTCAATATGATGCTTATTTAAGGGTGCTTCAAGAGTTAAACACAGTAAATAGATGTCCATTGTAGTACCTGTCCACAACACTTCTCATCCTAAACAATATAGCCTACTAATTATCACTATGGTGGTAGTCGTTTTCTTCGTTTTGGCCACCATCTTTCTCATCAGATACTCCTGGACTACTTTCATGGTCATCCTCTGACGGTTCACTGAGGTCATAATCTGATTCAGGTACGTCTGTCCCAACACGACTGTCGCCATTCCACACATATCCAGTATCAAAGTCGGAATTTGCACCACGGCCCTCTACTACTTCTTCCAGAGACTGCAGACCTCGATGATCCTCCAAAGCTTCAGCATGTTTCTGAGCACAATGCATACTCCGGGTTGGCTCTGAGTAATTGGCGAGAAGACGTGTGGACGCTCGATATCTCGGTCAACTATAGCCAGATATCGTTCTATTTAAACACAAAATGTTGTAGCGACAGATTGACACTAGCCAGGGCCGGGTAATTAGGCTGTTTCAATTGCACCTAGGTTTAACCTCCCTTCTGACCAGCGCCGAATCCGTTTGAGCAGTCTGTTTAGTCCTTTTACAGCTAGCTTTAGGCCTGCAATGCATATTCGAGCAACATGTAGACTGTAACAGCATCGATGATCATTGCGTGTTTCAAGCGAACAAAAACTCAAATTTTCGCAAACTCTTAGAATTGATCGATTTGAAAAGACTTAATGACTGAGTTATACATATAATAAGTTGTAACTGTTGTTTTGTAAATCCAGAGGTGCCCCAAGTCGTTGAGGTATCTCTGTAGCATAGTGACTGTTAATTGATCCACATACATTATCGCGGTGCTTGTGGTAACTGGATATAAGAACAGCGCTTCTATGCCTGGGATATGAATACATCCGGGAATGAGCTAGTGTGATGAGTATTAGACCGCCAAAGATCGTGCAGGTTCTAACGCAGGCTCCAACCCCACCAGATGCCATAGGTTTCACGGTGTTGCTAGTATTCAGCTCAGCGCGCCTCGCCGGTACCAGTACATCCGGCTTTTTCTGTGACTACCGTAACACATCCACCTTTGAATTATGTTATTAAAGACTGCAATAAAGAAATTACAGAGAGAGACGAAACTAGGAAGGAACTATCCTCCGGCAGATAAGGCTGATATGTTCTTCCGTGCCTCAAGGACCTGAAATGCGTATAGAAGGAGAGCCCCCAATGTCTGAGACTCATCACAAAGGCTTATCGCTGAGTGAAGAAAGTTATCCGGGGGCTGACAGCCACGATGTGTTAGGTGCGAAACCTGGTCGGATCTTGCAAGAGCCTTTGAGACAAAAGACAAAAGTTGAAATGATAATGCCCGAACTATTTCGGTCCGTTGATCAAACAAAGCTTTTGGTGTCTAGGGAATGATGAGGTGAACGAAGTTGCCAGTCCGAAATAGTTCCAATGAGAAGCAGCATATCCGAGGAGAATCTGCCGCAGAGTAAAACAACTTATTACAACAGGTTTATGAATGGCAAATAGAACGAACCCATCGTATTCTCCTACGATATCTTTGGTAGTACAATGTTAGCTACAAATAGGCATGACCTCCTTCTTTTCTAAGTTAATTCACCTGTTGGGCCCTTAAATTGCGTCCAAGGCTGTTGGGTAAAGCAGTTTGTGTGCCTATTTGCCTCATATTCTCTACGTTAGTCTTCGAGCTCTGAATCTCTGATACACAGTCTAACGACTCGAACAAGTGATAGGCCCTGCCTTGAAAAATAGCAATTCGATTCGTAGTCCGTTTCGCTGACGAAGATCAACGTTAACTGGCGGATTGACCTTTCCTTGACGGCGCTGTTGTTGATGTTTTGTAACACTTATAGGTATACCGGCAATACGCGTTGTCGGTGTTCCGGTTTTCCGTGGTCTTCTTTGCTGCTATGAAGCCCGCAATTTTGACAGCAACGAGAAGTGCTTGTTCGATGAGCTTGTAGGTTTCGAAACACTTACCGTGAAGCTCCTCCAACGGTTCGTGAAGCTCGATTTCGGTAGCGACGAGGAGGTTCAAACAGTTCTTCGCTTTAGCAACAAGCTCAGTACGTAACCCTCTTGCAAGTGCCTCCCTCCGCGCCAATTAACCTCCCACTTTACCTTTGGTCCATGAGTAGGGCTTTGTACCAAAGCAATTAGTCGACCTACTGCATAGCTGCTCCAGAAGGTAAGGTAAAGGCCTGATCATTTATCGGAACTCAAGGTTTACAGAGTACGAGATAGTATTCCCAATTAGTATAGAATACGCTCGATCTTCCTAAATTGTCACAACACAACGGGGATGGCGACTAGGCTTCTACGCAGGGTTACACGAGATTGCCGAACCATTGCTCATGTTAAAGCCACCATGTTTTGATGGCCACGATTATCCTTGCAGTAAAAGACTCCAAGCTCGTCGCCAAAGCAGAACTACGTAGGTATCTTGGCATCTACAGGTTCCTCCAAAAGCTGAGGATGCAAATACATCGTCAGACGAGATGGATGCCTTGCATCGCAGTGACGCACATCGGGCTTTCCTCAACGGAACTACTAAAGTGCAATTGCTTGACAATTCATCACAAAGGTTATGTACCTTGCACTCCATTCAGCGCATTTCATCACCGTCAGCACCCATGTAATTAGGAACGATATCACACTGGCGGCATGATAAAGCCTAGCACTGAATTTCGGTGGGAAGCGGTTTCTATGAGGGCCTGCTGCACGCCAAGATACATAACATACTTGGTTTTCAGAATGGTTGATGTTATTCCATTAACGTAAAAATGAATAATATGAACAAGTTATACATTACCTAAAAAAATCAACTTGCCTTTGACCCAATGCTCACCCAGCTTTACTCTAGCAATCTTAGAATGCAGCCTGGGTTTTGGTCAGATCTTCGCGCCAGACTTTATTATCCTACCAACCTATATAAGAATCAAGTCGACTAGTACTCAATGAACAATCAACGTCAAGCACAAGACCGAAACTTCCATTATGGCCTGACTAAGACGAAACTTTCTGTACCTGGCCAATTCTCCGCTCGCCTGGAATGATCTAGTCCTCACTACGATGCTTGTAAACTTAGGGGCTCACGGAGCGTTCAGTTTATGACATGGACAGCTTTCTGCTCTAATGGGATGATGAAGATGAGGATTTGACGGACGAGTACATCCCGGGCCGTAGATGACTACAAGTACAAGGATGGTGACAAGAACAAGGATGGTGACGATTACGACGGTGATCCACCGATCGGTGAAGCAACCCACCTTCATTCGTAATACAGTTGGTTGGGAGTTGCGAAATCCAAATCAAGTGGGGGCGTGGCACGGGTAGTACCTCTATAGTGCTTATCTACCTAAGTAGGGAGTTTGGGAAGGAAATGAAAAGCCACAGCTATAGCATGACCTGACACGGCGATTAACCGAGTAGGTTAGTTATTGTATGTAGGTAGATGCAACCTTGTCAGCACTGAGCCTCTTCATGCAGCGCAAAGCAAAAGCAAAGGCAAGGGCGGGAGGATTCAAATTGTGGAGAAGCATGCCCAGGACTTGTGGTTCGTGAGGGCCTTCCGTTTAGGGGTTTTTTACCGGCGCTTTACAGCCCGCCAATCCCTGCGTCCTGCACCCTTGCCGTCGATGTGGGTCCGCTAGAAAGGAGACCGTGGGCGACGCTGTTCCGTCTTCATACTCATTCATACTGGTGTAACTCAACGTGGGCCCGAAATACACGTCGTTGGAGAAAATAGTATAAAATAGCCAGCTCTGATATCATATGGGAGGATGAGAAATATTTATCTTCTTAAGAATTCCGTCGCTTCTGCAACGACGACCAAATGGAGTAAGAAACCCACTTACGCAAAACCTACAGTAGTTTTTTTACGCATCCCAAGACTATGACTATCTCCGTAGCCGTTACGGTTGCGCTCGCGCTTGGCACGAGCTCAGCTTCTGTGCACAATAGCACCGCCTCCGCTGCCCCAGTTGCAACAGCCACCCCCACGACGGCAGCCTGCGCTCTCGTCAGTTCCGCATGGGCTGCCCAGCATGTAGCGACGGCAACACCCACTATCGAGGCATCCATCGGCTATGAATGCCTTAACAGTGTACCTATCGCTAAGGACGCCGCCATCAAATTTATCAACGAAATTGTGCCCTATCTCGAGTGGCAATCGGACACGGCCTTTAAGAAGAACCCTCCAGCAGATTACTCCTTTCCCGGCCATGACTTATGGGAAACATTATATAGCGTCAGGGAAAATCTCGAGGCTGATACGTATTCTAATGAGTACTCTTGGCAAGCAGATCTGTATAATACCGTCTTTGGCCCGGCACATGACGGCCACTTTGTTATCTATACCGATCTATTGACTAGTGCCCTCGAATGGGGCCGACCGTGGGCTCTGGTCTCCATCAGCGAAGACGGCACCTCCTTGCCCGTTATCAAGGTCTATAACGACGCTATATCTTCAGATACTGCTTCCGTTGTCAAGCTTATCAACGGCGTTGATGCAGCTACGTATCTCGAAGGGTGGATTTCTAAGGCCTCGGGCAGCAGGGACATCGACTCCGCCTACAACTCCCTGTTCTTTTCGAAAGCTTATAACCAGAGTGGCAGCCAGGGTCTCTTCAAGAACGCAGGCCGTATCCGATACGTTTACCCGGGCCCGGATACCAGGCTTACCTTCAAGAATGGCACCGAGGCTACTCTGCCTAACGTTGGCAGGATAAAGGGCAACTGGTCTGGCGTTACTGACGGGCTCTCATTCTTTACAAAGTTCGTTTCGGGAGCAATCAATGTTGCGACCAGCACCGCGACTTTTACGACTATTGCAACTACAATAACAACTTCCACTGCTACTGCTACCGTGGCCTCCACTGCGACGACAACTGCGACCGCAACAGTCACACCCGCTATCAGTCCCTTGCCTGGCTATCCTAGTGACCCTGTCGTCCTCTCGTCTGACCAAGTAGTATCAGGCTATTTCCTGGATGGCGATTTTGAAGACGTCGGCGTGCTAGTCATGAATTCATTCTCTCCTGATGATCCCGTCGAGTTTCAGGAAAAAGTGCAAGAATTCCTGGAGGCTGCAGTCGACGCCGGTATCAAGAAACTAGTGCTTGATGTTCAACTTAATGGCGGTGGCTATATCTTCCAGGGATACGATACTTTCCGCCAGCTATTTCCTGACATCGTACAAAAGGGAACCGGTAGGTGGAGACGCTCGGCTGGCTTTAGCGCTATAGCTCAAGTGTTCTCTGCAGCTTGTAAGGATTACGAGCCCCTTACAGCTTCCGAAGACTTGATTTATACCTGCGAAAGCGTTTGGAACTGGCGATATGACCTCGATTTTAACGATGACAACTTCAGATCGTTTGAAGATAAATTCGGCCCCGTCAATTTTGATGGTGATAACTTCACCGACGTCATGCAGTGGAACTTTAGTAACCCCGTCGATACTATCAATACAACCTTTGGAATCGGCTACGACGTGACCGGCTACGGTACTCGACGGAACTTTACCACACGTCCTTTTGGTGGCCCAGAGAATATTGTGCTCCTCCTCGACGGCTATTGCGCCTCTACATGTACGCTATTCTCGCAATTCCTTAAGTGGGATGCAGGCGTCAAGTCAATCGCGATGGGCGGGAGACCCAAGGCCGGAGCTATCGAAGGCGTTGGAGGCATTAAGGGCTCGCAATCCTTCTCCTTTTCTTCTATCTACGCGGAGGTTGACCTCGCTCGTAGAGAGACTAACAATACGGACCTCCTCGCCGAGTTCGATCGTTACCAAGACTATGTATTCGACCGAGCCCGCACACTCACCTTAAATGTTAAAGACGAAATCCTTCCCCAGAACCTCGGGGACGGTATCCCGGCCCAGTACGTGAAAGAGGAGGCAGATTGCCGCTTGTATTGGACCTTAGACATGCATAAGGATATCACAAATCTTTGGAAGGCCGCCGCCTCGGCAGCCTTCAACGGCTCTCCTTGCGCCTATGGTGGATTCAACGAAACAGTTACCACGAGGAGGCGCAGCGCTTTTAAGCCCTCGCGCCCTGTTCCCCTCAACAAACCTCGGTTCGTTCTGTCCAAGAAGAACTTGCTCGCTCCCGCAAAGTCTATTGTCAAAAGCAACTTGCCCACCCGGGAGAAGGCCCAAGAATTTATTCTAGCGCAACAGCACATGGTTGTAATTGATTGAAGCATTACGGTTTAGGCCGATGAACGTGACTAGAAGAATAAAATCGCACCGATGCAAAGCAAGTATGAACAATTCAGGATTATTCGTGACACCAATTGATCTAGTGAAACAACATATTCTATTGACCACCTCGCAAATATCGACCTGTCACTTCTTGGACAGTGGGATTGAGAAGCGGATTGCTAAATGGTTACAGGAGAGTTGAACGTAATATTGCATTCCATAAATTCTCATTACTAAATTGTGTGGAATGATAGTCCGTTGTTCTAGAGAATGGTTGTCCATAAGCGATCGAAGGTCCGCTTTTGCAGCATTCCATTACTAAAATCAGCAAAGCACTTAAGGAGTCTTTCGAAGAACCCTATACTCTAGCGAAATACTGCTCAGGTAGATAAACTTCTAGATTACATGGTAGATAGTGCAGTGGTAAATGGTAGGGTATGTCTACTTGCAAGTCCCTATTCTACCGCCTTGAGAAGCTCATATGTATGGTAGCGTTTGAACATATCTTAGATAAGCTCGAGAGGCAATCTTTTTGCTTTTTTTAGGTAGGAATTTTCAATCGTCACATTCTTCGTTCGAAACCCATGTGGTAGTCCTTTAGCAGCGAGGATAAAGGCAAAGTGGGTTTCCTCCAGGCACGTTTGAAGGCAGGCCAGAAGATGCGTGTTGATCTTATAGCGATTTAGTCTCCGGACGCAAAAGAGCCCAAATTGTTTTATACAGCTCAGTCATAGGAGTTATATTTCAAATAAATTTTAAAGCTAGACTTGCTCCCGCCTCAGCTCTTTTTCCAAGTGTCACATCTTCTACGCTTCCCAGTAGATACTTTTCATAGAATCGATCCCGAGATAATCAGATACCTTGGGTTTTCTCAACCACCAGCACGCAGGCTATGTAAGCCCTGAGGAAAATAGTACCAGTTGCCATGACTTTCTCTTTCAAAACCCAATCAAAGAAAGGAGCAATCTGATCGATGATCAGGAAAAGGAAAAGGTTCGTTGTGATATACGTCTCCACTTTATCACATCGTGTAACAGATTCACCAAGGTCGACAATAAGTTGGTGCGCCGAACACAATTGCTGCTCCTCCTTCTGACTGCTTTCATCAGCAAAGTTGATTGCCGGAAAGCTTTCTCTAATCAGTCGGGCGACTTTGCCGGCTTCGTGCCTTAGCAGCGAAGGCTCCTGTACATCGGCAGTAGTAAACTTATATCCTTCTACAACCCATAGCCACGCTATCAGGACCTGTGCTAGCCTCTCCTCTGGCATCGTCCAAACACTCTTCCGAGCTGGCTTTCGTATCTCTTCATGACCATCTGAATATATGATAAGATCTAGAAGTCCGTGTTTGTCGTAGCCCATAGCAGCAGCGAGCTTCTTCACCAGGAGATCCCGCGAAATAAAGTCGTCCGCGAAGGAAATATAGTTTCCTGCTTCAAATTTGACTCTTGTTGCTGACGGAGCGTTGATGACTGTTTCTCTCCAGCGAGCAAATTTCTCGCCTGACAGCATGAGATTTTCCGTGTCGACTAAGATGGAATGATGGGTATCATCAAGAATATCTGAGATCTTGGATTCGATGGCTGCGGAGTTGGCGCCAATTATGGAACAAAAGGTGCCTATTTCGGTGCTATCTTGATAACCCAAGAGAAGATCTGCTACCGATTGAGGTTTCCAGTCGGCGTCCGAGTCGACAAGCGCACCTGGATGATCATGCACAAGATGGAACGCGGCGATGATACAGCTCCGAGTGCTTCCATTATTGTTACGGTAGCGGTGATGAACCAGGGAACCTGCATTGAAAAGCACCGTGATAGGTTGCTCGGGGTATTCCACTTCGACCACTTTAGTATCACGCCCAGTAATATCTCTTTGGAACTCAAAAACGCTCTCAATACTCTCGTCGGTAATAAAGAGGCTGTCGTTCTCTGTAGACCAAGTCTGAGAAAACTCATCCACCCGGACCAATCGATTCCCTTTTTGCGTTCCTGGCAGAAATGTAAAATTCTGGCCGGTAGGACCTTTGATCTCGCCCTTCTCCCAGCCCAGTAATAATTTATATTCTTCACGGAAAGGGGTATTGTCGACATGAAGCATATTGTCCTGTGCATTCACTGAAATTGGCTGGGTATCTTTGCCACGGGCATCGGTCATCCTAACAGGACCACCCATTGCGTAAGACATCAGTGCGATCAGAAGAGGGTGAATTATAGCATCGTTGTAGTTTTGGTTTCTGAGAAACTTGGGGTGGTCAATCAGATGGGCGAAGGAATGTAGGAACGCGTGGCTTCCTGAACCGCTCATGATCTCTGAATAATCATTGATAAGCTGCTGAAAAGAAGCGACATCTACCAGACCGGCAAATATAGTGCATCCATCACGCTGTAGCACTTCGACTAGTCTGATGAAGCGAGCTTCCGTAGCCGCAATCTTCCAACCTTTTCGGAGCTCATTCAACAAGGCTTTTCGGAACGTTTCTTTGGATACGACATCAGGGCCACCTCGAAATTGGTTGGTCTGAAGACTGATTTGCGGGATAGGAGACGTTGAAATGATAGATCCAAGCAATCTGGCTCGCTCTTCATCTGTGACTGCCACTGATAGGCTAACAGGGACTACACCATCATGCTGGCTGAGGAACATCCCTGGACTCTGACCGAGAAGACTTTTTTCTATTCTTGTGATGACTTTCATTTTGCCGGTAACCCTGGTTTGGAGATGGAAGAGATTCTTGTCCCCAAGCTCAATAATAGGACACTCAGTGCACCGTCTTAAAAGTCGCCAAATGAAAACTCCTTAAGCGCATATTCGGTGAATATACGCATCTTGACAGTGGGGCAGCGAAGTCCAATCCTGCCTGGGCTGTGGATTGTTTCGTGAAATTTCGATGTGGTGCATAGTCAAAAAGTACCAGTCATTGTGGTCATCGTGCAGTAGGTAATTAAACAAGCTATATCGGTGTGGGGCGGACTTGATGCATGCTGACATGCTGACTGACACCTCCGCTCTAGGACCGATTATGTATGCATCGCGTGTTCAATTTCCAAAACCAAACCCTCGTACAGCACCTGCCCAGAGAAGTCCTAGTTGGAAGGAAATTGTTGCAGCTTCGAATCTTGTGTTTATGAGATTCCCCATCACCCATCTCGTTGGGACGTGTTTTTTTCTCTTTCCTCTTTTGGTCTAATTTTTAACCATAATTGCAGTAACAGGCCATTGTTCATACTACTGTTGAGCACACAATGGATTTATCAATCATGTACACAAAACTCGGTCAAAGCGAAGATAATTGTTTGACCTCGCCGAGGTTTGAAGATGACGAGCGATTCATCAACGGAGGTCGCAACTTGACTTGGAAACTCGTATATTTCTTCCTCGGGATCCTCGCTGCTTTAACTTGCGGGATCTTGGGGTATATGGCCTACCCAAATCCTTCAACCCCCTCAACAACATCAAAATCATCAACGTCTGAGCTTCATTGTGGCAACTCCGCCACAGAAGCTCGAGCCCTCGGCTGTGTGTTCGATCTGCTTACGAACAACTGGATGCCGAAATACTGCTCCGACCCGTACACTGATGCCGAGTATCGCGTGTGGGTACTTGATTCTGACCGTCAACTTGGGGCCTGGGCATACTATTACGACGAGAAGGCAGAGCATCAGGTGGCGTCAGAGGAAGAGCTATCCGATCTTGTGGGGAAATCCATCTTCACAACAACTGAAAATCATCTTGGACATTGCACGTTCCTCGCGCGGCGAATGCATCGTCTCACGACTGGCGAAATTTCTGCGGTGGCACATAATTCTTTTGCGCATACGATGCATTGTACTTCGTCGATTCTCAAAGCGTTCAATGCAACGGAGCAGCTAATTAGCGCGCAAATAGGCTCTACGTTTGACGTGGGTATTGTGTCATGCTTGGTTAGCGGAGCATAGAATAGAAGTCTTGATAGCTTTCACTGTATTTCTTTCAAAATTATGTCTCGAAATCCTCATGTCGCGTTCAAGGTGTTATTTCCGACCTGTACAAGCAAATGATTTTTACTTACCGTATGTTGCAGCATTTGTCCCTGTTGGAAAAATATTGTCACTCACTATAACCCAGCTACCTTGTATATTCTGAATGAGTTTCTGTTCCAACTATCTAGATAATTACATTTAAGTGAATGTAATACTGCAATTCGGTTTTATTTCTACACATACGATCATTGACATTAACTTGAGTTGTTCGGGCTCCTTTTTGCTCAAAGTCGTGCTTTCGCGACTCGGTGTCTAGCTTCTTATTAGAGTTGTTGCCTAACTAACCCTAGCACTTGTGCTGTCGCGAACCTTTCATTTTTTCGAGTTGCCGATGAGACTTCGTTTTCTCTCCAGTAGTGGATTGCTCTATCCCTCGACGTCGTTGGCTTTTGTGGCGACTAGGTATGTGGAACCACGTTCTCAGCGGGAAATTTCAAAGCCATACTTTGGGATTCTGTGTTTGGAGAAATCTGTAATTCGATTGTTGGCTATGATGAAAAAGAGTACATACTTTCAAAAGGGCGGGGCGAAGGCCTAGTCGCAGTGGACTTGGTACTCCCGCTTTGGCTAGAGGTCCCGAGCGGTCATATTTCGAGAGGTGGCGCTTCTACACCAAGGCTTTAACTACGACATACATCATATGGACTATTCTCTGTTATAGCTAAATAATACTGGTTTCTCCCTGATCTAGATGCTGCAATCTAAGCAGGCTTTGAATTCTAACCGTACTCCTTGCTCGCCTTGAGATTCTAATGAAGTATTTCCGCATTAAACTTTGGTTATAATCAGGAATTCTCTAAACCGATCTGAGAATGCGGTGCTGTGCCTAACGATATATATACGTGATGTCGAATTGCCGATAATCCACTAGGAATATGTGACTACATAGAACATACAGGCCCAAGGTTGATAGGAGTATTGTTGTTTCTGAAGCATTGAAGAGCTTTAAAACGGATTCCGCCCTGGAGATTTCGTCAGTTTTAGAAGGAAAACCAAAAAGAATAGGTCGCATACCAGTCCACGGATTCACAAGGATATGACCCAAAGGAGGCACGCTGTTGGCTTCGAGAAACTTATTCAGATTGTCGGGTTTTGCGCAGACATGTTGCGAGTGATGAAGGTTCACAGGCTTTTCTTCATTTTCATGCCATTCAAAAATTACGAGCGACATATCAGCGTGGCATAGCTCTGATTGGCGGAGGCTACGCAGAAATTAGCAAGAGCTTCGTAAAATGCGAATATTCTATGGTGTTATCCTACATGTCAATACAATGATCTGCACCTCATGTGTTAGAATGCCTGTTCAGGAGATACGAGTCTAAAGTACTGACCAATGTGTTCAGGAATCGGCTCTTCTGGGGTCGGCTTGTATAGTTCCGCTGCTTTAGGGTAGTAATCACGAAGGATGTAATGCCGAATGGTTTTCTATTGCAGTATAAGCGTTTGTGACTGTGAAACGATACGAACTGTTATGACAAACCAGGCAATGCAAATTGTGCAAGTAGCTAAAGGTTCCCATGACTCCTCCTTTTTCATCTTGGAATTCCGTGATAATGCTAGCAGGCGAGCTTGGATTCCGTGAATAGGCTTGTGGAACACGTATCGTATAATCTATTAAAGTGTTAGAGCTGCGGTTGCTAAGAAGAATCCCGCTTGACTTTCTTTGAAATATTTTGCCCCATGCGTCTTCCAATTCGGGGCGTGGTGTTCCTCGGAACGGGCCGTGGATTCCAAATTTATCGTCATATGTTCGAATCTCTAAATCTATCGCAGTTGCTGTCCAATCTGTGCATGCTTGAGTATTTTGTGCCGACTGTGCTGAATTCTCGGACTTGTTGACTGACCTGCATATGGTAAATGAACAACCTGAGCGTCTTCAGCCACAGAGACTATCTTTGGGACGCTTATCATAAGAAGCACTCCAATATTAAGCAGTAAAATGAAGGCATTCAAAACCAAGAAAATCCAGTTTCGTTTCCTTTGCTGTTTGAATCGATTCGTATTTCGCTCCTGATCAAGAAGATCTTGTGTATCAGATTCGTACTCTTCTAAGTCAAAAGAAGAAGACCGAGGTCCAACTATGTGTGATTCTTTTGAGGTCATGTTTTGAAGGAAGTCTTCTTCCCATATGAGTTTAAAGGTAATGCTAAGAGAAATATGAGACGAAAAATTGGCTACCTCAATAATTTGAGAAATACTCGCGAGTCACTCGTATGAAGTTCATACTTACTCCAAACATAATTGAAGAGTTCAGATCGGGTTCAGTTAAGTTTAACGAAAAAGAAAGCCAACCACTGAAAAGGCTGCAACTACATAAGACTGTGTTGGTACCAAAAATGGCTAAAACGAATGCAAGCTGACCTTGCATTGAAAGTGGATAAGTACAAGCATATCCTAGTTCGCAACCCACGCTACAGTCGTTTACGTCTATTCATGTCAGTGACTTCAACTTAGGACGATCACGAAGAGGAAATGCGAAGTTTCTATCGCCAACGTCATTTGTAGATGCTATGTTGCAACTTTAGTAAATCCTTACAACCATCTAACCTTGGCCTATTCTTTCACGCACTTTTGATGAGAAGTAAATTATGCAAGGTCACTTGCGTATGCAAGGTGGCCTAGCATACGGAGTGGAGAAGGCCCTTGTCCTACAAGGTTGTTCGAGGTAATGGTTCATGTAGGATGACAGCGGTCAGGCTCCATCCAGTCCCACAGCTACGTTTTATGGTCATTAATGCTGAACGTAAAATGACTGATTGATTGGCTGACTAAATAACTAAAGATACACCATGTTTTAAGACGTGAAGATTAAAAGTAACTATATATGTGCTTGATTGTATTGCTACAAGTAGTCAGATCATCAGCATTGAGCTATCACGCTTACTACTTGAATTATATATTTTTGGTTTTGTAACTTCGCGATAGCACTTCACTTTAAGTCTCATTATTGCGCAGCTTTAAAGCTCTCAAAATTTCTCACAATGAAGTTCTTCCAATCAATTCTGCCACTTCTTATTATAGGAGTTGCTGCTTCGCCAGTACCCGGTAAATCTGAACCCAAAACATATACGAGTTATGGCTAATTAATATTCAGTTGAGATCGAACGGAGCACTCAGTATGGCGATGTCGCCCACGGAGAGGCACGCCGCAGCGACGTCGATGCTTTAGGCGATGTCGCCCACGGAGAAGCTCGCCGAACCACTCCCGGTGACGTTGCCCACGGAGAGGCTCGCCGAACTACTCCCGGTGATGTCGCCCACGGAGAGGCTCGCCGCAGCGACGTCGATGCTTTAGGCGATGTCGCACACGGAGAGGCTCGCCGAACCACTCCTGGTGACGTCGCCCACGGAGAAGCTCGCCGAACCACTCCCGGTGACGTTGCCCACGGAGAAGCTCGTCGAACCACTCCCGGTGATGTTGCCCATGGAGAGGCTCGCCGAACTACTCCCGGTGATGTCGCCCATGGAGAGGCACGCCGCAGCGACATCGATGCTTTAGGCGATGTCGCCCACGGAGAGGCTCGCCGAACCACTCCTGGTGACGTCGCCCACGGAGAGGCTCGCCGCAGCGACGTCGATGCTTTAGGCGATGTCGCACACGGAGAGGCTCGCCGAACCACTCCTGGTGACGTCGCCCACGGAGAAGCTCGCCGAACCACTCCCGGTGACGTTGCCCACGGAGAAGCTCGTCGAACCACTCCCGGTGATGTTGCCCATGGAGAGGCTCGCCGAACTACTCCCGGTGATGTCGCCCATGGAGAGGCACGCCGCAGCGACATCGATGCTTTAGGCGATGTCGCCCACGGAGAAGCTCGCCGAACCACTCCCGGTGACGTTGCCCACGGAGAGGCTCGCCGAACTACTCCCGGTGATGTCGCCCACGGAGAGGCTCGCCGCAGCGACGTCGATGCTTTAGGCGATGTCGCACACGGAGAGGCTCGCCGAACCACTCCTGGTGACGTCGCCCACGGAGAAGCTCGTCGAACCACTCCCGGTGATGTTGCCCATGGAGAGGCTCGCCGAACTACTCCCGGTGATGTTGCCCATGGAGAGGCTCGCCGTACCACTCCCGGTGATGTCGCTCACGGGGAGGCACGCCGCAGCACCAAATTTGGCGATGTCGCCCACGGAGAGGCTCGCCGAACCACTCCCGGTGATGTCGCCCATGGCGAGGCGTAAAAGAGTCACTTTTTTGGCACCAACCGTCTCGCTTCGTAGCAGACAAGAGAACCCAACATTGCATCAATGATATCAAGAACGAGATACGAAATGGATGAGGTATTTCCTAATTCGTTTTCTTCCACAATGGATTTTATTTGAAAAGTCAGATGGGATTATTGCAAGAATTCAAATTTCCGAGAGCACGGAATAGTTCGGTACTACCTTCTTTTTCAACGTTCCCTAGGTTCCATTTGGGTAGTTTTGAATAGTTCCTAAAGTTAGATCAATGAAAAACACATCCGTTTCTTTACTTCCAACACCTTGGTGATCATTTATGTTCTGGGAAGCTGTAGGCATCAAAAGAATTTTAGAATTGTATTTCGTACAGAACATCAGTTCTAAAATTCTCCTAATCCTGTTGGATTAAGATTTTCAACTGTCACAAATTCCATCAGTTCAGTGCAAACAAAAGTAAAGCTCCACAAATGGGAAAATCTCATTATTTTATATATAGTTCAATATAAACTAAATACTAAAGTTACCCAGCAATGAACTTTGACTAAGTTAGGTGGTTCATAAATTTTAGCTTTGAAGAGGTATAAATCGTTAGGCTTTTGTATCACAGCAGACCATCCTTAGTAATATAATTTCAAAAGCAAATTTTCAGCGCCAGTCGGTGCCTTTTAAAACAGATATTGACAGCTATTACAAATCGTCGCATTGTTAAAAATGCTCTAATCTATATCTTCATCACTTGAGCTTGAGTAATGTACACTTTTATTTGAGCATCGCGACATCTCACGTAATTTTCCTCTTAGGAAACTTAGGCAGTCGCGAAGCTCGTTGTCTTCCGTCACCAAAAGCCCAAAGCGAAGTCCAAACTTGCAGAGCTCTTGCACATCTGAGATCATCATTTCAGCCTTATGCGCTACGCAGCATTTTATATCTTTCTTCCTGTTTCCATTGCCCGAGCTGGTTTGTTTCATACAAGGTTGTTGATTATCCTTCATCTAAATATTTCGTTAGAAGCCGTCAGACTGTGAGTGTATGCTTGACTTACTCTATGTGCAAAGCGGGTGCTTTTATGCGAGTTGTTTTCGCGTTTGCCTTGACATTGATGGTTGGAAGAAGCACTATTCACTGGTAAATGACTCGAGATAGCTCCTAAGCCAGCGTTTTCAGCACCCGAGTTCGTGTTGTTTGAGGTCTCCATAGACGAATTTATACTGATTGGCGATAAAAGGGCTTCGGTCGATTTGGAACTCTGACCTTCGTTATTCGAGAAAATCGTCGGACTCATGAACATGAGACCGCCTTGATCGAATTGGCAGTCAGCGGTATGATTACATCTCCCTCCATTCTTAGCAGCGATATCATTGCTTAAAGATAACATCGGTGTTGGTGTTGGCACAATTCCGAACACGGAACTTCCTAAAACTTCAGTGAAGGGATCTTCAGATCCGTTGGAAACGGACAGATCGCTGAAGTCTATGCCATTAAAGAAAGTCTGGGGTTCTGGTATCGTAGTGGTTGGTAGTGTGTCTGGTAGACTCCAGCTACTTGTTGTAATTGCGGGGGGTTCGATGTTGGCATTTCCGGGAGTTTCCTTCATGTAGTGTGAGTGGAAGAAAGCCCTGTCGTTTCCCTTCTTTCTGCTTCCTATAACAGTAAATACACTGGCCAGTGATGGTAATTGTTTTACTCACTACAACGTCTTTGCGCGTTACGGTTTTGGAGTTTGCGCTTCCAGATTTGTGCCTCGTCCATTTCTGTATAAACAGTGTAAAACGTAAATTGCAGATCACAGAGAAATTCGAAGTCATTCACATTGTTTCGTCCCCGATAATAGATACATCAAGTCAAGCCTGCTGCTCCATAGAATTAAGGTATCTCCATCGGGTTTCCCGAGATGCCTGGCCGGTTGTTACTCGGAAAGATAGATAACATACATCACCTGAGCGCGTATACGGGAGAGCCAAGTGGGTTATCTCGGTACTATAGCCTACTCTGGAGGTCTATTCTTGTAGGATTATGATGCCATCTCATCAGTCTATGGTGCAGTAGCATGTTGCAAGCTTTGGGGGAAACACATTTAGATTCTGTAGCCATAGTTCTCCACTGGGTGGATCGAATACTAAATTGTGCGCCGTGCACGCAAGTTCATGGCATAGTTTTGTCCATGCCACTCCAGATCCATTACTTAATACGTCGGAAGGTTGATTAAGGGCCCTGCAGCCGTCGTATGTTATGCGACCTTATTCTCTTGGCTCAGATCATTAAAGACCCCATTGAAAAAGAGAGATATGTCGTGACGCGGAATTAGCCGTCTGGACCTCCATGATCGCATAAATGCATGTAAGTGAAAGGTCTATACGAGTGGATCTCGGGCAAATTTTCGAGGTCCTGGTTTGTATCTGTAAGCCATATTGCATACCGGATATAGGATCACTATATCTTGTGCCATCTCGGCGCTTATGGCGTCAGTAGCTGCCCCAGCACATGCGTCACTCACTATGCGCGCTTCGTATACACGTCTCAGGGCCAAGGCGGCCTAGGCTGGGTGCTGCACCACAACCCCAGTATTGACCCGAATCCACTCCGGAAACCCAAGGGGCACCCTCCCCTCATTCATTCACCAAGAAATTGAACCAGGCTTTTAACCCCTGAAACTTATAATAGTATGCTTGACAGGGGTTTGTGTTTGCTCTGTAAGCAGAATGGCGATGCTTGCAAAGTGATCCATTTTATCGTAGTCACCTGCGCTTTCACCATTTGCGCTTAATCCGATCTACTTAGCACAATTGTGCTTTCTTCCTGATCTGTACGTCGCAACTAATCTGACAAAAACAGATCCACTTGAACGTTACTGCATAAATCGTGGGCACCCGCCCACTGTAGTTCGGATACATCTCAGAACGGCTAGTCCCAGAAAGGCTGGATTGGTCTCCTGTGGGACGGTAAAATCATTTCCATTTAATGAGACGTTTGTTCAAGCATCAAGTTCAACATATTTATTTTCAGAACTTTCTATCGCAGTCTGCTAATTTCCACGCATCATATTCATCGGAGAGCAGAGCCTCGAGGGATGCAAAGTCCTTTAATCACTTCCCCGTCATTGTCTTGAATCAGTTTACGCTGAACTCACCATGTACCTGCTCCAGGTTATTTCTGCTCTATGTTCTATCTCATTTCTATCGTTGGTCCCGTTCCGTCTATGGAGACTTCATACAGAAAAAATCAAGATTGTTCTAGAGCACCGCAGTCATGCTAAGATGGTACGTAACAACAGGGCAAAGTTACTTGTATAGCAGCTAACCTTCCTGGAAGATAATTTCGGTTCTACTTCTAGTCCTACAGTTAATCGTATTGATAGTAGCAATATCACCAACGTCACAATTTAATGTTGGCCTTTTTTCTGTCACAGCGTCCTTTGTAGCCTGCATCGGCCTTTGCCCATTGCTGTTCCTGGAGCACACACGGTCTATCAGACCATCAGATCTCGCTGTCGTCTATCTACTTGTGTCTTTGGTATGCGACGCTACCGAGTTACTAACAGTCCTTTATCAAAATGGGATACCCCTGGCTCTCTTGCCGGCCGCAGCGAGTCTTTGCGTCAAGTTAGTGCTCCTAGTGGCTGAGAGTCAAGGAAAGGAGGCGATACTGCGAGGTCCTTATGATCAGCAGCCTCCAGAACAGTTGGCTGGAATTTTGAACAGGACGTTCTTTTGGTGGATTAATCCTGTTTTAGCCCATGGAAGCCGTAATGTTCTTACGGGAGACAGTCTTCCGTCTATCGACGAGAAGCTTTCCTCAACGCTGCTACGACACCACGCCTTGCAAGCTTGGGATAGGAGAGGTAGGTAATTATGTCGTTCAGCTTGTATAAAAATGCTTTACTAGAAAGCCCTAACAATTTTACAGCTAAACCAGAGCGTAATACTACATTGCCACAGGTTTTGGTCCTGAGCATGCTCCCAGATTTTCTGGCGCCAATTGTCCCTCGACTTTCCCTCATCACTTTTCGCTATGCGCAACCGGTTCTAATCAGCACCGTAATACGATACATCAGCAAGGCATCAGATGAGAATTCGAAAACGGGCTACCTGGTAATCCTGATGGCTGTGATTGTCTATGTCGGTTTAGCGGTAAGCTTTGCCGAATTCTGCGCAATATGATAACTAATTGGCATTTTAGATATCTAAGGCAGTATATCAGCACCGCCTGAATCGGTTGAAAGTCATGATTAGAGGCGCGGTCGTTGGTCTAATCAACAATAAGTCGTTGAACCAACAATCCAGCAACTACAATGACGGAAAAGCCGTGACACTGATGAGTACCGATGCAGAAAATGTAGGCGGAGGTGCGCAGATGTTCCATGAAACATGGGCCCAGACAATCGAGGTCGTTGTAGGTACAGTCATGTTAGCCAGAGAAGTAGGATGGGTGTGCCCCGTACCACTTGTGATCATATTCTGTGAGTTTCTATGGCCTCTTGTTCCTTGAAATACTAATTTTGAAGTCTGCTCCCGAATGAGCAGATATTTAGCTAAAACCCTACAAAATAAGCAAAAGAATTGGAATCTAGCTACCCAGAAGCGCCTTGCTATGACAACATCGATGCTTTCTTCAATGAAAAGCTTGAAGATGCTAGGAGTTACGACGTACACGGAATCCCTGGTTCAGTCTTTGAGACTTCGGGAGCTGGATATGGCCAAAAAGGTGCGGTGGATGATGGTCGCATATAATGCAAGTGGTATGTTTTATGTCTGAAACGTATCTTTTGCACATTTTCTTATTATTTCAGCAAATGCTCTTGGGATATTTTCTCCCATTGTCACATTCGTTCTGTTTGTCCTTCTAGCTAGATTGAACGGTTCTGTACTCGACACCGAGACAGCGTTTACAACAACGGCACTACTTGGATTGGTAACCCATCCTGCGAATATGATCATGTCGATTGTACCGGAAGCTATAGGTTCATTGGCAGCTTTTGAGCGGATTCAGCAGTATCTCTTACAGCCTCCGCGACATGATCAAAGGTTATTCCCCAAGGAGATACCCAGCGGTTCATCAAAAGTCTTGCCAGCCATCTGCCTCGAAGATGTTATCATTCAGACTTCTACTTCAGCGGCACCACTTCTCAGAAGTGTAAATCTTGTTATGAACAGAGGTGATATAGTCATATGCTCTGGACCTATGGGTAGCGGCAAATCGACGCTTGCCAAAGCCATCATGGGCGAACTTCCCACAGCAAGTGGAACGATATCGGTTTCATCAAAACGTATAGCTTACTGTGCACAATCGCCCTGGCTGCCAAGTGGGACATTTAAGAAAGCCATCTGTGGTTTCTTGCCAGAAGATGCAAGTTGGTACGAAGAAGTTGTCCGGCTTTGCTGTCTCGAAGATGATCTTTTGGACCTTCCTGATGGAGACCACACAATGATAGGAAGCCGAGGCATTAATCTTTCTGGAGGTCAACGACAACGCGTGGTATGTTTTTCATATACAATCTACTTCTCATGTTATATTTCAGCACAATATGGCAACATCCGCAAAGCATTTTCACGAGTTGTGCCGTTTTGCATGAGAAGATTACGAGCTCAACTTTTCCAACATCTTTGTTCAAATACTCAGAAAAAGCCAGAGCTTGCTTTACTGATCAATTTATAGGCACTTGCCCGTGCTGTATATTCTCGTTGTGAAATTGTGCTTTTAGACGACAGTTTCAGTGCCCTAGACGGGAGAACAGAGAGCCAGATCATGGAAAATCTTATCGGTCCGGGAGGTCTCTTCAAAAAGAAGGGAATAACTGTGCTCCTTGTAACCAACTCGGGTAAGTCCAAAGCGTCTCGGTGATAGCATACTTTATACTCATAATATACAGCGACGTATTTCCACATGGCAGACTGGCTAGTTGTACTAGGTGATGCCTCGATTAAATACCAAGGGCCATGGGCTGGCTTGACACAGAAGGTTGAGCATGTCCTGAAGGTCCATGCTAGCGAAAAATGCAATACTAATGTCAAGGAACAACTCCATGTAGATGGGGCCATTCGAAACCAAAGATTAAAAGTAGCCGATGCCATATCAGACCTAAACAGAGCGACAGGGGATATATCACTCTATGGTACATGCCCACTCAGTTATACAGAGTCTTCCCTCTTGTTTTGCTAACATGATCTCTCTTGTAGGCTATTATCTCAAAGCTGTTGGCTTTCGAAACTTCCTTCTTCTTGTAGCTTGCACATCTTCATATTCATTCTTCGTAACGTTTCCTCAATACTGGTTGGAAAGATGGACTGCGGCGCCACCCTCCCAAACAATGTTTTATGTTGGAGGATACTTGATTTCATCTCTGCTGGCCTGGGCTTTCACTAATGGCTCAATGTGGTGAGTACAATATTAAGTCGTGAATAAGTCTCCGCTAAATCGGAACAAGGTCTACATATATCCTTATTGCACCAGAATCAGGAGCTGAACTACACCGTCGCCTCCTTTCGACCATCATCGGGTTAGTATGCGCTAATTACTCCGCTACAGTCGTTTTACTCATCAATGATAGGGCTCCACTGTCATATTTCTCAGTCACTGACACAGGAGTTATACTGAACCGGTGGGTAATGGCATTTTGTGGTAGATATAGCGTCCTAACCTGTTGCAGCTTTAGTCAGGATATCCAGTTAGTCGATAGACAATTGCCACCAGCCATTCTGTCTATATTAAATCGTAAGTCTTTCCGGATTCCTTCGGGAAACTTTACTCATTATTCACAGAGGTATTCAAGCTCCTAGTGCAAACAACGTTACTATTCAGTGCGCAAAAGATAATGTCATTGACGCTTCCTCTTTGCGTGGCGACCGTGTACCTGGTGCAAAGGGTATATTTGCGCACATCGCGGCAGATACGATTGCTTGACCTTGAGTCACAGTCTGCAGTTTACTCAAGCTTTCTAGAATCGGTATGACGTACTCTGGAGATGTGGCTTTCTTCTCTAACGATATATCAGGTTGAAGGCGTTGCCACTGTCCGCGCATTTGGATGGAAAAAACAGATCGAGAACCTAAATATCGAATTTCTGGATAAATCTCAACAACCCTCGTATATTCTTTTCTGTCTCCAACGTTGGCTGAACATCGTACTTGACCTGATGGTTGCCACGATAGCTACAAGTCTGATCACTCTTGCTGTTTTGATGAAGGGATCTACGACTGCTGGACAGATCGGTATGGCACTTAATATTGTCCTTGTCGCAAATACAACACTTCTTGGACTTGTGACATCTTGGACAAATATGGAAATATCCCTCGGCGCCATGTATGTTTGAGTCTCATATACTGTGATTTCACTCGCCCCCTGCTTCTTTGCGCAACAGCTTCGGGGAGGTCTTTCTGACGGAACCTCTGGCATATCTTTTAGAGCCTTATAATGTTTCTGAAAGGCATGATTTTACCCTACGTATGCTAATTGATTCACAGGTCTCGGCTGAAGAGCCTGGAGGCTGAAATGCCGAAAGAGGACAAACCTTACGAAGATTATATACCTGTTGAGACTTGGCCATCATCCGGGGTAGTTGAGTTTGATGATGTAACAGTAGCATACAGGTAAAACCGAATTCTCCTAGCTGAATCGATTTCGAGGACTAACTTCTCTACTTAGCCCAGAATTGTTAGCACTACAAAATGTCACACTGAAAGTTCCTGCAGGCCAACAATTAGTTATTTGTGGCCGTACAGGCAGGTATGTGGCTTTGTTTCTGAAACCTTCCTGCACACCTGCTAATATATTTCGGCGGAACTTTAGTGGAAAGAGTACTCTGCTTCTCACCCTACTACGTCTCCTAGATATGAAGTCTGGGTCGATTAAGATAGACGGAGTAGATCTTAGCTTAGTACCACGTTCTCTGATTCGACAAAGGTGCTTTATTACAGTTGCCCAGGATTCATTCATCATTGACCAAGCCAGTCTTCGCTTCAATCTAGATGTAAGGAAATATCGATCTTGTTCCCAAATTAATCTTTCTCGGAAACTTTTGCTTACAAGATCGTTGCCAGCCTTCTTCCTCCTTGTTAGATGATACTATCATAGCTGCTCTGGAAAGAACATGCCTGTGGTCACATTTTCAATCAGCGAACATAATATCCCCTAAAAAGGCCCACCAGATATTGAACAGTTCCATCACATCTTTACCGGAAATGTCTACTGGTCAAGCGCAACTCTTTGGACTGGCACGAGCAATTCTTCAGCTAGAATTTATCAATTCGGTACCCAGACTTTCGGGAAAGGATCCCAGCGATGGGCATATCATGCCGATTTTACTCCTAGATGAGGCTACATCGTCACTTGATCCGGAGACTGAATCTGCCATACACAAAATCATACACCAAGAATTTACAGAGAAAGGATATACCGTTATTACCATTACGCATAGGCTGAGCGGTGTGACTGAAAACATGAGACATAACCAGGGTATGGTCGCTTTGCTCTCCAAAGGGAAAGTCGAGAGAACCGGCGTCGTGGAAGATATCTTAAGTACGATACTTTCTGTTAAATAGTCTAAATAAGTGTATTTATATGCAATTGGAACAGGACTGAAAACCGACTAACGACTAGGCCGATACATAATGGTGGCTGATAAACTCAGGGCTGAACTGAGAACCCCTTCCAATATCGACTCTGAAACAGTACGAGCTTGGTTGATTCGGTAAACTTTCCTGACGCTCCTTACTTATCTTCGTATTGAAAATAGTGTCGACGACGACGTATACCACTAGGAACCATCTAGACTCACTTGATTTTCGTGATTTAAAGGTTTGGACTACGACGAACAGACTTCAAAACGCTCTATCCTACTGACAGACAGCGTGTCACAGGCATCCTGCCAGGTAACTGTCTGCGTTGCGATAACATTGCGCCAACTTACCACAAGTGATACAGAATCTCAAGCACCACGTTCAGCTCCGCACTGGACGCTGAACCATGATGACAACGACGACGATAACTGGATTGACGATGAGGACAACAACGTCCTCAAGGCGTCTCGTTACCGGAACACCTTTGCTACACGGCTAACTACGAGTGGCCACAACATGATCTATACCACGCATCCACCGGAATCACCGTACAAAGGGAGACCTTTCGGGACAAAACCTCTCCATTCTACCACGCCGATGACCTTGCCGATTGAATTCATTACTAGGATACATCCGGGAAAAAGTTGCTAAGCCCATCGTTGATGCGCTGGGGGTCCGCGATACACTCATGCGCGACTGGCCACTCAATTGGCGGATCTCTACCGGGGATCCTACCAGATTTCTTATTCATGCGGCCTGACGCCATTCTGATAACTCAACCGAGATAATTTTAGGCCAGATCATCTCTTGTTATACCTCCTCTATTAAAATACGCATCCATAGCCGACAGAACTTCCCAAAGATTATAAAGCTGCCAGATCAAACAGTATTGTATTTGTCGGCATGGAAAAGACTCCAGGCCATGGTGGTTCTCTACCATTTGTGTCACAAGAGATTTAGCGGCTGAAAAGGCTCTGTAGACTCATGGAGTTGCCAGTGAGCCAGCCTCGATCATTTCGACAACACTTTCTAACCTACTTATCGGTATACGCGATGTAGCAAGTCAGACACGATAGGCTCATCGATGAGGGGCTCCATCTGATCCACGCACGTCAGCTCGCCGGTTTCAGCACGTCGTCGGCACTCTATAGGAGGTCAATAAATATCGTTATATAGAGGCCTTCAAGTAAATAGAGCAGCAACACATGAGCGATAAAGCCGTAAGTAAAGGTCCTTTATCGGATTACAGGAAGCTTCGCAGTCAGTGGATCCTGACAACACAGTCCGCGCAGCTTCAAGGTGTGCGGGCCGTAGACGTGGTTCCAGTATTACAATCAGACATCCTACAATTCCGAGTCCAATGATTGCCAGCAAAAACGTCTTCTGCGCAGAGAAGATCTACGATACATGGATCTACAAAATGCATCCGGGCCCTGATGAGGACGATAGTGGCAGGGATATCGAGTAGGCACATGTCGCCCACAGACTTAACCAATTAAAGGCGAACCATTTAACATCATCGCCATCCATAGCTTAGTTACGCAGTCGCCCTGATAATAGTGGTCGCTTAAAAGCGAGACGGTGACCCGGCATCTGGAGAAGTCCACTGGCTGCAGCACGCGCACATGCTGCCTGATAACTTCTCTAATGCATCCATCTTTATTTACGACTCGAATGCCAATATCGATCGAGGTGCGGCGGCTGATGGTCTGCTCGGGTTTGCCGACCAATCCTTCGATGGGTTGCACCGGCAGAAGTCTGAGGCAAGACGTTCTTATAGCCGGTATGCAATGATACACGCTAGTTGATGATTTGGACTGTAGAGATTGACCTCCTGTGCTTGTTAGATCATTTTTTGGAGGACTGCTACTTATTTGGGTGGGTGTTCTGTTCTATTCAAGCATTATACCCTGCTCGTCCTCATTTCGACTTGTCTCTCTATCGCGCTTCGTCAAAGCCACAATGAGTACCACCATATTCTCCTGTATATCCTGGGAGTAATGTTCGTGTTAGATCCGTTCTAAGGGAGCGGTGAGATGATCCGACGTGCCGCAGGGCAACGCGTCGGTTGGGATTTCGATACCAAGCTGCGGTTCGCTTCTTTTCAAGATCGGAAACCCTTGAACGAGAATAGGAGTGCGTAATAACGTCATCCAGCAATCTCCGGATATGTCCGAACCAAGCGGTATATGGCCTGTTTGTTTGGAGTGATCGTAAATCTACGCAAGTGTCCGGGCGATGAGATGTTTCTTTGTCCTTTTGCAAGCTATCCCGTAATTCACAAGACTGAATAATTAGGCGAAAAGCAGCAATACTGTCGTCCTGAGAAGAAGATCGAAGCGCTGTTGAAATCCATCCCATTTGTTCACCTACTTCTACTATAGCAAACTGGTTGCCCTTGACTTGGATCGTTAAGAAATTATGACAGCGCTGTACAGTAAGATGTATACCATCGAGGAGGAAGACTAGAAAGCGTAAGCCATGGGACAGCACAGACCCCAATTGTGATTTTGCTTGACTTACGAGTATGCAAGATGTCTGGATTATCTTTGACAGCGTATTGCAGAATCTTGATGAGGCTTTGGCCGGTCTGCGGCCACGTCTGCAACATGTAATTCAAATTTGTTGATACTTGCTTATGCCTACCACATCTCGTAAGGGTAAATGCCCTCGCAAGTACTTCCTGTAGGCTTTCACTATAACCTTCATTGCTGTGAAAGTCCCAAGGATCCCAGGCGATGCCGAAGCGTGCCACGTACGGCTCTGGAGGGGCTTTACGACTGACATGTCTTGGTCCGAGCAAGCTGTATTCGTCCGACACCTCGGTTTCGGCTGCCCCTTCAATATGTTCGCCCGGACTAATCGGATTGTTACTAGAGGAACTGCTTGAAGAATTGAGAGACTTTCCATGCTAAACTTTCGACTTCCTGATAAATTCTCTGTTGCAGGAGTGCCGTAACTGTCTTCAAACATATCCATAATCCTGTGATCTATGGGACTGGCTGATATTGCGTCGCGCCAAAGAGCCATCTTTTCATCTAGTGATATCGAATTACCAATTCTGTTGGTTCGAGAATGAAATTGCTCCTCGAATTCCTCGACTATTCTTCTGGTTTTTCGCTTAGCAGAGTGGTATCATGTGGTTAAGATATGGAATGAAAACTTACCTCCGGTGTCTGTAGACAGAATGCATAAGCTTGAGTTTTCGAGGATCAAATGTATCCGTTCCAATATTTATAATAACAGCTTCGAGAAGCTTGAGCAGCAGCTTAGCTGTACTGGTAATCGTTCCTTCAGATAAATCCTGGCTAGCAGCTCTAAGCAGATCATTAGTTATATCAGAGATGTAATAATGATTTTCAAAAAGGATTAAGGCTGGTAGCGTCGGAGTAGGTAGTTTCCACATCGTCCTCGATGATTAGGTCCTTCCTAGTTACCGCTTTGAGGTTTAATTGCGGAACTGTCTTAGAGGCATGGTGTGACATTCAAAAACAGTGGGCCCACCGTCAATAAATCGATAGTAATCTCAGGGTATATATTCGTTGCCACACATAGCCTGAGTCTGTAAGTTTTTCAAGTAGTAAGGCCCAATCACCATCCAAGCCAGAACTCTTTCGGAGATTTAAAAGATGAACTCCTCCTTGAATCTCCTGTTTTTTGAGGAATATAATAGCTGCCCGTCGGACGTCGGAGTTTTTGTCCTCGAGCCTTCGAATAATTGTTTGAAACAATGCTTCGGGCAGGCTCGACCGTTTTCCGAGCGCCAAATTAGCAGCGTAGTCGCCGTCGTCTTGTTCATTGACGTCGGCGCCCCTTTCTAGTAGTATTTGTATAATTTCCTGATGTCCTTTAGATGAAGTAGCATGTAGCGCGTTGCCGAATTGCCCGCCTTGCGCGTTGACGTTAGCGCGCTTCTGGAGTAGTTTTTGTACAATTTCCTGGTGTCCTTTAGATTAAGCAGCCTATAGGGCGCCGCCTTATTTCCCGCCCTGCGCGTTTACGTGCGCCTCGTGATCTAGAAGCATTACAACACAACGTGGCAATCCTAGGAGTGATGCATAATACAAGCCAGTCGTTATATGCGAATCTCCTAACTTATCCAGCCGAGGCTTATCCGGGTCGTAAAGGCGACGCTATCTTTTTAACAAGTCACAGTTTAACAGAAGTCGTTTAGCACGATTAAATACATATCCGTTATTATACTCACCGATAATAGTATGGCTCAATTAGTATCGTGCTAAATATTGCGTAAGGTGAAAAGTCTCCTTAATCTCTTTAGCTATCTTGCTTTCCTTAAGTTCTAGAAGATATACTAGACAGACTTCTATAATAAAGGTTCGAGCAAACGTCTCTTAAAGATAGTAAGCCATATCGCTTTCTAAATGATTTAAGGTAACTTCGCCGTATTTACCCTGACTTGAGACGAGCATAACAAGACTCGAACAGTATTGGGTGATATCTTTTAGAACCGGCAACCTATCTTTGAAATCAAATCGACTTCCTTGAGTTGTATCCTTTCCGGTATCGACAGCGGTCGTATCAACCGCCTCGTCGAGTCGTAGCGGTCGCTCCGAGTATGTTAAGAATTACAAGATCCGTCTTGTGTGGTGTACGTGCTCTAGATGTATATTGGCTAGGATCCGCGAGTACGTTTCTACTAGAGTTTGCTGACATGATTTAAGCGTTATTCGTAATGAGATTGGATCACGGCACTACTTCAATACGTCAAATTGGCACGAAACCTAACTAAACCTTAATAGATTAGTATTAGCAATAAGAATCAGGTTATCGACTCTTATATCTTATTAGGTGCTCCTACGAGATTGTTCTCGATCTCTTCTTAGATATTCGGTTGTGATGTTTAAAGATTAAAGCCTTCGTGCTCTCTAATCGTTATATACATGTAACTGTGCATATCTGCCATTAACAAATCGTCTTGCATAGCAATCATTTGTTTGTCGCTAGCGTGGCGTTGAATGATCTATTAAATATGCTGCTCCGGTCGACTCGTTACTAAGAGGTGTACGTAAATCTATATAGAAGAGTCTCAGGCAATACTACTTATTTAAAATAGCAAATCGCGTGGAGACGATCACTTATCGAGCGCATCGAGCACGATTTACACTTTTTCTAGATTACGAAACATTTCGACAAAACCTTTTATAGAGAATCGAAGCTAGGCTACTCCTTTCCGCTTTAGCAGACCAACTAATAGAACGAGTTAAGATACTTCTAGGCATTCTTGTTATGATGGTATATCTAACGAACGACGGAACGTAATATGTTTTCAAATAAATGCTTTCAATTAGCTACAAAGTCGAAATAGAAGTAGAGCAGCGTTTATAAAGGGGCTTTGGCTCTAGCCTCTTTATAAGTCTTCCATTATAATTGACGTAAGGATGGTCTTACCGCATCCAAGGATGCTATGAAGCAAATGCAATAGGCTATCTCCTCTCTTCCATGCTATATATGCTTCGCTCTCGAGTAATCGGCGTCCGGAGCCTGGATGGCGAGCCTCAATGGCTCTGTTTAAATTAGAGGAAACGTCGGGTAGAGCTAGCCATTAGAAGATATCATCGAAAGTATTTATCTAGAAATCGATACGCTCGAGCCTGAAATCCCCTAACTGACTATTAGTATGACGTGTTGTCTTTTACCTTAGAAGATCATATACCGTTGGAAAGAACCTCGACCAACTATTTTTTGGCCTTAATCTTGATTAAAGGAATCCTACCAAGGGTCTCTTTGGCATAGGCAGCCGCGGCCATTGCCGCATAGCCTTGCCACTGATTATGTCTGTAGGTATCGTAATAGTCGCAAATCCCGCGAATTACTAGACATGGTAAATGATTCATTAGCCTAACAGCTTCCGTCTCGAAGCAGAGAACGTCTTTCTCCTACGCCAGCTTGTCTCGTATAACCGCATCCTTCACTGATTGGCTCGCAAAAGCTATTAAGCCATAATGTATCATAGGGTTACATTTAACCTTATATTGTACGCGGCTTACCACTAATACGAGGCATCACTAGATCGGATCATAAGGGCCAGGAAAGGCACGCGGCTCTCGCCATTGGAACCAATGCCGCGAATCCCCAATCGATGAAACTACGGTATGTCATTAGCTGATGTGAAGCATATAGCTATAACGCTTCTATACCCTATCATGTTCTAGTCGCAGTATACGGTGATATTGTTCGGCTTGATATCACCGTGGTCTATGACGAGTGCTGTGTTGTCTATTTCTTTACCGAGTATACATTGCAGTAGACGCTCACGATCAGCACACGCCTAATTAAGAATATCCGAGATATTGCCCACTTCGACACGGTGCCCCTGTTACTCAGGATCCCGTCGAAAGATGTCTCTGCAGTGACTGAGCCTGGAGCGCCGGTTAGCACTGTACCCTGCTAGTAGGGCGTCCAATCCACAGCATTACAAGTACATCTACATCCACGTTGATATTACAGCAAATATAAACCCCAGATGGTAGAGCCTGTCTTAAGTCCGGTGGATACCGTGGAATATGAGGGGGCTACATGGGGCAGAGAAAGTTTCGCAAAAATGCGATTTGAGTGTGAAGGTCATTGCTCACGTCTTGAGGTCTGAGGTTGATTTTTGTTCTGTCTTTGGTGACCCAACAAGATTCTTGGAAATCGTGTCCAGGATATCGAGCCAGTCCTACAACGTCAGTCAACTCGCGTTTCTCGATTTCAACCTTGAACCTCGCAATGAAGACATGACATTCTTCCAACAGCGTAGCGTCTTTCTTCTCTCAGACATAACTCAGTTGGTCTCAAGCAGCTAGATGACTGGCTGGGCGTTCTTCGTTCCAGGAACCACACCATTCCAAGGGGTAAGACTTTCGTGGTAGTCAACCATCTTTTTGCTGGAATCAATTACAAAGTGACAGTGCAGACCAGAGGAAACACCAGGCATCTAAGATTATCTGCAGTGCCCGGTGTCGCTTCCCGCAGAGTTGAACAGACCTTCGAGTGCATACATTTATAGCTATAGCCGCGGACGGTTCATTCGTTTTGAACATATTGGTCACCACCGCTCTGCTACATCTCTTAGCAATTAGAGCTCACTCGATTTGGCTGTTACGGAAGATCTCGCCATAGGCTTGATTTCACTGCTTCTCGGATGCAAAAGATTGTGGCCCATCAAAAACCGCCGAATAATGTCAAAGAGAGGGTGTAGGTGACTGACGATTGGTTCCTGTTCTGTGGTATTCTGTCATGTTTGCTTATAGTAATAAAACTTAGTTTAACCGAAAGTTCAACAAAAGTTAAATGATAATAGAGTTAAACTTCGCAACGTAAAAAACATCACCACTTTCTGAACAGAAAGGGTGTTGCCCGTCCACCGTTGTCACCTCCGGCGCTCCATTACAATATGCAAAAGTGAAATCAATCATATTACCAAGATTTCCAGAGGAACTCAAAGTCCCCGTCGTCCCTGATGCTCTCTTGGGGCACTCGGGTCCACATCCGAGCTGTGCATGCAATTGCGAGACTGGATATCGAGAAGTCTTTTCGGTTGGGCTGAGAAAGACGACCAGGCCGGCGTCGAGCCCTTGCGGGTGGTAAAAGAAGACCTGATTGTTATATGTTGCGGAAAACAATATACCGGACGGGTCCACTGTGAACGTTGTGGCGAGGGTTTTGTTGGTGCTGCTCTGGGCGTAGACATATGTCGATTCGGGCGATGTCGGGATGTAGACATAGCTGCCTGCTGCGGTGCCATTGGCGATTTGGATATGAAAGGTCGGTTGCGTGCAATTCAGGGGTACGGGAGCGCAGGTCTTGTGCTTAAGATCGCGAGGAACGCCCCTAGCATTTCTGTCGATTAGGTCGATTGGCTGAGCCACCACTATCCCCGTGAAAAGAGTGAAAATGAGAGAAGGCAACAACATAGTGTCAGGGAGCAATCGACCATAAGGGGAAAGTAAAGTCTCAAGTTTAGAATCAGACCACACAAAAATCTTTCCTAATAAAATAACTGGTAATATGTGATAGAAGACATCAAATGCCCTGCCGAGGTAGAAGAAATTCCAGGGGTTATACATAAACAGCCGCATATTATAGATGCCACACGACCTCACGGGATAAGTCCGTACTATAGGGGTTCTTATGTCGTCCAACGACGAAAAGGTGTCAAAAGCGACGCCTCAACGTCAATGCCAGTATTGTGTGTCATACACACCTGAAAGAAGTGTGTAGCTAAAACAAGAAGGTCCAACGCCACAGTGTAGCTACCCGAGCCATCGCCGAGTGGGAGTAAAACCTGGGGTGGTGGCTAGTATTATTTTTAGATCTAGTGGCCTAGCGAGTAGCCAATCTTAAACCTGGATGCGGCACGGCCTTTGCATCAGTCTTGCATTTCAGCTCTCTAATAGCGCCATTTTAGCGAGAGATGTTGACCTCGCTAGGGATAAGGTGAATGCTGCCAACGACAAGCTCTGAAGTATTAGATGACTTGGTAGTAATTCATAATGCTTTTACGGCGCACCGAATACGATGTCATAATAAAAGGAAAAAAGGAACGGCCAGGATAAGAACAGTATAGATGATTTAGCACGCACATCCGATCTACGTTAGAGATCTTATATTAAGCATAGTTGACGGTCTATTTGACCAAAGGTTGAGGTATGATAAGAATAACCTTGCCTGTGAAGGACACATCGAGTTATTTTATTATGGTGATACAGAGACAGTATTACAGTACGAGAATCATGCAAGTTGATACCGCAGAGCAACCCTGTAATCAGAATTTACCACGACCATGCACAGCTACTGGTGCAAAGTACAGGCACGAAGTCTGCTTGGCGCATAGCAGATCGCCTCAGTGCATGCCAGCTTCAAGTGGCAAGGGCCCTTGGGACTACCAATGCCCATGGATGCGAACCAATGTATATAGAAAGGAGGTAGAACTACTGCGATCCAACTCGAAAGCGCTAACGTGGCATCGGCAGTGCTTACGCCGAGTCGGAATGCCGCCCCATATGTGCAGGCCGGAATACGCCGCTGCATAAATAGAAATACAGAAAGGGCTCGGTTTGGGATACCTGGCTCTTTTAGCGACCTCACATTAGTAGACAATCGCAAAAGTCTAACGCAGAGAGACTTGTTCCTCTAGATATTTTCTCTGCTTAACGTACATCGGCAATATCCGTTCTTAGTCAGTGTCTGCGAAAAATATAACAACGAGAAAGCGGCCGTTAAAGCTAAAAGCTAGCTAATTTTGCAGTTCGGGCTGACTGAGCTCTTTCTGTAAGGTGTTATTTATGTAGCTTTGATCACAATTATGATTTCCTCATTCAAGAATGATGCGCGGAGATTCTCTAGGGTCAGTGTTTAGTGATCTTCTCTGTGGTGGATGCATTTTCCGAATGGTCTACACGAAGCCGCCAGGGAAAGTAAAAGTTCTCTTTGATATTGAAAAGAGTGAGATAACGTTGTGATCAATGAATACCTCAGAAAATTCGGAATTGCGCCTTTCCTTCAAGGTTTGCCTGCGATATTGATATGATGGAATTGGCCATGGCAGGGTGATATGCGATGAATTATATAGCCTAATATCCTGATAGGTGACCTCTTTTAGGCCCCATCTGTGAGATAGAATGACGTGTGATGGTAGCGATGAAACTGGAAACTCGTACAATTTCTATGTAGTCGTACTGATAAGATGTATGGTGAAACAAGGTCGATAGACTTGTCAAGCAATGACCGACGTCACAGTTGGCGCCAATCATTTCAATCCATCGTGCTTTAGTATATTTACTTTCTATATCTAGTCGTTTGATTTCATGTCTGAACCAGGGAACTGATAAGGCTCTGGCTTATCCGTCTGTTCCAGCCACAATCCCTTAATCTCGAAATCGTTATTTAATATTCAAGGGTATAGGTAGATATACGTATGGTACGCATATCGTACTCTTAAATCTTATTAGTTCATGTGTCTTGAGGTTGGGAGTATTGAAAAGTAGCTATCAAGACCGCGACAATTTAAAAAAGAAAGAAAAAGAAAAAGATATACCCTAAGCCGGCCCTCATATCCATCAGCGTCGCAAACGCCATCACCATCCGCCGGAGGGCTCCAATTAGAATCGTAAACCCAAGCCTTGGGAAAAATGGCTCCGCGGTCATCAATGATGTCACAGATAGGCGGAAACCCCTTCTCGTCGGACTTTTGCTTTTCTGCCGCAATGAGTTCATCGATGACAGGGCGGAGGCCTGCCGTTTTGTACACGATGAAGCCAGACCTGCGCTGACTTTTCACGAATTCGTTCAGCCATGCCGGGGTTTGGCGTAGACTGCATCGTCCACTTGTCTGGAGTCAGCCACGTTCCCCTCGCATCTCCTCCGTTTCAGGTCCCCGGCCGCCTCCTACGGTACTTCGCAGGCCCTTTTGCCGCTCTCTAGAAAGTTTGCAGTAGGATCTATACCGGTGGGCTTCTAGAATCACCGCGTGGCAGCAAACGCTGCTCCTGCCTCCTGATCCGTCCAGACCAGTCTCTCGGCATGGATTCTGTCCCTTGGTGGTCTCCATTGAAGCTCTTCCGGTAGACGGGCGTTGAATCGGTGCATGAGCAGATGGGACTGTTCGACCGTCATTCAGCCGGCACCAACGGTAGTATTGGCAATGAAGTCTTCGGGGAGACAACTAAGCCGACTGTCGCAATATTCGCAACGAACTCTTCACTAGACGGCCATCCCATGGCCTAGCGGCGCTCCTCCTCTGTCAGCGAGGAAGGACTGCCAAGAGCCTTCCCGATTAACGGACCCGAGAGCTTTAGAAGTTGCTCCCGGTCGGCGTCCTTAAGGTCCACATGATTATTTGCAGCCTTTTCGATAAGCGCTATCTCGGCCAGTGTGTAGTCCAGGTCCCACGATCCCGGAGGCCTGAGTTTGCCGTCTTCAGAATGCCTAGTATACGTTTTCGAGGCAAGCGGCATTGTAAACTCACCCGATTTGGCTGTTACGGGGGATCTCTCCGTGGGCTTAATTCCCCTACTTCTCGGATGCAAAAGATTGTGGCCACATCAACAACGGCCAAGTATCGTCAAAGAGTGGGTATAGGTAACTGGCGATTGGGGTTTTTTTCTTTTTCTTTTCGATTGTGTTCTGTCATGTATCTGCTTATAGATGTAGTCCGATTCTTAAGTGCCAGCAGATTTCCTGGCATCATGGTCCTAGCATCATGGTCCTAGCATCATGGTCCTAGCATCATGGTCCTAGCATCATGGTCCTAGCATCATGGTCCTAGCATCATGGTCCTAGCATCATGGTCCTAGCATCATGGTCCTAGCATCATGTCTGCATGCCCAGTTATCCTTGACCAGTGACAAGTAGCCCACCTCCCATTGATTCCACGGCCATTGATCGGCATATACAAAAACAATGAACCAAAAACATACAACACCGGGGATTCGCTGGTGGTCACCCACCCAACTACTAATCCAGCGCTTCTCAGTTTATCTAGGGCAGAGCGGACGGGATGCCGAGTTCTCTGAGAGCTATGGTCGTATGTGCTAACTCACGCTCAAAACATGTACTATATATGTTATCATAAGCCTATCAACTGGTGCTACTCATTGCAGTACCGCTGGATGGCTTAGAGTGTTCCGAATTTTGCAAGCATCTCTATTTTCCGATAACCTCGTCGCTAATAGCGGATTTGACACCGGGCTATTAACCTGTCGGGTCATCTCTGGTCGCAACTAGATCGGCAATGTTTCAGTCACCAACGGTGTTTACAATAGGACAACGAAGAAGCCTCTAGCAGCAACACGGACAGTCGACAACTTTGGAAACACATCAAACGACGCGAAAATGCTTAGAGTATCTCTCGCTAATAGTCTTACAACGACTAGTTTGTCAATGCTTATTCCGACAACTACGTTTCTGACGTCCACGTGTACTTGAACGACGACATAAAGGAATAGCATATCTTTACACGCGGGCACAGACGGGTTCTAATAATTGGCAGAGTGAAAAACTTTTATTAACATCAAGCTCTTCGGGCTCTGATATCCTGTATTTCAATTGTGTCAGCCCTTAGGATGACCGTGGGCCAAAACCGAGGGCCAAACAATGTTGCTCTAGATAATATGGTATGTACGCGGTCTTGGGAGAATAGGCCAGCGATCAGCTCTCAATTCCAACCCTTAGTACTCAGTCGAGAACAAGGCTGCTCCAATATGACGACAAGTTGATTGCGATTAAATGATCCTCGATGTGAACGTGAAGTATTCTGTCATTTATTGGTCCTTTGGCTCGAAGTATTAAGTCTTGGCGCAATGCCCTGCCATGGAGCAGTTCAGATGGCTTTGCATGACTGCGGCTTCCTCCTCTGAAGTCTTCAACCTGCATAATTGTCCGATTGAAGCGGTGGCAATCAATTAGTAGTCAACATAGGACACGCTCCAATCATGGGGTGGCCTGGCTACCACCGAAAGGTGTTCGCTCGATCTTTTGCCATATCCCCTTCCCTTGTGAGCCCTTGGTGCGCCCCATGTGATGGTCCATCTCAGCTTTGAGTGCTGGGTTGATACCCTTCTTGCGCAGCTTCTCTTTCTCGGCCTCGGAGTAATAGTTCTCCCAGTCCACTGTCGTATCTTTGCTCGAGCAACTTATCCCACTTGACTTGTGCTTGAGGTCGTCGGCAGGCTTGTCTTGGTGATTCGACATTTTAAGGGTTAGAGGTCAGATTTGTCTGAGATGCCGTTGGATGGAAGAGATGGCTCGCGATATTTCTAGCTTCGTGATATGAGTAAGCCTGAAAATGGTTATAATACAATAACAAGAAGGTAATTCAACAGCAGGAGGATAATGTACGGCCCAGGAGAACCCTGCGCGAGTAATGCACGGAGAATGATCCACAAAATAATCGTCATTCCGCAATGCTAAGAATCCTTCGACCCACCGTGTCACCTCTAAGCACTTGCTGTGGCAGTGTCGCTCAGACTCTGATTCAACCTCCCTGTGGCCGTGAGAACACGAGGTGACGCAATTGGAGGACATTTACAACGTCCTTCGACACTAGAGAACCCTGAGAGTGGCAGAAGTAGCGGAATCCCAATTTGAAATGATATGACTTGAGTTTTATACGCAGCTGGCGGGTCGATCAGGTGAAATCAGAAGGTCGGAAGACTGGAATGCTGGAAGCTATGATCGTAGCGGGGTCTTGGCAGGATCCTCATTCCTCGCCAAGCAACCCTTCGATAGACCACATTGAATGCAGTGGATACACGTTACGAGCTTCGATTATGTTCAACTTGTTTCTCACCAAATCACAAGTCTTTTTGCTGCTTGTATAACAAACACCTGCAGAAACGTTGTGTGATACCTAGCCACCGCCTAAGCAGTTCTCATTGGCCGGAGAACACCGGCTTTCTACCACCGCGTAAGTATAATCTACATATGAAGATGGTTAGTAGATCAAGTCCTTGAATAGATGTTCTAGTGTGCATCATCTAAATTAGCCTTTTCGTAGCGTCCTGCAATGACCTTAAGCAAAGAATACATGGCCTCGCCAAGAGGAGAGGGCATTCCACGATACCTAACGAGGTAAGAATACTAGCTTTGAAACTGCTCTTGAAATCTAGTCAAGTCGACGATTCCAGTAAGGGCAATACCCCAAGGTCTTTGTAGCGGCGCGTGTAGGGCAATTTCTGCCGTCAATATACCTTGTCCAATTGGTAAATTCGACCATCCTCAGCAGTATCTACGTTGGGTTGGACACATAGATTCATCAACCCAAAGACATGGACTCTTAAAGTATGTATGTTCGCACTCCTGGCTACTTTGCCCAGGAGTATCATGCAACTTGTACCGAGCCTCTAGATCTACCCATACACAATATATCCCCCTAGATGCATTGCAATCCATATTTCATTTTCTTGCTTCTGCCCACTCATAAGTTGGTTCTAACAATAACAATCTCTATGATTTTTCAAGTCTTACCACCCAATGAAAATCTGTTCCGGAGTGGAAGTTCCGCCCTATTGATCCTCAGCTAATGCATTATTCCTGCCGGCCTCGCACTTTACTATTAGTCCTGCATTAGACATGCCAAACAGCAGCATGTGACTTCGGGGATTGGTCTTGTCACTGAATTCTAGACAGCACAAGTCTTCTCGATTGACCCATATAATAGAAATTATTCTGCCTTGGCCGCTACAATTGGTAGTTCATGCACGCCATATATGATTTTGCCTTTCCCTATAAGGCGGAAGATTAACCGTAGTAGCAAGTATCCCAAATACTCTAAAACCGTAGGTATCAGGATAATCTATATCGCCATTTTCCTTAGCGGCGGGGGCCAGCTTTGCTCTCAACTGGGGAGGTCGACGTCAGCGATGCAGAAGATTGTGTAGAGGTTCTGTATTTAGCATTCTTATGTTTCTTTGACATCATTCTGAATACCTTCTGGACACCTTCTGGGACACGTCATAAGGAGAAAATGGCCAAAAGTGATGGACCACATTCGGATCAGATATTATAGCCACGTCATGTATCCCCGTAGCACATCCCGACGACATTCCGAGAATGGGGAATGTGGGGAAACGTTTAATTATTGAGGCTTGCGTCGGGATGATCTATGGTCCATGAGGTTCAAGATGGTAGAGCCAGAAAAATCTTGATTGGGTAACTCCGTCTCGTGCTCGTATCGATTTCCAACAAGCTTACAGTGCTTCATTATCGCACACTTTGGCTTTGGTTTCCTTTCGCGCCGCTAAACTACGTATTTGTCGACACCTCATTGATAACAACACAGATCTTCCATGGCGCCGGCCGCACTCAGCAATGAGGCGAGTTCACGCGAAGGTTATGGCGATCACCATGAGGAGCCGCATATCAATAATGAGCATTGCGTCTGAAACAAGAATCATATACGTTTTAGTCTATGGAACTGGAATAATCCCAAAACATGTCATTTTCTAGCACCGCCCACCAGACCGATCATGTATTTCTAAGGGCGTAAAATCACCTACTTGAAATCCTTCAGCCGTGTCAAGTGAACACCGATGACAAGGCTTGACATGTTCCAAACTGTACCCAAAGTCCCCCTTAGCTATTGCGTATATGATTGCCACATGTGGAGTGCCAAAGAAAAACGCCAAGCCCGACCGATTCTGCGGGGTTGTGAGTACTGTCAATAGAACGTTATATAGTAGTATCGGTTTAATCCCAGTACGGGCGGCTAATTTTCTATCCTTGAGTTCAACCCTACGCTTTGATGAACCCCCTTTCCCCTCTCTGGTGATTAAAGAAGCGCTTGAGGTATAGACGGTCACTTGATGGGTCCGAAGAAGATGATAGAACCACAACGGACGGAATGACACTATATTGGTTCTATGCCATGTAAGAATACGCTAGGATAAGATAAGAAGTACAAGAAAAATTAGATATCTCACGTCCGCCACCCACAAAAAGGGCGAATCAAGCCTCTTGCGTGCCACAAAGCTTATTTTCTTTGGGTCTCCAACCTTAGCGCAAGTTTTGGCTGTTCAGTATGCTCGGGAGTCTGTTCGCAGATCGCGACGGACTCTTTCACTCAGCGCGATCCCCGTTTTCGCGCGCCGTAGCAGATGCCTTCTGCATCTCTCTTAGCAGCACGCACCGATGCGATTACCGGGCTCTGGCGCCGGGCTATGATGCTGATACCTAAATACGGTCAAGTTCGGTATTTGCTTCCCAGCTGACAACGGGCCAAAGTTTCATTGAAATTGCTACTATGGGGCTTCGGCGATAGGACTTAGCAGGTCCAGATCCAGATTCAGATTCAGATCCAGATCCAGGCAACCAGGCCGATGCACGAAATATTTCCGGTGCGATCACAGGGTTTAGTCACCCAGGCCCACGTTACATTATGCTCCATCTTCTTCAAACACTTTTGCGGCATTTTTCATTATCCATTCTCTATAACGTGGTGGTCTTCAAGTGCGGTGTACGTTCCGCCACGGACATGACCGTTGAAGAGCAGTGGATGAAAATTCCGTTCTGCTCCACTAGACTAGACGATTCGACCGACACGGGTCCGACGGAGCCTCAATTTCTGACCAAATTTGAGACAAAGAATGTCGACAGTCGCGGCAACCAGTTCGACAACATTTCTAGCGGCGGGCACCATGTGGGACATTGTTGAATGGAGCCCACGTGAAAATAACGTTCTGACCGCCGATCTGTCGAATCGCGACGAGTTGCGTATCCGCTGGTTCAATGCAGACCCAGTCGGCACCAATTAGTCCTAGAAGCAGTGGGCAACAATGCTTTGTAATGGTGCCCTGTTTCGGGGCTTGCAACGGGGAAGGTCGCCTTGGTTGTAATGACGGATCTCGTTGAGAGAAAAGTGGACTGGTCGATTGTGATATAAGGACGAAGGAGACGGCGCGACACTACGGATCGGCTTGTTTGAATCATTCTCAGTCAGCTTCAAACTTTCTATCCCAGCTACTACCAAATCTCTTTAATTGCATCTCTATTACTGCCTAGACCAAGATGGGTTCTACCGCCACCGACTATAAGTTCGAGGGATGGAACGCCTTGGATGCTTCCGCCGCGGAGGGAAAGATGGTCTGGCAGGAGTTTGAGCCCAAGCGATGGGAGGAGAACGATGTCGACATCAAGATCACTCATGCCGGTATCTGCGGTAGCGACATTCACACACTGCGAAGCGGCTGGGGTGCCACTGCTTACCCCTGCGTTGTCGGTCACGAGATTGTTGGAACTGCCGTAAGAGTTGGTTCCAAGGTTCAAGGCATCAAGGTTGGCGACCGTGTCGGAGTTGGTGCTCAGAGCGATTCTTGCTTGGGCCGCCATGGCGACTGCGAGGACTGCGCCGCTGGCGACGAGAACTACTGCGACAAGTGGGTTCCTACCTACAATGCCAAGCACTTCAACGGTGATGCTGCACAAGGTGGTTACGCCACATACCACCGTGCGCCTTCTCACTTCGTTATCAATATTCCCGAGGGTGTCCCGTCGAACGAGGCCGCTCCCATGATGTGTGGTGGTGTCACAGTGTACGCTCCCCTCAAGAACTACAACGTCGGGCCTGGCATGACTGTCGGCATTGTTGGGGTTGGTGGTTTGGGCCATTATGGTGTCAAGTTCGCAAACGCCCTGGGTGCTAGGGTTATTGGTATCTCTCGAAAGGAGTCAAAGCGTGCTGAGGTTCTTGAGCTTGGCGCCGATAACTACATAGCTACAGATGATGAGAAGGACTGGGTCCAGAAGCACTTCCGCAGTTTGGATCTCATTATCTCTACCGTTGCATCATCCAAGGTCAGTAGAAAAAGATATATTTCAAACGACAGGAACTCATGCTAACAATTATTTCAGGTCCCTATCAACGATTACATGCAGCTGCTGAAGAAGAAGGGAACCTTTGTTCAGGTCGGTATTCCTGAAGATGGTCCTTTCCCGATCGCTGGACCTTCGGTGGTTTTCGGCCAAAAGAAGTTCACCGGGTCCCTGATTGGATCTCCGAAGAATTTGAGAGAGATGTTGGAGCTTGTCGCAAAGAACAACCTGAGGGGTATGATCCAGGAGCGCCCAATGAAGGACGCAAACCAGGCTATTGTGGACTTGGAGGCTGGCAGGGCGAGATACAGATACGTTCTTGTCAACGAGGATGCCACATAGAGGGGCGTCAGTCAAGCAATGATAATAATCAAAGAATAAATCAGTAAAACTTCGTGCCGGTGAGACAGAATGACGCGGATACAGACCGGCTGTATTGTGGTCATTGTAGACAGTTATATTGCCTGCACGCGAACATGATCAAGTGAACTAGATGCTATTCACATATCTGACTTCTGGCTAAATAAATATGGGTACAAGCTGTATCCTTCCGAGCCCGTATGTGTTGTGCAACCAGGCCTTGGATCGCCAACGTTCTTAACAAAGTCCCGTCGAGAATAACTTCCAGACTTTGAAACTTCTTATGTGGGCTGCGTTCGACTGGCCGAGCTCGGGGAGACATCAATGGTGATTTACCATCATCAGGTCCCTTCTAATATATGTCATGCCAGATCCAAGCAAAATTATGGACACAAGCGACCGGATACCCCAGATTGCGAAGTGGTACGGCTTTGCTAGAATCGTTATCGCCCAGTTTGCGACCTAAGTCCTTGGCATGCTGCAATAAAACGCTAGAAGAACATTACCAATGCTCTCTAGCTTATTTGTTTTTCATAAAAGATATAATTTTAAGCTCCAACAATGCTTCATGTCCTGGTTGATGGTATAAGTAAAAGAGGTGTGTTTAGGTACAGTTATGATGAGGTGGGCTACACATAAGTACCGGTCACTAGCGTCTACCATTCAGCCAATTGTTACTGGCCACTCGAATTATGGAGATGCTTTTCAACGCACCAACGATCTCATAAAACAAACTATACCGTAGTATGCGTGTCAGGGCGACAGGCATAGTTGATCAAGAGAATTGATGTTTGATCGAGGCTCGAGGCCCAGTTTGTGCGATTTGTAGTCAAAGCGAAAGTTATTGGCGAATTAACTCAGTGGAACTGTTGAGCATATTTGTCAGTATATGCGGTAAGCATGGGTGTTTGGTCAGAAGACAACACTCGCTGAGTGATCCATATCCACGCCAATTTGTGATTTGACGTAGCCAATCGTTATTGTACCTGCGACTTCCGGTTCACTGATTCTGCACGTGCAATGCTACTCTGACTGCATACCGGTCTAATCGAGGGACTTCTATGTTTTGCACTACACGACGAAAGATCGCATATATGCTCGAACTTGCTCTTTATTGAGCACCCATGCTGTACACTTCGTATAAGTAAGGGCCTAGTGCTATATGCAATAAGGATGCTTATGCTACTCCAATCGAGCGAGCTCTGTAAGCCAACAACTCTTTGGCGTATAAGAGCGTCAAAGCCGTAAGCCCCAGGACTCGGGTGTTCAGCATAGCTTTAGCCTCTCATCATGTGGTCAAGACTTCCACTTCTATTCGCGCCCCTACTGGGTGTATGTGTTTCAGGTTTGCGCACCCGGAGTTCAACAGCAACTTGTGGCGTCAATACTTTCGCATCGTTGACATTGGCCAACATCAAAGTGTTAAGCCTGAATGTAACAACTTCATTTAATGTGTCTATTTCTCGCGAAACAGATGGCTCACAGGCGGGATCTGTAATGGATATTTGTCGCATTGCTGTCCAATACACTCATCAAGGCCAGAATGATTTGATCAACACATATATTGGGTTGCCTTTAGATGCTTCGCGATGGAACTCGCGTTTTCTGATGGAAGGCGGTGGCGGTTGGGTCGCTGGGGGTTCAGATTACATCCTTTCACCTGTGGTTTCTGGTTACGCATCATCGTCGACTGATGGTGGCCACACAGAAGATCAGCAGGCATCGGATTGGGGATTCGTTAGTGAGGGTAACACCAATTGGCCAGCTTTGTCCGACTTCGCCAGTGTGGCTCTGGTCGACGCAGCAAGACTCGGAAAGCAAGCTACTCAGCTGTACTATGGCGCCCAACCTGAGTTTTCGTACTGGAAAGGCTGCTCGCAAGGCGGACGACAAGCGCATATGATGGCACAACGTTTTCCTGAAGAATTTCATGGTATTATTGCAGGTGCTCCTGGTATCAATTGGCAGAAGTTCGTTCTTTATTTGTACTGGCCTACCTTTATGGCTCATATCCTTGGTAAGTTCTGCGGTAACTCACTCCCACTAAGCATCGACCTTGAAAATTTTGATCACAAATACACAAATAGGGAGGTATATTTCTCGGATGCGATCTCCCATTCACATGCAGACCGATTGCTTCATCTCCCATTCGCCCTCAGATGAAAACCAAGGCAAGCTTGTGACAAGGTGCTGACTGGATATTAAAGACGTCCGACCGCCAGCTTGTGTTTTGGAGGCATTCAGAGAAGCAGCGATAGCAGAGTGCGACGCTGCTGATGGTGTAGAAGATGGTATTATATCACTACCAGGACGGTGTGACTTTGCCGCTGCCTCTATTGTCGGACAACTTGTCGATTGCAATAACCCGGCTGGAACAGTTGCAATTACCGAGAAGATGGCCCAACTCGTCGATTCTATCTGGAAAGGTGTCACAACTGCTAATGGCGATTTCGAGTGGTATGGTTTACATAAAGATACTACCCTTGCTGCGCTACTCTCTACATCTTGTACTTCCATCGACAACTGCACTGTCACGCCTATGCCGATTGGTGAGGACTGGATCAAAGTATTTCTGGCAAGAAACGGTTCCTTAGATATGAACTCAGTAACCCACGAAGACTACGATAAGTTCTTTCGGCAGTCCGTGGATGAGTATACGTCAATTATTGGTACCGACAACGCGGATCTCACAGATTTACGTAAAGCTGGAACCAAAGTCATCGCCTGGCATGGTCTACAGGATCAAGCACTTCCACCCAACGGCACAATTGATTACTATGACCGGATCTCGGCGAATCACCGCACCAATCGTGCCAATGGTACTGTGTCCGATTATTACCGGCTTTTTCTGGCTCCTGGTGTAGAACACTGCGGGTCGGGCAATGGGTTTGACCCAAGCAACACCGTCCTAGAAGCGTTAAGGGCGTGGGTAGAAAAGGGGATAGAGCCTAACACGCTTGAAGGTATAGGACGTGCCATTGCTGGTACCAACACTAGCGACACCAGATCTGTCGGATTATGTGCGTATCCGTCAGTGTTGTCATTTGTTGGCGGTGATCCCAACAACAATGCGTCTTTCACCTGCATATAGAGGGTTTCCCGATGGTGAGAGCCTACAGGAAACACGCAGTACGTAGGGGGGCAACTGCACTGTTGTGCTCGTCTTTGCGTTATCATCGTGGCCACATTCGAATACCCAAGGTTAAGGTTTTGACGATCATGTATTTAAGGCTTATGCTTATGCGGCAGCGGCTATGAAGCCTGGTTAATATATCGGTTAGACATGGGGTCTTCTATTCCCATCTTCCTAATACTTGTTGGACTTGAGATTTCTCGCCAAATCACGAGAGCTGGGCTACGGCCAGATGTTTCAGGAGACAAACACAAGAACGTGGGATTGATTTAGACTAAACTAGTCTAGGCGATATAACATCCTCCAATAACATTGCCAAGAGCTGCGCCGCCGATAACCCACGATTGTACTAGCCGGCCGGCATCCTTGTTCCGTTTATTGACTCACACCTCGAAACAGGATGACAGCCCCGAAATTCATTGATGAAAAAGCACGATGGAGCATTTCATACTTCGGTCGCCGATTTCAGAATGTCCTCATCCACCCTTCACTGTTTTCAACTTTTGCCACTGGAATTACGCCAACGCATATGGACACTGAGCATTCAGCAACGCGAAGTTACGATCTGCGTCGCTTTTAGCCGGGTTGATGACAAGAATATACCGCGTTACTACTACTCGCGGACATCGGTGCCGCCCGCTCTGCAAGTATGTGGAGAATCTCGCTCATATTTCGAGACGTTTCACTACAGAAAGGCGTTCGTTCAAGGTATCGAACCACGCTATGTATGGATCAACGTCAACGACCTTGACACAATCCGCACCAATATCCATCAACTGGGCTTTCTCGACATTGAGCGATCGTTGATGCGACGGTTGACTGTCGAATGCGACCCCACGGTGGATAGCTTTTGGTACCGGATTGACGATAGAGGACCACTCCGAGGTAATATACAGGTGTTTTCAGACGTTCTTGAGAGTCTGCTCATTATCCATGATACCATCGGGGACGATTCTGAATGGTGGAGAGATTGGATACAGTTCATGGGGGAGTATTACTATACGGACGACCCAGTATCGTACTACACGAAGATAATCAATCCAAAGTTTCCGGAGATTGACGAGCTCGTTCCAGGAAACTACGTGAGGAGAGATAGGGACGCTCGCAAGGAATTAGCAGTGAAGCTTTCTGATGACGATGGGCTTTCGGGCTCGGACGACGACGTAGATGGAGACCGCCTTTGGATATGGAAGCACACCCAAAACTGTGATTGCAATATACGGAACAAGTCACGATTTACCGACCCATTCAATAATACGAAAGTCAGAACGGAACCTCATCCTACCAGCCCTGGGCATGTACGACTTCTCAGATCTCTTAGCATACAGTCGGGCTAGTTGGAATATTGTCCTCTTTGAGAATCAACGGCTTAGGGCTTTCTCTGACGAGAGAACCTGAGTTGATAGAATTGATCCTTGTCTAGGACTATCAACGGGGTAGAATGCTATTCTGATACAAGTGTGGCACAGATAAGGAACGCAATGCAGTGCGCAGCCTACATATAAGATGGAGTTACTCGTGAGAGACCGTACGTTCAGCAGTAATTGAACAGACCAGGGAGCAATCGGTCATCTCATAGCGCCATTTGTGACAACAGAGCTGGTTCGATCTGTCGGAAACCCCAAGTGATCATCTCAGTACGTGCTAAGCTTCTTGTACAGAATGTCCACGGCCACGTAGTCTTGTGTAACAATGCTAGTACCTATGGAGACGTGTTACCTCTGCGGAGTTTCTGATTGCATATCGAAGAAGCAGGCGAGCAAACTTACCATCGTAGTAATTGACTGACCACCCAGTGCTGGAGGGGAAAGCAAACCAGCCACCAGGGATGTTCTGAGTAACCTTGCCATTCTTCAGAATAAAAGTGTCAATGTTCGACACAGCGGTGTTTCCAGCCGGGTTAACGGTATCCACAAGGGTGAAGAAGCCGTTGCTGCCCTGCAAAGCGAGGACGTGGTCGACTATGCCAATTGGCAATGTGTGCAGGGAGAAGAGACCTGGCTTCGTAGGGTTGGCGACAGGGTAGACCTGAGCGGCAGTCTGTTTGCCAGGGTAGACTCCTAGGACAGAGTTGACAACCTCCAGGGTTTGACCGTTTAGAACAGCATTGCCTTTTCTGTAAGAGATGTCAGTTTTGAAAAGGCGGGTTCTCAGCGCGATGACCTACGTGGAAACTGTCAGTGAGTAACGAGTTGATTGGCGCTCTTCGACAGTGGGAACAGCTGAGACCGAGGTGGCCAGGAGACCGAAGGACAAAAGTTGTAGGAAAAACTTCATGGTGGCGTTTGTATAGCAAGCTGCAATTGATCAGATACTGAAGCAGATTGAACCTGGTGTTGATGAGCTTGAATACTTGGGAGCCTTTGCTCTTATATACCGGTGCCAATAGAGTTGCCAATAGAGTTGGTGGTTGTCACTTCCTGAGAAACATTGGTTTGCCTGATCACATCCCTTCCGAGCCATAATACATAGCACTGATTAAGCCGAGCTTGCCTTTCAAGCAGACATGATGCAGCTTCAGACACTGCTAAGCAACTCCCTGGTTTTCGGTTTCTTGGCGATTGTTGGTAAGGTTTGTTAGTTGTAGTTAACCATTAGCTTGGGGACTTACTGTAGTGCTGGAATCATGCTACGAGATATCAGTGATCGTTCATGTTCATCTCCCGCAGCCAAGAAAGCCAATGTGCCAATTCCGGGGATTCGCCCTTCTCCCATAGCATATCCCACATCAACTCCTTTCATCCACATCGTAGAAAACTTGGCGGGTTTGTTCTTCGGGATACTGTGTCTTTCCTCGTCCTATCAGGCACGGCATACAGTGGCTGCCAAGGGGTTCGAACGCAGGTCCCCAATGCCTGGCTGCGGGGCTCTCCAAAGACCTGGACGACTAAATTTAGCATACTTTTCAGTGGCCGCAGCAAAAGTTCCAGCGTAGCATCCGCCGGCAGAATTCCCGTATGGGTCTCAAATTTCAAGACAGGCTAAAACGAACGACATTCCAAAAAAGCTTCAATGGCGAAAGGAATACCTAGCCTGGAAGCGGAAGCAAGTTTCGTTGAAGGGACACACCTTTTTCGTCCCTTCTCAGACCCAGACGCTCCAACACGGTGCAGCGGAACCCTTGCTCCCCCCCCCCCCCCCCCCCCAATGCCGCTCTCAGTGCTCACACTCCAAAAGATCCTCAGCCCTGTTGCGCCGGTGGCCTTCATGCAACGCAGATGCCGCTGTTCTAGAGCCCCCAATCGCATGTATCATTTCACGCTCCGTCTTGGTTATAAGGTTCACTGGTGACAGGCTGTCGATTGAGATAGGTTCCTGTGACTAAGGCGGCATCATCCCAGAACCCGTTCTCATGGCTACCCGTCGATATGCGCAGAGTAGCCGTATGTCGAGAGGCATGTGAGGTTATTGTCTTAGACCAACTAGCCGAAAACTATAATTCCAACAGGATCAACGATGAACTGAAACCGCTCAACCTTAAGTAAACAGCTACCATTCGTGGAATTATTGCGAATTATCCGACAGTTCTTGCGAATACCATCCTGTGTTCATTCTGACGAGTGTAAGTGGCTGATCCCGTACCGTGGTGTTGAGTAGGTCATCCGTGTGAGGAGTCGTTGTACATGCTCCGAGATCTTTGCATCCTCTTTGTATTGCGGCTTGCTCGAGTGAAGCAAGGCTTTTGTCTTGGAAACTGGCGCACATGTATTCAAGCGAGTCTTTTTAAACAAGTTTGGTGATCTCGACCGCCGCCGCCGCACCATGATTGCCGACGCTCGAGAAAATATCGGCGTCTCTAAATAACAACCGCGACCAGAGTCTCTGGCCCCGTTCTTTCCGAGGGCCAGGCTCTATGCCCCTCACCAGTGTTCGCAAGCATGTGGAGCATCACACTGTGACAAGTATGTATACCCGATCCCGAAGCGGGCTGTTCTGTTTAATGTAGATCCTATCGCGCCGTGCAATTCCGACGGCTTCCATGGCGGGCATCCGGCTGCCAGAAATCGCATGGAGATGATGAGCTCCCGGGACCATTATCCTCAATTTGTGTCACTTCTGTCAGTAATTGTCTCATGCAAAGCCCAATTCCGCCGAAGGCGCAAACGATACTACGGCCGGTCGTCAAAGTAGCAGTTGTTCCTGATAGGACCATAGGAGCTCCATCTAGATTTGCGAGGAACGATCAAGCATGTGGTGTCTGAGAGCGTCGGTTGCAGCATCGCCTGGCGGGTGCTTACAGTCTGAGAACTCCGGCCTCTACGTAGTGGTGTTCTCGCTTGAAATCAAAATCGTGCTGCCCCCATACAAGTAGATCAAACAAGGCGAAGCGGGTGATACTTAAGGTCATAAATAAGAATTCAGAGGCTTCTTAGATATCTAAGGGTGTATACGTACACGAATTCGCATGGTACAGCCCATCAACCACCAAGACTTTCTTCTTCCTCGTGCCTCTTTCTTAATTTTTTCTCAGTTTTCATGAATTCGCGGATACCCACGGGGACACCCTTATATAGATCTTCATCCCAAAGGTCCTTGGTAATCTTGTGTTGATCCACCGGCCAACTCGTGTCGCTGCCACCTCTACCATCATCCATGCTTGTTACCTGATTGACATGCGCACTGCCAATCTTGGATCCCACGGTCGCCGGCCCCTTCAAATCTCGTATGCCTTTGACAGCACTCACACTACCCAGCACCTCGACAGGACCTTGCGCGCGGTCGGCTTGTAGTCGTTTTTCTGCTTCTTTACTTAGAGCGGCCCATTCCTCGACGTCGTCGCGATATCGATCCCAGACACAGTTGACACAGCCACTCATACAGCAGTTGTCTGGCTCTTCGGGTCTCGGCGGTACCATGACTCCTGCTATGTTGGTACTCTTGTCTTGGATGGCTCGTAACCTCTCTTGGCGCTCAAAAGGTCCTGCCAGTGGGGATCCAAAGATGATGCGGGCTTTTTCTTGTGCTGTGGCAGGTTCTGCTGAGGGTGAAGGGACGGGCGTCGCGGACGTGTTTACTGGCTGTTGCCGTTCGTCTTCTGGACAGAGAAAATATTAGTATCATGTGCTGGCGGCCGAGGGCGGGCTCTTACGTGCCGCGGCGGTCTTCTTGGCAGTGCTGCGTGGTGCCTTGGGAGAAGATGTAGGAGGCTCCTCGGGCTTCTTATCGGGAATTGGTTGAGGGTTCACAATGATGGACTCATAGTAAGGGCCGATTGGGTGAGCTTGCTCGCTGGCGCGCTTAATGGGAGAGGGAGGCGACTTGTCGAAGGAGGAGATGGATCGCCTCGAAATGTTAGAGGTGAGCTTAGTAGCTCCTCTAAGTAAGGAGCGTGATGCGAGAGGTGACATGTCTATGTGATTTATAGTGTAGAGAAAAGACAACAATGAGGGTATCGTGGAGCAAGTCGTGAGAGGCAGCTTGGAGTTGTTAAGAGTAGCAAAGTAACCCAATGACGTTCGCTGCCGATTCAGCGCTTGGAATTGATTACGGCGGAGTTTTTTTATTCGACGAACGGGCTTTGGAAATTTCCGGTAACTTGATTCGGAACTCGGTTGAATTGATTCGCAGGTACGGATTACATACACAAAAAGGCCGTCATAGCATCGACTCCATGGGCTAGCTCGAGCTAGACCACGAATGAGGTTAGCCTAATAAACTAAAGCGTCAATCGTCAGATGCAAAGGTATGGCTTCAGATGGGTGAGAGTGACAGCGAACACAGCCACGAAAAACGAGAACAAAGCCGCGTTCAAGATGCAACAACAATAACCAAGGTGCGTATTGAGAAGCGTTGTGACGCGATGCGCTGCCATGTGCTTCCATGTGACATGTGAAAGCCGACGCAAGAGATTGAGGTTTGATGGGTTCTGATGCAAAAACATGTATGGATTACAGCAGTAACATCAGTGCTAGGGGTGCTGCCGATGGTGGTTAGTTACTTCAACTTTCGCGGGCATTTCAGGAGATACAATAGCACTCTAGTTTACTGGGAGTCATTCCCAATGAACGCTCCGAACGCAATGGATGTACTGGTACATCTACTCCCAGTACTAGGTCTCTGCATACGAGAAGCTTCGACAGCACGGCATAGGCTCAAACAATCCCACCTACTGCAGTCCACTGTCGGGACTGTTCGTCATGATAAGCATCATTCGAGTCGGAAACTCCCAGGAAGTCCGTTCAATCCTAGAGCCGAAGCTATCCACCGCTAGGGAGTGTGTCCATGAAGATGGAATCGTTGAACAATGGATATAAAGCACCATTCCCATGAGATGTACTTGCTCAATGGGTGTTGCTCTGGCCAGTTGCTGTCACCGGGCGTTGTCACCAGATCTAACGGCCCACTAATTATAACGTATCGGCAGCGCTAATGTCAAATATCCAACGGCCGGCTACTTCATATATGCACCACAGTGATGGCTCGGCTCACGCTTGGCCACTTGGCAGGCTTGGAAGCTATAGCCTCTGATGCGTTAACACAGACATGGAAGTGGAAACGTCGGATAGACTGTAACTTTAACACTGGCTCGGTGGAAGTTGCATTGAGGAGGCTGGTAATCGCAGCTGTTTGCACACAATGCACATTGTCGCAACTTCACCATAGGCATTTGGAAAGCTTCTTTCAGAATTATCCCGGCAGACCATGTCTGTGTAGGCCATAACTGCTCTGCATCCCATATCAACACCGAAATTGAGAAAGCCTAGGAGTACGGCGCAGGCGCTGATGATCAGGGCCGTCCGCAAATGCGATGCCGAGGCCACATGAACCAATTTCAGTCCTTATCAGTCCATGTGTAAATATAGGAAGGCAGAATCCAGTCTCATAGGCACACGAGCTATGTGTAGACAGTCGAGGTTGTAGCGGGACCAAGAACCGTCGTTTCAAGGATGCTGGTTTCTCTGCGTCATCAGGAATACTGTCTTCAGTCCATGTCCTGAGTGGACATTTGTCGAAAACTCAATGCCATCAAGAGTGGCATCACATCCAAATACGACCTCCGGGACGAAAAAAGAAGACATGAGTGAAGAAAATAGCATAGGCAACCGCAAGAATGCGAAGACACTACCGCCAACCGAGACTGGCAATGATACAATAGCTGATTCTAGGGGCCAACATTGATAGAGACGACGACTGTGAGATTCCAAGGACCAGCGCTTTGGTCACGATGACGAACGAAGAACACACCATTGGTTGGAACAATGCACGCGAGAAGAAGAAGAAGAAGAAGAAGAAGAAGAAAACCGATCACATCCCAGACCATGAAGGACACGATATCAGATCAAATAGCCGTGGCTATGTACGTGGTTGGTCCATACACACCCGATTATCACAATAAGTGGCAGAACCATGTATACGACCTGTTGTTCATAAACCGCTGCCAATGGGGCATAAAAATATGCCTTCACCCACAATGCCATGACTGGAGGCCCTGTCAAGCAATGTGGCATTCTAAGTCCATCGTCGAATGTTGGTGATCTCGAGCATTACTGGAGGATGCCAAAAGCCATATTCCCTGGTTCGTAATCCGTTGGGTTTTGGCTTGAAATATGGTACAGATCTAGAAGAATAAATATTTGGGTTATTCTTGATCTTATGCTGAGCCTTGGGGCGTATCATCACGGTATATGTGTTCAGCAAGACATTCAAGTTCTGGCCTTCAATCTCGTGGTACAACTCATGCTTGTCACCACTAGACTAGATGAGAATGATCAGAACTGGAAGCGACGACATTTTGACGGCGGCAGCTTGACGCTTTCAGCCACGCTATACAACCAAATAAAAGATCCGAGATGAGACTGTTAGCAATGCGATTGTGATGATGGCTATGTATAAACAAGGTTGGAAGCTGATTGGCTGCCGATGAGCGTCATGATCGGCAGGCATTGGGTATCATCCTCAAGTTTGCTGTGAATGAGCAGACCAGTCGTCAAGTGAATGATGAGCTTACCACGACCGATTCTCCTCTTCAGAGATACTATAAAAAACAAACAAGTTCACAAATGGGTAGCGTAGCCGTGCGTCCGAAGAACAAAATTGTACCCAGAAGTGGTGGTCATAATTACAGAAGCGGACGGTCAGCTGGTAGGGGGTGGGGGGCACAGCTTAGGCGAGCCTAAAAGACAAGAAACGCGACCGTGACACGCGAATTACAGAGCATGAGAGCTACATCAGACACCCCCCACCAATATCAACAAAACTTATAGTAACGGTACATACCGGACAACGCATCCAAACTCGACCAAACTCACCAGATAACTAATAACCGAATTACGATCATGCTGCGGAAAGGTTGGCTCATCGTACACCTCTGAAAATGGAGACGTCAGCGCCGAAGCGACGCAAGACCTCGCCTACATCGAACGTGCCAGTGGGTGGATCAGACGCATCCGGTCCAGCGTCGTCGTCGTTGTCGTCGTCGTCGTCGGGCAAAGGCACAAGGCGATCCAGTAGGGCAAAACGACCTTCCTTCGCCTCCCCGACAAAAACCAGTCTCGCGCGCGCAAATCCCGAAGTCCTCGATCAACGTAATGCTACCCGCCGGGGGGAGCGCATGCAGGAGCGCATGCGTGGTGCAGGGCGTCACGAAGTCGCAGATGAATCCTTCGGCCTCATATTACCCGTTGACGACGAGGATGAGGAAGACCCGCCGAGGCAAGACAGAGCGCCCGCCGATCTGGACTTGAATAGTGCTGGGAGCATTGATGCCGATGAACAAGCAGTTACCGCCCAGCTAGAGGGCGCATCAGAACACCGACCAACTTCTGATCCGATCGAACCTGACGTCGGTCCAGAACCCCGAGTGTCCGAGCCCCAAAGTCCCCTACGCCAGGCAATGAAAGGCATGCGTGGGAGGCCACGGCGATCCATGAATGTGCCTTCGCCGAGACCATTACCGCCCCCGTCGGCGCAGGAGGAGGAACTGCTCGACCCCTTCAAGGGCAGGGTGCTGCGCCGCTCGCCGCCTCGGGGTGTCATACCAGCGCAAGAGCCAGAAGAACCAGACCTGCCACCTACACCAACACAAAAGGGCATATCAGACCCCAATGCCGTCATCTCGTCGCCAGCCGGCATACACAACACGCCGTCCAGGCGACCTAGGAGGAGTCGGGCGCTTGCAGACAAGTTGCGCAGTGGTAGTTCCCCCCTGAAGCAACCACCTGTGAGACCGATTGACTTGGGTATGGTTGGCAAAGCATCCCCGCAGTCTAGAATACCGACATCGCGTACTACCATATCGGCAGGACTTGGAAAAGCCTCTTCTCGAACGAGCAAACTGCCATTGAGAGCAGCCACGAGAGATCAAGTTCCGGATCCCCAACCAACACGAGAAGAGTTTGATACAGGAAAGCCACACCCCGCTCGAGCAGTCCGGGAGTTTGATCCGTTTGCAGAGAAGAAGTCGATACGGGACGCGCTACGAGAAGAGGCTACCCAGCTGCAAAGAGACCTACACATCTTGCAAAAAGAGAATGGCAGGTTGTATGCATCACGACAACGGCGTCAGAGAACTTCGATGTCGCAGGAACTCGAAAATGCAGAAAAGGTGTTGGATGTTCTTAGCCGGCACGCCATCCCCCCTGAAAAAGACTCGATACCAGACCCGGCGACGATATGGCTCGAGGCAGCATTGGACCCAATGTCCTTTCTCCCTTTTGGAAAATCTACAATCATATTGCCTAGCCCTTTCCAACTCCCGGAGGGTGAGGACGACTCGCCGCCTATATCCCACCATCCATTATCAATGCCAAGCGCTGAAGAGCTCCCATATCTTCAACTGTTTACACCGTTGACATTCCATTCATCCATCACCTTCGTCCCTCGTGAACCACACGAGAACGATGACAAAGATGAGGACAAGGCTGGTCCTCTTATGCAGCAGCACGATATCTCTGTGTCTTCTACGCCTCAGGGGCTGTTCGCAGCGAGGATAGAGATGCTCGTTAACACCAAGACTTTGTCCATAGCTAAACTATCTGTCCCTAAGCTGGAACCAGCTTCCGCACCGGAACTCGGGCCCCTCGTCAAGAAGATCGTGGACAATCAAGCAGGGTCTGCCCACCTTCTTAGGCGGAATGCGAGCATCCTCACCTGGGCTATGGCCGAATGGACCAGAATAGCCAGTAAAAGAGCAAGATTTTGGTGTCAAGTCACGGAAGAACTCGAGTTCAGGCAAGGCATCATTGACTGTGTGCAGAAGATGCGCCAGGGGCGAGGGAAGAAGCGTAATCATAGGCAAACAACCGACTCAGATGCAGAGAGCTCAGATAGGGAAGGCCACAGCGAGAAGAAGAGGCAGTACACCAGGACTCAGCTGCTTCCTTTGATGGGACGCACCAGCCTTGACCTCGACTTGACTGTGGACGGCCACGACGAGGTGGAGTTGAGGATTACATGGAGGATCGGATTTGATTGGACCGGAGAAGGACGGAGCACGATCGGAGTTCTGGTCCAGACACCCGGAAAGTGTGAGTTGTCTCTATTGATTTAGGTCACAACGAAACACGAACTGACATTGGATGTAGGGCACGCTCAAGATGACAGGCGAAGCTTGGCAGGCATCCCGGCATTATTCGATACACTGCTTCAAAAAGGCAGCGAACCGATGGATGCTCTGAGGACAGTGGTATCCGTACTAGTTGGCGACGAGATGGCTTAAACTTCAAGGTTGTGAAAGACGGTGTGCATGATGGAAAGAATAGCTGGACAATTAAGATTTGAAGACCTGATAATGACGATGATACCCTTGGACTAGACAGTCGGCGGAGTACGCGGTATTATGTTATATTTCAATCAATCAGAGCGACGGTGCGGCATCTCGCGGCCCTGTGGACCCTTGACTGCATCTTGATTTGGTAATTCCTGATTCGTATCAACAATTTTTGGTAGGCGTTTCTTCCTGGGAGCAGACCATTGGCGAGATACTCAGGTAGGAAAAGTGGCTTTGTACCCTTATCACAATATTATGCACATCCTCCTGATCTCTCCGTGTCTGCGAAACAGCCATGTGCTCTCATTGCCGGCTCACTCGTTTCCGCCTAGTCGACCTCAACACCGAGACCGCGCAGGTCGGTCTTGGCCAGCTCGATCTCGGACATGAGCTCCTTGTGCGCCTCGGGCACATCGTTGAAGGTCATGACGTTCCAGCCAAGACGGAAAAGGAGGTATGCGCCAAAGGACACGAGGGCCCAAAAGGGAAGCTGTGTTTCGCGGGGGGTCAGCAAGTAGTAAGGAGCTTGTGCCGTAGAGTTTTGTTGAGAGCGAGTAGCACAAGGTCAAGCAAAGGGATATGGGCTAGAAAGGTTCGAGATGAGGAGAAATAGCGGGTTTGACATACGACAGGGACGACCTCGGTTTGGATGGCCACTGGCAGCGGGACGAGCTGGAGATACAGGGCGAGGTAGAACTAGTAGATCAAGGTTGGTCAGCTCTGGCTCTCGCGCGCCCTCTTCGCAGGCATCAAGGGCATCAGGAGGACGAAGAGGATCAGTTGGGCTAGGAGCCACATACGGAAGAAGCCAGGAGGGCGATGGAGATGGTCTGTTGAGCGCGGGTCATTTTTGCTGGTTTGTTTTGTGTCGCCGGCGGATAGATACAATGTCAATGGGACAGCTATGGGGGGGGGGGCCTCTGGCGTGAGAACTGTCGAAAGGGGAATTGAATGAGCGACGTGAAGACCGAGAGTGGTTGAAGATGAGTACGAGGTGGCAATAGTCGGCGGTTGCAACTGCAATTGATTCAAGGTGCCTCACGAAGATGCTTACAGTCACCCGCAGGCCCCCCCCCCCTTGTTTCTTCAGGACACTTTTTCGCGTAACTACAGCGCGGTTGCCAACTGTAGCTTAGCTCAGCTCAGCGGATGAGGACCCCAATTTCAGAAGGGTCCGTGCAATCTGCTGCTGACTTCTGTACAAGTACGTGCTCCGTCAGGTTATTCTACGTGTAGCAGTGTCCTCTTGACTAATCTAGGCGCAGGCTGCTTTTGTTTCCTTCACGGTTCAAGAGAATCCGGTCGACTCTCTTCGGTAACCAACCCATTTCATCTGGGCACAAGCGTCACAGGTAGTAAATCGGGAGTGCATAGTCCTCATCCAAGCGGCCCGAAGACGTCTTGCCATAGTGTCGAAGTCCGTCACGCACCAATCCTTGATCCGTCATACCTACATAGTACTAATCTTGGGTTGAGAAAGTGGCCGCGTTAGGGGTAACGGCTCTGACAACAACTCAATCAATCATCATTTTGTCAGCTCTGGTATGCTTGACGGCAGATGTGCTCGGCGCTGATAGTCGCGGGCCGTGAACTCGGTTGTGCCAACATTTCTCAGCTTGATCCGCAGCGCATACCTCGCCGAGAGCTATCTGAAAATGTTCCATACTTGGCCTTCCGTCGGTATTTAGGACCTATTTCAACGTTTCCTCGCTGGCTAGGAATATAATCTCCTGCGGCATGACGATGATCCTCTGCTGCTCAGCTCAAGGCCAGCTAGCTGTCATAGGGTTTTCGCCCACATCTTACATATCAGTCTCTCCTCCGACCTAAGTTCGGACATGATCACTGCAGGTGAAGCGTGTGGTCATCCTCGTTGTCATTACTCAGCAATTACTATAGATGATCTCGCATGTAGTTCGGTAGGTGGATATCTGCCGCGCATGCGCCTGATGAAGCGGAGATCTCAAGGCCACATAACAATGTCGTGGTAAGAAGTCCATTTGAAAAGTGCTTGTTCAGTTAGTTAGCTTGTTAGCTTAAGCTTCTACACCTTCTCCCACCCCAATCCGTTCAACCATTCATTACAATGTGTCGATACTGTTGGGCCGTTAATTGGCTCACTTTGGACAAAACATTTCCACGGACTCGCCAATTAGTGATTGGTCGAACTATGTCCGAGTTCGTTGCCCAGAGGAGTTTTGCTGGGTTTGCTATGGGCAGTTCTTTCAGAAGAACTCTCACGGGGGTGCAGCCTAGTGCGCAGGTCTGTGAGTTCGTGGCATGTTCACTTCATATCCTTCCTGTCTATCGTAGAATCATCGTGTATGCGTGGTATGCGGAGTACACCCTTGACATGCGTCGTTGTCTCATGTCCATCGTTTGAAACGAGAATGATTGTGTGCTTAGTCCAACCCAAAAAAATTAAAAATTCGTAATTTATGAAAGATACGGACACATTACTCCGCTGATCATGGAGAAATTTGCCATTACACGTATCTCCAAATGGCCTGTCCTTGGTATACTATGCAAGTAATCAAGAAGTGAGCAGGGGCCATAGCATCACACCCAAGACGCCCTACCAGGAGGCCAATCTCAAAGTCGGGGCCTCGCTTGGGTAAACCTGCCGTGAGCAAGGACCATGGATGAAGCGATGAACTAACAAGCGAGCAAAGCCACTTATGAGGCTGGAAGTGCCTTTCAAAATACGGTTGTCAGGTCGTTTAGGTTACCCTGCTTTCAGATCAGAGACCGAGGACTAGTTGTCTAGCTGTCGATCATTCGATAGACCATGTCTCGTTTTGATGATACTCCGATAAGCCTTGGCTTCCGAAAACCACATGATACAGCCGTAAAACCGTTATGGTCAGTTCAATCTTGAAGAGATATTCATCAAGTCTCAGCGATCACCTTGACACTAGAGGTTCCAGTGATTACTTCTTCTCCCACAGGAATCAGGCTGGGATGCCAGCTATCCACCACCCTACATGATGTTAAACATGGTGTTGCTCGATCATGGTGTTGTTCGATCATAAGAGCAACGGCGTACTTGAGTCTGCTCGTTGAGTTTTAGTTTGGCTAAACTCTTAAACCACAAAGATTCGCACAAGGATCAAACTTCCGGTAGACCGAGCCGAATCGTTCTTTCTGCAGGATTGAGGATATCCATTCCTGTGCAGGTTTCTTATAGTCCCAACGTAGATCCACTACGTCAACATAGTGTTAAAGTAAGTTGGCTGTGCTTAACCCAATAAAGCCACTTCCCAAGGCATCGGATCGCCAGTGTATGCGATTACCAAACTAAGAGGCAACCCCCTCGGAGAGCCGATTACCTATACGGGCTGATGGTTCAAAAGTGAGCTGTCCGAGGGATTCCATTAGTCATGCGACATCAAGCGCGACAGGGCTGGCAACAGTGGTCCCACAAATGCTGAACGTTGCGCCCGCAACCGCCCGGGTGTCAAAGAGGAAAGGAGAACTAGGGCCGAGTTCACGGTATCAATATCGAACAATGCAATTTCAGACGAATACTTTTGGACAAACCATTCAGGTACCAAGTATCGAAAAGATGATACCGAGCTGTCGGGCCCAAACCAGCCGGAAATTATACATGCAGCTCCGGTACATGAGAGGCAGATGTGGATCTTGGCTTTAGGGGTCAGTTGAAATTTCAGTCGACCTGTCATTCGCCCATCATTGAGTTGCTGCCAGTTGAGCCTGCAGATCTCGGCAGGCATCCTCGAATCTCCACATGTGCCAAGATTCACATAAAGTAGGCTTGGCAGCACTAAAAATGGGGTTCCTGGCTTAGCTAAAATGGTTTACATTTCATTGCCCGTTTCGTTGGTTGTTTCTCGCTCTGACCTCTTCTTAGTGCAGAGCCACTAAGCAGCTTGTCCACCACTGACAGCTCAGGCATCGCAAGCGATATGTCAGTCTATCGCGGAACTAGAACAGGTATCCGGATGAGCCCGTACGTTGTGACTGGGCTGCTGGCCAGGCTTTTCGGGGCTTAGTCCGAGAGCAGCGCTTGTCTGCTCATGGAATCAATTCCGTCCCGTGGCACTTGGCAGTCTAAAGCATATTCCAGAACGATGCTGTTGACTAGCGATAGTCTCTGAAACTACAGAATGTGTGTACGGATCTGTACTCCAAATTTCAAGCCCCTCAAGGATGGTCTCCAACATCCAGGCCTCGGGTTTCATTTGGACGTGGAACATTGTATCCGAATGTATCATGTTAACCATATCCCAGTCGGGACAAATCATATGTGGTCCTGGTAAGTCCTTTCGCATAATGCCATCTCCACTCTGCGGGACGCATGGCGGAATGAAATCTTCAGCGCTGTACTGATGTGGGGCAGAACTGATCCCTTTCTTCAATCAGACTAACGAGACCTTAAATCGCATAACAGATGTCTGTCTATCATCAACACAACGTCCGGCATATAGCAAACCACGTGGGCCTAGCTGGTCTAGCTGGTTTCTCCGTCTGCAGTCACCATGCCTGCATGCCGAGACGCGAGAGGTCGAGGTCGTGATCATGATTCTCCACAGAACAAATGTCCCACATCGAAACCTGCTGTCAGGTACCCTGCATCCTATGGACATGACACATCCACCATACACCCACCCACTACATAGTACATCTGTCAAAAAGACGCGAACCATGGGGCTAACACATAGCACAAAGTCATATAGTATGTAGCTGCCACTCCGCTTATGACTCGAAGGTCCCTTTCAAACCTTTTCGACGTTTTTTATATGCAGTCCCCATCCCCAGACGACCCCGACTTGTTTGCTTTGATCTGTGCGTGGTAGCTCCTTATTATAGAGAGCTTGAACGTTGCAGGGTCCAGCCCACAACACGAGCGACTGCCCTCACGATGGCAACCAAAACCGACTACCAAGTTGCCTCGTTGGCAGCTGGCTTCACCCTCGGTTTCGGATTCCTGACGGTGTGGGAGGCCTTGAAGCAGACGAGACGGAACAAGAACCCTCTTCGCAGCTCGTATATCTACATGTTATGGGGAGAAATAGCAGCAAATCTCACAATCGCCATCATCGCTTGGTTATTCCTTGACGGCGTATTATCATCAACGTGGGTCTGGTTCTGCGTGAGCTTCTGACTACATAATTAACGCATCTTACAGAGTCCCCGTCCTGTTCTTCATTCTTTTGCTATGGGTCTTCGAGGTTCAACTTCTGATGCAAATCATTATCAACCGAATTGCCATCATTCACGAGAACCAGAGGTTTATCTCTTGGTTGAAATGGGGATGCTTCTCTGGCATCTTCGTCATCGAAATTCTGGTCTTTTGTATTTGGATTCCTGCCCATATGGACCCGCCACTGAGTCAAACGTAAGTTCAAGATAGCGTTTTGCAACATGACTGGGCCGAATCGCTGACCAAGCCCTAGATTCGTGACCATCAACGATTATTGGGACAGAATTTCCAAGGTATTGATTTTGGTCGTTGATGCCGGGCTCAACTGGTACTTTTTGGCAATTGTTAAGAAGCGTCTCCTCGATCAATATGGTCTCGTCAAGTACAAGCCGCTTGTCAGCTTCAATGCCAAGCTTATGGTGGTCTCCATTCTCATGGATGTAAGTCTCCATCTAGCACTCCAATACCGCACTCAGAATGCTAACACCCAAAAAGGCTATGCTGATCGGCCTCATGTCACTTCCCAATCAGGTCGTCTATATTCAATTTCACCCGGTGGCGTACATGGTCAAGCTCAACATTGAAATGTCTATGGCCTCCCTGATCACGCACCTCGCCCGCAACGGTAGCAACGATGTTCACATGGGCACCCTTTCCGAATCCGACCGCCGCCGCCAATTCGGAACAGACGAGAACGGAACGAGCGCCACCCGAGCCCGCGACATTGGCTTGAAGTCCTTCACAAGATCAAGAGTCCAACATGACCCCGACGACGTCGATCCCTCACACAGCGGTGGTATTCAACGGACTCGCGAAGTCAATGTCACTATTCATCAATCCAACCCGAACGACAGCGCCCACAAGAACCATGGGGTTATGTTTGAGGATGAGCTGTCGCTTACCCACAACAAAGGGTATCCCTCGGGGAGCGTCAAAGAACTCGACGGACGAAGCTCATCAGCAAGCACCAAGTCCTAGGTCTTTTGATTCTGCTTGATAAATTATGTATACTTTTCTTTCTCTCCACTGAGAAACACCTGCCACCCGGGATTGTAAGGCAGTAGGATTACAGTACTACTCGGATACATTGTATATGTACCACATGATACTCAAACCACAACAAAATCTATCACGTAATTGGCACGAAATGCTACGAGGCAACGTCACAAACTTGGCCATACACAGCGGTAACGAATGATTAAATAATACCACAATACCTCTCATACCCCAAATGACCATCAAAGCGAGATATCATTGTACCATACCATAACATGTCCAGCTTTCGTTACTCAGAGCAATTGATACCACAACATTGTACAACAGTCATGCCTGTTTCTTCCAAATCAGAAACGGCCAATTAAGATGCAGCGATGAAAGCGATCGGCAAAGAAATTACCATGACTAGAAACCTCAGTGGAGAGAAGGTCTGGGCCAATGTGGAAACAGGGAGGTCCCAACCTTCTCTCCATGCTGTCACGTTATTGGGCAGACCTTGCAAATCGCACATGGATATGCTAGAGTGATGGACCATTGGAACGGTATGCGTGTTTGTCAACGTGCGAACCCGGGCACGATCGCCCAAGCTCTTGTTGCGATCAGCAGTGGCCATAGTATTGCAGACTTTGACGACCTGACGACACCGTCAAAGCTACACTGCATCAAGGGTTTGGTGACATAATGATGAGCTTTGTGGGGCAGCGGGACCGCCAGGCCTGCTCACAGAGGCAATGATTACAATCATGTGGCAAAAATGAGGCGGGCTATCCATTTGTTATTTCCCTGATTTCAGGCAAGATGGGCAATGATTGCAAAGAACGCCACCTTTTAACTGGGTGTAGGACGCAGATAGATTCGCAGATTATATCACTCCTCTCTATTCCATATATTTATTTCCGGTGCAATCCCGTACCTTTGTTTGTGGTAATGCGGAAATGAACCAGGTAATGCTACATATATCACAGCTGCATTATCATTATTCAACATTTGGTTCAATATCCTGATGCAGGACCCTGACATCATCTCTCACCGCTTGTGTGCTATCCACTTCGATCTACAATTTTGCGAGCAATTCTGCAGCTAGTTGTTTACCATACACTTATGGAAAGAAAGTACGGAGTATCACTGATACTAACTCTGAACCCGTGTTGTCTCATGTTCTCGGCTAGGTAGCGGCCAGTCTTAATCCCAAGCACAAAGATACTCAGTTTAACAGATAGGGTGTACTTAGGCCCCACATCTTTTCTCCTAGTCTTGGTGTTATCATAGTTATTGAGTTAGTCATCTCTTTGCTCCAAACCCTGAAGTACTGCCATGAATGCAATCTGGTACTATAAGCTTGACGGGATAGCTGCAGTTTGGTGAGGATAAGGTTAATAAAATACACGATATTGGAGCAAAAGTGCACGTCCACCAATTTGCTAGTAGGAATTTCTTCAAGGTCAGACTTTCATTTAACGATCCAACGGCACCATTGTTGTTGCAGAGCTAGAAGTGTGCTTACCAATAGAGCACATGTTAGGACGGAGCAGGTGGTTAGATGGGCTAGTTATACAGCTGTCGTTGCGTGATAGAGGGTGTACTAAAAATCGTTTAGGATGAGTACCCAAGATATTGGCATGTAATCATATCACTTTTTTGGCACAGCACGATGCAAGCCAATATATGCAGGTATCATAACTCAAATCTATCGTAGTTCAGAGTTGCAACATTGGAACATTCTGTTTGTATCAAGATAATCTGCATTGGTACCGCAGGCCTAAATCTCGCTTGAAGTGAAGTCTCAAAGAGAGCGTGTCACTTGTAATGAATCTTGATCATTACATGCAGAATCACGAGTTCTAAAAGGCAGTTTCTGCAGAGGGATTTGCTTGATTATCATTGATGTTACCCCTTTGAATCCTCTACTTAAAACCAAGCCTTCAAATTGAGAGGCAATCCTGTTGCTGATTCTGATTGCTCAAATGGCATAAGTTTCTAGAACTCATTTCATCTCATCACTGCTCTTCACTGTTCTGCCCTGAGCCTCATGCGTATCATATATCTGCTCAAGACCCATTCCTTCTTAATGTCCGCCAAGTTTTCATACAACTCAAGGGTGGTCCTGAGTCGATATGGCGCCATCGCCAGCAAACTCCTGTAGTTCCTCAATGTCGTCGTCGGGATGCCGTACAGCCTCTACAGCTCGAGAGGGTATGTTGTCCAAACCTCCCTGCATCATAAAAAGAGCGACATCCAAGCGCTCTACACGAATTGTCATCTCAACGAGTTCCGCATCGTGTAGTCTGTCTTCCACTGAACTCGGAATGTCCTTATATATGAACATGTAATCAATCACATCGATGCTAGGGTGACCATACAAGATCGCATAGCGAACAGATCTTTTATGACAGCCTGTTTCCGGGTTTAGCTCGGCGACGCATTTGCCATCTTTTCTCATATTATATCAGTCAGACCCGCGCAGCCCATGTCGACCGCAATGTGCAATTTGGACTTCACTGATTCGCAAAAAACGTACCCTGCTTTAACAAACTCCAAGGCATCCGTCTCAGACAGCACATTTTCACATGCTGCATGTCGTGGAATATAAGCTCGATGGAGTCCAGACAATGCTAGTCCACTATCTTAGGCTTCAACTTCCACTTGAGCTTGCGGCTATCAACCTGGTTGCAAATATGAAACTTTAGTCGGGTCTCACGTGCTACCATGTAACGTCGCTTCGGGTCTGCGCGCTTCTCGACAAGTAAAGTCAAGATCTCCGGGCGCCTCCTCTCAATTGCGAACAGCAATGGCGGCTTGAGTCATACCATACCATCTTCCTCAGTCAAGTCACCTTTGATGATGTTTGGGCAAACCGACTTCCAAACACGAAGCATCGAGCGTGCTACAGCCAAGTAATTGGGTTTGAAAGCATAGTACATGGAGTTCTGGGCCTTGAGCTTACCGTAGGTATTATGGTACGCCTCGTCATTCATACCGACGAGATAGCTTGCATTGAGTTCTCTGTGCTGGTTGATAAGTCGCTCAATCTCTAGCTTGACAAATTCGAGATTGTGTGACACAAATTTACCTGGCGCTGCTATTGCAGCAGGGCTGAATTTGTCATTTGCCTTGTTGAGGTCTTCACGAATTTTGATGGTCGGCTCATCGGGTACATCGAACAGAACGACAGGGTCTTGATAGGGTAGTGTAGGATCCAAGACGCCACAACCACTGGCTTTGATGCGCATGTGAGAGTAATCATTAGGTATAGACGGAGCTTGGGAGGAACTCGGTATGCATGGGCGTTTGCGAGGAAGTAAGCTCTTCGGAACGACTGTATACTCAAGATTTGGAAAAGACGGCGTACGCTAGTTTAGAAATTAATGTCGGAAAATATCTTTGCGGGAACTATTAACCTTGGTGATATTTAATGAGTCTCTACCTAATATCCTTATCTAGCTGACTAGCACCTTAATGTGTCCGTACGATTATACTCTTAGCCTTACAACTGAAAGCTCACTCCTGATATCCTGGGTAAACTCTTTCGACGAATCTGCAACCATTTCTCGCCAGCGTTGCCTGTCTTGTCTCTGATTACCGTATGCGATAAGTAAAGTTGGGCAGATAGCGCCATGGCTGCATTGTTGAGCATCATCTCCAGCCCCATAGGCGTATACTCCCCTCGGTGAAAGTGATAGCTTTGAGCCATGGATGGTGCTTCGCACCATCTTTCTCCAGATGGCATCTATCACGGCTAGAGAGCCGGTCAAGGCTGTGATAGTCTGGAGCTTGTACACCAGGACCTCGTCATCAAAGGGTAGCTTGAATGATCGGAATGGGAATACTCTCCAACCCTGCCATCTCAAGTGAATTATTCCCTACGAAGTTTCGATGGTAGAGTATGAACTCTAGAGCGTTCTCACAATGGAATCCCTCCACCCATGCCGTACTTCTTAATTGCAAACCGCTGCGGTGGTCGCCAACCCTGCACACATGATGCTGTAGGGTAGGGCTCAGGGTAATTATGTAGCGTCGGGTCACATCTGCGTATTTCTTGAAAAGACCTTTACGATTTCAGGGCGCCGCTTTTCAGTGGCATACTGCACCGGTAAGATCAACCATGCCATATTGTCCGCATTTCCCCACTGCCCATTGCCGTTAATGATGTTACGGTCATGTGCTCGCCAGCCCTCAAGAATAATCTGAACGGCATCGACATAATTGTTATCGATTGCGTAGTACAAGGATACTTGCCGGTCAATCTTTTTGCAGCTGTTGAGATAAGACTCGTCGTCTCCGTCTTCCTTGTATTTATTCTTAAGCTGTTTGTGCTGGTCGATTAGACGTGCAAGTTCAAGCTTGAAGACCTCATGATACTTGTCAGTGTACTCGTTGTACTTGGAGACATACTCATCTGTATCTGTCGACTCGGCTCTCATCTTGGTCAAATCCTGGTGAACTTGATCACCGACCTGTACGGTGGCATTATTCAGAACGTGCATCAGACGAACTTGCTTGCTTGATCGACTCATTGTGCTGGAATTGGCTCAGGAGTGGAGTAGATAGTCGAAGTTTGGTTGTTACTTCTTAGTCATCGATTGCGATAAGTGATAAGTCGCTTGATTGATCAGGCCATCCGATTTCATCATCAACCAGATTTCAAAGGGATACATATAGGCAGCTGGTGGCACGATATATTCGGCCGCCGTAAAGGGCTTGTCTACTTTTCGGGAAAACAATAGCAATATTCATGCTTGGATTGGAGTAGGTAACAAATTCTGATAAAAACATAACCTTGTTTCCAAACGCTGCCGGAACTATAGTAGAACAACCGAGTCGGGGACTCTGAGTCCTTAGGACTTTGTACCGAACATGCTTGAGGACAAAGACATTTTTATATCCCCTTATCCTGTATTTAGCTACATTCTGTCACAACCACTTGGTGGTACAGCAGGGCTCTATTGATACCTATACTGTAATTTCCATGAAACAGGTCCAATGTCCGCATACATACGATTGGCCAGAGCTGTGGTATGCCCGTAACAACAGCCGCATATTGTATGGATAATACGATACACTTACCTGAATCTAGTTCATGGTTAGTCATTGAGTTTCTCCTGAGGTACGTTTGAGCGAAGCCCCTTGATTGAATGAACGGTTTGGTATTCATCAACGCCAAGCATTTGGATTGGGAAGTTTAACTGTACCGTGTCTCGTTGTGCTGTTTGCGATAGTGACGCAACGAGTTAATTAGTACTCCCACTTCGCCGATAGTTGCTATAGCCACACGGGACAAGAGTATATATATTGCACAGCAGGTGTCATCAAAGTAGTGGAGATAGAGCACAAGTATATTGATACAGAATCAACTCAAGGGGTTGATTCACCAGAGAAGCATTCGACTTGCGCTCGGATTCCAAAATCATCAAAGCGATGCTGAGCAAGCTTTGGTACAGACCGTCGGCGATGCAGGCCATGCAATCCTGACAACCTTTCACAATAACCCTGACGCCTTGCAGTGAGTTGCATAACATGACAAGATCAAATAGAGCCCATAAGGATTAGAGAGGAGCAGCTGTGGATGCAGGTAGGTGGGGCGCGCTTATGCTTCTCCGTCCTTGTTCTTCTTGTTCTTCTTCTTACCGCCGCTGGATGCGATGCCGGGTGTGGATTGCAGGCGTACGTGCAACCTTGTCCACTCATGCTTGGTCTCCTCTTCTGTGTTGCCGTCACGTTTACCATTCCACTCAAAACCTTCTAGGTAGGGCTTGTCAAGTTCGTCATCCGCCTAGGCAGGTAGGAGTCAGTATGGATGAGCCGGTCTGAAACGACACCAGGTTCGTGCCAACGATGGAGCATGACTTACTCTCTTCTTGTTGGGCTTGTGCATGGCGTCTAATGCATCCTTGATTGTCACGCCCTTGTTGTTTCGTGCTGTCACAGTCATGCCAAGAGGGAACTCGATGTCGATCCTCTTGACGGGAGGAGTGGTCAGCATCTTCTTGAGGACTTCCTTGTCCTCTACTGTTGTCGAAGACGAGTTGATCCTCCTGCAAGCGAAAGAGGTTAGTCGTGTCCATGCAAGGCAATGCACCGAAAGTGGGAGCTGCTGAACATGATCTCCACAATATGATCGACGCACTGTGGAGATCGAACTGGGGAGTGGCTTACCATCCCGTCCTTTGCGTCTCAATTGCTACTTGGATCGGTGTTCCGTTATCCCCTGACGATTATGAGTGCATGTTGCCATGGGTCGAGGAGCTCGAAGTGAATGCTGTAAATGTGCGCAATTCCAGGGCTGTACTTACGAAGCTCGTCAAGGTTCATGACACCAGGTGCACTAGAGCTCTTCCTAACCTTTGGCTTGGTTTCGTGATGGTCAAGACCCTCAATGGCGGAGTCGACCTTGGCGAGAGGTTCTGTCATGATTGCGACGGGGTTTGCTGAAGTGCTTAGAGTACTTCTAGTAGTGTAGCTCTTGTAATTGGAACAAGAGCCTGCGGAGGAGGTGTTGGTCTTGCTTGTGAAGCTAGCTACCTGGGATGAACCGGAGGTAACCGAAAATTGGATAACGGTTGCTGATTGCTTGTTCAACAGGTGAACAAAGGAAGTGAGGCTCGTGATTAGAGATGAGTATTTGCTTGTTGAGTAGATGTAGGCAATAGAAGAGAGAAGTCGAAGGAAGCTTGAATGGAGGAGGGGAAACGAGATTATTAAGAAGAGGGGAAGCTTTGTTGATCATCCAGGTGCAGACATGAGGATGCCAATGGTTGGCAAGTGCGTGGAATAAGGGAAAACGTCCGGCATGATCGGCGGACAGCTGAAGCCCTCGAATCGAACGGGTTTGAGTTCGTTCCTGCCGTCTGTTGTGTCGCGACGAGCGGGGTAAGGTTTGTATCATGGAACGGACGAGTATCGCGTGACTGCACATGACGCTCAGCTGCTCATGGTTTGGAGGTTACACACGCCATTTCAACCGTATGTTAGTCGTAGCTGCCGCAGCTCAGGTCATGGGTTGTCGTCAGAATTGCTCGAAGTAGTTTAATGCAGGTCTATATCGGGCTCCCCCCTTTGTGATCCGTAGCTTCCGGGTACCACTCGAATGCTACTTGGAGTAGGTCAGCCCACACCGATTGCGGGGAAATCTGGGGTACATGCTATGGTGGGGGCATAGTGGATCGAGGGAAAGGAAATCAATGTCGATGAGCCTATGCTTAATTAAGCAATAAGGCAGGTGAGGGGGTACACTTGGTATAAAAGAGAGTTTGTTGGGCTGGCATGGTCCTTGTTGGAAGTACCAAGTAGAAGATACGCGAGGTATACAAATTTGTAACTAATCCGTATCAACAGGCCAAGGTCCCGCTGTGTAGACGAACCTTATGCGGCCTTGGGGAATCAACGAGAGTTTCTGCGCCGTTTGGCCTTCTTAGACTCGACGATTGGGGGCGTTTCAACAGCACCAGGTGTACGCAAGTAAGGTTTAGAAATTCGCTAATTCAGGTACAGTATTTACACGCGCACGTAACATCACCTGGAATAACTTTCGAAAAAGAACCCACGATGTCAGCATGGCAAGGTTTGGGGTTTCTTATGTTCTACAGCACTACAGCACCTAATCTGTGGGTAGATAGCAGAGATGTCAAGTCGTGATGCTCCAATTAGGAAATTCCCCCACCTCTCCTCAGGATCTCCTCGAACCCGCTGATTGCGCGGGCCAGACCGTTTGAGCAAGATGATCCTTCACCTCTCCCCGAAGCTTCAGGATTTGCTGCTCTAGCGCCTTCAGCTCGTCCTTTAATTGCTCGACTTCCACGTCAATTTGGGCACATTGCGACCATTCTTCCCCGCCACAAAGCTCCCAATCCACGGAACCACGAGACAGATGGCACCCTAACCTTACTTCTGCCAGCTCCGGACGATGCCGTAAGAAACGTAGTAAACGCAGCTACGCGGTGGTTTAGAAAACGCTTTACCGCTGGGCTCGCTGTAGTCTATCATCTCGACATCTTGGGACCGCCCGTGATTCCTGGAGAGCTTCAAGAGCCTCTGGGCGAGTAATCCGAAAGCCACCAGAGTAGGAAGAGCAGAAGTTGACTAGGATACAGTCGAGAATAACCTTCAAAGGATGGAGCACATTCTTCTCTACCCACTCATGTATCGCAGCCCAAACCTTATCCTCGAGCTCGGCCACCTTCTTGACCTCGTTATAGAGCTTCTCGACGGCATCTTTGATATCGTCTATGGTTTTCTTCGCTACATTGACTGCCGTGTCAAGCGCTTTTGTTGCCGTGTCTACAGCTTCGCCAAGGCCTCTTTTTGCCGCATCAGCAGCCTTCGTAACCTCAGTTTTGACCTTGTCCTAGACCTCGGATGCAAGATCATCAACGTCCACGCCTGGTAGGTCTAGCCGTGACTGGAGAGCGCTCTTGACGACATCGTCCGGTCGTGGGGAGGGGTCATTAGATACTGGGAAGATCTGAGAGTGGTCCATTGATAACGCGATTGGATCCTGGCGCCTGAGATATTCGTTCGAGAGATCCGTCACGGAAACCACGGCAAAGACAATTTTTGTCGTACGGTAGAGTGTGTTCATACGCATGGCTATTGTTGCACAGCTTCAAATCGAGTACGTGGGAGAGGGTGCCGCTGCTGGTGAGACGTTTTTGCTTAAAACAATGGAGTGCAATCCTTCATTCTTGTAACACGTCGGAACTAACCAGCAGTGGAGAATGGATGCCAGGCCACGAACATTGTAGCATGGAATGAGCAGACGGGGAGTGGCTTGGAATGTTTACAACTAGGCCTAGCCTGAAATCCGAAAAACTCACCATAGATTGTATCAAACATACCGGCCACAATGAGATTTCTCAGTGGAATTGAACACCCGTGGTATGCAGGAGTTTCGGTGCGAATAAAGGATAAGACCTTGGAGCCATTTCCATGTGACCTGACTGTGTAATGTCGATACCAGGTTGAATACCCATGAAAGTTGATCTTATGACGCGCAACTTTTAATCCTCCTCGTTCGACGAACATAGGTCGACAACTGCGATTCGCGACGACGATGCAGCCTCTGCAGCTTTTGGATTTGCCACATTGGCATCAATTTAAGCCTGAACTAGACATCCCCTCTCATCCGCGGGTTGTTAGTAGCAATGCCAAATGAAATCTTCTGGGCACTGTTCCCTTCGGCAGTCTGTATTAGGGTCGATACTGGATGGATCATACATCAATTGCTCGTCGTGGGGGAAGATTCTGGGTCGATCTCGAAAACGTCTGTTGCAGTAGCCATGGTCAATATTGTACCCTTAGCCAAGAACCGGTGGAAGCCAACCTTCGTGCCACGCACGACTGTCATCGTTCTCAATTACGCCAAAGACATTTTTGCTTGTGATACACCTCTCATGACGTTGTTGTTTCTCCGGTCTTTTTTTGGGGGGCTGGGGGGTTTGTTGTACGAGGCGACGCTTTCGCCTGGTTTACGCTTTTTGCCAGTACTCACGAACCGAACCAAGCACGAAACAGAGCTGGAGGCCGGTTGATGTCAACCCCACTGAGACGGGATGAGGTCCAGCGACATTTGTGGCGTGGGATTAAAGTTTTATTGCCGCCATCACCGCTTCGACGTTGCAATATGTAATGGTAGGGGCCCAGTAAACTGCACTAAGTATGCTGGAGCATCGCACAGTTCTACTGAAGATATAGCGGGGGTCAACTGCACGCTCTGTCCTCTCACTCGGACTAATGTGCAAGCCCTTTGCCGGAAATGGTCTGAATGAGACTTGCAATGATATATGCTCTTTTCAATGTCTTTGGTGTGAGAACGATGTCCCCCCTCGTCATTGTCGCAATCCCAAGAAAGCATGAGTCGGAGCCTGTTGATCAGCTAAACTTTGGGGGTTTACCATGCCGTCTTAACAGTCAAGGGGCCATGTACGCCACCACGGGCACTATGCGCTACTGTACATGTTTCGACATAAACGCTGGCATATACTGGAAAACAACGACAGCTACCCGTGCTACTCCCCCACTTTTTAGAAGGAATCGCAAGCTCACCTCATGTTGGTGCTGACCACCTTTTGCGACACACCACTGCGTCAGCCCAGATTTACACCTAAAATTAAAGGATTTCAATTCTTATTTCTACACGTATAAATTAACTAATAAAATAGAAAATTACAATGATATCTAGTATATACACACTTTGAAGTTCTATTTTATTAGTTCATTTATACGCGTAGAAATAAGAACTGAAATCTTTTAATTCAAGGTGTAAAACCGGGCTGACGCACAAGGTGGTCTGTCGCAAAAGGTGGTCAGCACCAACATGAGGTGAGCTTGCGATTCCTTCTAAAAAAGTGGGGGAGTAGCACGGGTAGCAGCATTCCAGTGACCTCGACCGAAAATTCTGCGCAGAGGCACAGCTCTGAAGGACTTTGTAGACTTCATAGGATTTAAACCTCTTCCGTTCCAATGGGAGTGCATGATTTCCATCAGAAGCTGTTTGTGGCTGGCTGGTAGCTGAACGACCATTTCCTATTCGAAGCTGAGTGTGACGACTAGTCTCTATATCCAAGTGGGTCACCGAGGAATATTCAGGGGGCGTGAGATTGCGACAAAAAGCCACCTACAATGGTAGAAAAAGCAATAGGGACGGGATGGTCCATACATAAGCTGACATGTCACGGATACACGAAACATGTTGGCAGTTGGTTTGTCTCAAACTCTACACAGCAGGGGCTATACCAATGACAAACAAGATGTCAAAGGGCAGAAGAGAAGCGCCTTAAGATAAGAAGCACTGCGCATTTGTCGAGTGCAAAGGCAAGCCAAGCTGGGCTTGTCAGACAGCTTTCACAAAGGGCCACTTCGGAGTTTCTCACTATGGCTATTCTCTGGGGCCGTCTGGCCGTGATGAAGTCGATTCATATCGCTCTTTCTGCCATCATTATCCTCTTGATTCTAGCAAGGGTCAATCAGTTGAGGCATCAACCAGAAACAGCTGGCGGTTTTCTCATATCAGGAAGCTATACATCCGCCGGGAGAAAACAGCCTACCATTGAGGCCACGGATGTAGCACAGTCACCTATCAAGCAGCAAGCTACAGCGTCAAACAACAATTCGCCATCATCACCTGCGGCTGTATACGATGAAGTCGTGAACAATTTTCTTGTAATTTCTACAGAGGTTCCCTACGTTATCACTACCACTATTTATGCCACCGTCACAGAGTCTGCCACCACCACGGTCCAGGCGGCGGCACCATCAGCAGCCCCTGTCAGCTATCAGCCATTGCCTTTACCTGAGGAGTATGCTTACCAGTCGACCCAGTCCGACTTTTGCATAGATCGTTTCACCACGAAGTATTTTGATGTGCTTCGTGATGGAAAAGCAGATTACTGTGGCAAAGATGCATCAGCTTCAAGTCTGACCTGCTTCCATACCCCTTCAGATTTGCACAATGATGGACATGTTGATTCGTTCTGTATAGGACAGGATGTCCAAGTTGATGAGCACTCGAAGCAATTCATTTTTGACTGTCCGCCACCAAAGACTGAACCCGCTGTGCGCCTGACGTCGCTGCATAGCTACTGGTACGGAACAGGACCGTATCATATTCTTCAGGAATATGTGCATATTAATACTCGAGACGCCCAAAATACAATCGCCTCGTCCAACATAGGGAACGAAACCGTGGAACCCAATGCACGCAACTTCACTATTCTACTGAAGCGCGAAGGAGACGCCAACATCTTCCACTCGCTCCATGAAATCATGAGTTTGTCTTACACCATGGATGTGCTTAGGACTACACGGGACCCGAACACAGGCAAAGCCTTCTTCAAGTTTCCCGAAGATCTTCAGGGAACCCAAATCGTGGTCCTCGACGACCATCCGGAAGGTCCATATTGGGACCTCTGGCAACTCTTCTCGTCCACTCCTCTTATTCGTTTCCATGATTTCGTAGAACAGAACCGGGGCCGACCGCTGGGCAATATTATCATACCACTAGCCGGTGCATCGAACCCAGTCTGGCACGACAACTGGGAACAGCAAGGCTGCGTCAATGTGGTCCGGCGCACATTCGTCAAGCGCGTGCTGGACTTCTATGGTATCCACGATGACAGGAGCGATCTGCCTCCTAAACAACTTACCATGACGATAGTAGATCGGAAACAGACAAGGCGACTATTCAATCTGGGCGCACTGGTCAATGCGACTAGGCGCGCACATCCCGACGTCAAGGTTCAAGTCGTCGACTGGGCGGGGCTGCAATTTCGAAAGCAGATCGAAATCGCGCGGGGAACGGATATTTTGGTGGGAATCCACGGCGCTGGAATGACGCAGGGTATGTTCATGAAGGAAGGTCGGGGAGCCATGGTGGAGATCATGCCAGATACAGGCATCAACTGTTTCCATGCAATGGCGATGGAAAGAAATTTGAGGTACTATCGGGCGCACGGAAAAATTGCCGAGACGAAAGACGACTGGCACAACGAAGATGTCGTGATGGACCAGGATAAGTTCTTGTTGTTGATGGATCACGCCGTCAAGTCGCTGTATAATCGCCCAGGACGGTTCCGGGATCTATATATGGACAAAGTCGAGCCAGCTGCCTCTAAAGGGCAGGTGAACCGGCCGTAGAACCAAATGTAACACCAATAAGCTCAAGTCCTATCTCCGCATCGAACCTCCAGCCTTTGCGCCATTCAATGGCCATGAACATAATTTTCTTGAAACAGAACATGCCAAGCAGCCAGGTCTGTTTCAGAAGATACGCCAGAACAATTGGAAAAACCTGGCATGGCCATAAGAAACTAACGACGAAGCAATTCCGCATTGGGGGGCATCTCGCAGGCAGGCTGTCCGTCGCATGGCATTAACCTAGGTTAGGTTAGACCATTCCCGAGCTGTCATGGAGGCGCTAGGCATCGAATCATGCGCCAAACACTCGCATGCCAAGGCGCTTTAGGGCTGCGAACAGCGTCTGCCATTCGTTGGCGATAAGACAAACTCAAGGGCTCGGTGAAGGACTCAGCAACTTTCGGAGGGCTCATAAGGCATCACAGATTTCCATCAATCGATGGTAGTGGTTTGTTGAGAACCCAGCAGCCCTATCATTCGAAACAGCATCGCTACCAACACGCTGCTAACAACCCCTGTCCGACAAGACTGATGAAGTACGATAGCCGTGTGGGACGAATGAGCCGGGAAAACTGCCCCGACTACACAACCAGAATCATGCAAATAGCCAATTGAGCATGCTATGTAATCAGCAGCATCGTCTTGGCGGCAGGGTTCCTCACCTTTGAATGGCAGGTGATGGATTGGCATCCCCTCCTGTTCCTCAGCCGCACCATTGTGCTGAGATAACGGCTATGAGGGAGCTTGAAAGGAATGGGGTCATGCGTCACAAATTCGGAACCCAGATCGATCCCGTTCTCTCTGTTGATCGCTGTGCAACGATGACACCAATGCGGCATTGACGTCGCACAAGTGCCTGACAGGTCTATACAAAAGTGCATAAAACCCGGCGACAGGTCAATTGACACCATTGACCCAAAGCGTAACCGTGTCTAGGATTGTTCGCCAAATTTGCAATATCAAACTACCCATTCCTTTGGTTTTTTTTGAACCCAGTCTCAACTAGATGGACGAAGCGCTGAAAGCTTGGAGTAATTTAGCTGTCAAATACAATGGGACCGATCAGTGGAAGCAGACATGCGTGACACAACTTGATGGAGCCGTGCATGGTGGACAGTCTGCAAACGTCTTCGCTGGCTTGGTGAATCGACAAGGGGATCCAGTTGGTATCGGCCTGGACAGCACCAACGTCTGGGGGATCAATCTGAACGTCTGCTATGACTATTGTGGGTGGGACAAACTACAGACAGTAAGTGGTTTGAGGCAATCACAAGAGACGTAAGCCCAACATGCCGACATCAATGCAGGTCTTCAGCTTCCAAATCTTCTCAGCCGGCGCGACGAACTACTTGTTGCCATGGCTCGCACTTACAGCGCAGCTACCATTCGAGACGGGAGAACACAATGTAATCGCCAACTTCATGAGTTTTTGTATCGCTCTAGGCAGCCCGATGCTTATCACGTACTCGCTCATGATTACTATCCTTAATCAGCACTGGCTTAGGACGCATTTCAGAGAGCTAGAGCGTAATAGTCCTGTAAAGAAGACCGTTAAGAACGCCCGCATATTTCTCCAGGAAAGCCAACAAGTTCCATTACGGGTCTCGCAAGAGGACGGCAGCCTTGCAAGTCTGATCGTACTAACAGAGAACAAGATATGGTGGCAACGACTGAGGGAGCATGTTGAGAGAACAAGACGTGGCGTGACCCTATCTCTGATCGCGCAGATCATTGTGGCAATCCTTTCTTGGGTATTAACAGTCATTGCTGCGTTTCTGTCATCTCTGGGCAATCCAACTGAGGCTCTTATTTTGGCGGGAGGATCACTTTGGGTGTGGCTGGTACGTACAATCCAATCGACTGAGCACGAATTGAGCCACTTACTCCGTCCAGGTTCCTGTCATCTGTGGTTGGATTTCGGTAGGTACTCAAAATGACCACAGCACCATCATACACGCTCTAGACCGAGATGATGCAGTAGTGGCAGCGTCGATGGTGGTTCCACCAGAAGTCAACACCAGTGTACGCAACCGCCACTTCTCCCACGCTACCTCGAGGACACTTAGCGTCAGTCCATTCGACCAAGATGCGATTTCAGCCATCTCAGCGACAAGCGACAAGGCTGGCGTTGAGGAATTCGACCCTTTGAATGGGATCGGCCAGTACACTTATTTGGCCAAACAGAAAGCGTTTCGCATATCTCATGCCAAGGATCTGATGCAGCCTATGGTGAAGAGGAAACTCGAGTCCCGCCGAATCAGACTAGAAGATGCGAAGACAGTACCGGGCTGTTTTGGTTTCAGTATCGCTGGCGACGAGAAACAAGAAGGACCGACCTTTAATTATGCGCGTATGTTCACATGGTGGTACATAGCAAAGCAGGTTCATCTAACATTTGAGCACGCGTCACATAATCTCAGTGCTCGAAGAGATCTGACTGGGAAGGAGATGCCCGAGTACATGGAGTTCCAACACAGGTCTTTGAAGGGCGACAACATAAGCGTGATGCAGTATTGCGGGTTGGCCAACAGAGATGGGGAAAATATCGAAGCAAAAAGCCTACCAGAATATCCAGAATGGAGTGACCTTGATGCAGCTTTTTGGCAAAGAACGATCATCTCGACTGTGATGGCTGTGTTTGTGCAGTGGGGTTCTACTGGCGCCGCATTGACCATCGCATATCTGACCGAAGTAACTGGGTTGGGGTGCCGTTCGGGGAGTTATGTGGTATATGGCTCCCTTGGAACCATGTCGTTCATTCTCCTCTTCGCTTCATCATTCTTTTCGCATGCTGCAATGCTGGGCCATCAGAGGATGCACATGGCCAATGCAATTGCGCTCGAGTCAGGCACACCGCCAGCTTCACCTCCGCCGTGGCTACCTTGGTATCGTATATGTGCCGTGACGACGCGGATATTCGGGCGCATAATTGTTGTGTTTAATGCGACATGGCTAATACTAATTTCTTTCTGGGAGCTCGTTGGGTTTTTCAATAATTGCTGGTGCGATGGTGTAACATTGACGAGAGGCAATAGGGGCTTCATCATTCTTTTCAAGGACGCTGCTGAAATGGCACCTGCAGCCGTTCCCGCATGGGCTGGTGGCGTTTTTTTAAGTATCTCAGTGGTGGCAGTCTCTTCTGGTGTGTTTTGGTTATTTTGCCGTGGGAATCGCAGGTAGTGAAATATTGAATCATGCGGGTGACATGGAATTAATAGTATCCCAATATTAGCCAAAGGCAAGCTTGGTAACCAAGTGCTACCTATTCACAACGTACGTTCGCCTCACCTCCGTGACTGACCAAGTGGTAACTACCCTTTAATAACGGTGAATAATTTGGATGGTCCGTGATTGTGCTAGCAATTGCTGGCATACCCATATTCTGGGGCAGGGGTTTCTTTTCTCTTCTGGACTTGGGGCCATATTGCCGGAGAACATGAGGCGAGTCCGTGTTTATGGAGTCAGCGAGAATATGGAGGCCAGGGTTGACGGAATAAGAACTAGTATACACGGAGACAGATCAGGACAACATAGATTTCGTATATGATTTATTATATTCATTTGTTCGAATAGAGCTTCATGCCTTTGCCCCCCTAATGCCCAGTGCGGTCGTATAACACCAGCTGGAATCTGAAATCTACTCAAAACTTGCCTCCCCACTCCACAAGTGGTACTGGTATAATCACAAGATCACCAATACATCACATGGGCCAAGGTTGTATAACAGGACTCCTTGAAAGCAGCCCGTAGCTTTATCACACTTCGGCTCGAATGCAGTCCCCGAACGTACTTCATCTTCCCTCAATGCGAACGCGTTGTTGCTGCTCTTCACAGTCTAAAGCATTCAGCTCCTGGCTTCATGGCGTCGGTGTTGTCAGTGAGACTGCTGACTCTTTTCATTATCTTCTGTCTGTGTGTTGTGTAGAAGCTTCCTGTGTAATATCGACCCCGTGGTTATAGAAACAGTCCTGGGTTCGTCGGGTTTTCGAGCGAAATGCATATCTATTCATACAATCCAGTCGTGTTCAGTATTCCGCACTTGTGAGTGCATTTCTGCTGCATCATACAGCATCAGAACCTCTATACGCAGTCGCTTTCGAACTTGATCCTTGCGTATTCCAATTGTCTCCGGAGTGTTGGATATTTTCTTCGCTCATGACGTGATAGGTTGTTTGTACAACGACATCATTGGCCTTGGGCATCATCTTCGGGTCATCCTTGTCGATGATAAACTCCTCGCTGCCTCCGAAACTGTCTCTGTGTTTATCGCCGAGGTTGCCTTCGTTCAGGCTACTGGTCATCTCGTATGGTCCATAAGAATTAGGAAGCGTTGTGGTTCGTCCACCGGTTGTTGTCTTGCCGCGGCTTGAATTAATTATTTGTCCAGTCGTCCAGAATGATTTACGGAAGATGGGTCGCAGGATCGGAATGTTGACTGCCACGATACCCACGATGGTCTCCCGCACACCCCAGCGGTTGATGTTAGTGCCACTCGGGTTTGCACCGAGGGTGAGAACGACTCGGATGATGGCTGCTGCTATGACGAAGAAACCAGAGCAGATAAGAAGACCGACGACGAGTTTCCTATTCCACGCAAAAGATTAGTATAACTCAAATGTTGACTGAATGGTCACAGCTCAGGCTCATGCTCGGACTTATGATGTGCATGCGCTAATGGAGAGACTTTACACAGAGAATCATACTTACTTCTTCAATGGGACCTGAAGTTGCCACAACAGAGGAAGGGGGACGCAGAGGATAGCAGCGTCAGTTCTGTGAAATGAGTCAGCGTCTACACTGCTAATCGTATAGCATAGAAGAAATCAAAGCTTACAAAACATTGAGCACGACGGTTACAAGGAAGTTCTGCATTCTGAAAGTGCATTTAACTGGTAGATAAGGTTAGTTGGTGAAGCGGGTGTTCAAGTGGCGACAAAATACTTACGTCCAGGGTCCGGCGTGACTCTGGTCAAACGTTAGTATTTCTGAATGGCGAGAATTGGGTGCTAGAGTATTGACTTACTGCCAGTTCTTGTATGTTGGAAAGCACCCAAAGGTGACCTAAATTCCCATCAGTCATGGTTTTCGGGGTATTTCCCTCAAGTCAATCTCACTGTAAGAAACACTGCGACATAAGTCACAGCGCAAATATACTTCAGCCACTTGACGAGTCGAGCTTGCCAGAGGCCTGTGGTGATCCGATCAAAAAAACAGAGCATCGTGCCTTTCAAACACCACAAAAGCGCCGTGTATGAGTACCATGCCGTGAGCTGCAACTTGGAGCCGAGGGTGAATTGAGCAATGTCTGCGTCGCTGAGAGCTGGAACGATCGGTCAATAAGTCTTCCACGCATGTGGGTCTTCTCCTTTGTTATAATCAACATACTTTGGGTGGTCTGAAAAGCAGCTGCCTCGACATTTGATCCTAGCATGTCTTCCAGTTGCTGTCAGTGGTCGGATAAAAGCCCATCGCTGTGCCCAAGTTAACTCACAAACGAGGTGTACAGTCGCCGCATCACAAGTGTACATGATCATGACCAGAAAAGCGAAAAAGTCGTCCCCGCGAAGGCCTCTGAATCCACCCGAGTAAAGGCGGACAGCAAGTCTCATGATGAGAATTGTCATTCCGATACCGTAGAGCGTCCATATCTCGTTCAGAAACTGACTCCACGTTAGCTTCTGCTCTAGCAGGGGCTCCCATAAGAAGAGCTCTGAAGAGCACTGAACAGCTTACCGACGCATTTCTCTCGAGCCCAGCGTCCGACATTGTGCGAAATTGTCCTATGGAAAGTCAAGGCTTAATCCTGCGAAGCCTCAAGCGTTACGACGACGTGGGTCACAATGTCAGGATACGAGAAGATGCCCACGGGCTTTTGTATGAAATGTACCGTCTTATCGTTAATAAAGAAGAAATTTATCTTCTACCATTTACAGGCTAACTATAAGTCGAGTCAGTGATGTAAAGGGATAGCGTGTAGCTAGCATGGACGAACTCATGGCAGTCGTCAGACTTGGGCGCTACGATAGATGCTAGAGTGTTAGGAAGGGCCGCCAATCAGACCGGATGAGGACTTCCTTCTTCCCATTTATGTGGCGAGTGAAAATATAGTGCGAATCCCCCTTGGCCTCTCCGATCTTTTGCATTACCATCAATTCCGTTCTAGGCATTATAGACGTTTGCTTCGTGCCGAATGGTTAGGAATGCTAGACGTGTAGATCGAGGAGCCGTTTGCAGCCTGGCAGATAACCCGATTCATGGCAACTGCCAAGCTTTCCCCATATGACCGAAAGCACATTTATCAATGAGTAACAGGGTGTATTGCCAGGCTATCTTCAACGTCAGTCTCATCACAAGCATCGATCAGAGCTGCACTACACCGCTATTGTACACATGTGCACACTTGCCTCCGACTTCTTCAGTCATAAATCAACGTCTAAGAATTATTATCAGCTTGACAACTGGTAGAACACTAAACACAAACTTGTGGTGGCGGCTTCACGTAGTGTAGAGTGCCAAGTGTATGCACGGAGATCATCAATACTACGTCCAAGCACGAGGCTCGGCTGGGGCTAGCTGATCTGTTTCCCATTCTCTACAGATGGCGCTGGTAGCTGGACCTGCGCTTGCGTCCCGGGCTGGCGGGTCTGGATCTACTATGTAAGTTACATACGAAGAATGTCGACATGCGGTGGACACAGCGGAAATTTGATGGGTGCGGAAAACTACGGGGTCCATTTTTACTACGCGGCTCTTCAGATTTCATTTGGTAGCTCTAGACCATCCCGGGCAATGATATTGCCAAGACGGAGAGGGAGAGAGTACTAAGAAAAAAGAGAGAAACAAGATCCATGACTCGCTCAAAGCTTAACGCCACTAACACGAAGCCATTTGATAAGGGGTCTAGTTCCCCGCGCCGCTTCACCAGAGATAGTTATTACGAAAACTCAAAAAGATTCCGTACCTGTTTACCACTCGCAAAAGCACGGTTGACTTCTGGATGAGCATTACAACCGTCTCCGGCTGCCACCACTGCCGACACTTGACAAGGGTAGTTAAATTATGCCCGCAACCATGCGGAGCACATGTTAGTATGGTGTAACTTAGGACCTTTTGATCTGGGCTCTATCTGCAATGGTTAGTTGTAGGCTAAATTAAACTAAATGTGTTATTACATGTTAGTTCGAGCCAGTTTGACTGAACAGAGCTCCCAATGTCATGATTTGGAACTGTCTAGCGGGCGGCAGTGAGCGTCACCGGTAGGCAATTTATCTAACAAAGCGCAACCTAGTCTTAAACATCAATGACACCTTTGAAGCTCACTCACATTATTACTTATGTCCTTGTGCATGATCATGTAGGATGCGGTAGAGAGACACAGCAACGCTTGCGCGAAGAGCATTCTTCATAACGAGCACCAGCATGACAAACTCACTACTAACATAGATACTATAAGTACACCTTCTTCCTCATGGTGATTGCTGGTAGTTTTGTACTAAAAGGGTATGTTCATACACAGCCAGTTGTCTATGACGAGAGCCGTACTGAGCTTGGTCTATGGGATATATGTGAGTTCACAAGTGTTGTCGTTGTCAAGACGCATGGAATGCCCCACGTGATCAAAGATAGAGGCTTGATTGCCACTTAGGCCCCCAGCCCCTTACTGGCGAGACCGACCAACTGGCAGCTAATTGACGAGGGGCACAAGCGAAGGGAGTCAAAGAAACGCGACCATGATGAAGCTCCGAATCGAAATATATGCTCACATACTTCTATTCGCATAGAGACAAGAGAAATTGGATTATACGCCTGTCTGCTTTCATGTAATCCTTCATTGAACTATTCGGCTTTTGTGAGAAGTTGAGCCTTTTTTGAAGCCACCGAGTTGAAGCTCCTTGCTAGTCTAGGGGTAGACGTAGATTCAGCGACGACCTCGCACTTCTTGGTTGTGCGAACCCCGAGATGCGCACCACAAAAGCTGACACAGAAATCACAACTACAGCCACTAATCATGTTAGCACGCTGCAACGAATGCCATCGCAGCTGCTGACGGCCTGTGAACCCACGCATCCTTGATGTTTCAATACCCTCATCAATGCACCTGTCAGCTAGATTTATACCACATACCAAAAATGACGTCAGCAATTCTTCTCTCCGCCCTTTAGCAAACTAGAAACCATGCACGAGCTTGTCTTTGACTACAAGTCACCAGGGCTGAAACAGCAAACGGACTTGTACATCTCAGAGGATGTGTTTGCGTCGTGTTGATTGGCCTCGTGTGAACGGTCAAGCTCGGAGGTCGCGTTAGATACAATAGCGCACCATGATAGTGCCATACCGGCTAGTTGACGTAGCTCATTGTGCAAAATATGTTAAATATGTATGCGAGGGCAGCAGGATTGTCCGGTCAAGTCGTATCAAACTGCTGGAGACATTTCAGCATTATATTACAATTTCAAGCATCTATCTTTCATTATTACAAGACTAGTGTTGTGTTGGAAGCAGATAGCCCTGAGATTGACGATGCCGCTGAACGTTCTTGTCAACGGCGCTGGCATTTGCGGCCCGGCGGTCGCTCTGTTCCTGTTGCACTCTGATCCATCACATAATATCACCGTGGTCGAGCGCTCGCCAGGTTTGCGAACAGCGGGCCAGCAGATTGACATCCGCGCACAAGGCATTCCTATCATGAAAAAGCTTGGACTCCTTGAGAAGGTCAAGCAGCGCACAGTGGCTGAGTCCGGAGTAGCAGTGGTCGATGCGCAAGGCACAATCAAAGCGCTGTTTGAAGTGAACAACTCGGGGAAGGGTCAACAGGCCCTTACATCGGAGTATGAAATCATGAGAGGCGATCTCGTGGATGTTTTATATCAGGAGAGTTTGGAAGTTGGCAGAAGAGTGGAAAGAGATGGCAAGGGGCCCGGTGTCAAGTATGAGTTCGGAAAATATGCCACACAATTAAGCCAAGACGACAGCGGGGTGGACGTTATATTCTCTGATGGCTCTCGTGGTCGTTATGATCTTGCCGTCGGCTGTGATGGCCAGGGCAGTCGCACGCGGCGGATGGTCTGGGGCGAAGAGCAAGGCAACAATGTATTCAAGTCGCTCGGAGGCCTCGTCGCTTTTTTCAGCATCCCGCGAGAGCAGGAGGAAGATATTGGAAAACTTTTCAATCTTCCCGAATACCGTGTTGTCTTTACGAGGACTGGGAATCGACCTGTTACTCAAGTGGTCCTTGGCGTCCTGGATAAAGTCGAAGACTTAACGGACTACCCCAGCAAAAGCGTGGAAGAGCAAAAAGCTGCGTGGAGGAAGCTGTACGCGGATTGCAAATGGCAACGCGAAAGACTGCTCAATGGGCTTGACACCACAGAAGATTTCTACATGACCGAACTAGGCCAAGTGAAAATGGACTCTTGGGCCGAGGGGCGAGTCGTTCTTGTCGGCGATGCTGGTTATGCCCCTAGCGGAGTCACCGGCCAGGGTACCACGGCTTCTCTAGTTGGGGCCTATATTCTGGCAGGCGAGCTAGCTAGGCACGGCGACGATGTTGCGGCAGCCCTTCGATCATATGACAAAGTCCTGAGGCCTTATGTGAACGAGATGCAAAAGCTCGCTCCAGGGACACCGAATCTCTTGTATCCCAAGACCGAGTGGGGCATTTGGGCTTTGCAAACGGCACTGGGAGTTGTTACAAAGCTCCAGATTTACAAGGTGCTGAATATGATCTTGCCAGATACCAAGGGTGGGCTTGGGTTACCTGAGTATCCGGACTTGAATCTCCCTGGCGATATTGTATTGTAAGATATCAAAATGTCTTCAGTTCATCTGGCTCTTTTCCATCATTCATCGTTTAGTGTACAAATAGCACGGCAGCGGCCTTACTTGAGCAAATGTGTATCGGTTGATGCGCCTTCTGGTTTCTTCCAGTGCACCTTCAAGCCACCCCAGCTGTGATCGTTGTATGCATTTTGCACCTTGTTGCAAGTTTCTAGTCCCCATTCCGATACACCAATCATGAGACAACTCTCGAACATGAAGGCACAGCTATCCTTACCCACATACTGCGGTTTCAAGTCAGCATTGCTCGCGCCTTCGAAGCTGGTGGCATCCGGCCCATGACCACTCATCACATTGTGCAGACTAGCTCCACCGGCTTGGAAGCCTCCCTTACCACCCTTCTTGGCATCGTAGTCTCCGGTGATCAGCCCCATAAATTCAGACATGGTGTTGCGGTGGTACCACGGCGGGCGGAAAGTGTCCTCTTGCACAAGCCATCTCGGTGGGAAAATGACGAAGTCTGCGATTGCCGTTCCGACATGGTCAGACTGGGCCGTAAGAACGGTGAAGATAGATGGATCTGGGTGGTCGAAGGAGGTCGAGCCTATGGTGTTAAACCGTCCAAGGTCATATTTGTACGGGTAGTAGGTTCCGTGCCATGCCACTATATCGAAAGGAGTGTGCGTCTGCTGTGTCGTGAATAGGGAGTTTTGGAACTTGGAAATAATTGTGTAGGCGTTGGTGCCCTCAGCGGCGGTTGCGCCAAAATCCTCGCTGAAGGAAGCCACCGGAGCCTGAAAATCGCGAACATTGGCCAGGCAGTTCGAGCCAATCGGTCCAAGTTCAGGGAGTGTGAAGTGACCAGAGTATAGTTCCAATGCATAACCGCGCACGTGGCCTGAGGGCAAATGCACTTGGTACTTGATGCCGCGGGGAATGACGGCGATCTCCATAGGTCGCACTATTAGCCAGCCCAGCTCTGTCCTAATGTCAAGGACGCCGTCCTGCGCGACGATCAGAAGATCACCGTCTGCAGAGTAGAATGCAGTCTTCTCGTCCATTGACTTTCCTGCAGCGAAGATGTAGTACCCAACACCGTGCTTCACCGAGGGCTCCCCTGCCCCTCCAATGAACTTCAGGCCATTTACGAAGTCCGTCTGGTCATCGTGGTTGAAGGGGTCCCATCGGAGCTGATTTGGCACATATTTCAGGTTCTTCGGGCTGTACGCCTTATCCGCCGTGAATGGTCCGGTAGTTGTCTCCTCGAAGTTGGGGTGTGCACATGAGGGTATGATACGGTATAGCCATGACTGCTGGTTCTCATGTCTTGGCGCTGTGAACGCTGTGCCGGAAAGCTTCTCGGCGTATAGGCCATGTGCAGGTTTCTGTGGTGAGTTATGGCCAATAGGCAAAGCACCGGGCACGGCTTCGGTCCTGCAGATAGACATAAATTATACTGTGTTGTACTCTTATTGTCGAATTATAGTACACAACTTACTCGTGGTAAGAATTGAACCCGTTCTGGTATAGGTACTTCTCCTTGAACTCGAAGTTGGTGACCGGCATCGTAACAACTTGTCTTTTTTTTTTTTTTTTTTTTAAGGTGCAAGTATATTGTTAGAGCAGAATTTGGACTTCGAAAATACCGATGCCAGTTGTCGAATTATATGATTCTAATCGCAAACATGCATCACGCCGTGACATGCTCGGTTAGTATGGGAATCGGAATCGGAACACAGAAGCTTTGGTTGGAAATGTTTCGTTCCGCGCCAGTGGACCGCAACTATCCACTAATAACCGTGGGCGACGATCTGGCAGTGCAGACATGCCGGCGCCCGCGAGTTGAAATGCGGGGGCGGGGTCAACGGCCCTGGATGGTGAGCAGACACAGACAGAATCTTTGAAGCCGCATGAGGAACATTCGCGGAAAGCAGCTTTAATTGTGGCATCATGCCACATCAATACATTTACTTAGATCGCCTGTCCTGGAAGAGCTTCCATGTGTTCCGATGCCATCAGGTATGGCAGTTGACGAAAATGTCGGAAAGCAGCTGCACATCACAAGAACTTGAGGTTAGGTCAGAACAAGGCGGGCTTCGAGACTGGCCCCGCCAAAATAATTAACCTAGGGCAGGACAAAATTTGAGATGTTAAGACGGGAAAGTCTCCCAAACTCCAACCAGTCTGGCCGTGATATCAGGTGGACGACGGCTATAAAGCTAATGCGTATTCAGCACTTGTGTTGTGCTGTTGCATAAACTTCTTGTATTGCTATTTTGCTAGAAAAGACAAGCATTCGCTAACACTTTGAGTGGCATCGAGCTTTGTCTAAGAACGGTAATTCTGACCTTTCACCTCGATCGTTAGAATCATCAACTATTATAGTCTAGTCCGCGTCAGTATTGAGCGGCCGACTTCTCACCACGTAAAGCTTGACATCGAACCGCAATATTGTCAAAGGACTCCTACGCTGTTGAAAGTGCGAAGCAACGAACCTTTTGTAGACTTCTATAGAGTTTCGGAGAGACTAGGTTGACTGAAAGCAGCGAATTATGTGGCTTTTGCCAAGAGGCTGTTGGTCTGATAATTTGGGTCAGCTCAGCACCGCTAAGGTTAGACGAAATACGTAACGATACTATGTCAAAAGATTAGATAGGAAGTTTGCACATAAATAGAGCTGTAGGTGGCAGACCGGCGGCGGCATACTATGTGTCTCGTAGTTTCGTGACCGTATTCATGCCAAAGTCCGGTACGAAAACCCATCTATGAAACAAATCATTATCATGAACGGTCCATTTGCTCACAAGTATCGATAGCTGATAGCCTGTTGGCACCAATATCGCAAAATTTGCACGTCCTTCTCGCTGGCAGTGTCGTAAAGGGCTACGAGCTCTTCATCGAACATGAATTGACATACATACTCTAGGACTTATTGACCACACTCGAAAACGTCATTGAATGTGTAAAGCGCTATGCGTACGGAGTTGTACTCCGCCTTGCACTCGGTCAGAAGGTCGACAGCATGAAGGACAAAGCTTTACAAAGAAACAGCAAGCTCACTGGCAAGATACTCGATGCCATGCGGCCAACAATTATATTACCAATCTTATGCCGTTGTTGATTTGGCTTCCTAAGTGGTTGACCACATCGAGCGGCACACTAAAAGCAATCGCCAGCGATATGGAGGCTCAGATGCAGGACTATACAAGTAATGCCGAGAAAGTCATATGCAACGGGTCGGCACTCTACTCATTTATGCGTCACTTCTTGAAAAACCAGCAGGAGTACGACCTGAGTTCGGAAAGAAGGCCTATGAATTCTCTATAGCCTGGTTGGGGCTTGTACGAGGTTACCATATAATGCCGTACTTTTGTTTATTGTGACAAAGATGGAGAACTCGAACTGGTTCCAGAAGGTGCAAGACGAAGTCGACCGTGTCGTTGTAGACAACAGACTGCCATTATTTGGTGACCTTTACCCAATTACTCCGTATAGTTCGTGCCGTTGTCTAGGACGGAATCAGGCGGCGATCAATCGTGGCTGAGATTGGGATCCCACATATGGCTGAAGATGACTTTCACGAAGGATACTTTATTCCGAAGGGTACTATCCTGCACGCCAGTCATGGGTAAGCCTGAGCAGACATCATACGAACGAAGTCAAGCCAACCTGTCTTTGAACACCTCGATCTTGTCGGGAAGGGATATGTGCCCTGGCAATCCACTTTTCAACCCCGGTCGATGGCCGAGACCAGCTCACCCTACCTGTAGAGAGCCGCTGATGGTGTACCCAAATCTGATGAACTTTACATCATTCAGATATGGGCGCCGCGCATGTTATGGTACGAACTTCACAGAATGTGCATTAAAAGTCATGGGCGCGCGCATTGCATGGGCTTGCAACATATGGGAACCATCGACCCACTAACGAAGCCGCCAATTAAGCGGATATTCAATGCGAACCGACGCCGAACCCAAAGCCACTGCCGTTTCCTGCGGGCATTATCCCAAGAAGCAAAGATCGGGCGGAGTCAGTTAGATCAACAGCCGAAAACAGACGCAAGAATGACCCGTTGGTGCACGCGAAGTGGTGATAAACCACGAGTTATCTGGTATCTGATTTGCGATTGCATCCTTGGTGTAGTCGCGGGAGGCGAAGAAATACATAAGTTGACCGAATACTGGTTACACATCGCTTGTGGTTATCATCGTGTTTGTGTATCAAGAATCATCATTGAGCTTCTACCTGTATAGCAGCTTGTTGCGCCCTCCATCTTGCCCATGAAACCACAATGTTCAAATCTGTGTCATGCTGTTCTTTCGGGAGGTACATCCATCGGTTCTCCTCCAAGTTCCATCCACGATTGGGCATAAATGTCTCCAGCATGTAGTAGTTGTCTCTCATATACGGGATGTCAGCTGTTGGTGGTCCACTTCTTTCGAGGAAACGATCCGATTCCGACTCCATATCTTCTTTGGTCATTCGAAACCTCCGCCGCTTGTTACCTTTATTAGCAGCATGTCGGCTGATGGCCCGTGTGGTTGATCTGAGATGTTCTTCGAGAATCCGAGCGTGCCAGAGTGGGCTCTCCAGCGCCTTCCTCACGATAGTGGCGTGATCGTCAAGCAGCTTCCGATTATTCTCCGGAAAGATTCCTCGGGGCATTATTGGCAACGGGTTACCTCTTTCCAGATCATTCTGATAGTGTGCGAAGTCCAGAATGATATTGAGGCTGTTCCATCGAAGAAGACAGATGAAGCACGTGCAAATCAAGGCCGGATCAGGGGCTGAATGTGCTGGAATGGTTTTTTGAGCGCGTTTTTGAGTTCCACCCTGTTCATGCTTTGCAGTGCGGCATGCGCATTCTTATCGACATGCTTCAGAAGAACCGGCGGGTGGAAGCACTTCCGCAGACAGCGATAGCGCAAATCGCACACCCGATCCAGAATTCTCGATTCCTCTTGCAGGAGGACGTCCCGGTAGGCTCTGCTTGTGCGGCGCAAATTCATGAGTGTACTTGGTTGACAGTAATAAAGTATCTCAAGCACGAGCTCATGAGGTAACTCCAGAATGTGTGTCACCTGCGACTCGACTTTATGCTTCTCGACCTTTTGCTTTTGTTTGCGCTCAGCACGTTCAGTACGTTTCGAGCGGCGCTGAAGGGGCTCTGTTTTGTCCTCCAGTGGCTCAAGTTCCTCGTCGCCGAGTTGCTCATCCTTGCGAATCTTCGACGACGCTATTCTTGAGCCTTTGAGAAAGTGAGGCATTCTGAAGATGGTTGGTGATTGCTAGACCAAAACCTGCCTACACATAGGAACCAACATCATGCCTATAAATAAGGCTCAAAGTTTAAGATTTTTTTGTTCATGGGTGAGGTCATCAGGAAGCTTCGGGGTTTAGCGGGCTTCCGCCTAACTGGCTCATGCGGGGCAATTTGCTTCTGAGTGTCTCTGCCAAGTAAATCAAGTACCGTACTGTAGGCTGCGCAGGAACAATCTGCGGCAAGTGAAGATTGGCATCTAGTCTAGCACGTTCAAGCTCTACATTTAATCGAACATTCTCTGCGAAGTGACTTATTTACGGTCAGACACACGAGGCATGGGGACGTCCACGTTGGGTCTATTGCTACACGTTGAAGCATGCGGTACAGAACGAAGCTGCATGTACCGATGCGTAGGTATTTGTACAAATATGTACATACTCAGCGAATTCCACCCCTGTCCGTTTCTCGAAGTACTTAGCCGCTGTTGGCTCTTCTCTGCATAACCGCCACCAATTTGCCAATAAGATTTCTATTCCGTCAACATGACACCAGCAGCTTGGATATGTCGTTCAACCACTTATAATGAAATGAACATGCCGCCAAACATGAGGATAATTGCTATAACGACAAGGGGTGTCTCAGGTCCAATGACACCAATACCAGGAGCAGGCTGTATAGTGAGGTCCGCCACAATGCCTCTGGTGAAGTTATTGGCTGCCTCTGCGAGTGCAATTGTGCTCAAGTTTCCGCACTGCTCGTTCAGGTTTTTGTCGAACATCATGCCCATCAACTTCGGCGACTGTGTATCGAGGATGCTAGAGGCAGCGTCGGTGCCCATCGGAGCTGAACGCAGGAACGCTGCACGGTATGTTGAGTTGAGGCCGATGGTAGATAGATTGGCGACCTTTGCGTAGTTCTGGCAGATTGGATTGAGGAGGGCGTTGGTGTTAGCGCTGGGACTCTGTCGTGGTGCGAGAGCCTGCACGAAGCCATCAACCGAAGAGGCAGTGACTTGAAGAGCTGCAATCAAAAGGACGAGCAGCCGCCAAGGCGTGAGACCTTTGGTAACGGACATTTTGAATGGATAGTCCAAAAAAATGAACAGTAAAAAAGACCCCCCAAAAAACCAGTGATGTATTAAAACCCGTAAGTCGTGGCCTGCCACAAGAAACCGCAAATTTGAAGTGAACGTAAATGGTAACAAATGACGAGATCAACTCATAAAAGAAAAGAGAGAGAGAGAAAGGCAGAAGAGCTGAGCAAATCCTAGCTGCACCCGTGGGCAGTGCAGTGTAGTTTATGTGTGTACTTTAGTCAACCTCATGTTTGAAATATCGTCTCAGCTTATGGCTGAAAGCGTTACAGCCGTCATGCTTCAGATGTCAAGATCTGAAGTGGCGATCAGATGGTGAGGACGCGATCGTGTCGCCAATTGGCTGCTGGCCCCTGCAATTAGCCCCAGGCCCACCAACTTGAGGCTGACAGCGAACGGTTCCGACTCCTGCCTGTCTGAAGATATCCGCTGACCCAAGAAAGGGAATCATTCAATGACCAGTCCTCAAATGATCGTTGCCCCTTGATTAAGCTATTCTAAGCCGCATCGCCAAGACAACTTTATTTTGTTGAAGATTCTCGTGGATCGCGACGACCGCGTCCTGGAGTTTCCAATGTGGTGTCAATCCATTTCGACTTAAGTAAGCACACACACACACACACGCCCACACACCTAAGACGCCCTGATTTACAGAACTCTGTGTTCGTACTGTAGCACAACTCTGACATTCACAGCGCACGGTCTACATACCATATCGTCACCAGCGGGCACCAAGTTTGAAAACACCCCGAATTTCTCAACAGGTTTGCCAACGTGGATTGCATTATGCTAAGGACTTCCGGTCACCATTCCAAGCTCGAGTCTCTTATCGATTGGACGGCATATCATGCGCGTCTGGCTTGATTTTGTTGTCAAGATCTGTGCATGCGGTTACGCAGCGTTCAAGCGGGTCACGGTCGCGCTTGATTGCCTGGCAGCCGTCGGCGAGTTTTGTTGCACTGAACCATCGTCTTCAATAACTAGCAAGGCCCACTGAAGATATTTCGAAGATCGGGTGTCTGACATGTGAACGTTTTCTTGTTTGTTCTTCACAATGTTTTGGTCCCAAATCCGTGAGATAGTCCCGCAGCCTACGCCATAAGTTGCGTGATTGCGTGATGCCGCTAAACCTGCGAGATAATCTATTATGCCAAGGCCCACCGACAGAAATATGATTAATACAGGGGAAACTCGAGATATTCCGCCAATTGAGCGGCGATATGATTGCGTGTAGTGGGTGCTCATCACCATGTCCTCGGTAGACATCCGGATCGTCATCGTGGATCTACATCACGACGGCGAGTGTTGACGACCATGGCGAAGCATATAAATAAGGCGCGATCACGTATGGCATTGACAGAAATATCGATACAGGCCAGCTGAAACTTGAAGTCAAAGCCTCGGTCGTTCTATAGGATGCGCGCTTTTACCTTGCTGAGCTGCCTGTCTTGCGCTGCAGCCGCTTTCGCGGCGCCTTTTCTGACTCAGATTGATAGTTCGACTTGGGTCTTTGGCAATGACATCTTCAATGTCACTCAAGGCTCCACCTACGCGACCAAGGTCTACTACCGCGGCCACGAGCTTGTTGGCACTGCTGTCGGGCACTATATGGGCTATGGTCAGCATGAAGTTGTTTTACTCTGCAAAAATATCGCTAACGTGGTGCAGATGGAGAGAACAACTTTCTGTGGAAATCCGCGGCCATCACAGCACAAGGAGACGACTACATAGATGTTGCTTTCACCACATCCACTGGAGAGTTGCACTGGGTCATCTTCGATGACCTTGCCGGGTCTTACCAGTATTTCGTCAATAAAGGCGTTCCAGATCTGAGCATTCTGAGGACGCTTTGGAGACTGGACCCTACCCTATTCCTCAATGCAAGAACTTACTTGAGGGATCAAGCTCTACCTGATTATTCGCTTTATGCCAACGCCACCAAAGTGCAAGATGAGACCTGGGAGTTGGAGGATGGCACCTACATCACCAAATACGACTTCTCAGACTTTGTCCGCGACCGCGACTTCTATGGACTCTATGGGCCGGAAGTCGGTTCCTGGTACATCTTCCCTGGTGGTGATTACCACAATTCGAACCAGCTGAGTCAAACGTTGACGGTAAGAAGCACAAAGTATCCGACTTGGCTCGACTGACAATATATAGGTACACCGGGAGTCTTCTACGGGCGACTCCGTCCAGCTCAATGTCTTCCAGGACACTTCACACTTTCGAGTTGGTCAGACGACACCGCAACCCGTAGGAAAGATCTGGGGCCCTTGGCTGTGGTACTTGGTGAGTGGACCCCCGTTCGTGATGGAATCGCAACTAATATTTTCTATAGAATGATGGCTCAGTTGCAGATGTGGAGACCCAGCATCAGAAGGAGCTTCAGAACTGGCCATACTCATGGCTGGACAATGCAGCATATCAGAGCCGTGGAGAGATCTCTGGTACACTCCAGCTCTCTGATGGTCGTCCAGCATCCGGTGCTGCTGTCTACCTCGGTGACACCGACACCACAGTCCGACCTCTGATTCAAGGTAGCAACTACTATTATACTACATACGCCGACGCCAACGGCAAATTTTCGATCCCCGATGTTCGGTCGGGTAACTATGGCCTGTATGCGTGGTCAAATGGTGGGGACATTGCTGATGTGTACACCAACTTCACCACGAGCGACATTGTCATTTCTAAGGGTGTCACAACTAACCTCGGCACCTTGGACTGGCAGGTCTCTGGACTGGACCAAATATTTCAGGTCGGCGACTTCGATAAGAAGGCCTTGGGTTTCAAGAACGGCGGTCCGCCGTATGAACATGGTGATACAGACAAGGGCCCAGCAGACTTCACTTATACCATCGGCGCCTCAAACGCGTCAGACTGGTATTACGCACAGTCTCTCCTCGGAACGTGGACAGTTGACTTCACTCTGACCTCGGAGGATGTGGCTAAACACACAAAAGGCGCATTGCTAAGTGTGTCACTTGCCGGTTACTCTCAGAGTGCAGCGCTCAACATCAGTGCCAACGGACAGCTTCTGGGGTCGTTGAGCAAGGACACTCTTACTTCCGACCCAGCATTGTACCGTTCGGGCAAGACCAGTGGCGAATGGCGATTCCTTCAATACGAGATCGCCAGTAACGTTCTCAGCGAGGGCAAGAACACGGTGGACTTTACAATTACCAGGTATACTCAATGGAGAGGCTTCTTGTGGGACAGCGTCATTCTAGAATGGTTGTAGTTATAGCAGCTCTTCGGTAGGACATGTAACAGACAATATGTGCTACTGTCGCTTGTTCATATCTGGGTAGTTTTGCTGTACACCCACCGGTTGAACAAATCTTAAAGAAAAGTTATTTAGCGTCAATAAATGCTTTTGGTACATTAGCTGAATAGGTTGCCACGATTCTTCATCTCGTAGCGATAAAATCGTTGTAGACTTCGATATTGGGATCACTGCAGTTAGGAAAGCCAATCGTCGCCGGAAATCTCGCAGAATCGTAGTACTTTGCATCAGGAATGTTCCTCGCATCTAAGAGAACTAGTCAGTATATTCCAAAAGCTTTGAGCCAATGGTTTGCCAATTTGAAACGTTGTTCAATGTACAAATTGTATTTTTATGATCTGTGCTCTAGTGAACGTGGCATTGGACTGACCACAACATAATTGGCACCAATTTTATTCACAAACGCGTCTTCCCGTCGCGAAATACTTCCACAACTAAGGTTTCGCTGCAAGACGAAGTTGACTCGGGTCTTGTGCTACCAACGATGAATGCGTCGTCTGCAGTAGCCCCCTTAACCAAGTTGACGGCCAAAGCGTCCACGTAATAGCTTTATTAGAATGGAAGGAAGGAGTTCATTGTAAGAAAACTATTACCGGGGTGGATATGCCTACCATAGTAGATCGTGTGCTGCAATTTGAATTTGTGCTAGTCTCACAATGTGACTGTTAACTATGGTCATATTGAACTGTTTTGGCTGAAGTAAGACTGAGTTCATAAGAATACCCATCAAGGTTTGAATAGCATTCACCCATAGACAAGTTAGATGCTCAAATTGATCCTTTGGGTGGCGTCTATCTGTGCAGAGTTGGAACTTCGTTTAAATTACTCATTTGATTCATTATTGAGGTAAGGGTTGAGTTGACTTTAGCTGTCGCTATTTGACCGCAGAGTCACATATATAGCCTACTTCCTCATTCTCCTTATAGACGAAAGAAAAGTGTTTTTGTCTCTTTTTCGTAAAACCATCTTCACGACCGTCAAGTTTTATTTTATATGTTCATGGACCCTCAATCATCGTCTACGAGGCAGTAGTTTTCGAAATGAGAGAAAATTCGCAGTATCATTCTTGAGGGTTTACGTACACTCACCGTGATTATGTGGCAAGTAACGAGGAATCTTGACCATTGGTGGAACGACCTCACCACTTGATAGGCCCAAGAGCAGTCCAAGACTATCCACAGCCTATCTCCATACGCGGCGTTTTCGTAGTCGCCTACGCTGTCGATAACACAAGTGATAGTCTTATGCCGTGCGTCATGTGCTGCAATGTACCCCCCTGGACGGGTAGTTCGCGAGGTTCAGGGGTGATGAACTAATCCTGAAACTCGTTGATATTCATGATCTGTCTAATTTAGTTGATCTACCTTCGGTCGAGGCAGTTCACTGAATTGGAGATGTCATTTATATTTGTGTGATCAAGCCCGGATATTAATAATGTTAGAAGCGTATCCACCTTAATAATCGGCTCTAAAGGGCTATTATTATTATTATTATTGTTATTATTATTGATATATATCACCCCCTGAACCGAGCCAACCCTAAAACCGAGCCACCCTTCTACAGACTTGACTTCTCAGGGCGTAATTACCTACTAATATCTTAACTTCTAGGGATCTTCGACGTCGAGATACAATTATTTCGCATTACACCATGGAACCTTTCTAATATATCATATGATATAGCTGTATTGTGGAATGGCTTCTCCATTCAATTCTTCCGTACAGTGTGGGCGACAAATAGATCTATTCAGCGCTATCGTACGAAAGGAAGAAGGGATTCTTCCTATCGTACGCGATCTACAGATAGGGGTTTGGCCTATACGACTGCAAGCTGCCGACAGCCACGGTGTGGCTGTAGTGGCTTGCCGTCAGTACGCCGGTAACTAGCTAGACTATATGGTCGTGCGAGACCGCGGATAACCATATTCCAACATATATTATATTTTGGAATGTAAAAAATGGTTTCCGATTTTCTTTTCGATTTTTAAAACCTGCGTGCGGTAAGTAATAAGCCTCTTAAAGCTAATATTCAACCTCGTCAATGGAGGTGGCTCAGTTGTAGGGGTGGCTCGGTTCAGGGGGTGATATGTCATTATGGGAACTTAAATGCATATGCTGGCAAGTAAGATGATAAGTAGGCAGTTGGCAGGTACGCTTCAGGTTGTATTTTCTCATAATGTGCTAGCACTAGAGTCCACTGCAGCTGTTAGGACAGTCGTGGATAGTGATTATGTGGTTATCGAGGAAAACACTGTAGTGGCGGAGCTGGAGTGCGAGACCAAATTCCTGGTGTCTCCTTGCCGCTCTTGTGTTGAGTTCTCCATTCGTAGTTTCCTTACTCTGAGCTGCAAATGTTTCTGCGTCTTTGCAAATTTTACTGTCGTGCGCCGTATTAACTCCAACAAGGACACTAAACGGCAGTTACATAGCAAAGACTCACTTGCCCTGAGTATAAACCGATTTGCAGCCTCCTTAGTCTGATCAGTTCTAATGGCAGACTTGCTTTGGTCGTGAGCTATCACGTTCTTCTCGTTCGGCATCACACATTTATCGTTCAGCTACGCCGTCATTCATCAAACGTAGGATGTGATTCATCATCCGTATGATATTAATGTTCATCTCCCAGATTTATGCACCTCAGTAATGTTGTTGATACGTTTCGCTCCATTTTTGACTTCTCACGGACAGGTTTAACCTTCTCTAATGGTCGCATCGCTCAACTGAGCCTTTTCGTAGTTACTACCCACACTCGCCCTATTAGGGACTAGACCTTCATGCCATGCAGTATTGATAACAGCAGGCCGCGAAACAGGCTCTACCAGCGGGCAAGTCAGGCCAACCCTAAGGGACGTCAATCCCCGGTCGTGGAACTGTGTTAACATGATAGGAAGGATTTTCTTCGCAAGGGTGTTGAGATTTGATTCAGATTACCATGAGAAGGAGTCGGCTGAGAGAATAGGACGGGTAGTTGACTCGGTTGCTTGCCGGGCAGCGGTTCCGCTGACTTCACCCTTTGTTGTCTTGCTTTTGCTTTTCTTTTTTGAGGGGATAGGGATGAGTATCCGGTTGAATTCTGGCACTACCTGTAATCGTTCCACGTTCCTTTTGCATATTGTTTAACCTTACGCATGATCGATGCTCATATCGACTAATCAACTAAATGCAATATGATTAGTGCTGGGAGAACTAGCTCCGCTTCTCGAGTGAGTACGTGATATCTCCATCGTAATGATCCAAACTTGAACTAATGTGCATGAACATATTGTCTGGAAAAGGGTAGCCTCAGTTGAGTAAGAAATACTATATCTAATGTAGAAATTGTCATGGAGGTTGTGCTCTGTCGAGTGACTCCGAGGGTGTAGCGTGCAGGGGCGCCAGATAGACTAAACGATCCCTCCACATGAGCTCAACCCTCAAACATAAAGGGCAGCCGAAGAGGTCCTCCTTGTTCACATGCCAAGGCCCGTGAGAACCCCCTAGACAGTTGAAGACCAAGTATGTTCCAGTATAAGTCTCGCTTTAGTTCCGTCAGGATCTGAATTTATTATGCTGCCGTCTGACGAAGTCATGACCTCCATAAACTTGTCCTTACTGGTCTACCATGATGTGGGACACTATTGTCAGTACTATAGGTAGATTCTAGAATTCTTCTCAAACAAGATTATGCGCTTCCGGCTTAAATAAGAGTACGTGGTGCACAAGTCATCGCATGCCGTCACAGATTTTTGGGAGGCTGCATAGTGCACATGTTTTGACTAACTAGAGCGAGCAACATAGGCTGGATGAGGTTTTACGTAGATAACACTATGCTAGCGCTATAGATACACCAGCGCTCGATTCTCAACGGCCGGAGGACGTGTTTAGCGATATGTGCAAGGGCGCGTAATAGTTGCAACGATAGTGTTATATATCGCAATACCCCCCCTTTTTTTTTTTTTTCCATACACCATCACCACGTTTGCGTCAGCAGCATTTATTCGAGTGTACCAGGAGATATCGCACATCTAGCGGCCAATCGCACGAGACAAGATAAATGGCGGGGTATTGTCCCACAACCTGAACCGATCCCGCACATGCAAGTCCGTTTATGGAAGCGTGGGGCGACACGGCCAGCACAGGCACTGTGTTCGAAGACATACCCAATCTGTAAAGCATAATGACAAACAGTTCTACGAGAGGAGCTCATAGTCAGTTAGCTATGATGTTCACAATTTCGAACACTTGTCCAGTTGCAGGAAGTCTAGGCGGACCTCGCAGTCCGCCCTCGGCCGGTGGAGAACTATCTTCTAGAGCTTCTTATCACTCCTCCGTATGAGGGGTGTGGCCACTTATCGTGATGAGGGGCTATTCTTTGAGTAGGACCAATGACAAACAATGTCTATACACCTATGACAGCTTATCGAGCTAAGAGTAACCTTACTGTAATTAGGTGTTCTGGTTGGCTAAGCGGATAGCTTTTCCTTATCGAGACACCGTATGCCCATTGAGTTGGAGTATGACTTCTTGCAGCTTTCCCAGCGTATGTAAATAGGGGGCTGAGTACGCTTCAAACAGCTAGGGACATCGTATCCTCAACCACTAGAGATTACCAACCACTTCTTAGGATATACTCAAAATGGGATCGCTTACTTTACCAGAATTGCACCCCTTCGATCCGCTAACAGCCAAGGAGATTCAAGGGGTTATTGGCATCGTCAAAAAAACACATGGCGATGTGTTCTTCAATGTCGTCTCACTCCAAGAACCACGCAAAACTGAAATGACAGCATGGCTCCAAGATAACAGCAGACCAACGCCCAAGCGTATCGCGGATGTTGTTGTCATTGCCCCTGGCGGCAAGGTATACGATGGTCTGGTTGATATTGAAAGTGGCAACATCACATCATGGGAGCTGCTTGATGGCTTACAGCCCATCGTATGTGTCAACCTGACCCATAACGTCGTGGTGCGAAAGCTAACATGGTGGCAAGATTACTATGGAAGAGCTCCAAACTGTGGAGCATACTGTCAGAAAAGACCCCAAGGTTGTTGAGCAATGCAAGATCAGTGGCGTTCCTGAAGAAGACATGCACAAGGTGTATTGCGACCCCTGGACCATTGGCTTTGACGAGCGTCACGGAAACAAGATCCGTCTTCAGCAAGCTCTCATGTATTACCGACCAAACGTAGACGATTGCCAATACCAGTATCCTCTGGATTTCTGCCCCATCTACGACGCTGACAAACAGGCGATTGTCGATATTGATATTCCAAAAGTCAGACGGCCACTGAGCAAGGCGGCAGCCATCAACTACACGCCTTCCGCCGTGGAGAAAGCTGGTGGTTATAGGCAGGATCTCAAGCCAATCAATATCTCACAGCCTGAGGGTGTATCATTTAAGATGAACGGTCGTGAGATTGAATGGCAAAACTGGAAATTCCACATCGGCTTCAACTACCGAGAAGGCATTGTCTTGAACAACATCACATACAACGACAAGGGAACCGCAAGGTCTCTATTTTACCGTCTATCGCTGGCAGAGATGGTTGTCCCATAGTAAGTCTGCTCCCAAGCCTGTTGAAGCATTGTGTTGACGCCCGCCAGCGGAAACCCGGAGCACCCGCATCAGCGCAAACATGCTTTCGATCTGGGAGAATATGGTGCCGGTTATATGACAAACAGTCTCGCACTGGGCTGTGACTGCAAGGGATCCATCCACTATCTTGACGCGGAATTCCCTTCTAGAGCTGGTGACATCCGTACTATCAAGAATGCGATTTGCATTCATGAAGAGGATGCAGGCATTTTATTCAAACATACTGACTTCCGTGACGATTCCAGTATAGTTACGCGTGCAAGGAAACTCATTATTCAACAAGTCTTCACTGCTGCGAACTATGAGTATGCCTGCCAGTGGATCTTCCACCAGGATGGTACAATTCAGCCTGAGATCAAGCTCACCGGCATTTTAAACACTTATGGCATGAACGAAGGCGAGGATACCCACGGATGGGGAACGCAGGTTTACCCTGGTGTCAATGCCCACAATCATCAACATTTGTTCTGTCTCCGAGTAGACTCCAACATCGACGGGCCTGCCAACACCGTTTTCATGTCCGATGCTGTACCATCCGATGCGCCTGTCGGAAGCCCGGAAAACTACTACGGCAACGCATTTTACGCTAAGCGCAAGAAGTTCTCTACTACTGGAGAGTCCAGAACAGACTACAACGGCAAGACGGTGCGGACGTGGGAAATGTGTAATACAAACAACATACATCCGTACAGTGGCAAAGCGGCATCGTATAAGCTTATCAGCCGTGAAGTCCCACCGTTGCTGCCAAAAGAGGGATCGCTGGTGTGGATGCGGGCTGGATTCGCAAGACATGCAGTCCACGTAACAAGGTGTAAGTATTAACTTGTTCCACGATTCTCCTAATACTGACAGAAATACAGACAAGGATGACCAACTATGGCCTGCCGGTCGCCACGTACCTCAGACCTCCGGAGAGCCATCGTTAGGTCTGCCAGAATGGATCGGTGACGGCTCAGAGTCCATTGATAATACTGATATTGTACTGTGGCACACTTTCGGTGTCGTCCACATTCCCGCGCCTGAAGATTTCCCCGTGATGCCGGTCGAGCCTATTACTCTACTATTGAAGCCAAGAAACTTCTTCGGCAACAATCCTGTCATGGATGTCCCCCCTAGCTATGCCAGTACTCCCAGTCAAGTCGCAGCAGGAAATTCCGGAGTATATAACGCGACGGACAAGCTTAGCAAGTTGGCATTCTCTAACGGTTCTAACCACACGAACGGTACAAATGGGAGCTGCTGCAGTAGCAATGAAGAGAACGGTGTGGACGGGCACTAGAAACCTGCCATTAGCGTACATGTATAAAGAAAGGGTTACGGCGAACAATATTCATTGGCCAAAGCTGCGAATAAGTACAATTCAAGCAGCGGCAATATCTAAATATGAACCATGATCGTGATCGACAGCATCGAACAGTTTCAGGTGAAAATTAGTTCGAATTTCTTCGACATGTAGCTTCTATTAGATCGCGTGATATTTTCTCGAGGCTTTAGTTGTTATGGTTATTTTTGCTGCCGTCATATCTCTCTTGTCATCATGCATGACGTCTATTCCACATACCATGTCATCTACGAGTGACACGCGGCTACGAGCGAGGATCTGAAAGCCTGTGCATCTCATACTCGACCTCGAAAGCAATGTATTGGTTATTTGTATGTAGTCCATACCTTTTGAGCTCCAGTCATCTCGTGACTACGTGGTTGTTGACACGTACAGCATATCCATGCCCTTGAGAATTTCCAGGTTCCTTACTAGACATGATACCCGTGTACTCCTCCGTATCATAGATTGCAGGATGAACATCTAGAGTTTCCCGTCCCAGAGCAACGACGAATGGGCATCACTTCTCACTTTCAAAGTTAGGCTCCTCTATGTAAACCGATACGTGGCTTTCCGGTCGAAACCCTTTTCTGTATGCACACACCCATCAATAAATAGTCAAATTTGACCAAGGCTTCTCTGTGTTCGTTCTACCCAGATGTCGGCATAATAGAGTAGCTATATATCTCCGCGAGTAAATGCCCATAAGCGTTAGATTATCCGCCCAGCAGCTGGAGAAGGCAAATTGGTCGGCGCTCTAGATCCTTCGTGAGTAGCGCACTCGTGTGCAGCCCTGATCATGTAAAACTCGTGTGGTCACTCTGTTGAAGCGACCCTCCAATCTACGTCTGGCTTGCGGTGTAGCCCGGCAACTTTTGCGGCGGCATGCATCCCCACTGTTGATCCTGTGGAGAGCTAAGGGTCCTCAGGTGGTTTTAATATAAAGTAGGTGAGTACTTCTAATACCATAAAATCGTGTACAACATGTCTCACAGCCAGGTCATCATTAGTCAAGATAGTTCAAATCCATACATTCGGGGGTGGACAGAATCAATGCAATTCATGTTTCTGCTCTTCCAGGACAAGTGACGCGTTCCGAAACTCGTCATGTGCGGTCGGCCTCACTGCTGCGAAGAATGATCCAGGGCTTTTCCCGGGCAAGAGGAAACACAACAGTTGGCGCATCTCCGAACTTGAATTCTAAAACCCATCAGCCAGATATACTTGCGATGCAAATTAAGACGAACAAATGACTGTAAACTAATAGAATACTATCGTTGTGAAGTGGTTTCTGTTATACCGGTAATCGAGAGGCATGAGGCGACTGCGCTAATCCTTGTCCACTGCCTCACCTTGTCGGCATTCGTTGTCTAACGCTGTAAGTTATTGAACGCGAATGTTATCATTCGAACCCAGTTCAAATCGCACAAAGCTTGCTTCGATACGTTCTAGGATGATGATGTCCCTGTCTCATATTACGAAAAACTCAGCTAGGTGGCCCCGCCATGGCCTGATATTTGCCCCGGCTTATCTGGCAGCGAGATCCTTCATTTAAATGCTGACACGTTGGGCTCCACCGTAACCATAGCTATAAAGTGCATCGAACTGAAGGGACGGAGTTACTTTGAACGATCGAGGCCCTAGAGCAGATAGATGTCATGGCAGGCCTTTTGTTCAAAGTCTTTACCACTCTTGTAGTGCTACTCAGCGCCTTCATCTACCAAATACAATTTCCGCGCATGGTAAGCCTCGGATTAGGTATCGGCCGTAAAGTCGAACTACTGAGCACGTTTCCGTACACTTGTCGACGAATCTATCATGAGCGTATCCAAGCTTGTGAGGACATGTGGCTCTCAGAGTCGACAAGGCAACTGTTTTTGGCGTGCTCTGATCCACTGGCAAGAGCCAGATGGATGCCAACGTAGGTCATTCTATTTTTAGTGTCGCATGAGAAAGAGTTGTTAGCTGACGGAAGATGTGGATAGCATGGGCCATTTCAATGTTTCAGCTCGGGGAATGAGTGATGCTATCTTGGTGCTCGACATAGATGACCTGGCTTCCGACAGTGAAGTCATGCCCCGCGTCCTTGATACGCCTGGGTTTCCGGGAACGAACGGCGACGGTCGTCTTTATCTTTCCGGCTTCTCAGGATCGGATGATGAAGACGGAAGCGTGCGGCTCTGGGTCGTTAACCTGAAGCCGTCTGTCGATCCCGTAACCAAGGACTTCCTCGATCATGCCAAGTTTGGGGCGAACACCACGATTGAGCTTTTCCGTACTGGTAGTAAAGCAGAGAAGTTGGACCATTTAAAGACGTTCGTACATCCGCAGATTGTCAACCCGAACAGAGTCGCCGCAGTTGGTGGTAATAGCAATGCTTTCTACTTCACGAACGATCACGGCACAATCAAGACCGGCTTAGTAGGTTGAGGTCCTCAGCTGGTGCTGCTAGGCTTGGAAGCTGACTGAGCTACGCTAGAAATTTCACATCTCACCCCTTATCGGAACAGGTGACGTCTCATATTGTGACGAGACGTCATGCCGACAGGTTGCGTCCAGTCTCAAGTTTCCCAATGGCTTAGCTAAAGGCGGAGACGGTCGGATATACGTTCCTAGTTCAATGCTTGGACTGATCGACATCTTCCAGCCTCAGATCAACGGAGACCTTGTGAAGGTAGACAGCATCAATGCAAACTATGTGTTGGATAATCTCTCTCCAGATCGCAATGGGAATATATATGCAGCCGCTATTCCGGACGCAATGAAATTCTTTGCGGCAAACAAAGACCCATTGAACAAGAATGCTCCGACAACGGCACTGAAGATTACCAAGAATGCAAAAGGTCAATACGAGGTCAGCAAGGAAATTGAGGATGGAATGAACGAAGTACTCCCTGGAGCCACGACGGTGTTGCATGATTATAAAACAGGCAGACTGTTCTTCTCGGGTGAGTCTCTGCATGGTTTCTTGATCTCTTGAACTTGGGGCGAGTGGCTGATTTAGGTAGGCGTCTATGCTCCTTACATGGCTGTATGCGAGCGGAGATAAGTCAGGATGGTGGGCTCATAAATCATAATCGTTGCATGAGTAGAGTCATTGATGTTGATTTCCATTGCTGGAGGCAGGTCTATTGGGTGCGCCTAACACCGATGCTGATATCTCTGAAGTTCCAATCTATACATCATCCCTTTTCCCTTCTATATGGTATCTTAACAACAAATATAGCAGCAGTGAGTGGCCAAGAAGAAACCACCGCCAAAGCGCGAGATATACAAAGAAAATAAATAATAAAAATAGTAAAATAACCACGAGTTCAGTGATGCCGTGTCCTGGGCTCAACCACGGGATCAATCAGGGACGACTTCATTGACAATGTTAAGTCCTGATCCCTAAAGCCCGTCTAATGAGAGCTGCTCCTAAACATGCTGGTGCAACGTGGAAGTAACGTGGTGTCTTGGCGGAAAGCGGTAATAAATATCCCCTACCAATCTAGAATGGTCCCCTTTCAGCAGCTGTTGCTTGAGATGAGACAGACCTCATTGTCTTGGCCGATGACGATATCGATGAGCCTTCTCTAGGCTTCTGGCACCAAATGGTCATGCTACATCTTTGTGAGCTGTCAAGCATTGAACCGAAAATCGGATGGACATACAGTGTCAGGAACCCATGAACATTCGTGTCCGCAACCTCTCTTTTCAAGCTCACTAGTAGTTCTTGGACTTGTTCGTGCGTCCAGCCAAGGGCACCAGTAAAGACCGGCATGGTGGCACCTTCGATGAATGTCTGAACGTTCTCCGCCATCATCAAACCCTGCCTCTGCAACCGCTTGCCCGGTGCCCATGGGTTCAGAGGAACCGGATATCTTCTCTCTGTGACATTCAGGCAGCCCCTGTCTTGCATGATCTGTTTCCACTGCAATGCCCAAAAAGGCGAGCTTCCGAACTTTTTGAGTCCCCGCTTGAAGTTCTTGTTCCAGATATTGAACATGTTGAGGGAGTGATTCGGAGACTGGAACTTGACAAGCCATTCTGTTATCTCAATCCATCCACCAGGGGCCAGATGCTCGTACATGGTTTCAAACAGTTTGTGCTTGCCATTTGGCAGCTCACCTACCATGCGCATATGAATGAAGTCAAAACTCTGATCAAACGACCATGACTGAGAGGCATCCATCATCTCGAAGCGGCAGTTTGGTAGCAGGTAGGGTGGTTTCACTGGATCAACATCAACACCCAATATTAGAGCTTCGGGATGTTTCTGGGCTGGATGGTTTTCGTTAGCAAACATGTTTTAGTTTTTCAAGCGAGCAAGGGTGTTTGCTTGCCCATTTGCTACATCGTATTAGCCAGTGCTTATCAAACAACGCATGCAGAGGGTCATACCAACGGCCAGAGTCCCGGGCCAGTCCCTATATCGAGCACCCTCTTGGGCCTCACGGGACACAAGAACAATTTTCCATCGAGCACTTCCAAGAATAGTTGATGCTGTAGTACTATCTCGCATGAGCATAAGCGAGCATCAAACCATACAGGGATAACTTACTGTTTCGCTCCCTTTCAATCTAAGATAGTGGCAAGTATTCGTCAGTGGCTGTGACAGAGACAATCATGGTGTAGCCATGCAACAGGCGTTACCCACCTGGTCATTAGGGAGGAAAGCTTTGCCCCGAAACCCTGCCTTCTTGTTAAAACTCCTTCCCAGTTTTCTGGAAATATAGCGCAAGAGCCGACCTGAGCTCTGGGTAGTTGAAGCTCTGTGGATAATCATTCGTCAGCGAACCCGCCGCAGTGTTCAAAACCCCACAAGGGGCAGGCAGGGTCAACTTTTGGGAGCCCATGTACCGTTTCAATGTCTTGACAGTCTCGGGTCCTGAACCATCGGAAGAATCTTCCGCAGGATAGTACTCCACATTATCGATGTCAGCGGATGCAGCGCTTGATAATGACAGCCGATCGTCGTCAAGTCCAACCTATTGGCAATAGTCAATTGGGGTCACATGGATCCATCATCGCGGTATCGATCGATGAAAGCACACTCAACCACACAAAGACAGCCAACTTACATTTGCGCTAAATGCATGCGACTCTGAGGAATCTTTGGGCAGTTGATGGGTCGATGCTGTGCTCGGGGGTGTTGAACAAGTGGCGGTGAAGGAATCTGTACTGCCCATTGTGGTCGACGGCCTCCCTCCCTTCAGCGATAGATCACGGGACCATGATGAGGATCCCGCCGTGGATTCATGTGAAGGTTTGCCACGCAATTGTGAGCCGCTCTGTTTGCGTTTGTCCATCCATGAAAGATACACCTCGGGCCGCTCCGAGGGTGGCTCGTTGCTTTAGTTCGCTCCAGAAAAGAGAACAAGAAGAACAAGTTGGCACCGAAAGAAGTAGACGGGTTGCAACAGTAACAAGCACCAGGGCACTAGGTTTCTGAGCAGCGACGCGGCTAGGTGGAGAGATTCGGCGGTAGTCTCGTTGGTGAGAAGTGGGCTGTTGGATTTATTTTCGAGAGTTTGCCAACGGGATGCTAGACGAAAGTATCGAAGCAACCGATTCCTTGGATTCCGGATGGTTTTTCAATCAATTGATGCCCGATCCTTGCGTCTGCCCCTTGCTTGCGGCAGTTCTCCATTTGTTTGGGTGATCAGATCAACAAGGAGCTGGTGATGGTTCTCTTGGTCCGTGAGTACTCCGTATTTCGTCTATTTTCCAATATTATGCTGAAAAGGTATTATGCAAACCCCAGGCGTCGCAGCTATGCCGACCCGAGACTAGGGCTTTGCCTGGAAGGGTTTGGCACTCTATCCGATTGGCGCTGGAACGTTGCAAGACCCGCGTGTGTCGATGCCGGTGCCATATTGTGGTGCGTGTCGCTTCATGGTTCACGAATTCATATGCCTCGGGTCGGCACTCGTCAACCTCGCTGGCTGTGCAGGTCTTTCCTGCAGCATCTTGTTGGACATTTGTGTTTCCGTGACGTTCGATGGCCCTGAGCCTGAACCGGAGAGAGGCCCAACTCGGACCTAGAGACCTTTCCCGCCCCAGCGAATGACCAAACCCCGACAAAGGCTTTCAGCTCATCCCGCACTAGGTTAGGTTATCGCTCTTCCAGCAGGCAATCCATCCGCTAGGTATCCGACTGTGGTAGAGTTTAGGTTGGGATCCACTAACATAAACACTTTGCCGGTAAGATACTTCAGTGTCACAAAATGTCGCATCGCAGAGAGGCACTCTAACAGGTGAAAACTCAAGAGTGCCTCAAAATGCGCAGGGAAAATCAGGAACACAGGCGCCAAAGAAGGCTATATAGTCGTGACCATTGCAGAGCTGCACGATTCGTTTCGTTTCGCAGGTAGTGCTTCAGCTGCATATAGTTCTCCGTATTTATGCAAGATTCGTATATGTCATTTCATCTACCGTCAACCCGTCAACCGAAACGCCGAACGGGACGCCCCGCTCTCACCCGCAGCCACCAGCGTCTTTGCCCACTGGCCCCTGAAGTGCCCTGAAAGAAAGAAGAAGAAAAAGAAAAGCAAAAATCGTCATTGCCAGGACACTGACCACCATGAGATCAAGCTGCACACCAGGTCAAGATCTTCGGGGCTTTGATGCCTTGAACAATAACATCATGCCAACGACCTCCGTTTCTACCTGATCAAACTCCTGCTTCAATGCCTTCTCAATCACCTCCTGCTCGTCATCCCAATTATTGAAGATATCCAAGCGGTTATAAATCCTGAGGTATGACCTGCTGAAGAAACCTGTCGCATGCTTCTGGCCTAGTACTGTGCAGCCAGCCAACGCGCCGCCGTCCGATAGAAGCTCCTTGTACGTTGCGAACGCGCGAAGCTTCTCGGCGCCTCCTGGTACGCAGTGGAAGAGATTGAACATGGTAATCGAGTCGAACTTGCCGCATGCATCTCTGAGTGACTCAGGCAGCTGTGCTGTTATATCAGCCTGTACGCAGTTGACGCTGGTGTGCGGCGCTACCGACAACACCCGGGCCTTGGATGCATTGAGAGAGGTCTCGTTGAAGTCAACCAGCGTCAACTGGTGTTTCTCCATATTGCGGATAGGCCTTCTCAGCACTGTCGCAGGAAACCATCCTGTTGCGACACCGATGTCCATGTGGTGATGGGAGAAGTTATCCGCAAAGAATGGGAGAAGGACCGCATCAGTCGCGCAGCTCCAAGCATACTTCATATTGAAGCCAAGGACATAGTGATCGTATATCCGCGTCAAGAATGACCGCGAGTATATGTCTTTGTAAAGACGAGCGTCTGGTTGTTTTTGATCTGCCATGATTGGTGATTGATCTTGTCTAAGGGCTGGAAGGTAGGGTGGTGGGCGGTGCACTATTTCCACGTCCTTCTCAAGTTTATATCCCGTCTGCCAGTCTCACGTTACTGTCCCCAGAGCTTGATTAACAGACGAGCAGTACATAGAGCTTGCCCCGTCTTTCTTGAATTTATCTCACGCTGCTTGGCCGAATCCCACCTTGACCCCTCTTCTTTTATCAATGGCCATCCGGCCAATTCAGAACGAGGCAATGAGGATCAGATCATGAAGCAGGCGGAGTTGGACGCGGTAATGCTGATGGCAACTGAACTTGTCATGCGGCAATTATGATATCTCAAAGGTACTGGTGGGACCATTACCCATTCCAGAAACAAAATGCTGTTTCGGCCAGTCATCGGTTGGATTTGGTGCTGCATTCGCCAGGGAAGCATTCGTCATGGGCAGGATAGTTGCATGCAACTACTGCCGTACAACACATTCCTCTCATGCAAGTGCGTGCTCCTTGCAGGTGTTTGACAGAACTAACGTTTCCTTGCTTGGTACCCACCGGGCTACTATACTATTTTGGACTGATAGTGCGAGTGGAGACTGAACCCGTCTTTATACCCTACATTTACAGTCACATCGTCCAGCTGCGGCATAGTTCACGACATGCCAATCGAAACTTGGTGTTAGACCTTTGTATCCGGCACGACAACTTCGAAGATAACAACGGGCAAACATTCATGTACCGGAACGAAAGGTCCTTTCACTAGCGGCCTGCTAATGAGCTGATAATGAGCTGCCAACCATAGATAGTTCTGTCGACAAGAGTCAGTGGAAATGTTACGTGCAGTATTTAGCCCGCAATGGCTAGCTCCTGATGTAGAAAGACCCTATAGAATTCTACGTTGTGGACCGGGAGCTGGCAATTAGTAGGCCTAAGGGAAGCAGTATTACATGGATCTGGACTGCCCAGGTGGCCAAGAAGTGGGCAACGAAGCTCTAGGCTCGGAGCTGGTCAGATCATCTGGGTGAATTCCAAATGGGGACAACGAGGGAAATGCTGCAATTGCGAACTATGATAATGCCAGACGACTGCTGATTCCGAGAACGATCCAGCGTCTTGTAATATAGAAAATCATTCAACATGGAGCAAGCAAAGTCAATGCCTATCGCCATAACTGGTATGGCCTGCCGTTTTCCTGGGCAGGCCGACACGCCAGAGAGACTTTGGAACGTGTGTGCAGCCGCTCGAAACACTTGGTCTGAATGGCCCAAGGATCGCCTCAATGAGGAGGCGTTTCTTCATACACAACCTGAACACCTCGGGACTGTGAGTGATACTACTAATTGTGCGACTTTTCGACTAACCTCGTCAAGTTCCATAGCCGTGGAGGTCACTTTCTTGAAGAAGATGTCTTCCGGTGGGATGCATCCTTCTTCAACTTTACAGCCGACATGGCCAGAGCCATGGATCCCCAAATTCGGCTCTTGCTCGAGACAGCTTTTGAAGCCTTCCAAACAGGTATGTCAGGGGTTGTATGTGTACGAGACAGTCCTGGATTAACGCAAGGCAGCTGGCCTTTCACTTGAAAACATCGCAGGATCCCAAACGGCTGTGTTCGCCGGTTCGATGTTTCGAGACTATCACGACCTACTCATGAGAGACGCCGAAAATCTACCGCGCTACCATGTAACTGGTAATGCTGCTGCCTTTACCGCAAACAGGCTATCGCATTTTTTTGATCTGCGTGGACCGAGTGTTAGTGTCGACACAGCTTGCTCTACTACATTAGCAGCATTGCACTTAGCATGCCAAAGTATTCGTACTGGGGAATCAAACATGGCTGTCGTTGGAGGATCTAACCTTATACTGCATCCAGGCTCATCAACTAGTTTATCGAACCTGGGGTAAGTCTTATTCATACATCAGAACTCTATAACTGGAGACTCGCATAGTTGTTAACTTGTACGAAGACTGACAGGTCGAGCGGGGAAATCATTTAGCTTCGACTCTCGTGCTCAGGGCTATGGCCGTGGAGAGGGCGTCGCTTGTATTGTTTTGAAACCATTGAAAGATGCTGTCCGTGATGGAGATCCAATACGAGCAGTCATCCGAGAAACAGGTATGAACCAAGATGGCCGCACTCAGACAATCACAACCCCATCCCAGGATGCGCAACAGCAGCTCATTCTCAACTGCTACGAACGAGCCGGTCTCGATCCGTGTGATACTACTTACGTTGAAGCACATGGGACTGGCACCATAGCAGGTGATCGCATCGAGCTAGGTGCCCTCGGAGCGACCATTGGCAAAAACAGAACGGAGGACAACCCGTTATACGTTGGCTCCATAAAAGCCAATTTTGGGCATACGGAGTCGACGAGTGGCCTTGCTGCTGTGATCAAGGTTGCTATGATGTTGGAGCATGGACAGATACCCCCGCAAGCGAATTTTGAGAAGCATAATCCTCGTATAGATTTTGAGGCATTGAATATTAAGGTAAGATGTCGGGATCCGTTTATCTACCTATTGACATAAATGTTAACTTAGAGTAGATACCCACTATAACAAGAGAATGGTCCAACGTCCCGGTACGACGAGCATCTGTTAGCAACTTCGGCGCTGGTGGTGCAAATACTCATGTCATCATGGAAGATCCAAGCTATCTACTGAACCTTGCGAAACATACACGAAAAGAGTCTTTGAGCCTAAAGAAACACGAAACCAAAGGCAAATCTGATATTCACATTGATACGGCCGTCGATAGCTGGTATCCTGCGGCTGGTAGCTCGAGCCCTATAAGCCCATCGTCACCATGTAGCATTTCAACACCTGGTAGCGCTTTGACTCCTGCTGAGACTATGACACCTAGTGGCACACCCATAAAAGGAGCAAAGAACACTACGGACAGCGGGTTGGGAACTTCTCATGAAAACGAACATGCGGGAACCAATGAAGATTGTTCACTCGTTTTCACGCTTAGTGCCAGAGATGAGCCAAGTTTGCGGGCCTCTGCCTATAGTTTTGCAAACTATCTCGACCAACCCGGTCCATACTTCACATTACCTAGCTTGGCGTATACCATGAATGAGAAGCGGACAAGCTTTCCGTGGAGGGTAGCGGTCATGGCTTGCTCCTCTTCCGAACTTCAAGAAACTTTACAAAGTGAATCACTCAAGCTTACCAACTCAACACAAGTACCGAAGTTGGGATTTGTCTTCACTGGACAAGGTGCGCAGTGGCACGCGATGGGACGGGAACTGATAAACTCATATTCGGAGTTTCGGGAGGCGTTGCAAGAAGGCGGAGATTTTATACATGAGCTGGGTGCGACATGGAATCCTATTGGTATGACACCCAAAAAGCTTGGCTCTTTCTTCTCATTTCTCTCTATGTGTATTTTCGACTAATTAAACACATATAGAGGAGCTCAGTCGATCAGCAGAGGAGACCAAGCTGAATCAACCATGCCTAAGTTTCCCCATGTCAGTGCTGTTGCAACTTGCTTTAGTCAGACTACTTAGATCATGGGGAGTTGTACCTACAGCTACCACTGGTCATTCAAGCGGGGAAATCAGCGCAGCTTACGCCTCCGGCGGTCTTACGTTTAAACAGGCCGTCGCTGTCGCATACGTCCGAGGACGTCTAACTTCCGAGTTTGTGGAGTCTGGGCAGGCACACGGCGGGATGACGGCTGTCGCTACCAGCAAACAGAAGGCTCTGGAATATCTCAATGCAGCTGATGTAGAAACCACGGCAGTCATCGCTTGCATCAACAGCCCTAGCAGTGTCACAATCTCTGGTGAGATAGGATCGCTCGAGAAGATTGAGGCGCTAGCTGCCAATGAGAACGTCATGTTCCGCCGCCTGAAAGTCCCAGCCGCCTATCATTCCTCAGAGATGGAAGCATTAGCCGATGGATACCTCAACGCCCTGAAGCCACATTTCGAGGTACCTAGTCCAGAAAGATTTACTGCGACGTTTTCGTCTCCTGTGACAGGCAGTATTGTCAGAGAACCATCAAGTGTACATAACCCCAGCCACTGGGTGCGAAACATGGTGCAACCTGTACTGTTCGACGATTGCTTGGAAGCAATGCTCACTCGTCCAGAAAATGCGATCGGCCAGAGCTTGAAGAGCACTGTCGATATCCTCATCGAGATAGGTCCTCATGGCGCACTACAAGGTCCAATTCGCCAGATCCTTGACAATATGAACTTACGGGCATTGAAGACCAATGTCAGTTCATGCCTGAAGAGAGGTGAAGACGCCTCCAAAACCATGAGGGAAATTGCAGTATTCTTATATTGCAAAGGCTATCCAGTAAACGTTACCAGCGTCAATGTACTTCATCAGCCAAGTACGCTCCAGGTATTGCATGACTTACCGACATATAAATGGAATCATTCTTCTCGCTATTCGGGTGTATCACCAATTGTCACGGACTATATGCAGCGAAATTCACCAAAACATGACCTCCTTGGAACACGAGTCGAAGGTATCAACCCAGAGCAAGCTATCTGGCGCAACACCTTGCGCATCTCCGATCTTCCTTGGCTGCAGCACCATGTGGTGCAGTCTGAAGTCTTATATCCTGCAGCGGGTCTTCTTGTCATGGTTACAGAAGCCATGCGCCAACTTGACGACGAAGAAGGCCAGGTGAGCAATGGTTACAATCTCAATAACGTGGACCTATCAAAAGCTGTGATTTTCCCAGCCTCTGGAGATGATCTAGAAATACAACTTGTCATCAAACAGCCCTCGACGAGCTCCACAAGTGCGGCTCAAAACAGACAATTCGTGTTCTACAGTCGCACTGGTAGAGGTAACTGGGCTAAACACTGTCAGGGTAGTATCACGCCAGCTCAACACGCTACTACAGGAGTGCCTGTCGGTGGCTTAGGTCTTCTTCCAATGGATATTGACCACTTTTACAAGCACGTCGAGCGATCTGGCCCTACGTTGGGACCAAGCTTCCGGAATATCACGCGCTTGTCTGGGGGAGACTTCGCTGCAGAGGCGACGGTGACAGTCCCTGATGTAGTAGCTATGATGCCATCTTTCTACGCATCGCAATGCACGATTCATCCGACAACTCTCGATTCGTGTTTCCATCCTGCATGGGCTGCTTTGCCAAACTCGATTCTTCGGAAGCTTGGCCTCTCGGTCCCACGCAACATAAGAAACATTTTCATTGGGAGAAACATTCCGGCAAGCCCTGGTTCTGAGCTCGGTCTCAGAGTGGGTATAGAAGAAGCAAGTCAGAATGGGTTTCGGGTATCAATATCTGTTTACAGCATTGAAGATTTGTCACGCACGCCTATTGTTAGTATTGAGGGATTGAGCATGATTGCTATATCTGACAGTCCTGTCTCTTCACCTGTAGACGAGCTCATGTTGCTCCATACCGTCTGGCAACCAAGCCTTGCGTTTCTATCCCCAAGCGACCTGCAGGCTCATATCATCGAGTGTGCAGATCCAGCTGAAGCTGTAGTGTTTGATGAGCTTCAACAAGCAACTGTCAACGTCATCCATGACGCACTCAATCAGTTGACACCGGATGTTGAGAAAAACCTCGAGTGGTACTACAAGAAGTACGTGGACTGGATGCGTGAGCAAGACGCCACTTTTTTCAGTTCGATGGTAATTTCCAACGAGCAAGAAAAACTTGATCTTTACAGCAGAGTTACTCTGTCCAGTGTCAATGGTCGTATGCTGGACTTGGTGGCAAGAAACCTCCCAAAATTCTTCAGAAAGGAAGCAGATCCGTTGGAAACCATGACAACTGACGGGTTCTTATCGGAGTATTACGCAAACATGATCAAGCTCACGCGATGCCTCAACCATGTGAAGAAGTACATGAAGATATTTGCCCACGAGAATCCTGGAGCTCGTATTCTGGAGATTGGTGCCGGTACCGGTTCATGCACAGAAGCAGCTCTTCAGGGTCTGTCTCAATCAAGTACGGGATCTCTTCTCGCCGAAAAATATGTCTTCACGGATGTGTCCGCTGGTTTCTTTGAAGCAGCGGACCAGCGCTTCGCGCCATTTGCCAGCCAAATGCGTTTCCAGAAACTGGATATTGAGCAAGATCCACTCGAGCAGGGATTTGTGGAGGGCGACTATGATCTGATCATTTCATGTAACTGTTTGCATGCCACTACTAGTTTGCAGAACACCTTGAGCAATGCCAGGAAGCTCTTGAAAACAGAGGGAAAGTTGCTTCTGCTAGAAACCACGACTCCGCATCTAGACCAGAGCCTCACATTCGGACTATTTTCTGGTTGGTGGTTGAGCGAAGAGCAGGAGCGAAGGACTTCGCCTCTTCTGAGCGCTCCAGCCTGGAGTAGATTCCTTGCAAGCTCGGGATTTACCGGCGTCGATGTTGCTCTAGGTGATGCGGGAGGTCCTGATGTTTCAAACTATTCAGTCATGATTGCAACGGCAGCCGACGTACCGAAAACCAACGGTGTGGGACAGGAAACCCTGACTTTGATGGCTTTCCCTCCATCCACTGAGACATATGCTGACTGGCTTAAAGTCGTTGGCAGTGCACTGGAAGATACGTCCAGTATTGCTGTTACAATTGTTCAGAATCTGACAAACCTGACAGCAGATGCATCCCTTGTCTGTATCTTGGCAACCGACCCAGAGTCTCTCGTATCAATGACATGGGCTGATTTTGAGTACCTGAAGAGGATCCTAGTGGGAGTCGAGAAAGTTTTGTGGGTTTCACATGGTGCAGCACTTGAGTCCAACCACCCATCAGCAGCTCTCCATACTGGTCTCTTCCGAACGCTTAGAATGGAGCAAGGAGACGAAAAGTATATCACGTTGGACCTTGACTCCAACAGAGAGTTATGCACATCAGAGAGTGTTAAGGCTATCTGCAAGGTAGCCAAGCTTGCACTAAAAGCTCAGATAACCCCTGAGCGAGAGCTAGCAGAAAGAGCTGGCAGGATATTAGTGCCTCGCTTACACAAGAATGATTACTTGATCAATCAGATGGAACCCTCATTAGAAGATCTTGGTGCAGCTCAAAACACCGTAAGTCGAACGATTCCGTTACAACTCATTTTTCCGTGGTGCAAGCTAATCAGGTCGAACAGGACTCTTCGAATTATGCAGATATAGCTCTCGACCCGAGGGGCGCTTATATTGTCGTTGGCGGACTGACAGGCATCGGCCGGGAAGTGGTACGATGGCTCGCTCACAGGGGCGCGAAGAACGTGATACTTATTTCGCGCAATGCCAACATATCGAATACACAAGACCTGCAATCTGAACTTTTGAGTACAGGCACTAAACTCATTCCCTATGGTTGCGATGTCGCCTGCAAGAATGATTTAGAGAAGTTCCTTGTTGCACTCAAGATCATTATGCCTATTCGCGGCGTAATTCAGGCGGCCCTTGTGCTTGATGATTCATCGTTCGCAAACATGACGATTGATCAATGGCAAACTCCCCTAAGACCGAAGTACCACGGCTCCAAGAACCTCGACGAGCTATTCCAAGGTGCGGATGAGCTCGATTTTTTCATCATGTTATCATCCGTGACTGGCATCCTGGGCAGTCATGGCCAGTCGAACTACACAGCCGGATCAACGTATCAGGACGCTCTCGCACGTAGCCGTGTTTGTAGAGGTCTTCCCGGTGTTTCGATAGACCTCGGTAGTGTACTCGGAGCTGGTTATGTTGCTAGAACGAGTGGTGTGGCTGAGCGTGCTGCAAAAGCAGGTTGGCGATCTCATACTATTCACGAGGTACTCCGCATGATAGGGATCGCGGTCAGAAATCCAAAACAAGCTGAAATTATAGCGGGTATCACGCCTTGGTCAGTGCCTGAACATTTGGCTTGGCGACAAGAAGGTCGCTTCTCAGCACTGCCACTACGCCTAGAGTCGTTGAAGACGTTGCCGAAGGAGTTGTCCACAGTTTCACTGAGGGAGCGGCTGGAGGCTGCGTCCGCGGATACTAAGGTTGACACCATGGTATATGGACTGGTAATTCGGCTGGCCGATATGTTCGTTCTGTCTCCATCCGACATCAACCAAAGCCAGCCCCTTGCAGCACTGGGCGTGGATTCGTTAGTAGCGGTCGAACTCCGCAATTGGCTTGCAGCCAACGTCACACCGAATGTGACAGTTTTCGACGTGACACAGAGCAGTAGTCTGATCGAGTTGGCAGAGAAGGTGGTTAGAAAGCTTGCATAAAGTGGCAGGGCTTTCACGAAGTACGATCCCGTCTGGTCAACATGTTTCCTTCGTACAATTGCATAATAATGAAAACTGATAAACACCTTGATGGGAGGCGTTATGCAGAGCTGTGAGACACATTTCGCTTAGAATATTGACGCAGTGAGATATTCAGTGGTAGTTGCTGCAAGTTTCGTGTGAAAGGTGGACGTGGCACCCGATCGAGTTTGATACGAGCTCCGTAAGAAGTGAAAATGGAAGGTCGTCCTCCGCTGACTGCATCTGATCCCACACTAGCACGTAGGGGCAAGGATCGCCAATCCATCCGTCGGTCGCATATGCAATGCAGGTGTACCGCTGGCTAAGCTTTCTCGTCAGGGAAATCACCGTACCTGCCGGCTCAGATCTAAGATAAAGCGGTTGCTATTCCAGTCATTGGGGTTCCCTTTTCTCCTCAATAAATTTATCCGATTGACATAATCATTTAATAATCGATTGAAACACGTATCATGCTTTCTGCCACGCTTTACCTTATGGCAGCTGCTACCTTCATGGCCCCAGGCATGAAGGCGCAGTACGGGGGATCCAACTTTTTTTGGTGTTTCGATATTCAGTTACCAAATGGGACGTATACCAGCCCTAGCTGCTGTATATCGTACTATGAGTCTTCTGGCGGTTATTACACGGGCGTGGATTGCGTTGGTGCTTACGTCTCGGAAGACTCGAGCATCTACTACTGCAGGAATGGAAACCCGGACGTGCCGGAGATCCCAGGCGCTGTCAACCCGGGCTGCTGTGGTTCTGTAAGTCAATCTCTTCTCCAATGCGCTCAACATCATCTACGCAGTGACATTTGAGTTTGGATCATCGCTCATTACGAATAGTTCGCAAACACCACGTCTTATCTATGCACACCTAAGCCGGTATCAGAAGAGAACGAGCATGAATGAGATCTTGGCGGTGCTATCAGAAGTGCGGTGTTCGGATGCTGTTCAACGTTGATAGCGATGCATCCAGCTGGTTTGGGGTATAGACAGACATTCCGCACCGTTTCTCGAATGTGTGGGGAAAGGGCCGCCAGTCTTGCCGATAGTATCTTAGCATCTCATCATGATGAATCTGCATGCAGAATTCAGAGCAATGCAGAAGGTTGTTTTGTTACTGTCAATGACTTGAGCATTAACTATGCTCTTGCATTATTTGAATTTATATATTCTCTGTTTCTATGCAGAAGAAACAATACCTCGAGGCGTTGTCGAAAGATTTTATCGTCAACTCCGCTATGTTATGGTTGCTGGGCTGTGTTGCAGCACTCATAAACAGCACTAAGCAGCGCCAATTCTTCCAGGACTTTTCGATCCGGCCAAGGGACGATTTCTCACCTCCAATGTGAGACATAGAATTCCAACAGCTCCAGTAATATATAGTGTAATTACATTTAAAAAAGTTATTCATGAAACCTACCGTGCTCTAGGAGCAGGGTGCTACCGAGAATCTATCATAGGAAGACATCGTGGACCTTTACTAACATCGAATGACGTTCCGATTCGCATTCTTACTTTAGCTCTTGACATTTTGTTGATACCTGAGACGGCACGTCAGTCCAGTCGAATCAATCTATCCACATATATATATGGCGCCTACACAGAAGGATTCGTGTAAGCCACTGGTTCTGCAGTCGTTCTGTAGAAGATAGGTGACCAACTGGCGCTAATTTATCCTGTTCTGCAGCAAGTGAGCACTTTGTACTGTGGTTGCAGAACATATATATTAGTCTAGTCTCGAGACGTAGAACCCACATTTTGGGCTGGTATGCAAATATAGTTGATATGCCTGGGCATTATATCTGATGGAGTCTACCTGGTGAAGGCATCGTCGGGCCAGACACTATCTGCGAACGGCTTGAACGTATGCGAAATAGCCGTGATCAGCAGTGCTGAAGTGGGCGTTGGAGTCATGCAGTCCAGGTCGACGCATTGACAGGAGTCAGAGCCATTGTCTGTTCTGAATGCAACTATAAGACTGCGAGGTGTAAGCAATTCGGTGTTGTTTTATGCGTACGTAATCTACCAAAAGATTGGTCTCTATAACTTGAAGACGTGGACAACAAGGAGAAGTGTGAATTCGATGCTCGATAGTATCATATGTGAGCTCTTCGATACTGCATCAAAACAGTAGCAACAGTATTGAATTTAACGGAAAGACCTAATTCAAATACAGTCGCTAAATTGAAACTCACGCCTCAACGAAAGCGGGCACACTGAACGGATGAAAATAAAAGTTCCTTGTTATGGGTCTGGCTCTGGCTATTGCATTTACACTACTGATGAGTTCTGTTGTTACCAGCCATATTAGGATAAGTTACCACCACTCGGTCGAGGATGTCCAACTGTTCTACTATCATTTGTATTGCATCGCAGTCTCCTGTCAGATCAAGCTGATAAAGATTTTGGCAGCGAAACAGGAATTTAGCTGTCTTTGAAGTCCGCTGAAAGAGATTGAATCGTCTTAATAGGCTCTACTGCTTCTGCTGACCACCAGTGACACCCTTAACTGTGTTGCCAACTCCATCCGTGACACCACCGACTGCGTTACCAGCGCCCTCAGTAACGCCGCCGGCAACATTGCCGACGCCCTGGCTGGTCTGGTTCAGAGCGCCGCCGACACCTTCCGTAGTCTTGCCGATAGCACCTCCAAGACCTCCGAGAAGGCCACCTTGTTGATTTGCTTGCTCGCCGCCAGTGAGGACATTGTCGAGGCCGCCAGTTAGACCTCCGAGGAGACCGCCGCCTTGCTTGTTGTTCTGGTTGCTCATGTTGGACAATGGGATTCTGATTCTTGATTTGTATGAGGTAGATTAGAAGGAATGAACTGAGTTGTTCTACTAGATTAGGTTCAGTGTAGATGATGGTCGGAGTGAGTGGAAATGCAAGCGTATAGCATGCGCACGTCCGGCTTTCTTATACCGAGTAAGATCCGCGGCAGGGATATTGACCCACAACCAGAACCTAGAACAAGGGTACGTCAGAATTCCATCGGCTTCGCCACACTATGAGATCAGGGAGCAGTGGCTGACGTGATGTATCTAACGAAAACCAAGGCTAATCACTATGGCAGTGTTGATTGGGAAACTTTATTAACACCACAAGTCACTTGCTACCACAGTTCAATTATTAGCGCATTTCGCCGGTACATAGTACAAACAATTTCCAGACTGCCAAGTTAGCCTGACTGCCTTGTTTACCTCGTACCGCGTGAGGGGTTAACTGATGCAAGGACAAGCGAGATCGATCACTTGCATAGATTCGATGAAGAGCCCACAATGACGCAGAGTTAAAAGTGGGAACGGGAGCGGAAGCTTTGTTCACTTACCACAGTACAGCAGACTACCAAGAGCACGCATTTCGCCGAGAGTATGATGAGAATCATAGAAGTCCTGTCAACCAAGACGCTTTAATGTAGGTTCAGTAATCAGGGAAAAAAAAATATTTTGGTTGGTGTCTTCTACATATGAACCCCAAGCGATGGTCGAGACTGTCAATTTCAAGAACCTCATCAGGTAGCATATCGTGAGAATGATTACAGTTTCCAACAGCAGTATTAGAAGAAGATCCGAAGGCCGTGATTATACAAGCACAAGAGTATCGGGGGTATTATGGCGTGTACGTTATACGCTTCAAAACTTCTGTTCCTCCAAAGCTTGTCCTCCAACTGACTTACCCTCCTGGGCACCCTCTGCCTGAGTAGTGTCGCTGGTGGCTTCAGCAGGCAGATCAATGACCGAATCCGTTTTCTGCTTTCGCGAGAAGTAGTTGATCGAAGGCAAGGTTGGCATTTGTGGGATAGATGGGATTTGGGTTGGGATGTATGACTTGAAACTAGGGCCCGAAGGTATCTCGGGCATAGTCCTAGGCACGTAGGATTTAATCCCAGTTCCAGCCTGCTCTGCAACGCCAAAAAGATATCGCATGTAGGTGTTCTTTGCGGCATCCTTAGCATCAATGCTGTCAGGTGCATTCTCATCATCGTCGGGCAATGGTACCAAAGACGCAGCTGCAGCAATATCCAGAGGTGACTCATCCGGCAGTGACTCGTCATCAGATTGAGCTTGTTCTCCTTTCTCGACACCCTTTTCTGCCTCGTCGACTTTCGGAATCTCCTTGCCCTCTTCAGTAGTTGCGACAGGCTCTTCGATTGGCTCAGGAGGCACTGGAATCGCAAATTTGGGGTCGTCGACAATGCTAGAGTCGTCGTTGAACCACTTTATGACAAGATCGCTGGCGGTATCGGTCATCTGCTCGTACTGCACGTTTTTGTCTCGCTTAAACATGCTCATATGTGCTTGAACTTCATCCTCAATCTCCGTAATGACTTGTCGAGAAAATACGTGGTTCGCGACATGGTCTTTTTCTGGTATCGCACAGAAAGTTCTCTCTGGAACAAAGTAGCCGCCGCTCCAGACTCCATTCTCGCCGAGCGATGTATAGACGTCATGGATGCCAACACCCTTCAGAGCACCCATGCGCTCCAATCGCCTGCTTAGCTCTTGCTGCTTCAACAACGATCCGACGAAGGTAAAGTGGTCCGACAAGTACTCGAAAGACTTTCCCACATTACCGCGGTTGATGTACGCCAGCCCCTGACCTAGTGCATCGACACTGTTTTGATACCCTTCCTTCACGGACTCCTGGACGCTCTCCCGGTTCATGCTGCGCATACTCTTCATTCCCTCCACGATCTGCTTTCGGTGCATGTATGCCGTGACGCCACCTGCCGCAATAGCACCAACGGTACCAGTTCTCACAGCAATCAGCTGCCAACCTTTCCATGCCGGGCTTGAATTCCGAGCTGGAACGGCCGATGCAGTTGCGCGTTTGAGAGAAAGTTTGCTAAGTTGTGCGGGAGCCGCCGCGCCGATCGCCGTCATGACGTTGAAGACACTGCTTACTTTCTGATAGTTGGAGAAAGCGCCATAAACAAACATGGATCGTGCAAGGCCATTGTAGGGTGTGTCAAATGTCAAAATACCTTGGATTAACGGGAAAATTGGTGTGTTCTCGTCCTCTTCGTTGACAATTCTGTCATTCAAGATGGAGAAGAGCGCATCCGCTGCGACGAAACCACTGCTCGAGATTAGCTCGGTCCGCTTGGAAATGTACGCAGAGTAGCAAACACTCACCCCATGGAATGCGCAACCAACACAACGCCGACATCTCGATCGTTCGGCGGCCACGGTTTCTCACTGTGTGCTTTGCGCACTTCCATAACCCTCTCCTTCAGCCTGTTGAAATCAGCATTGGCACAGGGAGCTCTAGACGTCATAATGCTCACCATGATAGGAATTGTTCTGTAGATTGCGACAGCTCTCCCTTCGTCTCATATTTCGGAAAGACAACAGACTCGACACCATGGTCCGGCAACTTCTTGGCAACTTGTACCTTCAAGTCATGAGGAAACGACTGGAAAGTATCATCATTGCCTTTGAATCCATGGATGAAGCAAAGTAATAGCGTTCTAGGCATCTTAAAGGTTCGTAATTTTTTGATACTAGGTATTAATAAGTTATTAAAACCTTGAACTGCACTGGGTATCATATATGAAAGATCTTTGGAGGCCTTCTACCATGCCTATCTTCAAGAACGCCACCAACCATGAAGCCTTGGAGCTGTCAAACAGGGAAGTAGCCGGGTGCGGCCTCATGGTGCGGACCACTGGTGCACATGTACTCCAGCGAAGTCAACGCTTGCCAGACGACCACACACCAATTGCTGGAAATACGTCATAAATAACGTCATTAATGGCTTAGAGCTACGAATGTCGCCCTGTAAGCGACGGGCTAAAGTTCAATCATTTCGTTTCGAATCAATTTCAGTGGATCACCATGGTTACAGAATGGCCAATGTTGTGAGGCACAGCACCCAAGCAGATTTACCCATGTCACAAGCGGTTGAGTAGGAGTTGTTTGAATATCGTGAGATTATTCGTACTATGTACTGTGCTACATGTGAAGACCATTTTGGTGACCAAACCAAACCAGACCTTTTAACCGTTCGTAACGTGAAAACCAAATGTCAAATAATGATACAGGAATCATTACTCATAAAAACCCAAATCTCATGCCTCGAGCCCAATTACCACATTAGGATGCCATTAACAGTGACCGCTTCAAGCGCTTACAAGATTCCTCCGAGAAGGCCGCCACCACCGCTCTTGCCACCCTTCTTCTTGTCCTGCCCAGTGACAGAACCGACAATACTGCCTAGGCCTAAACCATCGAGAACCTTGGTGATACCGAGACCACCGAGGAGGCCGTTGAGGATGCCACCAAGTCCAAGACCATTGAGAAGCTTGCCTACCAAGCCCAAAACTCCGCTGAGCAAAAGTCCAACGGCAGCAATAATCTGAGCCAAGGGCTCCGAGAGAAGACCCCAGAGAGGGTTGATCTGCTTCTTGGCGTACTTCATATCTTCGAGTCTGCGCTTGCCGTTCTCAATGGTCTCAGTGACGGTACCAGTGAGCTCCTTGAGTAGCTCGGCGAGATGGTACTCCTCGGGAGTAGCCTCACGGGAAGCAGCCTTTCCTTTGGCAGTCTCGGAAATGCGACCATCGGGATCAAGACCACGAATGACACCGTTGGCCTCGGTAAGGATCTTACCACCTTCCTCGATCAGGGGTTTGACGGTTCGAACAAGTTGTTCCTCGTCCCGCTCCGCTTCATCTGTGCGCTCAGCACGATCAATATGCTGTGACAATGTTAGCAACTAGTCATGTAGATGTTGGATGTAGAATATAATGACTTACATCAGTAATCTGTTTGCAGATGGGGCGGATTCTGTCGAGCGACTGTTGGATGCAAGCAGAAATGCGTCCAGCGATCTCACGATCTTTCTCAAGCTTCTCGCGCTCCTTCCTCTGCTCCTCAGTCTCCTGTTCAGGCTCAGGCTCGGGCTCAGGGATGTCACTGATCAAGGTGCAATGGCCAACAATACCGCCCTGAGAAGTGATAACATCACCGTCGTCGTCGATCTTCTTGCCGGTGCACAGATTCAAGTCACCGCTAGTGAGCTTGCCGAGGATATCGCCGTTCTCATCAACGACATTACCTTCCTTATTGACCTTACGGCCAGACATAGGGCTGATGTCCTTGGGATCCTTCTTCTCCGGCTCGACAATGTCTTCCAACAGGGAGACGTGGCCAATGGTAGTACCCTTCTGGTCGATAACGTCACCGTCATCGTCAACTTTCTTGCCAGCGCACAAGCTCAAGTCGCCGCTTGTCAGCTTACCGATGAGATCGCCATTCTCATCAACAACGTTGCCCTCTTTGTTGACCTTGCGGCCAGATAAGGGGCTGACATCCTTAACCTTCTCCTCAGGCTCCCAGCGCTCGGCATGGCCCAGGACATTGCCATTCTTGTCGAGGATATCACCATCATCATCAACAGCACGACCGGCGAGAGTCTTAGCGTCGCCCGTAGTGAGACGACCAACAATATCACCGCCAGGGGTGACAACGTGACCCTCCTTGTTGACAGTGCAGCCAGATAGCTCAGTGAAAGGTCCCTCCTTGAGACCCTCACGCTCGGCTTCGGGGATGAGTTCGGCCTTGCCGATAACATCACCGCCCTCGTTGCGGATGAAACCGTGCTTGTCACACATCTTGCCAATGAGGCGAGCAAGATCTCCCTCCTTGACACGACCGAAGATCTCACCACGGCTGTCGACAGCATTGCCGGCCTTGTTGATACGCTTGCCAGCAAGGGCAGAGTTGTCAATCTCAGCCTCGGGCTCCTCTTCCTCAGGCTCCCAGCGCTCAGCATGGCCGAGCGTGTTGCCGTTCTTGTCTAGGATATCACCGTCGGGATCCACAGTCTTGCCCTTGAGCTTTTTGTGGTCGCCCTCGACGACAACACCGACCTGTTCACCGTTGTAAAGGACCTTGCCAGCATCACCGACTGTAGCGTTGGGAAAGTCCTCGAAAGGTGAGGGTTCCTTCGCTTCCTCGCGCTCCTCATCGGGAACGGGCTCAGCCTTTCCGATAACTTTGCCAGCATCGTTGAAAATCTCGCCAGTGGTCGAGCCAACTTTCTTGCCGATGAGGTGCTGCAGGATACCGGAGACAACACGACCCCAGATGGTACCCTTGTCATCGACAACATTACCGAGCTTATTAACCTTCTTGTCTTTGAGGACAGAATAATCAACCTGTTCGGGCTCAGCTTCAGGCTCAGCCTCTTCAGCTTCCTTGCGCTCAGCCTTGCCGACAACGTTGCCGTTCTTGTCGAGAATGTCTCCATCAGAATCAACCTTCTTCCCGATTAACTTCTCATGGTCACCTTCGATAACAACACCAACTTGACGGCCCTCATAAACAACAATTCCGCCCTTGTCGACAATGGCGTCTGGGAAGTCTTGGAAGGGAGCATCCTCGCTCACATCAGCCTCGGGTAAAACCTCAACCTCGCCAATGACGTTGCCCTTGTTATCCCAGACCTTGCCTTCAGCATCAGGTTGCTTGCCAACCAACTTCTTCAGGTCAGAACCCTCCACAACACGACCGAGAACGTTGCCCTTCTCGTTGACAACGTTACCGACCTTGTTGATGGTCAAGCCCTCAAGAATGGAAATGTTGGGAAGCTTGTTCTTGGCCTCGTCGAGAGCATCTAGGCGCTCAGCAGCCTCAGGAACTTCTTCCTTGATGCGCCCGACGATAGTGCCCTCAGGGACAAGATCGACCTTGCCAAGAACAGTCTCATTATCACCGAGCAGGTTACCGTTCTCGTCGATGCCCTTGATGTCCTTGCCAATAAGGTTCTGGAGGTCAGTATCATCGGCGAGCTTGCCCAGAATCTTGCCGTTTTGATCCTGGACTTGACCATCCTCGGAGACTCTGAAGGGACCTTCGAACATGGCAACGACCTTCTGGGCCACAGAGGGGGCGAACTCAGGGATCTCAATAGGCGCTTCAAGATCGCCAACCTTGGAGTCGGTTTCCTCCTGAGCGCCCTCGACAGCCTCACCAGCTTCGTCTTCAATGCCCTCGGCAGTATCATTAACGTCTTCAACGCCCTCTTCCGCACCCTCAGGGAGTTCCTTCTCGACTCCCTCGGTACCCTCAGGAAGACCTTCCGTGACTCCTTCAACATCTTCCTCTGCGGTGTCCTTGACACCCTCAACACCCTCTTCGGTTACGTCCTTAGCACCCTCGACACCCTCCTCGGCACCTTCTGGAAGTTCTCCCTTAACGCCTTCGGTGGTCTCGTCAGTGATATCCTTAGCACCATCGACACCCTCCTCAGCGCCTTCTGGCAGTTCTCCCTTAGCGCCTTCGGTAGTCTCGTCCGTGGTATCCTTAGCACCCTCGACACCTTCCTCAGTGGTATCCTTGGCACCTGCGGTGGTCTCATCGACGGTGTCCTTCGCGTCCTCAGCTGTCTCGCCGACCTTATCGGTGGCATCGTCAGCAGTCTCGCCGACCTTATCGGTGGCATCGTCAGTAGTCTCGCCAACCTTATCGGTAGCATCACCAGCGGTGTCACCAACCTTCTCGGTGACACCGCCAGTAGCATCGTCAACTTTATCGGTCACGGGCTTCGTGGCATCGTCAGCCGTGTCAGTGGTATCCTTTGCCACATCACCAACAGCGTCGGTTGCGCCCTCGGTGGTCTCGCCAGCGGTGTCCGTCGTACCTTTTACGGTGTCGCCAACCTTATCAGTAACATCTTGGGTACCGGTGGCGTCGCCGACTGTGTCGGTGACGCCCTTGGTTGTGTCGCCAACAGCCCCCGTGGCACCCTTGGCGGTTTTGCCGACACCGCTTACAGCACCCTTGGCAAGGTTTCCCACGCCACCCAGTACACTTCCGACACCGCTGCTCTTCTCTTCGCCGTCCTTCTTCTCGCCCTCATCCTGGTTGTCGAGGCCGGTCACGTTATCCACATGGTCTCTCGTGGTCGTTGTGTAGTTCTCCGCCAGGTCCGATGCGACGTCTTCCAGCGGCTCGGCCTTACCGACAACACCGCCATTGGAATCTAAGATGTCACCCTCTTGTGTGACGATGAAGTCCACGAAGTCCTTTGCGTTGCCATTGGTCACTTTGCCAATGGCGTTGCCATCGTCGTCGATGACCTCACCCTTCTCGTTAATGCGGCCAGCTGCCGGCACCATCTCTCCCTCGTCTCCCTCACCGGAATTTGAGGCATCTGCTTGTGATTGCGACTCACTGTCGTCAATGTCTGGGACAGATCTGGGGGCTGACTGTTCCAACTTGGTGTCTGAAATAGGCTTGCTAGCCTTGGTGGGTGTCTCAGGAGCCTCTGACTGTACTTTCTTTGTTGCACTTCCGACTTGTGAGCTCATGATGGCGGTTCTGTTGGTATACACGGAATGGAGATAAGAGGTAAGGGTATCTTGTAATGGGGCAAGGGTATCTGGTAGGTCTGTTGTGATTTCGGTCTTTATTTGTGTAGTGGTAGGTTTACTTGTTACCACGGTCTGTTTTACAGTGTTGGTCATATGAATAATCAGTAGAGTAGAAACTCAAAAGGCGTGAGTAGGAAATATGTATTTATGAGGAACACGATAGCAATGGCATTTGTGATTTCATGATGTCTCAAGACAAGGAAATTGAGCTCCTGGGATGGAGAGCTCCAGTACTTACGTCACATCAGGCTCTTTCTCCAGGAGAGCTTGCCTATCCTTGACGGGTTCATACATTGGTATGATTGGTTATGATGAGAGAATCGATGACTCGAGCCACTCATGAGCTTATTCCCCTTTCTGTCTGCTTGCTTCTTGGGCTAAGACCCTTCTTGCAACTCCTCTTTCGACGTCATACCCGGGTTGCATTATGTTAGTATATGAAGCTGAACGTCATGAAGGAGGGTAGCAGTCAGGGAGCAATGGCGGGAAAGCGCCCGCTTGCCTGCTGATGAGGTCAAGCCACACATGCGGCTACATAGTGCATGTTTCTAGGCCCAGGCCTGAACTGTGTACTATTGCAGATCAGTTTCATACACCCACAACACGACAAGGACCCGGGGTCCACGCCGTCGTTCCCCGGTTTTGTCTAATACTTGGTATGTTCACACAGTAGACTGTGACGGGTTTGGAAGAAAGTTATGCAAACTGCTCAGCGGTACATGCGGGCAGACGCGCAGTTGACGGAAAGCAACAGAGACGCATGTCGCCTGATTGGGGGGCCGCGGCCAGAACGAGCAAGCGAAAACAAGATTCTATGCCACAAGCTGCCGCTCTAGCCACGCTGCCACGGCACTGTCTTCCAATATCCGACGCCATAGGATGGTGCGAGTGTGGATCTCGATCGTTTGGAGTTGCCTGGGATCAAGGCCGTTTGTGATCTGGAGAAAAATCACAGACTTCCCTGCATACCTGGTGTCAGAACGTGAGTCTGGACTTACACGACATGGAAAAGGCAGGTATGAAAACTTGGCAGGCGTCTGGATTGCATCAGCCACCCACCGGAGCCACACCACTAGCAGTACCCACCCACCTTAATAAAGTTGCGAGTTGACAAGGGTGGGCATTTGCAAGGGTGTTTGCGAGGGTCCATCTCGCTACAAGATTGTTGCTTGGCATCGATTTGATCGGAGTGCAGCGTCTCCAAGCACGAGGATCGTTTTCCCCGAATCTTTTTCCCCTAGTTAGCGCGAGATTTGTTTTGACGAGCATTGCGTGAGCGTTGTGTGGAAGATGGGGCCGCTCAGTTTCTCAGTCGCTAGATCTGAGTCTAAACAGAGACGGCGGTCTCTAGCCTGTGCCGTTGACAATGAAGAAGAAAGCCTGAAGACTCTCCAAGGCCAGTCATGTAGCCGAAGCTGCCGAGCTGCCATTCGCCGGAAGTATAGTGCGGGGCCTGCTTGCCCTGCTACTTCACGTCACCTTGATTGTCCGACACACGAACCCTACACCCCATAACCTGTTTTTCAGCCGATTTCAAGCCACACTAGGGCTGGGATCGGCGGTATGTAACGTCATTTATGGTATAGCTATGGCGCAGAACACGCCTTGCGGGAACAAATGCAATTCAGAACTCTCGATGCACTGGTTCGTGATTCCCACGTTGCTGACAAGTTGTGGCACTTCGGCACCAGCCTGCCAGTCTCTACTATGCACTTGGTAGAGGCGTTCGAGCATTTTAGGTGGAACCGGGTGCTGGCTTGGTTGGATACATCTCCAGCAGCGCTTAGTAACTTCAACTTTGTCATATTGAAGCAACCCTACCTGGAGCTAGGAGTCGAAACTCAAAGGAATATCTTGTCTGCTTGTCAGCCACAACTCAAGATCCTGGGCTGCCTGCCAACTCAAAGCCAATGGTGAACGTTAAATGACATGTGCAGATACTAGACTGTGGAAAATTGTATGCAATAGAATTATCGTCCTTGGTATATACTGCGCTAATGGTTCACTGATCGGTTAACGACTTGTAACTCATAACACTATTTTGCCAAGTCAAAGCAAAGTATCATCCAACCCCGTCCTTCCCATCACAATCGTACATGCAGCTTTTAGTAAGACTGTTTCCTGGTTGTTGGCGAATAATTGAATGTAATATCGTAGTGAATGGCGTCGTGTTGACCGCCCCAATCTCTTTGTGTAATTGCAGATATCATATGGTTGTCTCCTGCCTTATGGAGCAGGAACGTTGAATATTAACTCAGTTCCATCCGGGGGAAGCTTGATGATCAGTTCGATGCCATAGACTGTAGACTTCAAGTCCACAAAGATGTCAGCGATTGGGGTGGTCGCTGAACTTCATTCCGTCGTCTGTTGTGTCTCCTGTTTGAAGATGGTTGGAATCCTGATCGTCAGTTGGATACCGTCAGGTGTAGATTTCACGTCCAAGAAGATGTCAGCAGGAATGCTGCCTTCGTCAAACTTGGCTCTAGGCTTCTCTTTCTCTCCATCGGTCTGGGTCTTCGGCTCATCCTTTGTCTCGCCGTTAAGGGGCGCAAGAGCCTTAGTCGATGCACCCGACGGCCTGTTCAACTTTCCGACAATATTACCAGAGTTGTCCAAAATATTTCCTTCCCTATCAACCTTCAGACCATTGGGGAGGGGGGTTTCTTTCAAATCTTCCCTCGGCGATTCTGGCGGCGGTGGGTGGCCTGTGAAGTTTTCCGTAACAAATCCAATGAGTTCGCCTCGGTCGCCATAAATTTCACCGTTGTTGGCAACCTTCTTGCCGATCATAGATGGCAAGTCGCCCGTAGCGTGACCTAGAACCTTTCCAGTCTCGTCCACGATATTTCCGACATCATCAACACTAAAGCCACCCAATCCGCTGGCTAGACATGCTAGGTCTGGCGGAGGTTGACTTGAAATAGGAGAAATATCATGGATTCTGGGAATAGGTGAAATGTTCGCCGATCGTTGCGGCGACGTATGTACAGAAGGATCTAAGAACTCCTCTGGTGGGTCATCAAGATCGTTTACGTTGTTCAGGCCGTCTGTGGTCTTCAGGTTATCAACCTCGGGCATATCCATACGTGATCTGGAGCGGTTTGGATTACCAGGCCTTGGTAATGGTATATCGACGCGCCTGTTTATCCGTGCTGGCTTGCCCATATTGTCTGCTTCTGCCTGAACACCGCCGGTAGAACCTCTAGGTTGATTAGAAGTGTTCGAAGCATTAAGCTGTCGTGGTGCCTTCGCACCGAGGCCATCCTTTCCACCTACCATGGCACTCCTTACAGAACCGTCGGCTAGTTCTTCGGATTCCTGAGTCGAGTTCGAAGAATCCGGCGCACTCGCCGAGAACGTCGAGGTCTTCTTGAGAGACGAAGGTTTTTTATTTGCCTTGCTCACTACGTCACCGTTGCTGGCCTCTTCGGGAAGACTAGATGTCTGCGAGCCTCGTTGCGCAAGTATTTCTTCTGAAACGTCCTGTGGATCTGTCGCCTGATCTCCAGGTCCCTTCTCTGGGGTAGAAATGGAATCCTTCACATCCAAGGCTTTACCAGGACTTTCAAAAGTAACGTGCTTCCCTCGAGTGATGTTCTCGGTGTCAGGAACGCCAATGTTATGGCCTGCAGAACCTTCAGCAGCTTTCTGCGTATCTGCAATGGTTTGTGGTGAGGGTTGTTCTTCTCTACCCTGCATATCGCCAGTTGTTGATTTTGTTTTATCCTGTGCTCCGGATGAGGCTGGCTGCAAACTTTCTTCGCTGGCTTCAACCTTATCCTTGGCGCCAATCACCAGATCGTCGTTCGTTGGCAGTTCTTCCACCGGATCGCACGACACGTCTGGAAAGCCGTCGACAGTCTCTGACGCGTCCGTCGCGAAGATATCTGTATTATCGACCGCACTTCGCGTCTTGCTTGGCGGTTCTGCGACCAGCTCGTCGTCGTTCGGAAGCTCCTCGACTGGGTTTTCCGAAACGTTCGGGAAGCCGCCAATAGTTCCGGTCCCTTTGCTTGTAGCAGGCTGCGAGGATCGCGCTGTATTCTCGGCTCCAGTTGCACGTTGTGAATTCTCTGCGGTCTTCTCGACTTCCCTTGCAGGCTCTGGCTCTTCCGCGGGGTTTGACGCTTTGACGGGCTCTGACGATTCAGTAGGTTTTGACTCTACAGCAAGCTTTGACTCTTCGGCAAATTCTGACTCTTCCACAGCTTTTAAAGTTTCTGCAGTATCCAACTCTTCCGCAGGATCTGACTTTTCTACAGTCTCTGAATCTTCCGCGCTCTCTTTAGTGTCGCTGGTATGCTGCGGGTCTTCAGCGGCGATCGTGGTTTCACTCGCAGGTTGGGAGACCAATTCGTCGTCGTTCGGCAACTCCAAGACTGGATCTTTAGATACGCCGGGAAACCCACTCACAGTGTCAGCAGGCTTTTCTGACAAAGTTAGAGATTCTTCTGCGGTATCTTGTTTCTCAGCTTCTGGGCTTTCGCCTATGGGGTTTTCCTCTGTCGGTTTTGAAACCAAGTTGTCGCTCGTGGGAAGCTTCTCTACCGGGCTTTGCGAGACGCCTGGAACGCCGCTTTTGGTGTTTACAGCTTCGTTTTCAGCGTCTTGTGTGTCTTCAGTGACGACGTCCGCGTCTGACGTGGATTTGGGTCCAGGGCCGTCCTTCAACGTCAGGTCGTCTTTCGCCGGTACCTTCTCGGTGTGCTCTGGGCAATCGTCGTTCGCTAAGGGTTTGGCGATGCCGTCTTGCAGGTCGTCCCTGGGGATAGGCGAGGGCTTCTCCGATCGTTCTGCTGAGTAGTCCTCGGTGGAAGGTTTGTCGGTTCGATCGTTTGAATTCGTGGATTGATCTTCTGGGTCGTCCTTCGAAGCAGATGGGTCTTCGGACTGTTCTGATGATTCCTTTCCTAAAGAAGGCTTCTGGTGCTGATCCTCTGAAATGTCCTTAAATGGGGTTTCTTTGGATTGGTCACTAGAATCCGCAGATGGGTTTTCAGACTCTTCTTTGGAATTTTGAGAGGAACTGCTGATGGTGTGGCGAAATTTCTGCGCGGTGTTCTGAGCGCTATCTTCTACTGACTCGAACGCGCCGGATGCTGTTGGTGCAGATACGTCTTCGTTGTCTTGTCCGATCAATGCTTTGACAAACTTGCTCATCTCAGGATTACCCACATCGAGAAAGTATTGAGCGAGGTCGATCGGATCGTTTGTGTCTTCCGTGGAACTGGCTGCATCGGATTGTTGATCTTCAGTTGGCTTACTAGGAGTTGCTGGCGCAACATCATCTACGCTGGCGCTTTTGTCAGTAGCTTGCTCGAGAGTCTCTTTCGGCTCTGTGGCTTGCGCGGGCGCGTCTGTGACGGTTTCAAATTTCTCATCTAAGGACCCTGGCTCTGTGGAGTCTCGACTCGCCGATCCACCTGCCGCACCCGCCATGGTCTCAGACGATTCTCTGGACAATGCTTTCGAGGCACCATTGCTGCGACTGGCCATGTCGGTTGGTGCATGGACATCATTGTCTATCCAGCCTACAGGAGTGTCCCCAGTAGTATCAGAAGCGGCATCAGGAATTTTGTCACCGTCGACGTCGAGTTTGCTGGTAAAAGGCGCCAAACACGTCGACTTCAAGATATCGTCGCTGGAAGGCTTCGATGGAGATATTGGCGCAGGCAATGAGACTTTCCTTTTTGGCGTAGAGATTTTAGAGGATTTCCCAAACAGCGCTGGACTTGGACTCGAGGATTTGATGCTAGATGGTGCACTTTGAGGAGTCTTGGTGAGATTGTGCTGCCTTCTCACGGGCGGGGTTTTGCTCGAAGCCTTGAACAGCTTCTTGGTGGGCGTCTGGGGCCCTGCAGTGTCTGCCATGCTTGCGACCAAGTATCGAATTTGATTAAGGTTGAGAAGGATGAAATAAACCGAATAGACACCTAACGCAATATTACAAATGAGATTAATTTGTGATTCGTCAAGAATCATTCACGGGAAAGGCGAAATCACCCGTGCCAGATTGAAACGTATTGAACGTGTTGGATATCGTCAATGATGACCTCAGTCTAGTGCAAGGTATAGCTTCACAGTGCAAGCCACGACGTGCGACGCGATGATGAAACTTCATCTATGGCCCATTATCAATGGTTACTGTAGGGGTGGTTGCACCCTCAAATATGCGTCATAGCTCACAAGAGCTAGTCAACGAAAAAGAAGGATGCTTGAGTTAGCTCAGCGAACTATGAGCGCTGCACTTGTCCACCCATTCCAACATGATCCAGTAAGAAGACACGGCTCAGATGCATGCTACAATAGGCGTTGATAGTGCATAATAAGGAGGGGTGTGATCGCTGATGCGGTCAGTTCCCAAGCGACGAGTCGTCTTTGGCTCTCCAACAGATCTTGAACCACCTCTTGTGTGGCTAGATTGTGGCAGTTGAGAAGCCCTCGCGTGTACCGTCAGAAAGTTGTCCACCCTGGGAAGAGACAAGATGACACTAGGCGTCGCTTCGAATTTCCATTGGCTGAAAGGTCGATCAGTCGCGATGCCGTGGAGTTGTGAACTGTGCATGTGGACCAAGGTAGGAGAGGTATCTCAGCAGCAACACATTGTTGCGCATTTCTCAACCCCTGAATAACAATGGCATGCGTGATGGAAATGACTCACAACTTACTCCGCGAAAGTTACGAGAATAATCGATGGTACGAAACTTACATTAAATCACTTTGTTGGCCCTCTGAGTGATCGGTGGTGTTCGATAGACAATGTAAAGGTGGTGTCCGATAGACAATGCAAAGGCAGCTCCGAGCAACCTCACAGGTCATTGGGGAATGTTGCCAGTGTATCGCTGGGAGCCGAGAACGTCCCAGCTGAATCATGATGTTGTAGTAATGAATCTGCCTTTGCTATTCAAGACAGTGCTCATTGATCATACTTCATGTTCTACATGTTCTGCATGTTCCGCGACAACCCGTCGTTGCTTGCACGGCTAGTCATGTCATGTCGTGTTGATCGCGAGCACTACCGGCACCAAGCTACAGGCACCAAGCTCCAGGTCGGATGAACTACATCACAGTGTGAGCATAACCCCAGAGGGCTTGAGTACCGTGGACCGTTATAGCGCTACCTCAAGTGGATCACAGTGACCAGCTTGTTCTTTGACAGCATCGGAAGGTTGTTTTTGTTCTCGGCGACAAGTCTGACATATCTTAAAACGCTAAAGTGTGAGAACCTTTTTCTTTTTTCCCTTCTTTTTTCCTTTTTTCTCTCTGTTCGACAGCATGCGGGCCGATCAATTGTGGAGTATCAACGGGGGATTGTAGTTTAGGAACAAGCACGTTTTTGACTCAGGGCAGCGAGAAGACGCCAAGAACACCATGTACCACCTCAATCTCGTGGTTTCAGTACTATTAGAGTACATGGCACGCGATTGTGTTGCGAAGGTAAGTTATGCTAGATGAGTGAGAGTCTCGGGCATGTCGGCAGGTCGGACCACTGGGAAGGTTCAGAACGACACCGCAGGTTCCACCAAATCGAGTGACCTACGTCTAGGCAGGGAACTTTGATAACTAGACTAACCTTAACCTAGGTTAGTAGGAGATCGCATGCGTTTGTGTTACTGGCGGCAAGTGGTTGTTGTTACATATCAGTCTTTCGAGAAACACAAAAAGCCTTTCTTACGCGCGTCATATACGCATCGCTATGACGGACTGCTACAATTCTCTGCAAGTTAAGGAGATCTCAAGTGGTCTTAACCCAACACTCAAACTGCTGATGAGGTACCAATCAGGTCTCTGGTTTCTTAAGAAAAGAAAAGAAGAAGAAAAGAAGAAGGGGAAGTCGAAGTGGTCTGGCCTGTCTGGCTTCTAGAAGTGAATTCACTGGAACCCCGCTTCCTGGCATTGTAGCTGTAGAAAATGGACACCATTGGACCTCGGCTTTCAGTTGTGGCAGCGTGTACTGTTAAATATTGATGATTGGGTGCTTGTATCAGCACCTATTCTCGTCGCATATTCTTCACATTGCCAATGGCATGCTAGATTGACTGTATGGCTTTGTCGGATCGACAATGAAACACTCGCGAACACGGAGGCAATGACGAAGTCGAGTGTATTCCATATACTTGTACCTATGCACTATAGTCTCGATTGCTCGCCGCTGTAGCTACCCGAGACTATAGCTAACGATGCTATAAATCATTTGGCCTTGTGCCGCTCACGGTCAGACGTTTGGCTAAAACTCCCCTGCAGGAGTACGGTTTCCAGCAGCTAGCATGCATTAAGCTAGCATCTTCCTAGCACACTTGTAGCGCCTCAAGTGGCGTAAAACAACCTGATTCCAACCTCACTCACGCCTTCGAATCTTACAGTAGCACATATCGATGAAAGTGCGGAAGTGCGAAAGTATGGCATGACTTCCATGGAGACTGCCACGCAAGCGTCGCTGGTGCGATGCCATGGTTTTCAGGGCTTTCAGTGCAGGTATGTCTCGCGCTATAGCAAAGCATTCGTTACCTAGAATAGAGCTTACTCGGTGCACCAGCTTCAAATTCCCCCAACCAAGAAATCGATGTAGCGAGGTGACGGTATGTGTCACAACAGCCATTTAAAAAGCGGAAGAGCAGAAACCCTAAAAACCACTACGCCGTTAAATTAATATACAGTAGATTTGGAAAATCTATACGTACTTTACAAGATTGATCATGATACTCATACACATGTTCAGATTACCGTTCACCGATACCAAAACTAAACTAACCCGAACCAGGCACGGGTGCAGTTTCAAAATGCACTTTCAAGCCTCCTACCTCTAGTAGCTTGGAGGCCGGGGCAAACGAACTTAGATGCCATCCCTGTTGTCAACGAAGCGACGTTAGCTACTTGCTCCTTGGGTCTTCCTGTGACGCCTCGGAGCAGCTTCGAAGCCTATACTTTCTCTACGCAGACCAGTAGCACTGCCCCTCCTTGAAAGGAACATAGCCACAGTCGGAAAAGACAGCTTCATGCTCACCTCTTAACCCATGTCACTATGCAAGAATAACGCTTAGTGACAGATCCATACGAGGGGAGCGGCAATTCCAAGAGGCGCCAAAGGCAGGTGTCGGGGACAGAGAGATGCAAGAGGTCTAATACGTACAAGAGAGCAAGAGTCAGGTCACCATGAATCCGAGCCTTCAAGGTAACCTCAATCTCCAAATTAAGGTCCAATCGGAGCTTGAGTGGGTTCTTGCCGGCGTCATCCTTCGGCTGCTGCATTTGTTGTTGCTGTTGCTGCATCTGGAACTGCTGCTGCTGGTATTGTTGCATTTGCTGCTGTTGCTGATACTGCTGCTGTTGCTGCTGTGACTGTGACTGATCTCGCTTCTTGCGGCGAGGAGCCACCTGCTTGTCATTAGATGGGGCGTTTTCGTTCTCGCTCATCCACGATGGGGCGTTGCGACGTCTTCTCCGCGGCTTTTCGTCGGTTGCAACATCTGGCTGTTTCGATGCATCACGCTGCCTAGACTCGGCACGCTGCTCGGCACGCTGCTTAGAGTCGCCGCGTGGCTTCTTCGATTCGCCACGCTGCTTCTTTGGCTGCTCCTTCTTCGACTGCTCCTTCTTTGGTGATGGCGAGCGGTTTGTGTTCGAGGGCTTGTTGTCTTCGGCTTGCTCAGTTTGCTCTTGGTCCTGGTCCTGCTGACTGTCTTGGCCGTCTTCGGTCTTCTCAGACTTCTCTTGAGCCTCTTCGTCGTCACCCTTTCGCTGTTGTTGCTCCTGTTGCTCTACACCATCGTTGCTTTCCTGCTGCTGTTCGGTCTCGTTGTTATCATTCTGCTCCTCGCCAGCTTGTTCTTGTTGTGGGATGTCATTTGTTTCTTGTTGTTGGTTCTCTCCGGCTTCCCCTTCCGGTTTGTTCTGCTGGCTTTCGTCTGTCGATGCCATAATGCTAGAGATTTAGGATAAGATAAATATCAATTGGGTCAATATGCCAAGGCGATGTGTTCAGATTTGGTCAATGGACTTGAAGACAATAAGAAATACCATATACTTTACTCAAGCACTAGCGGCGGCGCCCAAAGTTTTATTTCACACGCACAAGGTCCTAAATATCAGGATATCCTGACTTCTGCCAATCTCGTAAACTGTGACGCAATGCCTCCCGTAATAACGGTCCCCCAGCTTCTCGCCATGCCAGGTATATCCAATACAACCCTGGAGAGACCGGGTATAGCGGACGATGGGTGCCAACAAGCCTAGTACTTTTCGGTACATCGGTGCACTAGGTCACATTAAATACCCACTACAGCTAGGCCAACGCACTGTTATGAGATCATACGCTATAAAAACCGTCGCTTCGCAGCCTACTCCACACCATCAGCAAAAAAAAAAACCCCTGCCTCCCAGCGTCGAAGCTTGTTTTGGGTTGTTTTAGGGGGGTTCGTCTGAACAGAGTACGAAGTCTTGCCACTTTCGAATTGCCAGCGACGTTTCAGCGCATAAGCCAGAACTCAATTGGGGCCCAGGCTCGTGTCCATAAGGTGGTGAGTACCGCAATCGTTATCGTACATTGTTATTCAAGATCATATTCGGCGTTTCGCGGCACACGTTCGCCGCCATACAACACCACATGGCCCTTCTTGCACTCAGTACTCTCGGCCTGCTCGTGATAAACTCCATACCTACCGTGATTGGGGTTGCAGAAGCTATCGACGCTCAGAAGAAGCAGAATCAGCAGGCCAAAGAACGGATCAAGTTCAATCTCACTGCAAAATTTTCCGTTGACGGCAAGTCGCCGATACAAGAAGCTGCCGTCGTTTTCAAAGACAACAAGGTAATTCATCCGAATATCACAGGTGGACCGCCTCTTTCGGTGGACTGATTTCAATCATTGTGCAGTTATACTTGGATCACCCCGCGCGTCCCGTATCTGGCTTCAAGTTCAACGGTTTCTACTTCCCTTACCCATCTGATGAAAAGCATCAGGGTCTTGTCTCCATGGCAGCGGCTGATCCACCAACGCTCCACTGGATCTATGCACAGAAGGAGACCGGGGAGCTACGTCATGGCAGCCGCAGTGATACGGCAGGACATATCATCGGTCCCTTCAACTGGTCCGAGGATGAAGAATGGCTTGTATTAGAAGAGTGTCCTTATTTTCTAGCAGTTGAGGGTACAGATGGCGCCTGGTCCATCTATCACGACAAGACGAAAATGCTTAAACAGAAACTCGCACCGCTGAAAGTTTTAGATATCAGCTTACACCGTGACCTTCAGCTGGGTGTAAGTAGCACAATGGTTGGTGGGGACAAATAATGGGTGGTAGTCTGGCTTTTCTTATTTTGATAGTTCAAGCGTAGGAGTTGGACTGACTCGGGTTCCAAACAATCCCTTAGATACAAAGCACTGAAGGCAACGATACATCAAGTGACTTCTATCGCCTGATCCACAAGCGTTGGAAACAGGGAATGGTAACATGAATTGGTATGGATACTGATTCCACCGGCCCAATCGGTGATTTCCTACCCTTGTTCGCGGCTACCATCCTTGTGGCGTATGATGTAAGTCCAGCCACCCCACAGCAGGATTGCACCACACTTGCAAGGAAACTTGGACAATGTGAGTGGGCTCGATGAGTGTTCCCACTCCGTGCCCATGGGCGGCCGTCAAGGACATCCCACCCAGCCCACCCACATTTCCTCACTCCCGATGTGTATGGTCCGGGGCAACCCCGAATCAGTCTCAGACCAGGTTCCCTCTCTGTACCTGCTGGAGCTCGGCATACCGTTATGACGTATGCCCAAGCAGAAGTCTGCTGTCGGTCTTTCGCCTTGTTTCGAGACTCAATTTGATTCTATGTAAATACTCTCACCCACCGTAGTGCGCTTCCCGCTAGCTCGTCTCCCAATGCATAGTTGATCCAGTACACACATCATCCATAATTCAGCGACTCAATTGATTGATTTTTCTTATACATATCAACCCAAACAATATGTCGACGTCAAGATCAGGCTCAAGGGCAGGCTCAAGGGCGCCAAACCGTCGCCAGCAAAACCGTCAGGCTTCGCGCAAGCCCGCGCCGGTGCCAGAATCTGATTATTCCGACCTGTCTGAAGAAGAAGAGGCCCCGAAGCCCTCGCGCCGCCGCGGCCAGAAGACGAAGCAGCAGGACCAGCAGGGTGGACAAGGCGGTCCTCTCGGCGGCCTGGGCGGCGCACAAGATTTGCTGCCCGTAGGTAACCCCGGTGAGACTGTAGGCAACTTGGCGGGTGGCGCAACAGGCGCTCTTAGCAATGTAGCCGGTGGCGGTCTTCTGGGCGGTGGTCAACAAGGTGGTGGTGACAAGGGCAAGAGCGATACTTTGAGGCTGAGGTTAGATCTTAATCTTGAGATCGAGGTCACGCTAAAAGCAAGAATTCATGGTGACCTAGAATTGGCCTTGCTGTGAGTATTCCCTGTCTTTTCCTTACTTCCGTGTCCCCCCAGTCTCTCTGGTACCAAGGGGCCCCCCCTCTTTCCTCTGCTTAATCTGGGTTGCGACCCCCTATTTCGTGTCTGCTTTCTATGTCAATAGTCATGTGTCTTTCAAATGCGATTCCTGACGCGTCATAAAGGGATGGTGCTTAAGCCGATTGGTGACCGCACACGATGTACACATATTATACCCACTTTCTTTTATGACGGGAATAGATTGCTTGGAGCACATGGACACAGAGGGATGCACATACACGCTTCTCGAAGCACATTGCCCATAACAAAACTCAAACGTCGGAACTTGTGCTGATATATTTAGGAACTGAAAGGACTTCTTAATCCTATTACTCCTTCGTCCATACTGTCGACTATTGTTCATACGAACTATGATTTCTAATGCGATCTTTGAATGGCGTTCAACGGGGTGGCAAACACCACTATCACTATGTTTAGAAGTAAAGCAGAAGTAAAATTGTAATATATACCGTTTCAATCAATGTGTTATCGTCCCGACACTTTCACTCACCTTTAAGGTCCTCACAGAAACCACCCTAGATCGAGATATATGTGCAATGCTTCTTAGCAAGAAGTGATAATCACTGTTCGTTCTATTATGAACTGGCCCACTGTGAAGCCGTCTTTAGTCCTGGAGATCTAGTTTGAACTCGGCACCAGCCTCCATACACATATTTCTTCGATTGCATGCAGGCCCGTAATGTCCTAACTCCCATCAACCTCCTTCCCTTGCCTCGGCTGAACCGCATGTCTTTTCAACCCAGTGACACGCTATGAAGATGCAGATTGTCTGCTGCTAACGACCTTATTTTGACCGAGGTCCCATACCTTGCAGTAGAAACTCACCTTCCACTCGGTTAACGGGTACACCTATTGCTATCGAAGTCTTTTGATATGTCTAGATTCTCAATGCTCCCCAGAAGGGGTTTTTGTAGCGTTCCTTACATGGTTGGTGAGAATGACCCCATCAGAACTGGCAAATGTGCTTCGGACTGCTCGAGTTTCTCCATTCGCGTAAGACTATCTAGTGAGCCCGGAAACTACAACAGCGTCAGACAACCGAATACATGGAGACTTCTATTTAGGGCTATGAAGTCGTTCAGCGTATGCCATTACAACTCCCTGAGACGACTAAAGCCTGCCAATTTGCCGGCGGGCTGCTCTCATAACACAATTCTAAACATCATTCCAGTCAGTCGAGTTTCTTTGACCAGATTGGGCCCGAGCCGAAGTTTTCCTAGTTCCGGTAATCGCGACAGCTGATAGAGGCTATCCGTCGTGAATAATCAAAAATGGGGCATTAAATTCCTTCAAGGAAGTTGAGCAGTGTTGGACCACAGATCGATTTATTCGGCCTTTGTTCAATTGGATGGTATTACATGATCTCAGCTTTGATCAGATCCGGTGTTTGTTCTCAATGCGAGTACACTATTGTCGTTGATACGTTTATGTCAAAGCATAGTTCTATATCAACTTTCGGCAGGAGCTATTTATGCGGAAGAGCATGGATTAGAGATATGGGATTAGCTAAGTTAATAACTAATGTCTGAATTCTGAACTGTTGGTTGGCACACGCGTGGCGCAGCTCGGCTCATACGCCCTATCCAAGTTCAGGGGCCGCAAATAGTACACCACCAGATTCAGTGTGATCCAGACTCTGTAAAGACATCTACGACTTCGGTAACCTTGTATACATAATCCTAGCTGCCAATACGCCAGCTAATTCCAGATCGAAAGTGCTCCTTGATTAGAGCAGAAAGAGCGCGAAAGATCTGATAGTATGACTGGACCCATTCCAAATGTTTGGGATTTCTAAACAGAGTCAGGACAGCATCTTTCTTATGATTGGTACTTCATCAAGATGAATACTCACTTGTCCTTGAACTCTGCAGTCACCTTGTTGCCAAAGTATTGTACGGTATCGAGGAACTTGTCCACGTGTCTGAATGCATTCATCTCGATCGCTACCCACCCCAGTACTGGTATCCCATCGGCAACGCAGCTCAGATGGTTATATGCTACGTTGCCACGACAGGCCCCTTGGATTGCTACGACCTGTGATGCGATATCGTGTGTTGGGCGCAACATTCTTTGTAGACCCGTAGCATCGGGTTTGGGAGTCTTTGAAGCCGTGACGAGAAATTTGCGTTGCTCTTGAAAACTGAAATGGACACCTTGCGCCTGCCTGGCTACTGCACCACCAAGTTCTTTACTTAGTTGTACATATCTGCTTACGCTAGTATCAAGGAATTCGTCAAATCTCTCGATTGATCCTGGTAGCGATTCATGGGCATTGTCCTGAGTTGGTTGAGGCTCAAGATTTCGCGTTGTGAATGCAAGCGAGCTATGTATAACGTCGAGTAGTTCAGTCTTCAACTCCGTGCTGGTAGTGGCTGAATTAATAGTGTCTGGAGTAGTGAAGAGGTCTTCAAGTCGCAATGTCACAGCCTCCAATCTAGATGATACATTATTAACTTATTCCGGCATTATAGCGAAGATCGTAGACTACGAGACGTACCTCTTGACCAGCGTTGTGAGCTTGTGTATATCGCTTGAAGCCATGACTGATTAACATGTTTACTTGTTACTTACATCGAGATATCGAAGGACGTCATATACTTAACCAATGTGGCACAGGCAGCCATGAAAGAAGGCCTGCGCGTTGATGGACTCCAAGATCAGGCATCCACCAAAACTGTAGTAGATCTTCAAGGCAGCAAGTTAACGGTGGACCCGAGAACCTCCATGCATTTCGCGGATTGTCATCTGCGACCATGCCAATTAGACATGAAGCTGTCGTCACGAACCGACCTCCTATTAGTATCATTCGTTATCAGTTGCGATGAAAGTATGTATATACAATAGCGGGAACAGTTTGAGTCAAAATCTGGCCGCTGACAGGGGCTCTACTTGCTTCCTCTTGGAAGTCGGTGTATGATATAAATATTGAAGTTTCCGGGGTATTACACAATTAACAGATTGTGACTAGACTAGTCTAAAGGTCAGAGTATAAATGACTTAAGGTTGGTGGCAATCCGGCAGCATATAGCAACTCAATAGCTCTGCCTTCGCAAAATCCCGCGCTACCACCATTGAATGCCTCAAATATGGGCAACATTTACCTTGTAAGTCTAAATCCAAATCCAAAAAGATACAATGTGCACCTCAGGGAGAATGCTTCATAACCTCATGCCAAATTATGCCCTCGCCATCTAGCCTCTCTAGAGTATCGTTATAGATATCCTCAAACCCGACTGACTTGTATAGCGGGTATCCAGCTGGCGTCGCAATCAACGTAGTCGGCAATTCCATTTCATCGGCCAAGCCCATACCCCAACGTAGATGAACGGCTGCAAAGCCATTACCGTCCCACTTTGGATGAGTCGCAATGAGGGATAAATAGACATGGCGTTCATAGACATTGTCGAGATGCGTCTCTACTGCACTTTTCAGGTGCTTCATGTAATCCTCGGAGCGGGTCTGGTTGGAGTCGAGATGCTTGGAGCAATTACCGCCGTTCTCGAGCATTGCCAACGTGAACAAATCTGGATGAGATTTAGTTCTGTTGAATTGCCAATCGGAGAATGATACGACGCGTGACCCAGACCCAGTGGTGTGGTCGGGCACTGATATCACTCTGCTCACGTGCTCGCTACTTGTGTTGTTCTCGAGCGTGCGTTTGATATTTCGTTCAAGACAGGACCGGATATAGCCAGGGTATTCATCTGCGAACTGATGAACATATTTCCAGGCTGGCGCTCGGGAGAACGCGTCAACAATCACTGTCGCGATGTCGCCGGCATCATTGGCACGAGGGGGGCGGAACTCAAAGAGTTCAGCTCCGAGAGGTTGCTGAAGGGATGAACTCGTCCCTGTGCTCAGTACGCACGATAGCGCCAACAATATGACAACAGAAAATATTTCCATGTCGCAAAACTTAATGCATCTGCCTAGCAACAATTCTTGGTACAAGGTACAATGAGATGAGATGAGATTCATATCCCCATGTCTGCGCTTACTTTCAGGCGACAGCATTAGCTCACGAACGAATACCGATAGCTATGTCTTCACTCGGTTAGCCATTGTCGAAGGCTCCGAACTCCGAAGGAACAACATGCAATGCATTGAACAAATGTTGCCTAATGCTGATACAAATCAATGACTTGGCTTGGAACCATCTGTCTTATGATGCATGTGGAGTCACTAATTTTCTATATTGTGAGAAAACAAGTTAAGCCAATTGAGAAATAATCGTCCATTGGCATCCCATGGCTAAATTAGAGACGCCAGTACTTACTGGAAACCAGCGTGCCTGTCCACTATCAAGTTTAGTCGGCTGCGGGAAATAGTTGAATCAGTTATTTTCGTCAATTTGACACGACTAGGGGGTCATCCTGCTTTGAAAAGCGCCATAATACTTGCGCACCTCACTTATAATTGTTCCATTAATTGCTGTGAGCTGTTCAACTCATTGGCGTACTGTGTACTGACATATCTGCATCCCATGTGTGGTGTGGCAGCAATCTGCTGGGAACCACAATGACACAACAGCACGGCTACCAAATGCGAGCACTTTGGTAGGGTCACGAAATGGCCGAATGAAGGAAATAGATGTGACGACTTATATTTACACGATTGACACAAATTGGTATGATAACAATGTTGCTGCGCATTGCACATGAAGCCACGAGCACGGGGTCAATCACTGCCTTGGCTTTCCTCTATCCCACGGGGAAGGAAGCTCCGTGTCTATCAAAAGAAAAGCAACCACGATGGCGCCTCTACATACATTGGAGCGAGTAGCTTCGTCTCAGCCTGTGTCGGTAGTCTTGCCTGCCTTTTTGCTGTAGTCTGGGAAGTTGTGAGTTCGTGCTGAGTCAAAACCATTATTTGATTGACTGTCTTGCTAACGGGCATGAAACGAGACCAAGAGACGAGCATCTTCTTCGGCCAAGACAACGTTGCGAAGCACAGCTAGAAATATTCAGAGCTTACATCGAGAAAATGAGTCCCATGTCTAGACTGCAAAGATAGGAAGCTTAGAAGTGCTCATCTACGCAATTGATCTTCTTCGACGGCAGGCTGCGTGCATCGCAGTCATGTCGGCCCGAGTGGCCGCTCTACTCTGTTACATCGCTCAGAGTGCATTCCCTCACAAGCAATATGTGCACGCTCTGCGAATGGTCCTTTGACCACATAAGAGCTGCGGCTAAATCTAGGCCACTCTTGGTCTTGTGATTCATTCGCGGCATTTCTGTTGCTCCGTCCATAATGCTGGTTCATGGGGCTTTGTTCTTGCCGTGATTCAAGTAGGTCACGTCAACGGACACCACCACGCGGATGTGGTTCGAAGGTGAGTCACTTCCGTGCTTGAGGTTTTGGTCACAGTTCTTATAGGTGATGCTTGTACTTTCCTGACTAGACATTCTTTGACTTCATAAACAGTTTTCGAAACTCTCCGAATAGAGCAACCGAACGGGACTCTATCTCCATTCTTTGACAGAAGAGACCGTATCGCAAGCTGTTCTGGCTGAATACATAAGGAAAACTGTTTACCAGAAACACGCCAGGGCTTTAATCGACCCCCGACACTTAACCTCGCACATCATCCATTTCGGAAACGAGCCGTTCAACCAATATTTCGTCATGACGGTCGCACCGAGTGTCGGACTTTCGGCGGCCGATCAGGCAACGATCCATGTTGAGGTCAAAACCATAGCGGCGTTCATCGCCTTGATGGCAACTGCATGGGTTGTGCTGGCTATCCTCTTCATCTATCATTTCTACAATTCGCCTATCGGCGTTTATCTTGTTTGGCGGGACTTGAGGCCAGTCAACGTTGGCAAAAACGGGACGACTGAGTATATTGAGCTTGAATATTGGCCGCGCCCACCGCCGTCGTCAATTACCACGGGTGACCCGTAATGACTTGACACGGGACCAGAAAGGGATGCTTAAAGAGCGAAGGAAGTTGCTCTATCGCAGAACATCATTGCAAAGGGTACATATGTAATACACATCTTTAACGAAGCGCAGGACTCAGCGAATTATTGCAAGCTGTTGGGCGCCTGGCGAGGCATCCCTCACCTCCATTAGCATTGACTTAATCTCTTCCACTGCAAATAAAAGCTCAGGATATCGTGTTTCTGTTCAAGTTGTTAATCCAATTGCTAAGTCATGTGAGACAATTATCCTCACTGAAAGACGGCTTGGTAGCCATCCTATAGCGTTCATACTATTTAGCAATAGGATACCGTCCATTCAAGTCACGGCTACAAGTCACATGGCATGTCCTTACAACCAGATAGTCCCAAGGCCCTATACCCCGTGACCTTGAACTGGCGTATATGTTTTCTTTCATAATAACATTCATGACTGAGTAGAGCCTTCAGTATTCGTTCATATATTGCTATGATTTATATTTTCCATCTCACAACAACCACTGTCATCGACCATCACGTCGCTGCCTAGTTCATACCAATTGATCTTATTTAAATTTACAATTTTTATCAGCAGCAAGCGGCTTCCACTCCCACATATAGTTCTCAGATCAGCACAATCCTAACCACACCACAGAACTTCAATACCTCATACTACTGCACGCAGCCGCCAGATGGACAACACCCGATGAAGACAATTCAGGGCTTAGCCACGACATTGACGCCCCACGAGTCATGCAACATTGCGGCAGTGGCAGGCATGCTAGCGGGCGTGTTTGTGCTGTCCATATTGATCGCGGTGTTGTTCACTCGGAAAGGAGAACGGTGATGACGTGTGGTCGGTGCAATAGCGAGGCAGAGAGGAAGGAACAGCCTTAGTCTGCACGAGGTGATTGGGTCGCTGGAACTGAGGGCGGAGTGGCAGATGGCTCTGAATCAAGATCCGCTTGGACCTGATTTCAACAGACGGACTGCTGGTTATTAGGGGGAAGGCGAGTGACATGGCGGGTGGGACGGCAAGGTGAATACGTTATGAGGAATTTCGAGGATGAGGCCTGTGCAGGCCGTCTCGGGGTTCTAGGGGAAGAAGCATCACATGTAGATCTACGGGTCGGAAATGAGTAGTTCGAGTACAGCCATGTCTAGAAGAGTCCCAACCAAGCACGTTCATCTGCTTTACCCTCATCATGTTCCTTGGCATATCGAGCATGTCGAAGATTAATTGCGAACTGTACGGCGGCAGGAAATTTCCCAATATCATGAATAGAACCCGTACCATTCTTTGTCATTCTCTGATTTACTGCTCTGACCTGACAATGCCAAGCCGCATTGGGGCACCTCACAGTACTGTCCTTTGTATACATTGCCAGCTTCCGAGACGCAGACCCTTGGGGTCTAAGCTTTTCATTCCATATCTTCTGGGATAACTTTGCGACCTGCTCCATCAAATTCAAAGATACTTACTTACGTTTTGCTACCTTCTCCGTCTGGCAAAAAAACTCTGACCACCGGCAGTATTGTCTCTTAAAACATCCTGTGAGCTATCCCAACTACTTGTATGTCAAACACAGGCGGTAATCGGAGTTGTTAATCACTAACAACCTGCCCCTTGGTAGCAGCCAGCCAAGACACACATATCAAAACAAGACTGTAAAAGTCGACGACGATATGGGAAACGGAGGAATCCTAGCGATTATAGGCGTCGGTATTGTCGTTGTGGTTATAGTCGGTGGTATCATTTTGTGTAAACGTGGTGGGCCCAGGAGGGTTGACAGCAAGGCTTGAAGGTGGAAGAAAAGTTCTTTCGTACTTGGGAGGGTTGGACTATGTGTTGTTATTAGGAGGGAATATGATCGTGATAGTAAAAACCTTCTTCTTTCCTCAGAAAGCCGACGGGTGTTCTGTTTTCTTTTTTGTGAACTTCTGAGCGGTCGACAGTGACTATTGACAATTCGTGTGACGGAGTTATTCCTTTACCATCATTGCCCCTGGAACTGCCTCACAAACAGTACTGGTGAAGAAGCAATGGGAGAAATCCTTTTGGCTGTGACTTTATAATCCCTCGGATTTACGTGATTGATTGTCTAGAGTAGGCAATACCATCACTGTATAAATAAGCAGCAAACAAAACAGGCACTTTGCCGGCATAAATTGACCTGGCTATCGTACGAATTGCATGATAAAGTCATTTCTTGACTGAATATCACGCTCAATCTGTTTCGCAACCTGGGGGACTGAGAAAACCCCTTGCTTGAACGCACGATTAAACAAGCCCCACAGTACCAATCAAGATAAACCGCAACAATGGCCACCATCAATATAGCACGGCGAGACTCAGCCAGCTCTATGAGCGGTGTCGCCCTCGCCGGCGTTCTCATAGGAGCCACGCTAGTCCTCATATTATCGCTGGTTCTGTTTTCGAGGTACGAGAGCTGGGCAAAAAAGCGGAGGAAAAGACCACAGCGGACTCCAGCGACGAGCGATGATGACGACGTCGCACCAGTATCCTGGGCCGGGCTGCTGTTCAGCAATGCAAGGTATGCGCCTGCTCTCTCTTATCCATGCGTTTAAAACCTGAGATGTGGGGGACCTGCCTCCCTTATATATTACCGACCGAGAGTTTTGTTCTCAAGTTGTTTCTCGTGGCGTACGTTAACAGAAGCCGTCGCTCGACGGGGCATTCAAGTCCCATCCCGGAAAGCTACATACTGACGTCTAAACTTTACTGAATCTTTATTGGAAAGATTTGGCGTTACGTCGCTGAGGAACCGGTAGTGGCGTTCACGCTACCAACGGAGACCTAGGTCGATATCTCGAAGGACGAGGCGCCAGCAATGGGAAAGGGGGCTTGTGGAGTGCAAGGGGGTATGGTGACGGTGGGATGGTCAAAGTGAGGCATTAAAGCAAATTACCAATAGTCAAGCCGCAAAACGTCATTGTTGAAACCGTTGAACCTGTGATGCAATTAGAGCTGTCAATTACCCTTCCTTTATTCATAATATTCTGGTGGCGACTTGAGCTCCGTGTACCGCGTTTCATTTCCTTTGTTCTCGCGTCCAAGCCAACCCCTTATCCCTCCAAAAGAGAGTAAAGTCAAATTGTAGTGGCATCGTGTCCTGGGTATTTACAACACTGAATACCTCTGCGGGCAAATTCAGCCATCTGATCAAGGATGGAACCGGTGGAGCATATCATGCGGGAGTGTTCGCTTCTGCATTACAACAATGCGAGACCGCAGCAGTGTTTCGATTGAGGAAGTTGGCACAGCATATATAGAACGCCTTGTGATGTCCCCCATCGATAATGTATGCAGGAGTCGACATAAACCAAGCCTTGCCAAGCTGCATCCCCAAGCCCTCTCGATGGTTGAGACCGACTCTTTGAGAATCAAGACGCATGTCAAGCGCGCGGAAGACAGCCAGGCTACGGTGCCCACAACCTTCCTCACCGTCGCCATTATCGTCATCGAGGCAAACGGGATCATGCTGATCTGATGGTCGCTGCTCACCCGGAGTCGCTGGTGGAAGCGCGATAAGAATGACTCCACAACCATCCTTTTCGATGGCAACGAGACTCATGAACAAGATGCGGAGCTGGCAATGCCCTCTCGGGCGCGGGCTGGGGTGAGGGACAAACAGCTCCCGACCGCGTCGCCTAAGGAAAGAATCATCACGCAACACCAGGGGAAGACGGCGGCCAGAATTCGAAGTTCTTAATAGTAGGACGTGTGCCCGGGGCGACAAAGGTCATGGAGAAAGCCATCCTCTCAAAGTCTCGAATGCGGCGGCGGAGCGGCACAGAAAGGAAACGGAGGGGAATACCACGGCGCCCTTGGTCTCAAAGCCAGTTTCGGTGGCAAAGGGGTCTGGCGACTTTCGCACTGCGGAAGATGTCTTTCAAAACAGCGGCAAACACTCGGTCGAGAAAGACAATTAGTCTGAGGCCACAGACATAAGCCGCCGAGGGGGGGAGCAACAACCTGCTAGATTGTAGACTTCAGGAGACAATTGCCGGAGTGATGTCGTAAGCGAGAAGCACGTATAGGTCTGTACAAGCATTGCAAGGCCTGCCTTACAATAGCAGATTGGCAACAACACATGATGGTTGCGCGCTGGCTTCAACAGGTTTTTCTGTTCCAGAGAAAACCACCAATGAATATGCTCTCGTCGCTCTTGTGAGAGTTCCCGAGAAGGTTGTCTTGACACTTCCAGCAAGCCTCACGCGCTGCCGGGTTGACTCGGTCTGTTCGCAAACCCCGGCACGCGGGTATAAGTACAAGAAGTCATTGCTGAGTTCCGCTAGACCCTTGTGCGAGGTATATGCAGTGCGCATAGCCCGGCAAGATTGCGGTTCATCGTGTCCAGCGCCCCTGCGGCGTGTTGGCGTTTGCTACGATTGTTCATGACTCCTCGGTAGCCTAGCTTTGAGATTGGGTGTTGATAAAAACTCTCGCTTCCGTCAAGTTGGAGAAGATGCCATGTCTGCAAGAGTGCTTTGGAAAGTATTCTTGCCACTACTAATATGTAATGTTTTTGGGGGTATCATAATAATCTCAAGCTCATGTTTCCGCAACCGAACGCCTCCCTATGCTTTGCTAGACCGTGACTGGTGTCAGAATACGCCTCTTTCGAAAATATGCCTCCTGCAGCTAGTGTAGTGAGCCCAGGCTTGTAGCGGCCGCCAGCTCCCTAGCCCGTGGATTGACGCCTCCCCTCTGCGCGTGTATCATGCGTACTCGATAGCGAGAGCGTCGTCCAGTGTAGCGCCACGGTTTGGAACAGGCTGTTTTGCGTCCCCGGTGCCATTCGGAGCGTCGTCGTCGTCGTCGTCCATCTTCAAGCTTCCAAGGCCTTCCAGCAGGCGCTCGACGTTCTCTTTGACATGGCGTATGGCATTCGTCTCGGCGCGGGTTCGGTCGAGCTGTGCTTGCATGGTTGAGATGAGGGATTCGCGGGCTTGGTGTGGTCGGTACTCGTTGATCAAGTGGTGGAAATTGAGGAACAGGTCTCGAATGTCGGTGATCTTCTCCTCCGCCTACTGAAGCATTAGACCATGGCGAGCGCACGGTATGTGGAAGAAGTGGAAGGAAGGAAGGAGAGCCATACGGCGGCGGGATCGGTAGCCAAGATGCCAGTGAGCTCGAGAAAGTTCAGGAGCAAGCTCTTGGCCAGGCGTTTAAGAATGGTGGCCCTGTCAAAGTGCTTGCCGTCCTGGTCTCTCTCCTCTGGGTCTGGGAAGAGCTTTCTGATGCCGGTGCCGTCTTCCAAGCGTGGCAGTTCGTCCTTGAGCGCGTAGTTCTGACCGAAGACACGCCATGTGCCGTCCTCGGGCTCGGGGGGTGGCTGCAGAGTCCCGAGGTTCTCAGGGAGACCTGACAGTCGGACCGTGGTCGAGTCTGTGATTCCCTGTCGCTCGGCTTGCTCTTGCCTCAAGTCAGCGATTCGTGCAACATTGTCCGGGGTGAAGTCCTTCCAAAATGGTGGAGGGGCAGGGTATGTGCTGGAGATGGCATTCTGCGCTTCGTTGTCGTCGGCCATTGTGCTCGGCTTGCTGTGTGTTGCCTGTGGGAAGTGAAGAGGAGACGAGAGAAATGAAGGTGTGGGATTAACCTAGTTAGTCGTGGAAACAAGACAAGACGTTAGATGATTAAGTCACATTTCATTTGCGAGGCTGGAATGTGAAGAAGATGATTGCGACGCGATGGGACGAAAGTAACTTGACTATGTACGTTAATCCAATCCAATCCAATCCAAGTCCAATCCAAATTCAGTTCAATTCAGTTCACCTTAAATCGTCAGGTTACAGTAATCTTTTAAGAGCTTGACTCCAAGATCGAAGGAAAGCTTTCCTTACATAAGTTTACTCACAGTTGTCGCTTGCATTACAGTGACCTAACCTAGCCTTAGGCTGCTGAGGTTAGGGGAGAAAGAGCTGGCTGGCTGGCGACTGGCGGCAGGCATGCTGGAGCTTCAAGATCGACATCACTAATTTCGGCCGCTTAGCGAGCGACCTTTTGGAGGCGATTGACCATTGAGCTTGTCACATTCCTTTCCAGGGGCCCCTAGGGGCTTGTCATGGGTGTGTGCAGATGGCGGGGTTGTGGAGCTTAGTTATTACGAGCAAGAAACAAGCGTCCTGAGGAGAGAAGCTACTGAACATTCGCTGAAAGGTTGGTCTTTTTATTTATATTTTCTTTTAATCATTGATCGTTTACCGCCTCACCTGAAAGCTGCTAATAATAACAATGATAATAATGACAAATGCATTAAGCAAGCAGCCACCTGCACTAGTTGGAAGCACCAACTTGACAGTTGAGCCTAGTCTAGGCTACGTTAATGCCTGCGAATGGAGGCCTTCCTGCCATGGTCCCTTTGACGCCGGCTCTTTTCGAAATTAAATCAATCCAAAGTAAATCAAACAAAGTCAAAACAGACTTCCTTTTCCAGTATCGTGTTGTTCTTCCATTGCGTCTCACATTTCTGACTTGATCCCCCGACCGCCATACCTTCCCCCGCAAGCACCAATTGAATTCCCTGCCGCTTATACCTTGAACCATTCTACACCTCCCTCCCACCATGGCGGACGCCCGCTCTCTTCTACGAGCCCACCGAGCTGCAAATCGTGTCGAGCATCCTCATGCCGCCTACAGCGAAGCCGGCAAGCTTCTATGCAAGATCTGCCGCGAGGTCATCAAGTCCGACACGCTGTGGGAGTCCCACGTGCGAAGCTCCAGCCACCGGCAGAAGCAGGCTTCGACACAAGCACCGACTGCCTCCATCGAGACCACCAACAAGAGGAAACTCGACCATGTCGACGACGCCACCGAGGTCGAAGCTGCCGACGACGCCCAAGAGACCTTACCCAGGAAGAGGAACAGGACCCGGTCCAATGTCAACGGGGAGGCCACCACACCTCCCGGCCTGAACAGACGGGCTTCCGGCACACCTGCGCAAGGCGTCGAGCTCTCCATACCCTCTCGCCCTGCCACTCCGCAGGTCGGAGAAGGCTCACAGACCTCGACCCCGAGCATTCCCCCCATGGGCCGCTCGCCATTCATCGGCAGTGGATCCGACAATGCCGGCACCCCCAGCACTTCTGCCTCGGCCGCTCAACTGCCCATCTCCACCGAGAGCTTGACCGTGCCCATACTAGCAGCCACGGCCCCAGCCGCCAACGGAGACGTCGACGAGTCCGAATGGGCGGCTTTCGAGGCAGAGATCGCCGCCGACGACGACCAAGTCCCAGCTAAGCCTGCCTATGCCGACGCGACCATCTCTGCCGCTCCCCTCACCGCAGAAGAGCTGGCCGCCAAGTCGCTCGAGGAGGAGAACGAACGGAAAAAGCATCTGCTTGACGTCGAGATCGCAGACGAGAAGGAGGACGCGACCCGAGCCTTGGAAGACGAGTTCGACGAGATGGAGCAGCTCGAGTCCCGCGTCCGCAAGCTCAAAGAGCGCCGCGAGGAGTTGCGGAAAGGCAGCATCGCGAACCTCAGAGGCGCCGCTGCCCACGAGAGTGTGATTGACAAGACGGTCAAGGCGGCCTTGGGCAAGGAGAACGCCGGTCCCGCGAACGGCGAAGATACGGGAAGCGACGAAGACGGCGACGACGACGACGAGGCTGACGATGATTGGGATGATGGGTTTCGGTTCCGGGGCGCATAGCGTGGCCGCGGTCACGAACACGACACCTCTTTTTGCCAAAGACAAACAACAACCGTTCCGGAGAGCGCGGTGTCTTCGATCTTGTGTGGTTTCAAGGTGAAGATCATGGCTGGAGAGGAGGCACAATATGATTCCATGGAGTGGAGTCCTTCATAAGTCGTCGGGTGGTATAGGGAAAGAGGATATTAGGATTGGAAAAAAAGAGAAAAAGGATAGACAAGGCAGTGTCCACGGGTACTGAAAGCATTGAGCGTGGGCGTTTGGGCATTTGCTGTTTTGTGATTTCTCCCGGAAAAGGCACCACTTTATTTTCTTTTTCCTTTTTCCATCTGGAAGAACAGTCAGTCGGCTGTATTATTACTATTGTGTACTATTCAATCCCAGAAGCAAGCCACCTTGTATATGGAAGGGATGGCAATGCACCTCTCCGTCGTTCCATGTTTGCAACAAATGCGATCCGAGGCAAGGCAGTTGTTTTTTGAGGCAAGTATTCCGTCATGTCACACAATCGCTACTCGGCAGATCTCATGCGTGAGCAGCGGTTTCAATGTGCGAATTTGGAGACGAGCGATTATATACCAAAGGCGGCGGCCCTCTCCTGGCCATATTTGATCGATCGATCTACCTGTTGCACGGAATGGGCCACCGAGGGGGGGAGAGGAGACATGTACTCGGGATGTTGATTGTGTAATATACGAGCTGGTCACGCTACTATTACATTTTCTTCATGATGTACCCTCTGCGGCTACAAGAAGGGATACATTCAATAATATGCATTCATAAGGGCACCACACGAAAGCCTGTTGTTAAATTACCATACTCAAAACAAACCTCGTCCTCCAGAGGACTCAAACGCCTATAGAGTGTTCACAGTTACACACATGATACCTATACAGAATCTATCCTACACGCTCGACGGCGCCACCACCGCCGTCTCCACCCACGCGCTCCCAGAACCTGCGCAGTCTCCAAACCCGTCCCACGCCCCGACTCTCGTCCCACCTCCGGACGCCCTCGCCCCTCTCGCGCACCTCGCCCCTCCACTTGCCGCCGACCCACCTCCGGAGGCTGTCCTTGAGCCTCTCGCGCTCTACGGCACGCCGCTGGGCCACGAGCGCCGGTGCCACGGCACCCCCGACGACCTCGCCGGGCAGCACGCCGCGCTGGACGAGAGACTCGGCCGAGGGTCGCAGCGGGAGGCGCCGCGACAGCTTGATGGTCACGAGACTGCGGGCCAGGCGCCGCGAGATCTGCGTTGTGTGCGTCAGGAAGATGTGCCGCGCGATGAGCTCGGCGAGCGTCGGGCGAGAGGGCGAGACGAGCAGGGAAGACAGAGAGATACGGACCCGGCGGAGGCGGTAGTGATGTAGGATTGGCAAGAGGGATAGGCTGCGTAGATGGTGATTTGTCTGTATGCAGGGTCAGCTTCTGTGGTATGTGCGCGGTCTACTATTTCCAAGCAGTTCAGGATGATCTTGAGCAGTATGGAAGCTGTGAAGCGGCTACCAGATTCGGAATGGGGGCATGAGCAGTGAGTCAAATGATGGCGGAGAACAGTCTGCGAATTGTGCGAGTCGAGGCAGCAACATATCAAACTTCAGAAACCTCACAGTTGGACTGGACATGTGTGAAGACGAAAATAAAGGGAGAATAGGAATAAGTCAAATCGAACACCTCGTAGGGCGTCACTGGACTCTCGTTTCTGTGCCGCAGGGCCCCCATTCACTTCCACGTCACAAAATGCATGCGCGAAATAAAGGAACCAACATACCCGTGACGTGGCCAGAAGATCGCACACTTCAAGAAAACTCAAGATGTGCATGAGTATCTCATTCGGTAGACGATCAAGATCCAGATCTTGACACCAGGCCGAGGTACGTCGCATCATACGTAGCCTTGCAATGGAAAAGCCACTTGTAATCAGAACACCAGTGACGGCTTCCATCATCCGCCCCTCACGTCTCTCGGTCTTATGATTCCCCGGGTCAGTAACTGTTGAAGAACTTCCAGACAACCCGGAGCCCAGATCCGTAGATGTCACTGCAGGTTGGCCTACTCCTGTGTGTAGGTCACAGGTACAAGCATGCTCGTCTTGGTGGATCACGTTATTTTCCAGGCTGTGTTCATTCCTGATAGGATGCCGGTCTTCTTTTTCCAGATGTGATCCGCGCAAGGTAGCAAGACTTCCCTTCTGATCCCGCGATGTGGTAGATTCCAAGATACAAGCAAGACGAAGCGCCTGGGGATCCGCCGGACTAAGGATGACATCCTGGTGCCTATTGATGGTTTCATTGCCAACAAATGGGTTTGGACCTGGTGGTGCTGGCTCAGCTGAAGAAGGGTGGGATGGGGCAGGCAAAGATGAGGTGTTCGAGCCTAGACTGTCAAAGGCACGTCCTTCCGGAGTAGCCAAGGTCAGACAAGGAATGTCATTGTCAAATCGACGCGCGCTTGATTCTAAACGGTGGCCAAGGACCTCGTCTACGGCCCTTTCCCCGTCCGGCATCATGTTTGCTGAAGAAGATGCTGCTGCCATGCTGAAGATCAAGGTATCATGGGTTGTATGGGGGTCCCTTGACAGCGACGGCCTAGGATGGTATTCTCATCGAGGTGCCTAGCGCGCCAGATGCGGGATGCTCAGACCGATGCATGCGCCCTCGGTGAGCCCGTTACCTGTAAGTATGAGATAAACGGCGTGGGATGATGCCCAGCAAATCCCTGAAGAGGCGAAAAAGAGGTGTACCTCGCCCGTGGGATACAAGTTTGATATCCGCGTTCCCCGGGGAAGGAAGTCCACCCTACGGATTGCCAGCTGGCAAAGGGTCAACGGGGGGACGTGATCGCGGCAAGCGGAATGCAAGGGGGAGGGCAAAAGGCAAGGTCTCAAGAGATCGCCTATACGGTCGGGCTGCGACAGACCATCATGGGGTTGTCGCGAATCCTCCCTCCTGAGAAAGGGAAGTGTGATGTATCAATCACACCTGAATGAGGCGAGCGAGTTGCCAAGGGTGTTCGGTTGCGCTTATGTAGAGCTCACCAGAAGGAGAAAGTGAAGCGCGGTAAAATGAAGCATCTGGCGTGGCCCGCGACCGGGGTGTAGAATGACGCGGTTAATGATGGCCGGGAGCGCGAGAAAAGGATGCAAACAAGCTCGTCAAGCTCGGCAAGGATGATTTTTGACGGCGGCTGATGAGGAAGTAGGTCGTGAAGGTGGCCGCTGGACCTCAAACACGAGAGGTCAATCCATGGTTGAGACGAGGGGGCGCATCACGCCGTCCAAGGCAGGGATGTCGACTTCTGTGTGATGAGAGCATACATAATCCGTAAACAGTGTCCGCACGGTATGCGGGGTAGCTTCATGCGCCTAGTCTTACGGAGTCAGCACTTCTACGGAGTAGTGGCACAGTGTTCCTTCTTTGGTGCACCTGGTTGTGTCCGTGTTGCTTGATGTCGATGACAGGCAAACTCAACATGTAACCAAACGGCTGCTCCAGGTAAATATGGCCTGTCTATCTTCATTGAATGTGACGCACTGCGTCCCAGCAATGTGCACAGTTGTTGAACTTACACATATCATTGTGGACGCGATTGGGGCCGGACGGATTTCAAATGCTCCCGTCATGTTTTACGCGTCCTGGTAGAGACCACTTTGATAGGGATACCTGGGTCGTCATTTCGGACTTGACCGACCCATAAAATCGACCAACCAGCACCAAAGAACGAGTGGGTTCAACACATCGGACTCAATAGCAATGGACAATGCCACTGATTTCCACACATGTCATAGCCTGGAGCATTTGATTTCAAACAGTCTACATGCCGAAGGAATATGTACACGCTGATTCCAGCTTCCCTGAGGGTTGTGTTAGTATAATGATAAGATACTAGCCGGATACAGCTAGTCTGACGAGGGCTGGGGGTTAATATGCAGTCGGCAAAGCCATGGCTTCCTATTAGCACATCGCCTATATCATGAGACACGTAGCAAATCCCCGACTACTCAATCACGTCTCAACATTCCACAGATGTTTCGTGGTGGAAGTCGTAGGCACGACAGTTATCAGCCTTGCTTTGGTAGTGCTGTTCATCCCTGGTTACGAACTTGGGACTTGTCGTAATTCATGTATGGTGGTTACATGTACCTGACATGTCAGCAGCCTCCCGCAGTGCGTTCGTGTATCTCCAGCCAGCCGTTGCATGCTCGAACATGTCATCGCGGATGTTCCCAAAAGCCCACGACATGGGATCTATGGGGGTAGGCATTCCGTTGATCCCTGGTGGTGGGAACGAGGTCGCTTAACGGGCCAAGCACTTGCAGAATTCCCGCCATCCAAATTGGACGCGTCGAAGCCTAATGGAATGTTTGCTGCTGTCAGAACATTGGGCTGCAATCGTCAATGCATCGGAGTGCGGCTCAATGGGCCCATACATGTGCAGTGAAGCGGAGGGCTCGCTGGAGACCTTGCACAGGTAAACCAGATTTATGCCGAGTCATGAGCAGTTGATCTGTGGATACGCAGTGAGTACGCTACCCTAAAGATTATTAGATTTCGGTGTAGAACAAGGGGCCGATTGCTGGTAGAGTCGTGGTGACTGGAGTATACCGTCACCATCACGGTTCCTGTTCCAATAGGCATACTCGGCCGTCAACGAACAGGGGTTTGAAGGACTGACAGCTCAGGGGCGGCACGCGAACATCATGGTTACATAAGGTTGAACAAGTTCTTCCGCAATGCTTGATGGCTAAAAGCACACTTTGATTAATCTTTCTGCTGTCACAGCATCATGTGTGCATGGTTAAAGTCCACATTGGCGAATAGCGTTTAGTTGTATTTATGGGGGATTGATGGCATACCGTCTTGGCAGCCGCCTTGACTGTTACAACCTCCTTTCCCCATTTCACGCTCGGACACGCACGTAACGAGTTCAATAAAACGGTGACATAGTGTAGCATAGTAGACATTAAAGTGGCTTTTGTTTTGGAGACCATATTCAAGGCCAGAGGCACGTCCCGCTAAGGCCGTACTGCTGGCCTCGTGGCATGCGGCCAATTAGATATCCAAACGAGATACCATGAGGCTGTCATTGAAACAGGTACAGATTAACGTGAAAACAGGCTTAGTTTGTGACGTGCAGGCCTACGGTCTGACAACATCCCTGACACATATCGTCTTGTAATCCACACCATGCGACCCCGTCCGATTCGCGGTTAGCGTACCGATCATGCCTAGTCAGGCCATCAAAAGAAGATATGCACGCAGCTTGACATTGGGCAGATTGCTAGGTCATATGTTTTTGGTTCAAGTTGTAGTGCATGTCACCCTTGCTCTGGTGAATTCTGGGCACTGATTTGATGCTGTGCTTCATACAAAGTTATGCATGTATTGCGCGCTCGTTAAAACCATGATTTGTTCAACTGCAAAGAATGCACCAGCCGTCCGACCTGATATGCACCACTACGAATACTTTTGGGTCGAGGCTCAGTTTGTCGGTTATTAACTAAAGAAAACAAGGTTAAGGCGCTGGGCCAGGTCATACATACTCAGACATGATGGTGCGGAACGGCCCGTCAGGCATCTGGTTATCATGGTCGCAGGATTCCCATCTAGATGCCATAAAGGGACACGGCCATGAGGGGATATGGCCACATGAGGGGGTCTTGTTCATAGCTTGACGGAATACAACGAAGATTGGTCCGCTAGACAATGTTCATCGATGCAGGACGATGGAGCTCCTTCGTTTCGGTAGCATCGTAGCGGATCCTTGTTTGATGTATTGCTGCATAGTTCTTGTTTCTTCAACATTGTCGCTTTTAGTACGATACTGATACTTATTCCACGACAATGTGGGAGAAGAGGCCAGGCAGTTTGGAAAGAGTTAACAATTCACTGAGATCGGATGTAGAGCCGGACTGTAGCACTACAGCAATGCGGTGCTTGAGAGAAGCACCTGTTGTGCTTCCTCCGGAGCTCGGATAGCTGTGTTTTGATCCCTGGAATCGCCTGACTTCGTATCCGTGAAAGAATTCGAGCCGATTTCACTCACTGGCGGATCCGGTATCACTTCCGGTGTGTAGTGTCGTCAATGCCATCCTGAGCCAGACATGATGAGCCTCCGCAGTGTCATAGAGCATCACATATTACCTACCGAATACCTGGTATCTTCAAGTCGCTACATTCGTTAGCAAAATCTCCGTTGCAAATGTATGCTGAGGTATTGCTCTCGTGCAGGCATCGATTCCTTCCTTTTCCAGTTATGGGTCAAGGTTTAGGTTCCACAGCATTCGACGGAATCTATGTCCACCGGCAGCCCTATGACGAAATCCCATCACCAGTCTGCCTGTGCTCTAAATAGCCCTTGGAGACAAGTTCAAAACAAACTTTGGCAGGAAAGCGTGATAGTGGACCTGGCCGGCCCAGAGGGGCCATGCCACGTTGTTGCGGCCAACCACCCTCGTTGAAGATCCTTGGCCTCATTAACCTCTTCTAGCCGATGAAAATCCATGTTGAACATCGCTGTGCTGTGTAGGGTTATGCGAAAATCCCTGTCGGCATCCTGCGGTATTTCTCCAGTTCCCCCGTAGCCTTGTCTGGTTCGAGCTCAAGGTCGCAGGCTATTCACCCAGTCCGGTCGTGTTAGGCTGCCGTGAATTGACCAGGGTTCTACGTGACGATGCCAATCCTAATGCAGACTATCGTCTGTCGACGTATTGGGATGGTATTGAAGAACATCCGAGCTACCCTTGAACGGCTATAGCGGATGCCGGATTGGATTCGATGTGCTGTTCCTTGTTGGCTGCAAGTTCTTAAGACTGCGTCCTTTGATATCGACAGTTCCAGAGTGGCTTGTATCCGAGTTGAACAACACATACGAACGGCTTATGAGTTTCCAATCAGATTATTTCGAAATCGGCGGCAAAAGGAAATGGCGAGGGCGGTGAAAGGCTGATAGTGTTTAGTCCCTGCAAGAGCATGTAATTCGAAGCCTGTGATAGCCAAGTACATTCTGCAGTGCTCTTGAGATGCTGCACGTTTGCAGAAGGTTCATGCGGGGAATAAGTACAAGCAAACCAGAGACGATACAACCAACGGTGGTGCAACGGGAGGTTGATGCCAAACCCCGTGATTTTCAGTTCATGCCTGCCCTAGAACTATTGCGGTGTCTACAAGCGTATTAGGGTCTAAAGCGCGGACAAGCTGCCGTCCGTATTGGCTGTGTGGGACTTGCAAATAAAAAAACAGGCTTGACCCTCCCCCCCTTGAACACAGAGCAAAACAATCAAACATGCGTTGCAGCTGCCAGTATGTCCAGGGTCTCCAAGTCAAATTTAGTCCTGCATATTGCGTACAGAAAACACTATCGGCCAATTGTGAGTGATAGGCCAATAAGGGGGCGGAAAGGATGGGGGGATGGAGCTACTTGCCAGAATACGTCAAAGTATCCGTGTTCATGTGCAGTCGAGCATGTGGGGGAAAGTCCAGATTTATTTTTTCTTTCATGTCAATTTCCCCTCTGCCGACGTGGCAGCAATACATAGTCTGAAGTTTGATGTTGGGCGGGTGCGAGCACATCCTATGCAATCCAACCCAGGAGACAGCTTGCAAATATGCTCCACCAATCCTCGGTAGACACTATGGGTTTGTTGGGTAAAAAATATTAAATAAAAAATATGGAAACGGCAGAGAAGCAGCAGCTGCCAACGCATGTAGCGAGCCGTCCATGTAAGTTATTAACTCTAGATGTACCAACAATGCCGAAGAAAGTTCGAGGAGGACTATAAGTATTGACCAGACTTCCGCTCGCCAAGTGAGATCCGAGGAATCAAATCGAGAAGAGAATATCATACGAATATACTTGTACCGGTTATACATAATATTGGAAAACTAATTCCTATCTCGTCTGGCCTGACCCAAGGTAAGTCAATGTGTAAAATGACTCTTCTTTTTCCCCAAGACAGGCCAATTGTTTAAAGAACAAGAACATCAGACTACAGCGGCGGTCCAGTGGATATGTTTCGTTTGACTGGTGGCAATGTATTGGTTGTTACATCGGGACGATAGACTGACATCTTACTCGTAGATAACGTAGTGACCAAGTGCCAACTGTTGCTATGTGTTACTTCGACCAGACTCGATGGACGTGCGGCTATTGGCGGTGGGGGCACTTCAGACAACAATGTCCCAAGGAGTATCGTACAGGCGAAACATGCGGTCTCAAACTGATCATGTCTACACATGACGATCCGGACATCTGCAAAATCTGCAAGGATATAGAGAAGAAGCAACGAAAGTACAACAAGCTTGAGAGCGATGTATACCGATGGCAAAGAGAGGGGAACCGAAACGCGTCGATCGAGAAGGCTCAACGAGATATGACCGAGGTGTCGACTGCGATCTATACCATGCAGCAACAGCACTGGGACCGAACGCGGGCTATCGCTTGATACGTGTGTCGGCAATGGCGAAGAGCAAGGATGCGGTTATTTGTGTTGATGGTGTTCAAAGAGTCAGAGGATTAGTGTTTGACTATTGCGGAATCCAAGACAGAGAAGGGGGTGAAAGATTCAAAAGAAAAAAAAAAGAGAAAGGGAAGAAATAAACCCTTCCCCCCTCCCCCAAATACGGCTGAAGCCTATAAGCCCCTGAAATGGGTGGTATCATGTTAGGTATTCGTTTGTCGGCGTTCTTTTCGGTTATGATAATCGGGCTTTGTGCAATATATCGTACAGATTGTTGCTCCAGAGATATTGCGTTGCAGTGCCTGCTGGTTGACCAAACTCGAGCGTTTAACTACTATGGGAGAACCCTCCATCTCTTGCTGAGCAATTGTCGAAGTGGAACGATCCTGTCTGGTTAGCACCTCAGAGCCCACAGTAGTGTATCCCACCATGAAGCCCATGCATGGCGAGCGACCGCTGAAGACGATCCGAGTACAGCACGGAGGCGTATAGGGGCTGTGGAAGAAGGCAGACTGCTAGGAAACAGAGCAGGTTGCGGCGGCAGTTGAGTGCCCACAGTGAAGCGACTAGATGTTTTTGAGGAAGCTGGAAAGGCGAATTCGAAAGAGGGACAGCGATCTGATTTTGGATAGTGCGTACAGATAGTCAGGTGGTGCTTGTGCTTTTCGGTGATGCCGCTAATCGCATAGTACTCCATACCCACAGGAGTGGGACGGCCGGCAGGGTAGCGGCGAGGGTGAGAAATGGATCAGGTAAAAAGGGCCGGCCCGCACAACCATGTGAATGGTCGAAATGCTAGACGCACAAGCCACTGCGCAGCTCTAGCTGTCATGTTCGTATTTTTGCATTTTGCGTTTCTTCTTCAGTGGAGGAATCAGCACCGCTAGTACGGAAATGCCATCAGGTCTGGCGTTTTTAAGGTTTCAGACGGTGCAGAATTCGCAGTAATGGCTGGAGCGAGCATGGAGAGAAATAACGCTCCCAAAAATTAGCATTACGGGCAAGGAAAACCTGTCGGACTATGGGCCTATCTTATACAACTCCACCTTCTTACAGAAAGTCGATGGGCACGTGGCTATGACTCTATGGGCCTTTACATAGACCGAAATGTCAGCACGTCTTTTGATTGGCCATGGAAACCAGAGTCAGTTGAGCATAGCCCAATAGCACATCATGCTGACTTGGACTTGTGTGTCGCACAAACGCGAAATGACTAGTAGGGGGCACATTTCCAGATCTGAAGACCTCGCAAACGAGCCCTGCTTCCGCATTCGAACCTCGTTGGAATCCTTGTTGGGCGCCCGGATATCGCCGCCGAGATTGAATTCCACGCGGACAGCACCATGGCAGTGTCGAATCAGAAGCCTAATTCTCCTGAAGTTCACCTCCCGGCGGAGTTCTCACCGCTGCATGATGATTGAACTCAATGACATCATGTCATCCCAGACCGATTTTCAATCCATCACAATCCCGCTCTCACACTAGGCTACGGCTGTTGCGTCTGCAAAAGTGCCCACAAGAGGCTCACCTGCACCCTCCTTGACACTCGGCGGACCTGTAGGCGTGTCCATTGTGTCATCGTCGCTCAGCCAGTCCACATGGCCTGTGGACTTGTCGTCGTCGTCGTCGGCCGAGAGTTTTGACAGAATCGCCTGGTACCGGGAGAGGCGGACATCTTGACTGTCAACAGCGGCAGGGTAGGCCTGCTGTGGTTCTTGAGGTGCGATCTCGAAGATATCAACCAGATTGCTTCCCAACGTTAGCGAAAAGAAAGGGCCTCGATCACATCGTGTTAAATGTAGCATGGATACCTACTTGGATGTTTTCGCAACAACCTTTTGAAGAGCCTCGGTTTCACGTTGTGACTCTTGAGGGTCTGCCTGTGCATTCATGTTCTGGTCGCCAAAGCTTCCATATTGGGAGTTGTTTGGATCGTCGAGAAGGAGTCGGGATTCATCGTCCTGCGCAAGCTCATCAGCAAAGCCTGGTAAAGAACTGAAAAGCCAAAATCAACTGAGCATTACCTCTTCGTAGGAGTCGTCCCGCCCTCTACCTAGACAGGATGCGCATACACCCATCTTGGATTTGGCCTGTCACCGTATGTACTTTAAATGTTGCTGGGGGAAATGAGTATTGGAAGAAATGGAAGACTGCGGAGCGCGGAGCCAGAAGGGTCCCAGGCCGGAACCTATGAAACGGAAACCATAAGGATTGTGTAATCTCCCTATTTAATCGGCAGGAGTTGGATATGCACACAGCACGCAAGAGTATTGAGTGCGACAAGCGTCAGGCAAATTTAGTGTTGATTGAAGTACTCGGTACAGTCCTTATACGTCAATTTCGCGACGGGCTTTGAGCTTCAACTCTACCGCAACTGAGCTTATCTTATCTTATCGAAATTGGAATGCAACTGTGGGGAAGATAGATGATCCAATCCCGAGATGACCCACCGGTGCCGTTGCGACGGGAACTTGTTCCTGACACTGAACCAGGGCAAAGCCAGGGAGACCCTACAACGCTGCATGTCATTCTTGAAGGTCTAACCTAGTTCCCGTTATTTTCGAAATGTTCTCGAAGCCTTTTGCATACAAGTACTCAGGAGGCCACGTGACTACCTGCAACGGCACAGCAGACCTGATGTCTGTCGGAACCAACACAATGACTGCCTTGCCATTCTATAGGAGAGCCAACAGGGTGCAAACAATGTTGCACTTCCTATGATGAGCCCCAGACCTTATACGTGTGTTCTTCTGTGCCTTTCCAAACCGTGCCTCACCGTCCGTCCTACACAACATCCGAGACTGGTGGATCTCCAGTAGCCAACCATATGGACTGAGGCATTTCGCCGTTTGTATCCCATATGAAGCCGTTTGCTATGGCCATCTTGCATGTTTTCGCATTTTCACATTTTCTATCTGGATCTCGGGCTTTGATAGTTTCTAAATATCATTTACAGCGCAACTATTCCGCCACTTGTGTAATGCTATCCTCGGAGTGACCAATACGAGTAATGATGCATGCTTCGATATGGTGCCACGCATAGGCTACAGCACAGTCGATGCTCTCAAGTGGAATCAGCCAATTGAAAGCGTCAGGAAACGCTTCCAGAACGATCCCAATGTCAAACTATATCTGTACTACATCGAGTTGGAAACTGGTGAGCATCCGATGCTTCCATTTGATGGTCATCATTTCCTCCGCTCCGGCTCCAAGATCTCTGGTTTAAACGGTATTGAGACCAAGGCTGCCTACTACGTTCGCACCGTCATTCGTATTACCAACGCTACATTTCGCTGGCGTATTCTCGAACAGCCAGACTCACTTAATCAATACAGATTTTATTATTGGCGTGAGGTTCACGACTCCATTCGTTCTTTTCCTCGCGTACGTATTCTTCATCTTTCTCTAACACTGAGTCCAAGCTAGACAGAAGTACAGGGTATTGGTTTACCTAAAACACTCAAGCCCAGCAATGAGGCTTGGGGAAGTCGCGCCGATATAACACATTGTTCGCAGTGCTAGACCTTCCTGGCAAAGACAGAGGGCTGGTGGCCAGGTGTAACATCAGAGGAGGAACACGAATATTCTACGAGAAGCCACTCTTCACTGTCAAGGGCACGACCCCCGAGATAATGAATCGTGAAGTTGCGTCTGAGCTCAAATCTCCCTCAAGGGGAAAAATAGAGGCAGGTCCTCTTTATACATAATAACCTCCCCAGCCCTCTTGCTTTTGTGGGAATACTCTAAACCGACGCGCTGCCTTGCGGACTCAATGCCCCCATCAGTGAAATCTACTCAGAAGTTTGTCTTGTAAGCCATAGCTGCGTGGCGAATTGTGGCCACTCATGGAACGCATGTATTCAATCAGATACACTTCATGCCACCAGAGATATCTCGGCCTCACCATCTGTTATGAGACACGTGAAGCGACCTAAGTACGCCAGGCATATCTCAAGACTTACTTTGAGTTCGAGAGCTCTGCTCTATAGCGCCCGGGCAGGTGGTTTCGCTGAAAAAGCGTACGCGATCTATAAAAAACCCTCCACTCCATCTATCCCTTGAGAGTCAACGCCTGGAAATCGAAATGTCGCGATGGAAGGGATTGTAATGGTATTCTCTTGAAGCATGATTTAGCCTCTTTTCTGATTTGTCGGGCCCGTACGGACTCTTCTCTACATGTATAATAGAACTGCTAGCCGTGCCTTTTTCCCCCTGGCAGCACGCGCAGGCTGCTATCGCAACCACCGCAGTGGCGTTAAGCAAACAAACAAACGAACAAACAATCCATCCTTTGAGCTATTTTCTACAAAGTGGAGGACTTCTAGGACTTTGCAGCCGAAGGAACTCGGCGCTGATGAGTGCGAGAAGTCGCTTTGCCGTGAGAGGCTGTAGTGCCAATCGATACTGCAGAAACAAGGCCGAGGACGTCCATGTAAAGACTTTCCATCATGCTGGGCAAAGTTTCGGGAAGAGAATGCATAATAATAGGCTGGTGGATCTTTTGAGGCTTAACAACGTCCTGCGATCGCCGAAGTGCAGTTTCACTAAACATTAGTAGGTTAAGACCGAGCAGCTTCGACGATCAAGGTACAGTGCTGTGCAATAAAAATGATACATAATTTTGACGTCTGCGCTTCATATGACGTTATGCATTGCTTGGACTTAAGTATTATATTAGTGCCACCAGTGGCCAAGAGATCAATGACAAAAACTATCTCGCCAACGCCGGGAGCCACAAGTTCACTTGCAGTCCTTCTATTGCCTTGCAGTAGCTATGCATCCACCGCGGGATTTCATGAGGCGGGTACCTGAATCTGGTACGATGACGTGCGGCTGGTTGGGAGATTCAGAGGGGGCTTGTGTAATGCTGAAGACACCAAATGTATCCACTCATCCCAACAGCTTTGTAGCACAAGGTATGAGATCCTGCGGGACCGCGTGCATCTTGGTTAAAAGACCAGATAACACATATTCTTACTACAAGGCTCCAATTTTCCAAGATAACAGTACAAAACCGTTAAGGGAAGCATGCCCGGACATACTCTTTCCATCACTAGCGCACCTTCCACAGTGAGCGACCTGTCCCGTGCCTTTCATCGTAGAAGTTTGGTTGTTGCTCGGCATAATGGCACTTGCCATGTAGCTGTAATTGTTGTGATTCACAAGTAATTCTCTGGACCGTTTGTGTTCCACTGCTTCAACAAACAAGTACGAATGAGAAAGTGAATAGCTCACGTTATTCAAACATCACACAAGTACAACCGAGAGCCACCAAAAAGTTATATCTAATGGCCAAAAGCCTCGATTGTCTTGAAAATATTCTTTCCCTCTTTGTGCCAAAAGTATTTCTCCTCTTCATCATAACACATTAGTCACTCGTTCAAATGGCACTCCTCACCATTTTCTTTCTCATGGCTCTGCTGCCTTCCCTCATCGCCGCAGAAGCTGTTACCACCCTCAGCGTTACTTTAACTGTAACCAGCAAAATCTTTGAGACGATTGTGATCACTACACGGACAGAGTCAGCTATTCCACCAGCTATTTGGACCACCAAGATCATCGGGCCAACAGACGACTTTGTGCGCACCACGATCTACAATTCAGTCACACGAACGATCACGCGCGCGACATCTACCTGCACAGTTTCTTGTCTCCCTGTTGAAACAACCCTAGCCACTTTCGAGCCCGACACAAACGGTTCATGTTTGTCTCCTTCTACCTCGAAACGGCTGGTAACGACTGTGATCACGAGTATCTACACCGTTTGGGAGACCCAATGCGGCTTTGCCATATCAGCTGTCTCTAGCGCTACCACATCAAGCTCTTTCCCGAAATATTCGTGTGACCCACTGGTGAACTGGTCCTGCATGGGTGGTTTGTTCACTTATCCAACTGCTACATATACATTCTCCCATGATACTACCTCAACAGCAGTGCTGTTCGAAACGACCACTTCCAGTATCTTACCTTGCGAGGACACGACCTACTTTACTCTGTCTCTGCCAACGAGCTCCTCCTCTATCAAGTCAAATCATTCCAACTCGCCGCAGACTCATTCAAGCAGCACTAGCAGCAGCTCAATTAGTTTCCATACTACTGCTTACTCAACTGGGGGTGAATATCCCACAGCAAGCCATACTTCTCCTCCAGTCACAGCTGGCTCTATGATGTTGGCACCAATGGTAGGTAGCAAGGTCCTTATAGGATTGTTGGCGCCAGTTGTTGCGGTGATAATAGGTTTCGATTGATTCAGCACCGATGAGTCAAGGAGAGTACCTGGGAACTCGGGGAGAAATTTTTGTGATGCTCTATTCTTTAATTCGCGTAGTTAATACATCATGATCAGCGGGCATTTCATGAAACGTCAACTGTTGTGGTGGGCACATCCAGCCTTGTTTGGTAGCCAAACTCTGCAATTGTCATACCGTGAGCTGGGAGCTGAATATGTAGATTGAGACTCCGTATTATCGCTGAAAATCGTGACGTATGAGGTTGATCTATGGTCAGGAGGAGGCGAAGTGGGTTGGTACGGACATGAAAAAAATACACCATTATCACGCTTACAGATCGGTTCGTTTCGGCGGAGCCGAGTGCCAAGAAGTTTGTCTCAGTTTATTTGTTTGCTCAAATGCCGACAATTAGTTTAGATATCGACCTAATCTACACAAGCAACTTCTAAAATGAAAAGCCAGCACAAAATAATACACATTGGATCTTCCTGGAGAAATGAACACTGCAATGGGCCCATCCAATCAGGTCCTTCTCCTGATCGAAGAGAATGATCATAAGAGCGCCATAGACAGCAGAGGGCCCCTTGCCGAAATGCGAAAGAGGTATGTCATTCCAGGCAACTTCTTCTTAGTGTTCTATGACATGTCAGCGAACCTTTGGCTTGGAGAATCAACGGTTCCTGAATCTGATCGCCACAAAAGAAGGCGCTCAGTACTCCACTCTCCACACACCTCATGTTGTTCAGCCGTTTTTGTCAAAGGGGTTTAAGGACTTGTACTAATTAGTGTTTCAAGTCTCCCGGAAGTTATGGGAGTAGATGTGTACTATAAAGAAGTCATTCACATGCGGCTTACGAGCTTATAGCATTCTTGCTTGGGAGGAAAATATGGATATGGCATATGTAGGTATGCTTAACTTAATGCGGATCTTGGACCCTTCGTATCGTCCGAGAATATTTCAAAGATAATATGGATTTCGGCGGATGATAGCAACTTTGTTGCTATATTGGTGTTGAATAAATATAATCGGTCCCTTCCACACTCTAAAATGGATGAAAGAAATAACGCCATTGAATGAGACTTATGTTCGCTAGACTATACGCGCACGATACTGGTCCCTTTCGGAAGGGGCTCTCACTCATGAAAACTTTGACCATTTTAAAGTGAAGTCAAATTGTCAGACAGGCCGTTCTGCCATGAAAAAGCCCATTCCTATCATCGAAGGCCGCAACATCCTTATACCAAATGGATATCGTGTGTTTCCAGAAACATTGTATCTATCACCAGTGGAAAGACTGCAGATACTGTCCCGGACTGCTGGGATGAACTACAGCCTAATACTGTTGGTAACCGGATTCTAAAGAATATTAAGCGTCCAACAGTACCAACAACGAATGAGAGAATGCCAATATAACCTAAATTCTGTGGAGGCAGGGGATCAGGCGCAATTGGTGAAGTTGGAGAATCTCAGGCTTTCTTAATTCAGTGTTGGGTGCCCGGAAACTTCTATAGCGGAAGCATCGAACTTTCGCAACTTCGGGGGATTGGCTCAAACTACAGGAATAAGTTCATCATTGAGACCAGTTCGCGCATAGGTATGGGTGAAACCCCGGCACCACCAGCATTGGTACCTTGAGAAGAATATTGATCAGGTTCATTGATAATTACAACAAAGCGGGTAGAAGAAAAATGTGGAAAGTCTGGGCTCTCTGTACGGGTGTCGAATTGAGGTGAATATCAACTGTCTCTTTGCGCGTTTCCTGAATACTTACAGATTCAAATCTAGCTTGATCAGGGGCGATAGGCACTCATGCACATACGCTTTTCCGCTGAGCCCGAACATGTTCAAGAGGTAAGCTATAAGGTTGGACTATTGATATCTTTTTGTCTGCTGGTACCCTCAGTTGGAATGTACAAGGGCATATTATAACGTACATCTCTAATACCAGGCGATGACCTTTGAATAGTGGTTCTGATGTTCTTTTCTGCGAATTCCTAGCGCTGGGGTTGACAAAGTCAAAACATAGATTCTTGCTAGTATGAAAGGAGAAACAGAACCTTGAAAGGTTTTTACCACCAACACTGCACCCTTGAGGGAGCAGCAATATCGATTGAAGAGACAAAGTATATCAAGAGCAAAAGTTGTTCGTATTGCACATTGGTGTCAAAAATAGTGTCAAATTCTAGAATAGTCGAATAATGCGCTAGGTCAAACCAGTGAGATGACGTGCGCTGTTTTCATGCTCATATATTGTCGATGCAAGAGGCTGGTAGCGGTTGTAGCACCATAGTGAGATGCGAGCAGAGGAGCCCCTGCCTCGGGTTGCTTTGCTAAATCCACCAAAGGTTAGCTACTTCAGCAGTAGCGACATCGATCGACAGTTGTTACTGTCTAATTTAAGCATCCAAAGCCAATTTAGATCTTGCTTGCACATTATTGAGGTCCAGACCTTCAACTTCGTCAAAACTACCCACGCATCCACACGATACAGCCAACATCACACGATCATAATCACAATCCATTGAGGCCGCCGCTTTCAATCAAAGCCAGCCATATATCGCCAGTAAACTGGGTCTATCAACTCTAGTATGTATTCTCGCTGTTTAAAACATCTTCTTTAATCCAACACAGCCTGTTGAGCAAAACCCTGGAATGTGATCCAGACTGACCTGAGATGCTAGGTCCCTGCTTCTATCAATTGAACTTCAGAGTCTCAATTTCATTCTATGGTCAAGATAAAGGTATGCCATCGGCACGCCGACAAAAATATAACCATCATCGCTCATGTCGTTCCGAGCTCTTTTTAGTCGCCATTTGGCCCATGATGACCTCGGTCGCGCTTGGCATGCCAACCAGCAGTGGCAAGGCATATGCCAACAAAAATAACCTCTCCGAGTCTCCTCCCCACCAAAGTCTCAGAACTATTACTAGAGACATCGTCATGCAAGAGGATGGTCCTTTTGCTCTTTCTCCAGATGTCTCCACGATTCTGTTCCAAGCCACCGGAACTGAGAAGGAATGCATCCTCGACTGCAAGAATAACTTCCACAAAAGTTTCGTTTGTTGGCAAGTGTGATATCTTTTAATCTCAATTACTTGATTTGTGTGTATATATCGTCTTCAGGGGCTTGCCGTCGCTTCCGTTCCAGGTCGTGCCTAAAGACCAAGATTAACAAACTATGATACAGGCACTACAACAATACTAGATATAATGGCTGTGGCCTCAAATCCGATGTCCCAACCTGTTCAGATTCATCCACTTGCCGTGATGGTAGTATACTCAAGAATGGTAGCACTGCCAAATCTGTGACCTTGTTCGGCCTTGGGGAATTCGCCGATCTAACCATTACCAGCATCACTGCTCTCAAAACTTCCTTCGTCGATACTACCGAGCGTGACACTGCCGATGACCAGTCTCCTTATTTTTTCTATTGTGGTAGTAAAAAAACGACGAAGGACTGTGCCATCCCCGGGACTTCCTGTTCGAGCACCGGTCTGCTCAGCGACAGTGATGCTTGTCGCGAGATATATCACTGCCTTGAATCGACCTACGGCCCACCTGGCCATTATCATGGTGTTTCCAACATAAGGAGCAGTTTCTATCCCTTCGCCTGTAATGATCAACAGCTGACAGATAATTGTGCCAGTCGTGGTAGTGGTTGTTCTTCGGAAGGCATCGAAAGTACCAGTGAGATTTGCCGCGAGAAATCCTACTGTCGCAACTGGAACGTTCGAAATTCGACCCTCACCACGGTTATCTATGAGCGCGAGTCAGACTCTACAGCTCAGTGGCATCACTTCTCCTGTGGTAGTGATGAGCTCGCAAAGCTTGCGCCAACCAGAATACAGTCTGCACAACTGAAGGTATCCAGAGCGATGGCGAAATTTGCCGCGAGCATTGTATCTGTTTGGGTATTACTCTCAGTAAAAGTCAAGTCCATGACAATCGAGAGGCTGATGCAGTTGCTGTATAGCGTGGCAGCAGCAGCAAATTAAGACCTGCATAGACCAAGTTCTCAGCTATTTAACGGGCGAGCGATAGATTAAGGGCCTTAAGATAGAATTGGGCCTGAAATCTGAGAAGCATAAATATTGAGGTAGACAGACAGAAATCATGCTTGAACCAGCACTTTGCATCATTGATGTGTTTCTTACTAGATGGTATCACAAAATGACGAGTCAAGCTCTAATTCAGGATTGCCCCACGCTTAATTTCACAAGAAGCTTGCTTGTATGTGGAGGTATACTGTTCAAGTAGCTAGCCACGCGTTCTATTTCAATCTAGCGTGGTGATTCTGAAATGCCCTAATAACGCCTAGAAACTCTCTACCGCTTGTGAATGTAACATCAGCCGTAAGGATTGCAAATGCTACGCCATTTGAATGCAAATTATTTCTGTGTCGTTTCCCACATGGTACATGTAGACCAGACTCTTCTCTTTTAACCAAGCCGAATGCTTTTGCGTAAAATACACCGCAAATACCCCAGAGAGTGACATAATGTGTATGGGGATGTTATACCTTCTGTTCTCGCCGGAGACTTCAATATGACAAGTGATGACGGCCGGTCAGATGAGACAGACCTCCGCACCTAAACACCACACTCTATCAACTTGGCCCAGTAACTTGAAGTGTTGACCACCAGAGCGTCGACCTTTCGCTCGGTGCGGGCAACCTCAGACAGAAGGGTTGCACCGCGGCAACGAAACCGGTGCCTTGCTCACCGCTGGCTGTGATTAACTCTACAAAGCAAATGATAAACGGGTTATCGATGTGTGAGATGAGTTTTGCGAACGGGATGGCGTGTTGCCCAACCTCTTCTAGATTTTCCCGTGCCCATTCTTGATCCGCCCGGTCTAGTCTGTACAATTGGTATATATAGAATTGACCCAGAACCTCGATGTTCTCAAATGTCCTGACTGAGCTGTTCTTGAAGCCCACGTAACGTGAGACCGCCAGACATCGCCCATGACCTCTGACGTTCCAGGACGAAGCCGTCATGGCGCACGATGATCAGGCGAGGAGCTACACCTAGTCACCAAGATGAGGTAGAAGTGGTTACCTCGTGTTATGAGGCCACTAGAAGTCACGACATTGATTCCCAGGAATTGGTGTCCTGATAGCATAATAACTACAGTGGCTGTTAGAACCGATAGCCAGAGGACGCCCCCTGAAGGGACGGGAGCAGGAATGCGTCCATGATGAAGAGGGTCGGAGGCTTTGTAGAAGCTGCGTCTACAATTCGAACTGATCAACTCACATGCTCCAAGCTCTGGAACTTATTTATTACTGTTTCACCGAGAACTATTAAGATGTAGAACATGTACGATTTGTTACCACTTCATGTCAGTACAAGCGAACCCTGACGGGCCATTTTAGTGCAGCTGCCACTAAAAACAAGGTAAGCCCCCTGGCAAAGCTGCGAGCTCGATGCCCTGGCAGTTCCTTTTCCTGGAGCTCTCTGCGGCAGCACGGCAGATTGGGAGGCACAGTTTTTGAGCTTACAAACTGGGTTTTAATTTTTAATTTTAATTCTGCTCCATGCGACACTCTAGCCAAGAGAGATCGTGAGGACGATCAACAGTTTCAGAAGATGTGGCAAATGATTGGCATTGAGCTGTAAACTACGTGGACTCCACTACCAATGAACACAACGTGATGACCAGTACTCCATATCAAGCCCCGGCCCATGATTTGATTCATGAATCAATCTATACAGTATGCATGAATGTAGGCGCCGTAAGATAGCTGCATTTCAGCCACCATCATTGCCTCCAAAAAGCACCTCAACTCCATTAGTCGAAATCGCATTGCCAAACGACAAATGCGTCAGAAAAGTAAGTTGCGGATCATCTCCACCTTGTCAGAAGTAAGCACAAGATCGCCCCTGGGTGCTGGGATGCCGCCGCCGAAGTAGTGATGCAACTCGAGAGCTGTGACATTGGGGACGACCCAGACGTCCTGGTCCTTGATCGCGCTCCCGAAGAAGACGTCCCTCATCATGACCTTGACGGAGTTACAGTCGCACGATGTTGTGGAAGAGGCGGCTTGAGAGGGTGAGCCTTGGCTAGTCATGTGTCCGGCTGTGCCATACCCCGTAAAGGCCTTGTACGGCGTTGCAGTAGACAAGCCCAAAGGGCCAAATCCATGGTTCTTGCCATGATTGGCCCGCATTTGGTTGACCGGTGTGAAGGCGGTGGTGAGCATCTGCGTGCCGCTGGCGGATCCATTATTTGGATACTGGACGGGAGGTGCAGGGGACTGGCTTCGAGAGAAAGTAGGCTGCATGGGAGGGAAAGGTTTGTGGTGCATCTCGTTTCTCTCCCTGAGCTTGGAATTGCGTCGGACAGCAGCCATCAGTCTCTTGTCAGACGAGCTTGGTGCATTCTTGTGCGGAGTCTTGTCGTCCTTCTTGACCTTCGGGGGACGGCCTCGCTTGCGCGGTGGTGTGCTGGTGTCGAGAGGACTGCTATTGCCCAAGGTGGCATCCGTGACATCCGGCAGCGGGTTCTTGCGCGGCCGACCACGCTTCTTCCGACATGAGCTCAAAACAGCTGGTGCCGGCAGTGGTCGAGCTGGAGTAACCTTAGTAGGCGACATCTCCATGCTGAGACTGTCGGATCTGATCTGGACCAAATCTATCGCGACTGTTTGGGTTGAAGGCTGGGCGTTGTCTTGCTTAGGGTCGGCGTTAATGACGTCGACTGCTCCAGGAAAGCTGACTACTAGATGGTCGTTAGCGATCATATGATATTGCATCATGCTAATTTTTGAGAAGAACATAGTTCGATGTGCCATAGTGGTGACTTACTCTTCGAGTTATCATTGTTGACTGTTCCTTCCTTAGCATAGCTCGTCTTAGCAGGGGCCTCCGAGTGTACCTGTGCTAAAGGATCCCGGTTCCCGATCAAATCGGACTCACCTGCTGTAGTCTCTTCGGATACCATGGTGCAGACTTCTGTGTTTTTAGCAGAATGAGGTTTGTGGTGGGGTTGTGAGAAAAATGGTGATGAGTGCTGGATTTAAGTCGAAGACGTTCTTGTTGTGTGTGAATTAGCTGCCCAACCAACTGAATAACTGCTTTGATTCATTGCCGGGTGTGGTTACTCGATCACTCAATGTATGAATTTTAAGCACTGATTCGATAAATTTCATATTAACAATTAATAATTAGTAGTTTATATGATCCGTAGCGGACTAGCAACATAATGAAACCCTAATCCAGGTGCAATGCTTGCAATGATACGAATAGCGGTGGTGCTTCATAGTCTCCGAGTTGAGGTTGAGTCGTATGGGGCAATAACAAACGCATCTCAAGGACAGTCTTGTCAGCCAGGAAGGCGACTACCTGTACGTAATATTGTTGGGGGACAATATTAAGCTGGACATGCCAATTTCTTGCCCCCAGGAGACATTTTTCATGGTGTGTCTGATGTTTACTACTTTGCTGCGTTCCCACTGCTGTGTTTCTGGCCAATTCAACTGAACCATGGTGTTGTTGACACTATCACGTTTCGGCCCAACACCGTACTGTTGGTTGCCAACGTCCAGGATATTAACACATCTGCCAGATTCCCAGTACATCGCAACATGCAAATGTGCGGATAGTCGCCTCTCATGGACGCTTGTGTAATTGCCTGAAGAAAACAGACACGTTACGCCATAAGCTAGGAGTGTTGCGTGTTGACTGTCCATTCCCTAATGGCAGATGTTCCATGACCCAGCGGACTTCCGCTGCTACCACATCTGGCCTCTGTTGGACAACTCCATGTCCACAATCCGGCAGGTGGACATAGCGATAGTTCAGAGATAGCGCCAATTGCGCTTTCTTCAACCGTTCGTCTTCCTTGTCTGTAGCATCGAGCAATTGTTTCTGCGCCTTCAGACTCGGATTGTCGGCATCGCTGCCAGCCGCAGCAATTGCGTTCTCATAATGCTTCCATGTACCGATCAACGTGTTGCCTCGAATGACGACGAGTGGCTTGTTTCCCAGAATCTGCTTCTTGTACTGCCGTTTTTCGACCTTGGGGTCTAGTGCAGTTTCTTGCCCGGTCTCTACGAGTACCATACCAGCTACATCATCCGGCCGCTGCTGCAGAAATTCTCGCGCAAAGGTGCCACCATAAGAGTGCGCAATAAGAACATAAGGCGGCGGCAATTGAGCCTCCCTGAGATGCTCCAGCATTTTATGCACGGATGAGTTGGGCTTTAGATTTTCATCTCCTCGGTCCCAGACGAGAATGCGGTATGCGCCGCTCAGGGACTGTGTTAGAGCGCCCCAAGACGCACAGGAATCACCCGACCCATGGAAACATATGATCAACGGGTATGTACTTGCTGAGTCACCCAAGAGGGTGGCGCCGCCGTAAAGGTCTTTCATTGGGTACCTAAATCAGATACAGTTTTCATACAGTTTGGATTCGCCAATGAGGATCAAGGTTGCTAAAGAGTGCCAAGATTGAGAACTAATATGTAAGTTTGGCAGAAGATAAAGAGATCGTTCGCATCTATAGCGGGGGGCTTAATGTGCCGGAATCTCGGTGCCTAGTTTAGTTAACGTTAGGTAATAGTACTCTAGACTAGCCTAGACTAACGTAGTCTAAGGTTAGGTTAACTAGGTCAGGCAGATCATGTATGTAGCGCCTGGCCGCATTCACAACAGATGCAAGCCGATCATCCCACATGGAACTACACAGGAAAACCACAAGGTTTTTTATTTATTAAATTCTTTTTTTACAACATTTGTTTCAGGGACTCTATTCCACTCTTCATCCATTTATTCTCTGTCCGTACTCTGTCTAGCGTCTAACTAGATGATTTAGCGGTGTTTGCCAGGCTGCTCATTGTTCAACCGTGACGAACAAAGTCTCTTCCCATATCGGATCGTGGCTCAGCTTGTTTGCACCCTGTGTAACCTCAAACACCTCCAAAAGGGCCAGTTGGGACAACCAGCGTGTATGCATTCTCTGTACCCTCAAGTAGTTCCCAAAGATTCTGAAAGGGTACGCTGATGATGCTTAGTAACTCGTCTGGAGTCTTTGATAGGAGAGCGCTGATGTTATGCTCCGCCATCGCTGATTGTGTTTTGTTTTGAGTTGGCGGCTGATTCACCAAGCCATGTCGTAGCAAGCAAATGAGGTTGGCCGGGTTTCTATTCAAGCGTAGAGCAAACTCTACTAGGTTTCCGTCCTCGACCTTGTCGACAGTCTCGGTAATGCCACTTCTAATTTCAAGGAGAAGTTTAAGGACCGCGGTGTTGTCTGTTGGGTGCTTTTCATTGCCTCTAATGGCAGCGCGCAGAGTCAGGTTGAGGAGACTGAGAAGTTTAGACGGGTCTGTCTCCCTCTCTATAACCTTGGGCCATAACACCCTGACAACCTCCTCCATCCGAAGTTCAGCTGCACACCTGAACTTGGCATACAGATCTTCGCCGAATTCGTAGCCACTTTGGATGATCTGAAGAGCTATAATAGTGAACATATCCCTATCCAGATATTCACTTATCTTGGAACCGGAACAAAGCATGGCAACCTCTAGGGCGTCCTTGGGCGGGTATCTGAGCCCTGGGTACTCTATTTTACTATAATGCCAATTGTGATCCGTCCGCATGCTCCTTTGACAAAGCCACGATCCTGTGTACCGTCGATTAGGATTCGCGCCCTTTTCGAGCATATGCTGAACTATCTCCGGACTAGCCTTCTCTACAGCATAGTTCAACAACGGCTGAAGCCAGTGAAGTTCATGATGCATTTCATAATCGCCGTACCCCATAATGGTTGGGTGAAGCTGTGACCAGGCACGAAGGATGATCTTCGTCACTCCAACGTAATTCTTATGCATGGCATAGTAGATAGATACGTTATGCCTCATGTAGGCGGGATCTTCTAATGGATCCGCCAGGTAAAGTCCCTCATCTGAGTCTCCCGTGTCTTTGTCATCGATTAGAATCTCCTTAAGCCCTCCATATTTCCCAATCAGATTTTGCAGCTCAATCTTGAAGAACTCGATGTAGTACGTTAAGAAGTCAGCTGGCATGGGATTCATATTGATTCTAGGGTCAGCGTGCAGACCCTCGATGACCTGTGCTACGGTCGCCATGTCGGGCGTGACGAGCTGGCTAGATTGATCTTGCCAGGATTGATCTTGCCAGAATGAACCTTGCCATGTTGAGTAACTCATTGTGTTAACAAGTCAAAATTGATTTGCTTAGCAGTGATTTGTGAAATAGATGGTAGTATTGTTGTTTGTAAATGTTTTGAAAGGTTGATGATTCAAACTTCAATTATGGGACCTATAGAGGTACATGTACTCCGAAAAGCCGATACCATAATGTAATTTATATTTCTGGATGCCATACAACGTTAATTGTTCAATTCTGTCGTTCCCAATCGGGTCAAATTAGGTGTATAGAACGAATCCTTGTTTCTCAATCTTTCTAGTATCGCAGAACCCAATTAATGGACTGTTTGAGAACGGAGACAATGTGCAGGATACGGAAACAATGAAACCACAGTGTCACTTCAATAGTACAGTGATCTGCTGCTTGACACGGCGTGCTTGCGAGGGCTTATGACAAAGAAACAATACTACAAAGCAGTAATATGCAAAAACATCGTGGATTTTTCGGTGCATGGAGACATGTAACATCGTTCAACCAAACAGTACCCCCGAGAGATACAGCACATTTTCCAATTGATCCTTAGCTACGCTTATTTCTTCGTCACACAAGTTCAATGTATTCTTACGTTTGAAGAGCTAAAATCTGTTGCAATCCTTCCATCCTAGAGTTAGTTACAAGTCGTCTAAAACTACTTGTACTCGGTGCACTGTTTCACGACCATCGCTGTCTCTGAAATTGCTTGTGGTATTTGTTCAAGCACTAAGTTTGGCAGGGTACCAACTGTGGTCAGCAGAGTTTTGTCAAGCCTGAGGCCTCGTGGGAAATCATGGTGCTGTTCGGGTTTCTTCAGACTCCGTGAATGGCCTGAATGGAACCCTATACCGATAGACCGATTCGTTAATGGCCTATCGATCTCACTATTGGTTCTTTAGTAAGACGTCTGAGAACTGACGGATTTACCATTAATGATCTCGGCAAAATTTTCTTATCATTCCGTTCTCCCTACCGAACTGTGAAAGCTTGCTACTCCCTTATAGAAGCTCCCTGATATCCGAGGAATGCGGAAAAAAGATTTCAGAGCAACCCTAACGGATAGAGCGATATTAAAGACACCGACTCAATCGACTCCGTAGTAGTGTTCCATATTCGGAGGGACAGTATCCATTGCCTGGATGCGACAGAAAAGCTAGACCTCATCCGTCCATGATGAATCACGGGAACTGATCGAGAAGAGAGTTTAGAGATAAAGTGGTCCGGGCTTATCTTAATTCATATCCAGCCTTATAAAGACTAGTCAGATGAGGGGCACGACAGCCACGATGGTAGTGTAACATATTACGATGCCGCATAGAGTGCGGCCTGTTGATAATAGCTTATTGGACGAAGGAAGAGCAGAACCACCCCCTTTAGCCTCTGCAACGTCTCCAAATTAGGTATTGCCATCCAGTTGTATTTGTATCCATCAATGCAGATCGGTACTGGAATAAGTAATATAGATGAACCTGTATCCGCTGTGTATTCAAAACCGCGTAGCTATTATCTCTCCAAGGTTCTTTGGCCACATCATCGCCTATCGAATCATCTTTGATGGATAGGCTACTATTCATAGGACGTTGGGGCAGAGTCCTGTGTCTTCAGCGTCCCAACATGACTAAGATGTGTCTGGTTGCGGTTATGGTCTTAGAGGCTTTCCAGCTTGAGCATACATCCAACCGTCTACTTCGGACACTTTGGCACGTTCTTAAGGATAGGGGCAAGTTAATGTGCCCCCGCAATACCTTGACCTACCATGAAAGCCTGGAAACTAAAGCCGCCATGTTTAATAAACAATGCCTCCAGTCCATTGTGATCAGCGTATTTCTTGCTTTATACACAAAGGTCGATCTATTGACGACGTCAAAAGGCCCTTGCGAACCTCATAGACTCCTTCACTATGGTACCGGTCCAGCGGGGGGTGTAGACGCCACCACCATCCTCAGCCTGAAGTAGCTCAACAAGTTCGCGAAGCATGTCTTCTACCTCTGTTAGGATGCACCGCATATAGGAACCTTAGGTTCCAGGCCTTTATAGTAGACCAAGGTATGGCGGTGGCATATCTGATGAGACTGGGGTTGAGGTGGTGGCAAAGACTTCATTCCGGGACATAGAAAAACGTTCATGAAGCGCTTCCTTGGTCTCAATCGTTTCCAAGTCTATACCAGGAGCAACCATATGCAAGTCCCAATCAGAAGCATCTTTCGTTTCCTAGCCTGCAGAGTCAGGTGAACTGCCCAATGACGACTGAATCGGGCTTCCTGGTAGCATCCAACACGGAGTGCTGAGTGATAGTAGGAGTGACGGTCGGCTCTAGCTGCTTAGGAGCATCTAAAATGGGATACTAAGTGCTAACCGACTTTAGCTACTTTGGAGCACCCGCCACGAGCTGTCGAATAGCATCCAAAATGCCCTTTTGAGTGACTGTCGATATCTGCGCTATGAACCAAGGGGGTCTACTCACGATGTGAGAGGACCGTCCAGACAAACGTCCTCACAGGCGTCTCCACCATGGCAACCCACATCTTCTTGTATGTATCGGGAAAGTCACGCTTAGGGGCAACCTTAAAATTACAGAGACTATTGTGGTCAGTTTTGGCTCTTTTTTTTCTCTTTTTTTTCCTCTTCTCTTTTTCGGAGCATTGCCATTTGATAATATAGTATACCTCTTTGAGGTCGACAGCGCTATGAACTTGTGCGAGGATGGACTTATCTTTAGGCCTACCAAGCTCTAACAACTCATTGTCTTCTCCCTTTAGGTCGTTGGCTCCGATTTTTAGCAGTTGACGGCTGGACCGAAGAATAAGATCAGAGTCTTCCGGCACCGGTGCCCGTCTGTGTGCCACTGGATTCGCTTTCGCTTACAGTGTCTCACGTTTATATTGTACTTGCCGTCGACGATCTAGTACTCTCGAAACAAGAATATGACCGTTTCCTAATGCCAAGTCGAGCAAGATTGGCAAGGTGTCCCAGTCGTGGCCGTCTCTTTCCACTTCTGTATAACGAAGTCTTCCGCTGTTCTAGTGCTTAGCGGAGCATTTGAGTACATGTCCACTCAGGAAAGGAAGATCTCCACCCCGATTGTCTAGTTCATGATACTGCCATAATTACTTGTGTAGATATGTAGAAGGCTTTTGTTATTAGCGGATGGAAGTCCGCGGGATCTCAATCGAGGAACGAGTGTTACCTTAAGACGATCGGAAGCGGCAGGCTTGATTAGTCTCAAGTAGTCTGGGACAGTAGTATGCTGGCACCAGGACTACACGATTATTAAGCGAGACAGCGTGGCAGCTACCTTGACCTGGTATGGCTCTTCGTATCCTTAGTCGAGCGCCTATCGTGAGCGAGCTATAATATAGGCAGTGTATTATTATATCGAGCCGGTCGTATTAAGGAAGGCCAGGAATATCACGTGAACTTAGAAGATTTACGTAGAAATTGACGAACAAATCTGTCTCGGGAGTTTCGTCAGTTTTACAAGTTGTAGATTTCCGCTTTTCTTTTTAGCAGAGAACTTACCAGAAACTGTCTCGCAAGAAACCATATCATTTAATCGTTTCCTCTTATGGTGCATCCATCGTTCTTCTTTGCTTTCTCAATAGTAAGTCAAGTTCCTACTATGGATTTTGTTAATGCGCGGGTTTGAGATCGACGGTTGAGGTTGTATCGTCAAGCACCCATTATGACACTTAGAGCCATTGAAGCTACTCTTGTGCACTAGATGGACATCGAACTTATTTCAATGGACGCGGCAACTACCGCTGCTTGTAAATACGGTGATATAAATATCCTTGAGCAGATTGTAACAATATACCGAGTTTGGCCACTGCAACGGCACCGGCTGGTGTGACTAGACGGGTGTCTCGACGTTCATTAACCGAGGACATGGCTACCTTTGCTGATATGCATTGTGAAAGCTATAGAGTTCCTTTAATCATTTGACTGCCTTCAACTTCAGGTAACATGAATTCAGATCTAATAGCCCTTGGTCAAATTGAAGCTCTGGCTACCGCTACCCATCCAAAAAGGTAGCAACACCAAGCGAAGAGATCAGTGGTTTTTACCGTGGTTATCCCTCCTACAGTATGCGCAAGCAGCGCCTACGCACCTACTCCTCCTCCTCCTCCTCCTCCTCCTCTTCCTCTTCCTCGACTACCTCCTCTGACGCTAGCGAATCGGCGTAGCAGCGCAGGATACCCTCCAACGCATCAGCGATGCGGCCACCAATCTCCAGGCCGGCAACAACCCAGTCGGGTGCAGCACCAACCGCAGGAGCAGCGCGGGCGGAAGGAAAACTTGCAGAAACAGCAGCGGCAGCGCGGGGAGAAGTGGTTAGTAGGTGGCAAGCCTAGAGCGTGAACGATAATACCACGCGTCGTAGGAGCGGCGACTTATTAAGGAAGATGGTGGTAAATGATAACGATTACTAAAATTAGCACTATGAAACACTTAGTGTTATAAGAGTGCTCCAAGGAAGTAGTTATTTATGACTTAAATTAATAAGAAAAATAACAAAGATTATTATTAATTAGTATTATTATTACGTTACGCTTAAGCACTTTAAAAGTAAAGATATTTTGTAAAATTTGTAACGACGGTGCGCTCGAGCAGCGTACGAAGTACGCCCGTGCGTAGTCCGTGTAAAACCCCTGCTTCGTAACTAGTGATGGAGACATTCTCTCCCTTCTGCTTAAGAATAGGTCTCTGAATATAATCGTTACGCCTAGGAGCTTATCACCTGGTGATCTTATCGTAATTGTTACAAAATTATAGTAAACTTAAAGAAAATTAGCCTTAAGGGCGCCGCGGAAAAACCTTATATGAGAGATAAGCTGATTATCTGATTTTTTATTATTAGCTATATTGAGCCCAAGTGAAAGAGATATGTCTTCCAGTCGGCTGTAGAAAATTCTAGTGATCTTCTCCTTGAATCGGCAATTGGTAAGAATTGAACTGTGGGCAATGAATAGGAGAACACGCATTGTGACAGATGCAGTTTGAACAGTATGAGCAGAAGAGACGTACTCGATAAGGAAGATCCAGATATCAGCGGAGTGGGATGTGTCAGTATGCGACATCACTCCAGTCCAAGATTTGAAGTGAAGGTCCATGAAACGATGCGTTTGAACATGGCATTCAAGTTTAGGGAAACAACCATCTACATTGATGCGAGCCCGAGGGATTTCCATAAGCCGTAGAAAGGTTAACTCAGTGGATTCTGAGTTGATAGGAGTGGCCAGATCCCTATCAGTCTGGGGTATCCGGACTGGGAAAGGCGGACTTTCACGCGGCCAAATTAGGAAAGTTTGACCATGGCACCTATATGCTTTAGAGAGTGTTTTGGGGGCATGTGGATCTGCTTATGGTAATTAGTAACAGGCATACAGGTTGACACGTATTCAAGCTCTGGGATGCTTCAGTTCATGATACTCACAAATAACTGGGATTAATAGTCACAAAGACTTGTCGCTATAGACTGCGAACCTCAATAGCACTCCGACAGCACTCGTCCTCTTTGTTGAGACTGAAACTGCTATTTCAGGCATGGGCGATGTTGAAGATTCGTGACGAAGCCTGCGATGTCTGGTCTCTGTTGGCGCGATCATCCATATCCCGTACTGTGACCGTCGTGCAAGAACTGACAGGACTCATCATATGTCTGGAGAATTCAACTCGGCTGGTAAAGTCATCACAATCCACAGGTCTGCGACTCTGACGATCGTTCCAGATCATGAACTGCCATATCTTGTTCTTGACTAAAACGTGATAATGCGAGGAAATATCGCAATTGTCGGGGTGCTGATCTTGGCAAGTGGTCATGCAAATGGTTATGACCATGATGACATGAAGAGGTAATGGAGCTGTGTGTTTAGTGGCGGTGATGTGTTTGACGGGTGTGATAGATGTTATGCCGACTGGGAGGTCAAGTAGTTCATGGTGCGATGTTTTCCGTCTTTGGGCCGTCCGTCCTCCCGGAACAAGCTCAATATTCGGCAGTCTCCTGCTGAATAATGATGAAGAAGAAGAAGGAGAAGAAGGAGAAAAAGAAGAAGAAGAAGAAGAAGAAGAAAAAGAAAAGGAAAAGGAAAAGGAAAAGGAAAAGGAAAAGGAAAAGGAAAAGAAAAGGGAAAGGGAAAGGGAAAGGGAAAAGGAAAGAAAAAGGGAAAAAACGGCAACACCTTTTTCGGTGTCTGGGTAGTATATTCGAACACCCTGTGTGAGTGGATGTATTCTGGATGTGTTTAGTTATGATGGGATTCGGGTGTGTCGACGATTTGATCACTAGGTTTGGCTGCTACTCCGAGTTTGCGTAGCTCTCAACAAAGAACGACGATGACTAGCATCATAAGTATCTGAGTGGGGTTCTGGGCGTAGCATTCTTGCAACTCGTCTTTGTTAGTATAGATCTTTGTTGGACCCTTGTCCCAGGGTCGAATCATTCCAAAGTAATGAAGGGCTATCCAAAGCATCCCATAGTCTGGTGTAGTCTGGTGCTTCATATGAGCTTAGTGGTCTCATCATAGCTTCTGGAAGTTGTTTGGGTCGAATGAAACTAGGACTAAGCAGATGTATGTGACAATGTGCATGGATGCTTGGAGATGGAAGTCGAGATAGTTGAGCCAGTGCAAGGTGTGGAATTTTAACTCAAGACTCGGCATTCTGAAGTTGACGCTGGAATGGTTGGTGTATAGCGGTGGCAGCTCATCAAACACGCTTAAACTCTTCCCAACAGTGGTACATATATTGGGTTTCTTAAGCCTGCAATTAGCCGACAACCGAGTTTTTCAGGTTTGCAGACAGTCAGTGTCGCTAACTTACAAAGATAGCTGCATCTGGAATAATATGATGTCTAGGCAACAAGTCTTTCATGATTGTACTTACCTAGTATCATGGAGTAGAACGCTGGAATGTCAATATCCTTAGAAAAGGTTTTCGGTGGGTAGGCACAGTGAGAATACCCCAAATTCTTTACCGCCTCCTTCCACTTTCCTGCTGAACTACCGATGTGTGGTACACAAAAATCGACCGTTCGTCAGTTTGATGTTAGTCTGATCGCTGACGTAAAAAACTGTGTTAATGCGACAAGTGATTGCTGAGATATTGATTTGTGATTTTGATTACATTGAAGACCCAAGTTGGGAAGAATGGGCGCTGGGATTTTTAAGTGTAGCAGTTTTCAGCCTTCCCGCTGTAAACCTTTGAGTTAAATGTGAACCTTGTTGTGAACAAGCTGAGCATGGGTCACTGATGGATAACCTGGGTGTTGGTTGTCCATACTTGAGCCATGTTGTAGTTGCTGATCTTATCATTGTGCATGAACAAAGTAAAAAGGACGATGAGAATAAAATCTGGGGCGGCATTGTGAAGTAAATGTGAATCTTCGGTGGTGGATGTAATTAATAGTCCACATAATTCTGAAGCAGCCTCGATTGTCCAATCGTGAAATCTTATGGTAAATAGTCAACTATGAAACACTCCATCCATATGAAGAGTCCACCATCGCTAGCCTCTAATAACATTGAGCTTTCTATATAGAGATATTTGGTATGAAATACGCCTTCTCCCATGCCAAGTGCAGCAGGCTCTCAATATCAACTTCATACCAACAGTCGAATCTGGGTTAGTGTCAACGCCACTATCCCTAAAATGCCAGCTAGACTTCAAAAAATGCTGTTCGATGGTACATGAAAGCGAAATACCAACCAACACTCCCCTCCAGAAGGAGTACTCATGGTACCCGTTGCGCCTCCTCAAGTTCAGGGCAGGGGTGACAACGCTGGAAGCTCCCAATGCGGCGACGGCTCCGACCAGATACTTTAGCACGCTTACATTCAGCAGATAAATCATGTGCTTCTATTGCTCTACAGGGGGCCTTGGCTTTACCATTGTGCTGGCTCCTTGACGATCGCCCCTGATGTGTCTAGCATTAGCCATGGTGGTGGTGACAACGACGCCAGTTACGACCACTGTGAGGCACATGGAAAGAAGATAGCCGGCATGAGAATATTCTACTCCTTGAACTGGCTACAGGGAATCTAATATATGATTGACAGGGCAGCTAAGTGGGTGAATGCATGAGTCTTCGAAGGTGAAGAGACCTCGGGATAACAGGCAAGTACAATTATCTATCTTTTCCGACTGATCTGTTCTCTATCCAATGTGCTTGCAGCGTACAACACCTGCGATTGAAATCCATCCCAACGCCTTAATACGAACGGTTACGGCAACGGAAAAGCTTAGTGGGCAAGCGGGACGTATGAATGGTAGTTGACAGGCCACCGTTTTATCCTAGACGAACACGATGCGAGGGTACTTCTGAAATATGGATGGAGACGGGCAAGGCGCAGGTCTCGACTCCGTTCATTACCATGATGTCATATCCTCGGTGTGGTGCTTAACAGGAAGTTCATCGGAACGATTTTCCAGCACGAGAAGAGTTCAGCAAGTTTACCCGGACATTTCTGTTAAAAGAGTCCTGGTGAAGGGGGCTTGTGCCATTTGCGAGAGCGAGGCGCAGTCGTGTGCATCATCTTCTTGGCACATATACGTCCATCATTTGTAACATTTTGCATTCGCAATATACTCTTGCGGTTAGTAGTCCGCCAGACCTGAATTATTTGGACGAATGGCTCCACAAGAAGACCAGGAACTCTTCACGTTGAATCCCTGATACATACAAGACTCATCATCGGCAATGTACCACTAGCAGTCGCGGCAATATTTATGGCGCGCGAATGCGCTGCAATGTTCTTGTCAAATCGACAGTACCCCGATCCTGTGATCTTTTTTTATTGCGAGTTGCTAATTATCGGCTCGCCGTACGTTCTGGCAGACGTGGTGTCGCAAATGGTTGGTCAGCCCAGGGGATAGCCTGTACTATTGTTAGCGGACAGGCGTGATATCTCTTTAGCAGGGAATATCAGTAGCAGATTCTCTTTCTCATCTAACACCTTCGATGTGCTATAATCACCACAGAAACAGTTCTACAAGAACCAGATCACAAGCAATTGCATACAACATTAGAGCAACTCCATAGGTTCTCAGTACATCGTTTCGACTTCAAAAAGGTGCTCAGCTTGATCTATGGAAGCGTACATAGCCTGTGACCCCTCGTATGGAACCGTGTCATATCTTTGAATCCGAACCTTGATAGAGAGAATCAGGTAATTGGCGCTTGTATGTTTCCGTTGATGCTGCGAAGTCTCACTTTTGGGATGATGATGATGATTCTATTTCAGTTCCGATTGAGGAACACCCAAGACCTTGATGAACTCTGTAAAAAGCGAATTAGCACAGCGAAGGGCGACAGGAACAAAATCCGGATTTACCACTGAACTCAACCTTCCCGTTGTTGTTCGTGTCCATGCGCTGAATGTACTCCTCGGCATCCTGGTCACTAATGACTATGCCGTCCTTCTTTGCAGCATTAATCACTTCCTGGGGCTCGATGTAACCTACTCTCGTCAGTGCAAGGAATCAAGATAGGCTTCACTTGACTACATACGATCGCCATCAGCATTCTGCAATATAGTTAGCACCTTGAAGTCAAGTAACGTGTTCGTGGCAGTGACGCACCATGTCATGGAAGACCTTCTTCCATTTCTTGATCTCTTCGCGAGTGTACCGAGCCTGCATTCTGACTGTTAAAAGTCTTCGTCATCAGCTCAGAAATAGAACATACCATATTGTCAAAGTTATTGGTCGAGCAAGCGTCTTTGGCAAGTGGTAAGTGTTGAGTACTGTTTGAGCGACTCTGCAGCTTTTGAGAGGACAGCACTTCATTAAATAAAACAAAACGGCATCGGGGGACGGCATAGTGTCTCCATTCAAATAAACATTTGCAGATCACAGCATGAGACAGACAGTTCAGCTCATTGTTCCACAAATAAATCATTACAGTCCACTAACAACTAACTTACATCCATACGTTTAGCCTATAGCATTACTCGAGTGACATTTCTCCCACAAATAAGGTTGAGATCTCACTTAGAATCATGACAGGACGCATATTTTATACATGTTGATCTCCTACTTTGAGATTTCTCAATGCCCGTCGGGAGTGTAAACTTGGTTGCGGCTTTACGAGTCTTGGTGCCGGGGTGCATAACAAACTACATGTCATCAGAAGTAGTTGATTCGGAATACCAGGTATCACATTGGAAACCAATCATCGTGCTACCGTGATATTCCCAATCTTATAGTGCGTGCTCGAGTAGGTGATAGCCACTATTACGCTTTCTTCGTAGCAAAAACAGTAAAAACCACATGAATAAGACCCCAAGGATGTTGGAATCAACACTTCAAGTGTGCTTCCCCAAGGGTAAACTCTGTCCCTCTTATCGAAGGTGCTTATTTGCATTAGCGGCGAGATATCCAGAGACTCAGTCATTATAAGCATGAAACTCGCGGACTTGCAAACTCTCAGTGCAGGTGCTGGGTATATCATCAGAATCGATCTGAACTGGGTTTCCAACATTTAACTGCCCTCCCATTGACCTACAGTTTGGTGTAAGCGGGGAGAATAAGACAAAAGTTAATCGGGAAGCTTAGCCGCTGTGCCGCCAGCACTCTCAGTGCTCGACAGCGGCAGATTTCCTTTTGCGGCTGATACAGCACGGTACGCTAGCGGCTCAGGTGTCTGTCAATCCCAAGCCACTCTAAATGGCAGCATCTAACTAACCTTAGTCTACCTTGAAACTTCGGTTGATTGCTACAGCATGTGTCGCGAAGTATGAAGAACTTGGGCAGAAAGAGTCTGTAGCACCGCGCACGGAACGCCCTGGGAATGAACCGGGATTTTACGAAAGCAAGCATGGGAAGGATCCAGTGGGGCCTGAGGCCAGAAAGACGTCAGTGCTCTCGGACAGCCTGGGGGGTAGGAAGCATAATTCGCGCTTAACGGTAAGTCGTGGATTGTCACGGAGAACCTCACTACCAAACATGCGAATCTAGTGCAGTGTGCTCTCCTCTATTCGAACCACTACGCGGCTAGAGCCACAAGAACAACAATGCTTTCCAATCTGCCATTCTTTCTTCACATCCTAATTGAGACGCCGGCGGCGTTCTCCTTCATCTTCAAGCCAGAGACGCAGCTACCGGCTGTCACTGATGCCTCGCGGCTGATATTGCGTCAATACGGAGGTTTACTCCTTGCAAGCAACTTTGTGTGCCTGGTCACACTCTTCACTGAATCAAGGGACATACGGGGACTGCTTGGGGCTTCACTGGGTTTCTACCACCTGTGGCCAAGCTACCGTGCTTTTGCACGTTTGACGCGGAAGGTTTCTGGCGATGTTCATGGACAAGCGGCTCTGGGAGGCCCAATGGTGCATCTGGGGGTACATCTGATTGCATTTTTATCCTTTGCCTGCGTATCACTAGTGTGACATAAACACCGAGCACTCTATCGGATCCCTAGATCATCCCTCCTTTGGGGCAATGTATTGGTGTGTTGTCGCGCTGAATGGAAACGACCTCTCTTCAGTGCACTCTAGACTAGTCTAGAGTAGTAGTTACCCAAATCATTGATCATGTATCGCTACATGCCACCAACGGACTCAGCCTCCTCGCAATCCTTTCGCTTGTAGATGTAAACATCGTGGAACGGACCGGAATCTCCCGAAAAGAACTTCTTGGTTAAATACGATACCTCGTTGTAGTCACGAAGGAGCATTTCTCTAGCACGGCCCTCTACAGGGTCGGCGATTTCACCAAGGCTAAGGGCCAACACATAGCATTAGTAATCACACCACTTCAAGGACCAAGCGACGAATAGACTTACGGGAAAGGTAATCCGCGAGCAAGACAAAACTCACGCTCCTCGTCAGGGCTCTTGAAGTAGCCAAACTGCATGATGATAGCCGGTCGAGCAATGTCAGCGATGATAGAGATCACGGGGATGGAGGGGCTAATGGACAAGACGAGAGTCTCGTCGTCAAGATCAACGAAGCCGTGCGAGGCGCGGCCAACTCCCTTGTAGACTCTGAAGCCGTGGTTTTCGAGGACCTCGATGACGGGCTCGGTGTAGGCCGGGTCCTGGGCGTGGAGAGCGATGGCGTGGCCGGTCTTCACCCGGAGGTACTTCTGAATGGTCAAGACAGCTGCGTGCTGGAACATGGTCCGGGGACCGTCGTTCTCGTCGAACTCGTGATTGTGGAAGTCGCCGGTTCCGAAGCAGATGATCTTGTTGATCTCCTTGACCTTGTCGCCGCAGGTTTCGAGTACAGAGATCAGCTTGGCGCAAGCCTCGCTCTGGGACCACTCGGCGATGACACGACCGAACTCATTGGTCCAGTGTGCAGCGTTGTCCTCGCCGGGAATAGGGTACACGGCAGGTATTCTGACGCTGTAGGGAGTGCAGCTCCTGTAGCACACCCGGAAGTCCTTGCATTTGGCCAGTTGGGCCATCATACCAGGGAAAAGAAAGAATATGATCATTGGCATCCTGAACTCGACATTAGCGAGGTGGGACGGCATACCAGAATGAAGAAAAATAGGCGTCTACTCACGACGTGAGAGGGCCGTCCTGACGAACGTCCTCGTGGGCGTCTCTGTCATGGTAGCCGGTCCAGCGGAGGGTGTAAACGCCGCCACGGCCCTCGTCCTTGGACATCTCGATAAGTTCCCGGAGCGAGTCCTCCACCTCTAGTAGGGTGGCCTTGGTGAAGAGGGGCTTACCAGAGTCGTAGAGGCCCTGGATTCGCACGATTAACTTCTGCCTGAGCTCGTGATCTCGCTCGAAGTCTTGCACCTGGTTTGACATGCCGTCTTGCTCATAGTCTTGCTCGAAGTCTTGCTTGAAGTCTTGCTCGAAGTCTTGCTCGAAGTCTTGCTCGAAGTCTTGCTCGAAGTCTTGCTCGAAGTCTTGCTCGAAGTCTTGCTCGAAGTCTTGCTCGAAGTCTTGCTCGAAGTCTTGCTCGAAGTCTTGCTCGAAGTCTTGATTGTGACCTTGGTCGTGACCTTGATCGCTGTGTGACGTGAAGCTGTCCTGCTTGTGGTCATGCTCGTAGCCTGCCATGATGGTGTGTTGGCTGATGTTGTCGTGATGGGCGGAGCCAGCAGCAGATATGGTCTGTGATGGGCGACTTGACGTAAAAGCTTTCATTACATCACAGGACTGAACAACCAAGAGAAATGACATTCACGGATCCCTGTAGGACCAAGAAAGAGACTGGGACAAGTTGAGTGGCTTTATCTACTGCAGTTCTATCTGATTGTTCAGGGCGGTCGCGCCACCGGAGTACACACTATCTGCCACTGGAGCGCACACTTTGAGTCTCATAAGCATGCGGAATAAACAATGTGGGCTCTTAGACGTTCTGAAGCCTTGACGATGTCAGTTCAGCCAATTAGGAGTACCTATCCTGAGTCGTGATTCTATGCGCGGCAATAGTGGGACCCGAACGCAACAGGCTAGACTAGGTAAGTTAGTAAGTTGGCACTGACCTCACGGCATGAAAATGGTCCAAGCTCCCTGGCTCCCCTCGAGACAGCTGGACAGCGCTGGCCAAGTCTGAATGGAAGGCTGCCCGTCAGCAATAAATGAGCAGTAGCACTCAAGTGCAAGTGAGCTAAGGTCGGTTAGTTTACTGTAGCAGCTGCCAGTAAATAATAACACCGCCTCTGCCTTTTTGCCTTGCGCTCGCGTCTGCCCATTCCGGAAACAGTCTTGAGAGAAAGAAAGTTCAAAGCAACGGCGACATCAGCTCGCTTTTGTCTTGACTTTGACTCTTTTCATACGACAAGACAGGACAGGACAGACACAACACTACACGAGACGCTCGGCTTTTTGAGCCAAGCGGCCAATCAAACCAAATTGTCCGCTGACCTTGACCGTTCTTTTCCGCGAAGCTATTTCTATTTCCATTTCCATTTCCATTCTATCCTAGGCCCTTTTTCTTTTTTCTCCCTTTCTCTCTCCTTCGCTGGCCGTCAACAGTCAGGACCCTGGCCCAGGCCCAAAAAGAGGCTAAGCGAAGGCAATTCGCCGTGGGGATTTTACTACATCGCGACTTTTATCTTCGTCACAGAGAGCAAAAAGCAAGAAAAAGTCTCCCTTTCTTACTGGCCTCTCACTCCGTCTCCTTGACATAGTGCCCGACCGCCCATGGTTCCCATCTCGTAGCGCGATTGACAGGATGGCAGCCGCCGTGGACGTCGGCTATCTGGCTGCCCACCTGGGTATGCCGGAGGAACAACTAGCCACTGTCAGTACTGATCCTACCGCCGAGCTGGTCCAAGCTGTTTTGTCTGCTATTGCCGCCAAAGCACACGAATTCGATGCCCTATATTCGCAAAAGGTTCAACTGGAGGTCGAACTCGAGACCAATGTTCGTGGCGCCGAAGCTCAGCGCGATGCCAGCAACGAGCGAGCGAACAAGGCTCAGAAGGAAGTTGAGGAGGTTCGACAGAAGCTTCAGCAAGAAGGTAAGGACTGCACTTCCAAATAGCATCTGATTCGGAGCCATGTTGGCCACGATGCTGACATGTGATGGATGAACCAGAGTCCAAGCGCCACGCTGTTGAAAACGAACTCCAGACCGTCAAGTCGTCCAGCTCGACTTCACAGTCCGACGTCGAGTCCCTCCGTGCCAAGGTCGCCTCCCTCGAGTCATTAAACCGAGAGAAGCTTGCCATCATAGATACAAAGAATACCGCCAACGAAGCTCTGTCTCAAGATCTCCAAGCCCTTCACCAGAAAAACTTGAAGCTCAACCAAGAAGTCACTAGTGCCCAGCAAGCTGCTCAGAATGCACAAGGCGCTTCCAACGCCTTCAAGATTACCGAGTCGCGCTTGCGCTCCGAACTCCAGATGGCCGAACGAAACGCCGAGTTTTGGGAGGAGGAACAGAAGAAGAAGGCCGCAGAGCTCAATCAGGTTCGCAAGGACAAGACCAGTACCATCTCCCGGCTGCAAAGCGAGAACCAAGACCTACGAAGCGAAAAGGAAAGTCTTGAGGAGTCCATTCGCACACTCCGAAAGCAGCTCGACGATACACAAACCAAGTTGGCCCAGGCCTACCAAGAGAAGCAGCAAGCGATCGAACTGGCGGCCAGCCGAGAAGAGGGGCTCCGCCAAGACCTCGATGCAACAAAGCGCTTGGTAAACATGAGAGAAGAACAGTCCAACTCGTTAAAGAATCGCGTGGCAGAGATGGACACTCGAATCGAGCAGATCAAGCGCGACGGCGAAGATGCAGTGCGACGCATCAGCGAAGAGCTGGAGCAGACTCGCCGAGCACATGATCAGGCAGCCAACGAGGTTGAGAACATGCAGGGTGAGATCGCGAGACTGGAGGCTTCTCTGGCCGGTGCTCGGGCTTCCTCGCCTGCGCCCGGATCCGCACCACAGACCCCACGACCAATGAATGGCTCTGTCTATGGCCGTCCAGGATCCCCCTTCGTTACACCGGGCTCGGTCCGCAAGTCCGTGTCAGCAACTCAAGCTCTTGACGAGGTGTACCGGCTCAAGGGTCTGTTGGCTGTGGAGAAGAAGCGCAACGACCAACTGGGTAGTCAGATTGAGGAGATGATGGATCAGTTGGAGGCCAAGGGGCCGGAGATTGAAGAACTCCAGGCAGAAAACGAACGTCTACAGCACGAGATTCAAAACATGTCGCATCTTTCCGACGAAAGCTTCAAGGAACGCGATCTGGCAAAGAAGGCCGCCCGCAAGGCAGAGGCTGACTTGAAGACGGCTCAAACCGAGGTTAACATCGCTCGTCAGCAGGTGCGAGACCTTGGCGCCCAGATGCAGATGATGATCTTCAATCTTGAGCATCAGGGACAAGAGCTATCTTTGGAAGAACAGCTCCAGGTTCAACGTCTCCAGAGAGGCAACGCCACGGATGACATATCAGATATCGATTCCCTCATCTCAGAGCGCCTCGTCGTCTTCAGGAACATCCAAGAACTCCAAGAGAAAAACCAGGATCTGCTCAACATCGTCCACCAGCTCTCCGAAGACATGAAGAACGCCGAAGACGCTGAGGCCAAGCAGGAAGCTGCCAAGGACCACGAGGAGGTCATTCGACTGAGGGATACCATCAGGGAGTGGGAGGACAGACTACGCTCGATGCTTGTCCAACATGAAGCAGTTGTTAAGCAGAGAGACATGTTCCGTCGCCTTGCTGAGAGCCGTAGTTCTCACGTCGGTGGTTCGGGTATGGACGGAGAAAACGGCGTCCTCACAACTATTGAGGATGACGGTGCTTCCATTCTTGGTGCTAGTAACATGAACACAGACTATGCTACTGTCCTTCGTGAACTACAACAACAATACGATTCGCACCGGGCCGAATGGAACACTGATCGCGACACGATGAAGAAACAGATCGACACTCTTTCTTCGGAGAGAAACAGTCTCCAGGCAGAAAACTCAAAGGTCAACAGCCAGCTTGGACTTAAGGACTCACGCTTCGAGATGTTGGAGTCCAATTTCAAGGCACTCAAGTCTGAGAATGAGCAGCTCTCCAAACGCATCAGAGAGCAGTCTGAGAACCTTTCGAAGCAGGACATTCGTACTCAGCAGGCTGCAGAGGATCTTGTCGAGGTCCGCAGTCAGGCCGAAGGTTTGCGCAATGAAAATGCCAACTTGAAGGCAGAGAAGAAGTTGGCCAAGGACATTCAGGAGCGCCTCACCCGTGACAATGAGAGCCTTTCCCAGGAGAAGTCGCGATTGAACGAAGTCGTTGCCACTCAGCAGAGAATTCAGAACGAGCGCGATTTGACCGAAACTGAGACGAAGAGACGCCTTCAAACACAGATCGATACCCTGGAAGAGGAGGTCAGGAAAGCCAAGCGCAGGCTTTCAGACCAGGAGGAAGAAAGCAAACAACTTCAGCTACGCAA